CGCATACCAAATTTGCGGTAGCAGTCCTCTCATCGACAGCAGACTCATCGAGAAAGACCAGTTGTTCTTGACTGTATTCAGCCATTGCTATCGCGTGTTGCGCACGTAAAATGCCGTTCCGTTCAGCTGCCCTTAGAATGAGAGTTTTTCGAGTATATCCAATCTTTTTGAGGTATCGACAGACATGGTACTTCGATAGTGAAGTTGCAAATTCCTGGTTCATAAACTCTGCGCAATCATCCTGGTATAGGGTAGGGTTCAGATCATACAGGGCCTTGATATGCTGTCATGCCCAGCGTTTAAGTCAAGGTCCTCGATGGGGCAGCTCACTTACCATGCCTATGCGGGTGCCAATCTGAGGCGTCCTACCACAGTTCGTGGTAGGGAGGCGCTCATGGGTGCCTTCCTCCTCGAATCTCTTGACAATCCTGTAAATGGTTCGTACCGATCGGTTGATGATCTCACTGAGTTGGTGAACGTCAAAGCCCTCGATGTAGTTCTCGATAACTATGGACCGTGTGCTATTGTCGCATATTTCCCCGAACATTTCGAACCGTTTGCGACCTTCCTAGGCCTTCAATGGAGTTGTTCTGTTGATTTTACGGTGAGGATTTACGGAGCATGTGCAGCTACCTGCAGTTTGCGACAGGCATTTTGCAACCAGCAGTAAGGGAGTTTCTCGGTAAAGTTGCCTAGTTGGGAATTTAAGCTTGAAGTGCAATTGTTTGCAACACCAGCAACCTCCCATCACCTCCCTCTTAACAAAACCCAGCGTAGTAATGGCTTAATTGTATATATATTATCAGTAGCATTGATAGATTACTGCGTTTGCATTACGTGTACCTTCAAGCACAGAACCCGCTGATGCCCTATCCAAGAAACGAAAAGAGAGGTAGCCCTACCAAAGCCCCATCTTCACTCACTTGGTGAATCATATCATAACATAACATATCCCAGTCACCTTTTCAAACAGACCCAGCGTCAGCGCAGTGTGGGTGGCGTAGATGTGGTGATCATGTCGTCGGACATTCTCGCGGGGAATCTTCGATTGAGTACTTCCGGTCCAAAGACGTCCGTAGAAGCCTTAGGACATAGGAGCACCCTCCTTTTGCTGCTTCTTCTCCTGCTTCGCCCATCTCAACCCACACGCATTACACAATGTCTTCGCACCATGTGGCCCACGTCTCCATTCCGGTGAATCCGTCGTACCACAATCCGTGCAAACATACTCATCAGCCGCCAACTTCATCTTCTTGTTCTTCTTGCGCTTCAGACCACGCTGTGGAGAATCATCACCCATAGCAATATCAGCTCCTCCCGAACTCGCACCAGCTCCGAGGATGTCTTCACGAGGTTCGAAGGAGACGCCGGGAGGGAGTTGAACGACTTCGCCTGTTGCGGTGATGAGGGCGGGGGAAACGTTGCCTTGACCTTGGTATGTAGGATCTCCTGGGGCGTTGTTAGAAGAGTACCGGAGGCCGGTGAGTTGTTCGATGGTGTCGATGGCTTGTGGATCGTAACCGTAGTTTGCCATCTTTTCGCGTATGGACTGTGCACCAGCGACCAAGGGCTCTGGCATATTGCGTTCGGCTTCTTCGAGGTTTTGGCGGGTGAGGGCGTTAGCATCGCCGGATTGACCGGGTGGAGAGGATGTTTCGGGACGAGGATCTGCGGCTTCGACCGCGCTGGAGGGAAGGGCGAGTTCGCGGAGACGTTTGCGGAGGCGTTCGTTTTCGAGTTTGAGTTCGAGGAAGGAGTCGAGCATGGCTGCCGACTTTGTAGGATATGGACGGCCAACCATGAAGAAGCACTTGCAATCTCCCGCATCATCTTCATCGCCGCGCTTGTTGCCCGAGGTACCAAATCGAGGGTGACCGACTGTCTCGAAGATGGCAAAACGGTCCTCGCGGGTGCGGAATCGGTAGAATGCGCTGAACTTCTTGCGGGACTTAATGCAGTTGTTGAATTCACCGACAAACATCTCCATATCGTCAACGTGCATAAAGTCCGTGATGGGGCGTCCGATCAGTTCATTGGGATAATAGCCGACGAGATCGTGGGAGGACGGAGAGGCGTAAATAAAGGTACCGGTTGGCGAAAGAATGTGCATAAAATCGCGGATTTCGTCGATGATTCGCTGCGACCAGTTCTTGCGCTTGGTGAATTCTGTCAGACTTGAGGAAGGACCTTGCTGTTGCTGCTGTTGTTGCTGGTAACCCTGTTGGTGAGTTCCTTGCTGACCACCGCCGTAATGTGACTGCTGGTGGACATTAGATGTAGATGTGTTTGGCGATGAACCGGATCGTTGATCAAGAAAGGGACGAGGCTGTTGCCACTGCTGCCCACCCTGCTGCTGTGGTGGATACATTCCACCATGCTCAGAGTCTGTGTATGCCGGTTCATTCAAGCTCAATGGCATCAATCCTTGCGGCAAAGCAGCTGCTGCTTGTTGTCCATATCCTGCGTGCCCTGACTGCAGTGGCGAGATTTGCGGGTATGACGGCTGTCGCTGAAACTGTTGCTGTGGTGGCATTGTCGAAGTCTGATACGAACCTGGACTATTCAGGCCCATGAAATTGACGTCTAGGGGAGCAAAATCGGACTGCATGTAATGCTGCTGTGCTCTGGGGTCCATCTTTTGCAAACGGCTAAAGGAATGATAGGTTGATGGAGGTCTTGCTGAAATGTACGGTAATGTCGACGGGCGGGGTCGGAGGTTATCGCTGGCGAATGAATGCGGGCCGTTCAGCTGACTGGATAAAGTAACTCACTGCTGGATGTTTGCTCCGGGGTGTTACGTGGGGGACGTTGCTGCAGCGGACGGTCGGCGGTGACCGGTAAAGCACGGATCGCCCGCCATTGATCTTGAAGGGGGAGACGATTGAAACTAGGTGGATAATCATGAAACAAAGTCAGAAACATGATCCTCTCTGTTCCCTACTACTTCATGTATCGGTTGAGGATATGTGGGGGTCCTCTCTAATGCAACTTTACAACATTCTCGCCCTCCAGCAGGGGTCCTGATCATTCCACACACCCGTTTCTTCATACCACACCCCGCGCGCCGAAAATTGAGGAGATCAGAGCAGAAACAAGATGAATAAAATTATTTACAGTAGCAATATGTACACAAATAAATTACTGACGCTCCCACGCTTCCATCAAGGTCCATATGGACCAAAATAATTGCTAGGCGGGCCCGGAGGAGGCCCGTAAAACCTTTGATGCCCCGGAGCACCCATGGGAAGGTTTCCACCAGCCTGAGTTGTGTCCAATGTGGGTGCCTCAATGTAGTTCTCGCCGAGGACAAGATGCCAGTGATTGTGTATGTCGTGCATTGTCAAGACCCGGTCGTCGGCCAATGCTTCAGTGATTGCATGCGCACAGGGTAAACCGAAAACCCTCTTCAGGTAACCACGGCAGGTTGAAAGGGTGAAATTGGTGGGGAGCGAACGACGTGCGAGAATGTACTGCTGCTCAATCAACCCCAATGCGAAGCCCGAAACCTTGTACTTGATATCGGCGAAGAAAGCGCCCAAAGTCGGTGGAACATTCACCTTCTCGTTGGCTATCTTCCCTATTATCTCCTTGTGTTGTTCCTCCATGAATGCCCGGGAATGATCCACGACGGTCAAGAGATTGCCTGTGCTGACTCCAATGTGACCTTTGAGACACTTGTGAGCACCTTCAGCACGGGAAGAGACTGACGATCCGAGGTGAGTGACACGGTCAACCCAGGCGGAGACAAAGTAAGTCTTGTAGGGGAGAAGGGTCTCGACGTATGAAGTAACAGTCTCAAACCTCTCTTAATCACGCATCAAATCAGCGAGATTCTCCTCGAACTTCTCCTCCGTCAAGGATTTCATGAGCTCCTGCATGGTATTGAAGAAACCATCCCATTCCTCCTTAGTGCGGAATGCACTTTTGCAGTTCGTCACCACATTCTTCTCAATGTGCCAACGACATAACAATTTGGCGGCGGTGGGGAATACCTTAGCATTTGCATGCATAAGGGCAAGCTCGCGGTCCGTGACGATGACAAGAGGTGTAAAGTAATCCATCAGCTCCGAGTACATACACATTGCCCAGAGATAGTCCTCCCGAGTCTCCCTAGAGAGGAAGCACAATGCTGAGGTGAATGAAGTTTTGCAACAAGTCATCCCGACGATATGAAGGAGGGGCATCTCAAACTTGTTGGTTTTGTAGGTGCAATCCATGACGAAGACATTTCGAAAGCGTTTCGTGAAACTGACAGATTGTGGGTGGGTGAAGATTAGGCTGGTAATGCGATTTTCGTTGTCCACCCTCTTCCGGAAAGGCAGGCCTTCTTCTTCGAGTTTGTCCAACAAGGCAACAATGGGTGTACGCCCGGCAAGATTCTTGACGCGAAGGTCGCGCTTGGCGTTGTAGATGTTGCGGCGCAAAAAGTCTGGGTTGCCCTCCGGGGCCTCGCGTAGGGCCACGGCAATAGTCCTAGGCAGCGCACCTGCCTTCCTCATCCTCTCAGCGTCTTTGATCTGGGTGGCTGTGAGTTTCCTGTGCTGGGGGAGTGCCGTGGGATCGATTACGGGCTCATGGTTGTGCTCCCCGTTCTTTGTCGATAACTCCCAATCTCCTGTTATCCCAGAGAGCTTGCCAACAAGCTTGAAAGGGCAGCCCTGGGCCTTGTGGTTTGATTTGCGCTGACGGGAAGTGCCGGCAAGATTATGGCGATTTCTATACTCGCCGCCACGGGTACATTTTAGCCATACTTTCCGGGTTTGGATCGCGCAGTTGAAATGGCATAGCCACGGGGCTTGGCCAGGCCTGGGCATAATTCTTGAGCTCTTCCAGGGTAGGGAAAGAGGCATCAGGTGGAGGATCCATTTCTGTCTCCTACAGCTGAGTTTAATGCTGTTTTGTGTGGTTGTTATGCTCTGATCTCCTCAATTTTCGGCGCGCGGGGGTGTTGTTTGAAGATTTAGGGGTGTGGAATGATCAAAACCCCTCCAGCAGTGGTGAAGTGATCAATCCGGAACGAAACAGGTCTGGAAGAACCAAATGATGTGTGCCGGATGTCTGTTTAAGTCCTTGCTGAATGGCTCTTCAACTTCCTTGCCATCTCTGCCTTGTTCATATGCCTCCTGTCCTTCCTCTTTCCATTATGAGTATAAGTGGCTCCAAGTAATCTAAGACCCTCCCGGATTGTGTTGCTCTTCGCTTGCGCTAACGTGTGGGAGGGGTAGTCTTTGAGGGTTTCAGAGCGTGTGCGGGACTTGAACGGGTTCTCCGCTTTCTTCACCCTCGCCTTCTCCCAGGTTGGTTTCCTGCTCAGGCTTAGTGTTGACGTTCAAAATGAAATGCTGTTGCAGGTGTTGGCCCATTCCATCCATGCTGCTTTGTTTGCCTCGTCATGAGGGTAGTGCACGTGGAGATCAGGAAGGTTGAGCTTCCATAGACGCATCGCTTGTCCTTGGCGAAGGTCACTGTGGGGTGGTCCGACTGCACGCCCCGCCCTGAGCATACGAGCTTTGGCGGCATCATTGACCTTCTTTCTGGTTTCAAGTGTGAAAAGAACCTTCGTACAATTGCAGATGCAGGCCTTTGCAAGCTTCCCCCATAGCATACTCAGCTCTCGCGCAAGTTCCCTTCCTGCATCAGTCTCCAAGTACATACTGTATGACTGTAAAACCTTTTCGCAAAGCTCCTTTCTGCTCATATTAGCGTCTGCAATCTTCAGACCTGATGATGATGATTGCCAGTCTGCAATCTTCAGACCTGATGATGTTGACAAGGTCAATGATTCTCCGAAACTCGATCGGAGAATAATCGTACTTGTCCCACGTCGTGTCATGAATGGCTCCACGACCTCCGGTTCCCACACTCTCATTGTGGTCATGCAACGTCTATGTACGTTCATGTATATCTCCTATGATTACGTCTTATAGTTATGTCTTAGCTTATGTTTTAGTCTGACGTACTTCTGGTCTGATGCGCCGTGGCTTGATGGCCTGATGGCTTGGTGGTGGTGCGCCAGCATGGCTTAGGCTTATCTGCGTAGGTTATAGATACACTTATCTGCGTAGGTTAGAGCTACGCACACCTGCGTAGGCCAACCACTATATCAAGGGGAGTTCTCTCCCCCCGACTTAGTTCTTTAGTTAGCAACAAGAGTCTTTGAGAAAACCAAGACCTTCCTACCTGACCAGCTCCAGTAGGTTCCTTAACATCTTGGGTATCTCGTTTGTCTACGCCACTTCAAGTATCTTTCAACCAAGTCATCCCTTGTTCCAGCTCCGTATACAAACCGCCCTTGAGCACCTTGTTACGTCTTGTGTGTCAGTCTTGGTTTGGGCCTGGTCTTACTAGTGATTACGTCTTACGTCAGTGTTACATCATCTCGTCTCGGTCCCCTCTCTCACTGGATAGACTTCGCCCGACTCGTGCCGGCACTTCGGTATAAGTTCCAGTCACAACAGCGAATGTTATTATTCTTTCAGGAGTCACGACACCCGTCCCTGACACCCTGGGAGAAAGCAAGGAACCACAAGAAGTGCTATGTCAGCTGATGGTTGGTTGACGTCGCCCTCTATTCATCTCTGGTGATAGAAGGCCAGCAACGGAACACAGACTTTGCTGGTGAAAGCTATTCGCGCTATTTCAGAACTGTGGAGGAAATTAGCAGCTGCCATAGAGGAAACCAAACGACCATAAGTCACAACCACAACTGGTTTGACAAGACCAAGACACTGAGCTGTGAACTTCATAGAAGCATCAAACTCTTCCCTCACTAGCCATGGGAACATGTGGTAGAAGAAAACAGATGACCGGCAAACGGAGATTCCTATTCTCGTCTCCAGCTCCCCTCCCATGCCTGCGTCCTCTATTGGGACTCCTGTGCAAGACGTTCAGTGCGTGAATGACCGGAGAAGAAGGCTTTGCACAATTTAAATCCCGTTTGTATCAAATCTTTGCCTAAAAAGAGGAGAACTGTCGGATATCCCAATCTCCATGGAGGGGTGGCCTGCTTGATCACCATCTCCGATACCTTGTCATTACGATAGCTTCCCAGGTGTAGTCTCCCTGCAGCCTTCTGCAAATTGACTTGTGTTCTTAAAGTGCTGGGATAACTGAAGTAATAGCCTGACAACAACCTGTGAAAGAGCAGAAGCCGTCAATGATAGATCAATGTTGGGGAATCTGGGTAATCTAGGGAATCTGGGGAATCTTGAGAAAAACTGTACCTTCTGCTTTGAATGCAGTTCCAGATCCTTTTTATCAGGTAAATAACCATAATAAGCGCCTTGGCGTTATTGGTTCAACAGATAATTCAGGCCAGACAAGGCTATAACGGCATGCTCTCTGTTGTCAATGAGCACAGAACCAGCGTCAAACTTTAGTTGCGCATCAACAAACTCATAAACAACCGCTTCAATCTGGATGTTAGTGGTTGCAGCTGCAAATGCCGTGGGTGAGACCTGAGACTAAGACTGAGACTGATGAAGGATATCTGAGTGTAGTAAACCGAAATGGACTAGGTATAGGTAGTCAGCAGCTGCTGCTGAGGCTGACGACGATTGAGAGTAACGTACATTGACGCGGCTGCAGGAACGTACTGCTGTATGCAAAATTCTTGACGTAACTTTCACATGTGTGCGCGAATCGCAAAATCCATATGAAAAATCCGCCTAAAACCACATAGATAAAGGCTCGGAGGTTGAGTAAGGGTTCAAACTGGTCTTATCTATCCTCACCAATCATGTTATGCCACTAGTTTTGGGCCACAAGGCCTCCCTCAGTCGCGTCATGCTAAAAAGGTGTTATCAGTTATGAGAGAAAGAAATGCACCATGGAAGCCACTAGGGATGCAACTCTGGCTGTCATGAGATAGAGGGAGCTTAGATGAACATATTCTACCTGTGGTTTCTTTGATTGCAACAGTTTTTGAGGTTTGTGAGTCCAGAGAGTGTTTTTGATGCTTTCATGCACCTTTATGCAACAGCATGCACCTATGCCAAAACCCTTATAATATCACAACTCTATGAGAAATGATACTATACGCATTTCGAAGACATCAATCGATTCGTAAGACTCTGATCTATCGATTTCTTTCCTGCAACCGCTCTCCCAAGTCTTGTCCATCAAGATAGGCATGTTTAGTAAACCACCCCCGCAAAGACAGGCGGTAAAACTGCCGCTGTCAAGAATTTTGCACACAGCAGCAGTAAACGTAATGAAGATACGCGTCTCCCGAATGTAGCAACGAAATTACAACACATATACCAGCCCAGTACACCCATTGGAGATTGAGGGACAGGCAGGATGTCGTCCATCGACAAGCTCTCCATCATGGGAGTGCGTTCCTTCGACAATCAAGTCCGAGAAACCATCCAGTTCTACTCTCCCTTGACCCTCATTGTCGGGCACAACGGGTCCGGAAAGACGACAATCATCGAGTGTTTGAAGTATGCGACTACTGGTGACCTTCCGCCAAATGCTACGAAAGGAGGTGCCTTCATTCACGACCCAAAGATGTGTGGAGAGAAGGAAGTCATGGCACAGGTCAAGTTGGGGTTTTACAATACAGCCAATGTCCGGATGATTTGTACCAGAAGTTTGCAATTGACTGTCAAGAAGACTACCAGGGCTCAGAAGACGCTGGACGGACAGCTGGTGGTTATGAAGAACGGTGAACGTGCTACACTGTCAACGCGGTGCGCGGACTTGGACGCCCAAATGCCCATTTCGCTGGGTGTGTCGAAGGCGGTTTTGGAAAACGTCATTTTCTGTCATCAGGAAGAATCCAATTGGCCGCTGAGTGAGCCGAGTGTACTCAAGAAGAAGTTTGATGATATCTTTGAGGCTGTCAAGTACACCAAGGCTCTCGACCAGATCAAGACACTCCGCAAAGACCAGGCCGTGCAAATTAAGATCGACCAGAACACACTCGAACACCTAAAGAGCGATAAAGAAAGATCAGACAAAATCAAAGCGCAATCCGACGCTATCCTGGAGAATGTCAGTCAAAGTCAGGAACGCATTGAGCAGCTCGATGCCCAATTGAAGGAGTTGACGGCAGAGCAAGACGAACTGTTCGACTCCAATCAGGCCTTTCAACAAATCATCGCTGATCTTCAGCAATCACGGCAACAGTACGCTTTGATGGAGGATCAACTCCACGAGTTGAAAAAGGACTTGACAGAGTATGAAGAGTCTGACGAGCAGTTGCAGGATATGCAGGCGAACTTTGCGTCGAGGATGCAGGCCGCGGAGGGGAATGTCCATGTCCTAAGCGAACAGAGAGCTGATCTGGAGCACAGGATGGCTGAGCTGCGGCACGAGCTGAACGCAAAGCTGTCCGAACTTGGTCGGATCAACGCGCAAAGCGAGTCACACGCACACAACCTCCAAAAGCGCTCGGACTTGATCAAGGATATCTCGCGACGGCACAATTACCGCGGGTATGATATGCCAGGAGCGTTGGACGAGTCACATATTGAGGAATTTACTGCACGATTGCAAAGGAGTACACGCGAGCAAACTGCGGCACTTGAACGCATCAAGCGCGAAGGGCGTGAGAAAGAGCAGGAAGCGAACGCAGAACTGCAAGAACTCATTAATACACAATCAAGCGCTGAACAAGCTAAGAACGGCGCGAAGAACCAGATTCGGTCGTTGGAGAATGCTGCTACGGATTTTGTTCGCCAGTTGGAAGATATGAGAGTTGATGAGGGTGATGTCGCTATGTTGGAGAGTACGAGGAAGGATGCGGAGGCTGCATACCAAGCTGCGAAGGATGATGTCGAGCGTACCAACTGGGATACTAAGATCGAGGAGAAGCAGCGCGAGGCGCGGAAGGTTGAGGAGAAGATTGATCGCGTTAATAAGGAGTTGTCTGCGGGTCATGCGCAGTCAAGTCTTCGTGCGAAGTTGGAGCTTGCGAAGAATGATGCTGCTAAGAAGCGCGAAGGGCTAACTACGATTATTGCGGCCAATAGTAAGCGATTCAAGGAGTTGGTGGCGCGTGATCTGAATCAGCGAACGGCTGAAGTTGAAATCCGTGAGGTGTTGGGGCAGAAGAACAATGATCTGGAGGACGCGGAGCATCTCTTTGATGGCTCTAGCAAAGAGCTCTCGCAGGTCGAGACAAAGCTGTCTATTGCGAAGGATCAATTGAAGGCGAAGAAGCTGGAGAGGACGGATGCGGAGAAAGCGGTTTTGCAGGTCTGCAACTCAGTTGAGGATTTGCCGACGGAAATTCAACAGACAGAGAAGGCCGTAGCGGACACTTCTGGAGCCCTGAAGAGTCTCGAATTTGCTACGTCATTCTTTCAGCGATCCATTGATGACGCCGAAGAACAGCATTGGTGCCGGCTTTGTTGTCGCGGTATTGGCGAAGATGAACAGGATGCTGTACTGGATGCCATGCGTCAGGCGCTTGGAAAAATCCCTCAGAAAGCCGCAGAGACTGAACAGCAGCTGGAAGACTTGAAGAGGGATATGCAAAATCTGCGGGACGCGCAGCCGTATTATGAGCGGTTTATGCGCTTACAGAGTGAGGATATTCCAAAGCTAGAGGAAGAAGTCAAGAAGTTGAACGACCGCGTGCGTACGTTGGCGGAAAGAACGGAGGGGCATCAGAGGTCTGTCGATGACATCAAGAATGCTATCAAAGATATCGATGCTCTGAAGCGTCCTGCGGGTGATATGACGAGGTACGATAAAGACATCAAGGATATCGAGACGAATATCAGGACGTTCGAAAGTCAGCTACGTGAAACGGGCGGTACGAGGACCATCGAGGAGATGCAGGCGGAGCTAGCGGAGCTGAATGATGAAGCTAAGGCAATTAAGAAGCAGATTGACAACTTCTCGGCCGAGAAAGACAAGTTGAGACAAAGTGTCTTCAACTTGCATCAGCAAGTTCGTGACGCTGAGCGCGACGTGGTGGAGGCTCAGCATAAGTTGCAGCAAAAGCAGCAGTTGCAAAGACGCGTTGATGAGAATGGCGCCCAGGCAAGGAGGTTGCAGGACGATATTGCAACTGCGGATGAGACGATCAGAGGGATGCAGCCGAGGATTGCCGAGGCGAAGGAGACCTTGCGACATGTTCGCGAGGCTGAGCAGGAGCAAGAATCTTCCGCTTCGAGAGAGGCAGGCAAGCTGCAGCAGAGTTTGAACCAGCTGAACGATGTCTCCGCAGAGATTGAATCATACATCTCGCGCGGTGGACCTGATGCGCAGCAGAGATGCCAGGCGGATGTTGAAGATTTGGAAAACGCGTCTAACGATCTGAGTGTCCAAATAGCCGAAATCGCCGAGAAGGTGGATAATCTCAAAGGCAAACTTGCGGAGACGAAGACGTATGAAAGGAACATCTCAGATAACCTCCGGGCGAGGAAAATGGAGAGGGATCTTCGGGCACTCACTGAAAAGATCTATGACCTTGAATCGAAAAATGCGGAGCAAGATCGCGATAGGTACCAAGAGCAGGTCAGAAGGTTGAAGATCCGGTATGACAAGTTGTTCGCTGAGCGCGCTGGATTGACGGGTGAAGTGAAGCAGCTTGACGACCAATTGAAGCGCTACCAGCGCGAACTCGACTTGGAGTACAAGGATGCCCATGAGAACTACCGTAAGCAACATATCAAGGTCAAGACGATGACCGCGGCGAATGAAGATCTTGCAAAGTATGGGAAAGCACTTGACACAGCAATCATGAAGTACCACAGTCTCAAGATGGAGGAGATCAACCGCATCATTGACGAGCTGTGGAAGAAGACGTATGCCGGTACTGATGTTGACACCATCATCATCCGTTCTGAATCAGAGTCCGCGACATCAAAGGCATCCACCGCCCGTTCTTCTTACAACTACCGTGTGTGCATGGTAAAGCAAGATGCTGAGCTGGATATGCGTGGGCGTTGCAGTGCTGGCCAAAAGGTGTTGGCAAGTATCATCATCCGTCTGGCGCTTGCGGAGTGTTTCGGCATCAACTGTGGTATCCTGGCCTTGGATGAACCGACCACTAATCTCGACAGAGAGAACATTCTGTCTTTGGCCAGAAGTCTGTCGGGGATCATCAAGGCTCGCCGTGCTCAGCGAAACTTCCAGCTCATTGTCATCACGCATGACGAAGAGTTCTTGAACATGATGGGTTGTTCGGATTACACCGACTACTACTACAGGATTTCGAGGAATGAACATCAGAAATCTGTTATTGAGCGGCAGAGAATCACAGATGTTCTTTGATTCGAGGCATTGCGATGTTCTTACTTCTTAGAGGCGAAAGCTGGAACTTTCGTCGCAATATTGATAGGCATCTATAGGATTTTGGGATTTCATTTGCTATTTCCTTGCATTCTACCGCTACATGTTAACTCTGTCCGCCTGTTCTCGAGTGCAATTACCGTCCACATGGGACAGCATGCGTCCTGTCATGTGCTCCGCAGGAGCCGGGCCTGCTGCCCAATGCCGATTGCTTCCCTGCGATCCAGGTAGACATTCCATAACTATTATTCATATGGAGTCCCTAACCGAGACACCGTTTCCCACTGCTCCTGCTCCGTGGACGTGTAGAGGAGTCGCATTCTGGTTCTTCTGCTACACCACATCCTCGAAGTCACACAACCAACCTCTCCCACCCGGCACCTATGAACCCCTCGAAGGCGAGTCCCCCTTTGCCCATAACGGTGCGTTCAAGGGAGGGTTTGGGAGTGTGATGGTGGTGAGGTACAACGACACACCTATCGGTGCGTGGGCTGGATCAAATTCAACTTCTCAGCCTTCGTCGGATGTAAGCTGACCCGTGCGCAGGCCCATACGATGAGCTGCTTCTGTTGCCTGGCTATTTCAAACTACCCCACAGCGGAAAGCAATGGTTGCGTGTTACTCGTATTTATGTATCGACACGCGAATCTGTCTACAATGGTGTGTTCTCCTCCTTCTTCCTCTCTTACGGTCGGGACTCTGACATGTCATAGGCCGCAGAAATTGGAATATACCGAAGACACTCGGTGTGTTTGTGTTCAATCCAGCTCCTCCGCTTTCTTCCATCCCATACTCTTCCATCAAGGTGTTCTCGCCTGACAATACTGGCAATCCCTTCTTCTGCGTCAACGTCACGCCAATGAGTTTCGTCCCTTCTATTCCGTTTCAGAGCGCTCTCATACCGCTCAATATGATACTGGTACAGCCTCCTCTTCCCGAAGATGAGGATTGGAAGAGAAGCGGTGCTGTTGGAACAAGCCAATGGAAGGCCGTGACGCCCAAGATGACTGGGTGGATCAAGCCCGTCTGGTGTGAAGGTGGGCTTGAAGGCGGAAAATGGGGTAACGGCGAAGGATTTGTTGAAGGGTCAGGTCTGTGGAGCTTCGGTACATGTTGGAAAGAGTTGATGCTTGAGTTTGGTCCTGATGAGTTTGTCAACGTGGAGGGAAAGAAAGCGAAGTAGCTCCTCATTCTGTTTCTAAGGCACTGGTTCTCCTACGGTATCAATTACAGCTAAAGTTCAAGTTCAACAACATTTTACTTCTGATGACTATGGTCAAGAGCCTAGAGAGTAGAGAATATATTATGCTCGTATCATCAAGCCTAAGTCAAAGCATACGCCATCCTATCGTACACATTCTAGCTAATCGTACAAATGTTCCAAAAAGAGAGGGTCGACGGCATATAGTGTGCCCTCTACACGGACCAGCCGCTTAGTAAACCCACTGCTTCCACTTATCATCATTCTCAATCATGCCAGGTTCGTCCATCATGTGTTTCTTCCCACCCTCCTCCTCATCCTCCTCGAAAACGGCAGTGTCAGGCCTGAGACCGCTGATGGCGGAGTCACGCCTGTAGCTACTCATGCGGCGCTGGGAGTTACGCCTCTTACGAATTTCGTCCTTTTCCATGGTGACTTTGGCACCGCCTTTGAGGTCGAGCATTCCGAGGATGACGCGCTTGATGCGGTCGTTGTTCTTGAGGGAGCGTTCCTTCTGGGGGGTGTCGTCTTCGGCGGTCTTATAAAGGAGGGGGTCGGTGACCATGTACTGTGAATAATTCCGTCAGCAAGAGAACGCAGTTCATTATGAAAAACACTATTACCTCCTCGCCAGCGTGCTCCTCCCAGAATTTGCCCCAGTTCTTTTCGGCACCATCGTAAAGGGCGTAGTCGACACGCTGCGTGTGACCGTCGGCACTGTGCTTGTCAAAGAAGTTGTAGAGCTTGTGCTAAAGTCAGCAGCAATCTTGGTTATGGATTGAGCGTAGCTTACATGCTCAACAGTCCTGCCCTTGTGCTTGTATTGGTCCAAGACATCCTTGGCGATTTGCCAGCAAGCATCATGGACGGGGAAGATCTCGGATCCATCGATCTCGGGATCCTTGACGTAACAAGCAATGGACTTGCCGTGGACGGTGATACAGTTGAATCCGCTAACGGACCCACGCCTGCCCTTCTCACCGTGCTCGACACCGCACATCTTACCAGCACCGGTGACACCGTACTTGGGGTCGTGCTCGTTGGTCTCATCCCATTCGAGGTTAACGAAGATGCCACGCCATTTGGTGAGCCACTTGCAGTCGCCGCGCTCGAGGTTCTTGTAGTCATCGTTCTTAGAGTTCTTGACCGAGGAATCGTCGAAGAGCATCATGTCCGGTCCTCCGCACAGAGCACCTTTGGGGAGGCACTGTCAGCGGAGAGTAGAGAATGCGTGGGAACGGGTAGGCTTACAGAACAAAGAGTAGACCGCCATTGTTGAAGATTGTTGTTATAAAAGGTGAGAAGGTTTGAGAGAGTACAAATCATGAGATGATGAGCAGGAGTAGGAGGCAGATCTCGAGGTTTATATACTTTTCGTCGTGAAGGTTTCGAGGTGGTCGTGTGACGTGACTGCAACTGTCATGCGCTGAGATTGGCGTGCGGGGAATCAAGCATATGACCATCACCTTGTATATTAATGCAAAAGCTCTTTATTATGCGATGAAGAAGATGGTTATCTACTGTGCAAGTCCAAGCAACTTCATGAACGCAGCATCATCGGGTTCTCTTCCTAAGAACCTCTTCAACATGTCCGCTCCATCCTTGCTTCCTCCGGGCACCAAAATCTCCTCACGGTAACTCCTGCCGGTGTTGGGGTTCTCAACGCCTTCCTTCGCGAAGCGATTCATGAACATGTCCGCAGAGTAGACTTCTGACCAAAGGTAACCGTAGTAGGACGAGTCGTATCCACCCATGATGTGTCCGAATGTAGCAGCGGGGAAGGTTCCCGGGGTACCGGGTACGAGAGTAACAGACTCACGAAGCTCATTCCACAAGGCAGTAGTGTCGACCTTGCCTTCCGGTGCGGTATGGATCTTCAAGTCAAAGGTACCAAAGAACAACTGTCTCAAGTTCATGAGCGCGGCATTCACGTTCCTAGCCTTGACCATACTCTGGATCAACGCCGCCGGCAAAGGCTCATCAGGTCTTTGGTAGTGCGAGGACAGGTTCTTCAACACCTCAGGCTCCCAGCACCAGTTTTCGAGCATCTGGGAAGGAGCTTCGACAAAGTCGCGCTCGACACGGGTACCGTGGAACGCAGCGTACTTTGTCTGCGAGCAAATACCGTGGAAGACGTGACCGAGCTCGTGGAAGAAGGTGACAACTTCGTTGTGCTTCAACAAGGAAGGCTTTGTGGGCGTAGGCTTGCTGAAGTTGGCAACCATGGCGCAGACGGGGTAATCGCGCTCGCCATCAGACTTCAGGTATCCCGGAACAAGAGGGAAGACTGCAGCATGAGTGTACTTGGCATCACGCGGGTGCAAGTCGAGGTAGAAGGTACCAACAAACGAGCCATCCTTATCATCAGTGACCTCGTAACATGTAACATCCTCATGCCATGTCTCGCCGCTGACCTGCTTGATCTTAAGCCCGAGGACCTTCTCGTACAATGCTAACATTCTCTCGGTAACAACCTGCAAGGGGAAGTATTCCTTGATCTTCTCATCGTTCACGGCATATTCCTCCTCAAGCTGCTTGCGGGTGTAGTAGCCGAAGTCCCAGGCGTTGATCTTACCATCACTGTTGGCCTGGTCCTGTCCCTTGAGCCTGATGAGTGCCTCCAACTCCTTCTTGCCATATGGAGCAAGCTTCTCGCGGAGGGAACGGAGGAAGGGCTCAACGGTCTCCACGTTCTTGGCCATTCTGGTCTCGAGACGGTAGGCGGAGTGGGTGGGGTATCCCATCATCCTGGCAATCTGATCGCGAAGCTGCAAGGCCTCCTCGAGAAGAGCGACGTTCTCCTTACATCTGGAGCCGTTGGTAATGTCCAAAGCCTTGCGTGTAGCCTCGACCTTTGCCAGACGAAGTGCGGGGATCAGGTCAGGATACTTCATCGTTACAACGTACTTCTTGACGCCATCCACTTCCCTCTCCTCCCGTCCCTCAAAGAAGTCTTCCGGAAGTCCCTCCAATTCCTCCTTCGTGAAGAGACATTCAGATTTGTCCGCATTGAGGTTGTTCGAGAAATCCGTGCAGATATTGGCAAGCCTCTGCTTCAACTTCGCAAGCTTGTCCCTCTTCTCCTTCGGAAGAGCGAGACCGTTCCTCCTGAAGTCACGCTCGGCATGCTCCAACAATCTTGCGCTCTCATCATCAAGCTTCTCTTTTTTTGCAGAAACAGCTTGGACCGCCTTATACACGTCCTCGCGCATCGATGCCTCAATTCCAAACTCATCCAACTTCTTGTTCGCCTCCATGGAGACGTCGCGCAGGGCCTTATCGGTCGAGACGTACTGCAAGAACGTAACATTCGAACTCTTTGTGTCCATCCATGCTTCCATCTCGGCTAATGGACCCATAACGTTGGCGAATGTGGCTTCATCGTGAGGAACGGCAGCGACCTTGTCATATACTGCACGAGCCCTTGAGATCAGTGCGTCGGTGTGAGCGGTCAATTCGTCTGCAGTCCACTTGAAGTGGAGAGGATTGCCGCCATGAGGTGCTTTGGGTGCCATTGGGGTAGTTCCGAGGTAACGAGACGGGATGAATGCGGGAGAGCGGGGGAGCGTTGGTTGGTAGAAGTGAATGCTATTTATGGTTCGAGTTGAGATTGTTCCAGCAGGTCTATAAGTAGGAACCGCCGTTGCTATACTTCTGATTGATGCTTGAAAGGACTTGGTCAATCGCAGGTGCTGCCGTGCTGTTCTTAACATCATTTGGAGGGCAAGTACGCGTACTTCCCGATTTGGCGCGAAATGAATCTGAAGCAGGGACCGAGCAAGATGATGAAACGACGAAAGTAATTCGAAAAGGACATAGGAGCTGCTGGTATAACAAATGATGAAGAAAGAAAGAAAACGCCAGGTAAACGATATCCCGGACCCGCCAGTATGCATGCATTTGTGTATCGCTTAGTATTCGCCATTCCCTCCCGTCCAGCCAATGGCCTCCACTCATCCCAAGAAGTCGGCCTTCACGTTCACCACCCCAACCGCGCCATTGCCCTCATCTCTCAGCTGGCTGCATTTCACGACGGTGCTCTGTACAAGCCTTTCCAGAGCACTGAACTTTGTACCACCACTGCTCACCAGAATTGCTGAGTTGAGCTCCTCGGCCACAGCCGCGTCATGAGCAGGGTCAATTAGACTCGCAACTCGCGGCTCGGTACGAGGATCGGGATATGCGATCAGAGAGAAAATCTCCTGCAACGCATCGCGGTGCTCCGGTGATGGGAACCACTCACGTAGCTTTTTGCCTAATTCGAGAACCGCTCCCAACAACTTCGTAGAATCCGCAGGAGCTGGACTACCAACCAGATCAACTTCCTCGCCCATAGCAACATCTGGCATATCTTCGTCCGGCTTAACGGTAGGGGAAGTCGCCTCGGCCACAGCCATAATCAACTTCACAAACTCTCTGCACCGCAGTTTGAACATCACCTCCATGTTCTCCTCGGCCGTCAGTACATCTGGAAAGAACGTGTTCGTCAATTTGATACCATGCTCAATATCACCACGAACAACCGCATTCCATATTCGCTGGCGGTTTACAGCAGCTGCGTCTTCTTTGCTCGAAAACTCTTTAGGCAGGGCACCTGTAGGTAATGCTTCGTGCTCTGATTTGACCACCTCCGCAAATGCCCGAGCCGTCTCAACGTATCCGTTGTGGGAAAGGTAGGAGCCGACGAGGGACTGAACGACGTGCATGACGTCATCATCGCCGAAGAGGTTCTCCGTTGGGACGGTGTTTATTAAGCCGTACATTTTCGCTTTTTCTTCCTGAAGATCATTTGGTTTAGCTGGGTCCTACAACTTCAATGAACAGGGATATCTTACCCGCATATACTGCTCAACATCGTAGACAAAAGACTTCTGACCAAAGTTGACTCTGACATGCTCGCCCATGGTTCTCAATCCGACGCTGGGGTACAGGTCCGATCTGGAGATAGGTAGATCGCGGAAGGCAATTCCTAAATCCACTCCGTTCTGTAGGGCAAGTATCAGCATACATGTACACGAACCACGACGCCGGATACCTCACCTTGGTGTAGAAACCAGTCAAGGTCCGAAAATTTATTGCGCATCCAACGATATCTCCAGTTGTAAACTTTGGCCCGTACTGCTTTCCGGTTCCTTGACAGCAGAAGCTGTGTCCGTCGTCGCCGTGATAGCCCCATGAATCGGACTCCCACCCTGGTAGGCGGTTGAGAGGCACTCTCAACTTGCAGAAGCCAATTCCAATGAATCTGTATAGTAAACGAGTTAGCTGTGAGTCTTTGGGGTTTCTTGAGCTGCTACCTGCCCTTCAGCACCCTTACTCACGATCTCCACTTCGAAGTAGTACACTCCGACCCCTCGGGGTATCGGACAATTTGCTCTGACGCTTGCAGCATCCTTATCGTTCCCTCTCCCTGGGCCAACGAATCGCACATCCAATCCTCCATTCACAACCTCGATAAGTTCGCATTTGTCCTTATCGTTCCAAAACGATGGAAGCTCGGGCGGTGGCAGAAGCGGTTTGTTTGGAGAAGCGGCAGCATAACAAGAGGCGATTTGCTCAGCATAAGATGTCTCCTGAAGGTATTCCGGAAGGTTATTCATGGCTCCTGGTGTGGTCCGGTCCCGGTGTATGCTGCTGGCTGTCGTACGTACGACGGTTCTGGGAATGAATGCGGAGAACACAACTGCAGCTGTACGTCACCCTCAGAACCTCACGAAAACCGACAAGAAGAAAAGGAGGGTAAAACGAAGCATAAGGACGCGTTTTGAGTAGCATACAAACCATCAAACATGTCGCTATCAGCAGCATCATCGCCAGAGCCGAGTCTTCCGTCTGTGGTCGAACAACCGTCTGCGACGCGTCCGTCTCTGAAAATCAAGGTATGTGCATTGAGCGTATCCAGCGTCCATCGTTGCTGACCAAATGCACAGCTCAAGATGCCTTCAGCAGCTCTAGCTGCCCGAACATCCAACATTCCCTCCTCACCAATCCATGGTCCTTCCTCTCCACCACCCGCATCGTCACCAGCTCCTTCAACAGTAACTGAACCCCCTTCAACCACGGTAAACGATGTAACAGCGACTTCCAACAACGGGAAACCTCCGCCGAAGAAGCGAGCAGCATATGGGACTGGACCTAGGGCGTTGAAGAGACAAGCAGAGAAGGCAAGAGCTTTTGCTTTGGCAACAGGGGGAGGAGAAGGAGATCCTGCAGCGGCACCATCACCCGGACCTGCGAGTCCTGCACCAAGTACTACAGTATCTACGGTTGTTGGCGGTCAAAAGATTAATATCTCCTTGAAACCTGCAGGGACACCACAACCTCAGCATAACCCCAAACTTGGTCCAAAAGCGAATATGGGTGTTATCAATGAGCGTTTGAGGAATCTGGACAGAAGTGGAAAGCCGTGCAGACGATGGGTGAAGAAGGATTTGGTTGTGAAGAACTATTTTGGTGGACAATGGTCGGTGCCAAGAGGTACATGGATTGGTGGTCCGACTACCCAAACTCGAACAACGAGCGATATGAACACGAAGACGTCTACTCCATCCGAGGATGTCGTGACGGCGGATGCTTGAGCTAAGGGATGAATGGTATATCGTCAAGGTCGGGTATCTAGGATCTATCTAATGAAATGCAACGCCTGACATTAAGCGGTAACAATGACCTCCCTACACTCCCTCGCAATCCCTTTGAAGAAGCGTCTCCACTCCAATGGATCTCCGACCTTCTTATGGAACTGCACCGTGTACACGTCTCCTTTCCTTCCCTTAGCATACCGTTGAACCTGAATCTCACCATGCATCTGAAGCTTTCGCTGATCGACATGTTGAATTCGTACCGTAGCTGCGGTCAATCCAGCTGGCTGTAGAGAAGGTATGTTTGTATTTGGAACACCCATTCTTTGTAGTGCGTTTGACAGAATGGGAAGGAATGTTGGAAGATCCACAGCAACGTAAAATCGCGTTAGACGCTCAGCAGGACAGATATCGTTGAACCTCCTCGCTTTCTGCGTCAAGGTTTCTGAGATACCCTGGGTAGGAGAGAACTGGCTCATACTTGGGTCATCCGCCAGCGAATTCAGGATCTCGTCGTCCACAAGAACAGTCCGTGCTTGAGGCTGCGAAGCGGAGACAAAGCCATTGCCCATCCGAATATCGTCAAACTCCGTGGTCCTCCGATAATCTGGTTGTGTCGCGGAGAAGCCCGTTTCTCTCCAATCATATGCATCACCAGATCGGATAGTAACGTCAGACATTGACCTATCTGACTTTGCCCTTGCTGCAGCTTCTTCCAGATCCACCTGTAACTTCTCCAGCAATCTCGTCGCCAGCAGAAGCGGATCCGTACACTGCCCGTTATCAGCCCTCATAGGGTTCCGACGAGTAAACCAAGGATGCCGCTCCACATCATCAATCGTCATCCTTCGTTCCGGATCAACCATTAACATCCCTCTCACCAACCCCAATGCATCGAGGTCAAGCTTATCCCATGGCTCATAAAGCCCTCCCCGAGCATAATGGGAAAACTCAGGATTGAACGGTGCCGGCTCATCCCACGGGCATGTCCCAAGCAACAGCACAAACAGCACCACGCCACATGACCAAACATCAACCTTTGCCGCATCATACTTCTCTGCCATCACCACTTCTGGAGCCAAGTAAGGTAATGACCCAACCTTCCCCTTCACGTACTTTGTAATCCCCTTATGCCTAAACATCGCCGCCAACCCAAAATCACCAATCAAGAGATTCCCATCCCCATCCAAAAAGACATTCTCAGGCTTGATATCTCTGTGCGCAACACCCCTCTCATGCAAAAACCGTACCCCAGCAATCATCTGCTGAAAATAAAAATGCGCAATATCAGGCTCAACCCCAACATCCGGCTCAATCTTATCAAACAGATCACCACCACGGGCCCACTCCATCACGACCCATCGCCAGATATTGTCTTCATCCGAGTCGATAAAGTCGACGATGTTGGGGTGTCCTGTGCAGAGTTTGTGGAGTTGGACTTCGGCACCGATTTGTTTGAGGGTTAGGCCGCCTTGGGGAGATATTGCGACGGGTTTGTTGATGAATTTGACGGCGTAGACGTCTGGTCTTTGGTCGTAGCGGCAGAGTTTGACCCTGGATGATGAGTCAGTATAGACCTTGCGACTTGATTGCGGAGGAGGGCATACGTTGCGTAGGAACCACGACCGATTGTCGCACCGCAATGAAAAGGCAGCTGCTCTGGCAGCTGAAAATGCTGATCAATTGACATTGTGAAAAGCGATTGTCGATGTCTGCTCAGATTTTGTCGGAGGACAACCTTCGCTGGAGTCTGGGGAGTTGCGTTTGTTTGGTTCGTACATCGCCCGTTTCCACGGTGATACGCGTGCATGACAATCTGGATCGAGAAGGATATCAATTGAACGTGGGTAAAGTGGACAATTGCACAGTATATGAATAAGGTATTAGGTTGGCTTGGTATGGTAATAAACGAACAACAAAGAGAATGACAAAACGCTGGTGCAGAAAAAGACAAACAGGGAATCCCTCAACAGCCTCCTCCCAATTGCATACAGCTCTTCATGACCACCTATTTCTCCCCCTCCCTAAACCTTGCCAAAACCTTCTCCCTAAACGCAGCATCCTCCTTCCCCCACAACTCCGCCGCCTGCCCATTCAACGGGCTTGCATTGTTTGGCTGCGCCAACAAGCTTTGAAGAGAAAGCAACAAAGACTCGATGGAGTGAGCGGCAGACCATTTATCTTGGAGGATGTCGAGACATATACGGCCGGCCATGTCGATGTTGGGGTGATACATGGGGGTTGTGAAGGTGCAGTTTGGGGGGGCGTAGGGGTAGTTTGCGGGGAAGACCATGCGGATTTTGAAGGTCATGCCTTCGTAGTACTTTTACACATGTCATTTAGCATTGAATCAGGTAGCATCAAGGGAGATGGATGAACGCACAGTAGCTTCTGGGCCTTGGATGGTTCCGGCCCATTGGAGGAGGTTGCCGTCCTCGGGGAAAGCGGAAACACCTGGAGTCTGGGACATCATGAGGGTCATGAGCTCTTGTTGGAGACTGTATGCTGCCGTTAGTCCATGTATCTGGCCTGGAGTTTGCGGAGCACACCGTTTAGTGACGGAGTGGCCATCCGGGGCCTTCTGAGTAGCAGCGGCCATCTTGGTTGGCGAGGAGGGAGCAGGCGCAGCGTTCTGAGCGTCCATTGCTGTTGAGGAGAAAGAGCAATGAGCGACGGAGGGGAGGCGGGGTGAATGCTGAATGCTGACTGTTGTGTGTTGTTTGTTGTCTGTACAGTGTGCGGATGCAGGCACCTACATGGGTCAACACCGGTTGCTAGGCGGGCCTCGGTGCAGTCCATCTGTCCATTGACTGGCATGGCATGTTGCGTTGTTGCAAGTGCCGTCTCTCTTTGGCCAGAATGACAACGGCTCGCCTATTTTTAGAAGGGAAGGGTCCTCACTGCGTACGCGCGCTGGTCGCCGCCTATCGTCCCCCCAGTCCCTTAGAGCGCACCGAGACAACTCTTATTGCTCCCAACGAGACGCTTATGCGGAAATGGTGGAGAAACACAATCGTAACTTGACCGTCCGCTTCCTGTTGCGGTTGGGGGCCGTGATTCCTTGCATACACCCCACTGGTGCTTGAGATCATCCTGCATCGCCAAGATCGGAGCAATTGGATGACATCTGTACACTTTCGGATCGCTGTAGTTGCCTTTAAATGCCGCCCTTCCCATCTCCAGATGTTCAAGTATAGCCCATTGCAATTGACAACGGGATGAAGCTCACGAGGACACTTGCTGCTGGATTGCTTGCTTTGGCTGGATTGGTCACTGCTGCACCGGCAAGACTCACTAAACGATCGTTCGATTACTCCACCGAAAAGCTGCGAGGTGTCAACATCGGCGGTTGGCTCGTAAGTTCCCTCCCTTCGACAATTGAACGTCAATTGACCCTGTCTAGGTACTGGAACCATGGATCACCCCATCACTCTTTGAACAATTCCCCGATTACGGAGGTGACTCGCCCACTGTCGACGAATACACTTTCTGTAAGACGCTCGGATCGGACGAGGCGTACAAACAGCTTCAGCAGCATTGGGAGAGTTGGATCACGTACGAGGACTTCAAGGCATTGGCTGATGCTGGTGTGAATACCGTCCGTATTCCAATTGGGTATTGGGCTTTCGAGTTGTGGAATGATGATCCGTATGTGCAAGGCCAGCTGGCTTATTTTGATAATGCATTGGCGTGGGCGGAAGAATTGGGATTGAATGTCATGATTGATTTGCATGGTGCGCCAGGTGTGTCGTAATTAACCTTCTTTTGTGAACTCGATGCTGATACGAAGACAGGCTCTCAGAACGGCTTCGACAACTCCGGTCAGCGAGGAAACATCAACTGGCTCGAGGAAGACACCCTTACTCTCACGGTCAAGGTCATTGACGAACTCGCCAGCAAGTACGCCAACCACCCCGCCGTCACCTCTATCGAGCTCCTCAACGAGCCTCTCGGTGCTTCTCTGAACATGACTGTCATCAAGCAGTTCTACGAGGCTGGCTATGGTACGGTTAGGCAGTATTCTTCTGAGGTCGATGTGGTGATTCATGATGCGTATGTTGGGTTGACCGAATGGGACGGTTTCATGAATACCCCTGATTACGACGCTGTCGTGCTCGATACGCATATTTACCAAGTGTTCAACAACTGGCAGCTTGAACTCTCGCTCGAAGATCATGTTCGAGCGGCATGCAACCAATCCGACAGCATCGGCCTCTCAAACCAGAAACTCTGGACCATAGTTGGCGAGTTCTCAGGTGCGATGACAGACTGTGCCCGCTGGCTCAACGGTTTCGGTATCGGTGCCCGCTACGACGGTACCTACTACAAAGGCTCCTCCTGGATCGACTCATGTGATGGTGAATCAAACGTCAACTCCGCCTCCCAGTTCAGTGCCGACAAGAGAGCGAACATCAGGCAGTTTGTTGAGGCACAGTTGGATGCGTACGAGACTGGTGCTGGATGGATTTTCTGGACGGCGAAGACTGAGGCGGCGCCTGAGTGGAACTTTATTGATCTTGTGAATAATGGGGTTATGCCGCAGCCTTTAACGGAGAGGTGGTATGGACAGCAGTGCTCGTAGAAGGATAAGTTTCTCATCTCGACAGTATCATAGCCAAATATACCAGGTATCTTGAATCAAACATAACGCTTGTTGTCCTGATTGTCCATACTGCTCCCTCACAGTTGCGTACTTTCGTTTCCTCTCTCGTTCTCGTCTTCCAGTTCTGGCAGGAACCTGAAGTCAACGAAGCTAAAGTGTCCCTCTCCGACATCGATCATGAATTGCATGCTCATCACTCCGTCTTCGTCCGCCCTCACAGACACCTTTGTTGCAAGACTCATTGCCTTGATTGCATGACGTATCATCGTAAATCTGTACGAGTTCTCAATGAGCTCAGGGCAGATGAATGTTTCCAATACAGTCCGGTCATTAGGGTAGTCCATCTCTGTTGACCCCAGTGAACCACGAGACGAGAGGCGAAAGTGAGGTCGGCGAGGTGAAGAACGGATGGTGATAACCTCCGGTGAAGTTGTCTCCAATTCTTGAATTGCATCGTGCAGCCATTCCGCCTTCATGATGATCTTCTGCGCCAGGCCTCCTTCGGCCAGAGAGATGTCCAGCTGCTCCTCCGGTTCGTATGTTGTGAGTTCGCACGTGGTTACAACACCGCCTTCTTCCATCATCAGGATAAATGACGACCCTTCGCCCTCGTAGACCATACGGCATGTACCGCTGCGAAGAATCATTGCGTCGGTAGCATTGACTTGTGGTGCGACGCGTGGACGGTCACGAGCGTCAGCGGAGAAGATTTGGAGACATTCGAGCATGGCAGAGAGCGAGATGGTGAATTGAGCATGCGGCTGGCGCACTTCTTCGTCCTCTTGCGACAGAGAAGAGCCAGCTGTAGATGGACGCGAAGTGGCGATAGGTGGGACATACTCGTATGTCGAGAACATTGTCTTGTCAAGGAAAGCAAGAGCTTGCTGAGCGCGCGAATTCTCGACGGAAAACTTCATGCCTGACGAGGAGATTCGTACGAGTGCTCGGGGCATGAACCCGATTGAGCGGAGGACGGTAAGGAGTGGGGTGATGTTCGTGGACACGCAGTTAAGGACGCGCATGGAAGTTGGTGGAGGAGGGCGGACATCGCCTGTTGCTAGAATCGGTTCGTCAATGTCCATTGTGTTCAGCTTTTTCACCGGTGCTATTGCTGGGGGAGTATGGGGGCGACGTCAAGCTTCGACGACGCGTAACGAGCATTTCAAAGAATAAGGTTTCGGCTTGCAGGCGGCGATGCAGCGGGAATGCACGGACGTGTTTAAAGGGCCCAAAATGGATGGAGTTGTGAGATGGGAGAATAGATGTCTATTGTTTCATATCAAGGGCAAATCGTGGGTATATTGCTGTTGCAGCGCTTCTTGCCATGACACCGACGAGCATGGGTGATGACACGACCATTTCAGACGTAAACACCGGCGGCGAGGAGGAGGTAAAGAGCGCCAAACCTGTCGAAAAGTTCGTTAGCATGTTGCTGCGAGCATAGAAAGGGACGGCAGAAGACGCACCCGAAGAACAGAGGAGAGATCAAGGCGGATGCCGTTCGTACTATGGGAGAGCTGATGGATCTGTAGCTCCTGTAGTGAGCCCAACAGTTCGTAGCGAGCAGAGTGAGTATTACATACGTAGTAGAGAAACCGAGGAGTGACAACGCCAATACCAGGCAGGTCGCAGCAACAGTAGAGTGCTGGTCAATAGAGATAGAGGGGACGTACGGGGTCGCGGACTCCCAGATTGCCTGTAACTCTGTTAACAATCATTCCTACACGAAGCCAGTCATACGTACGTTTGCCTGCTCGTAATTCATCCTTCCAATATTTTGTGTTGGTACTCCAGTGTCCTCGACGGTGTGTGCACGTGGCGGTGCACGTACAACCCCATACGCGTCGACCGCCGAGAAACCTCGGCAACCAGTAAAGCGCATACAATCATGACCGATACGCCGTCAAAAGCATATCCAAATCCGCCGACACAGGCGCCGCTGGACCATCCGTACCATCAGCAACTGTTGTTGGTCGCGCGTCACTCGCCGTGTGTGTATGCCAGTTCGACGTGCAATTGTCTTGGTTGGAAACCTGAGGACCCTATTGAAGATGGGCGTGATATTTCGCAGTTTGAGGAGTGTGTGGAGTGTCGGCATAGTGTGCAGCAACATGCTGGTGGTGCGCTGGATGGAGTGAATGAACGACGGATCAAGGTCGCAGGGCGCTGTGATGAGTTGTTGGCAGATAAGGGCAAGCTGTGGGATTTCGATTATACGGATGCGGATATCGACAGTTTGAAGAAGCAGATGCTGCCTCTGAGTGACGAACATCAGCCAACGCTGCCGGATGCCGGGAACAAGCGCAAGTCCTTGGATTCTGACACAACAGGGAGCACAAAGAAACGAAAAACGGAAAACGAAGATGACGGCAGCATACCGAAGGAGAAACCAGCAATTGTGGAGGAAAGAAATGGCGATATCGAGTTTCATGTGGTTGCGAACGACAACTCGGCGCATTCCTTGATCATCTTGACTGGGTTGAAGAACATCTTCCAAAAGCAGCTGCCGAAAATGCCTAGGGAATATATCTCCAGATTGGTATACGACCGAAATCATTTGAGCATGGCGATTGTGAAGAGAGGAGGTGGTGTCGTGGGTGGCATTACGTTCCGTCCGTTCGAGAACCGGCAGTTCGCAGAAATTGTGTTTTGCGCCATTGCAAGTAACGAACAAGTGAAGGGATACGGATCACATCTAATGAACCATTTGAAGGATTATGTTAAGGGCACCTCCCGGATCAGATATTTCCTCACCTACGCAGACAACTACGCCATTGGTTACTTCAAGAAGCAAGGGTTCAGCAAGGAGATTACCCTCGACCAAAAGGCCTGGCTCGGCTACATCAAAGATTACGAAGGTGCAACCATCTTGCAGTGTTCGATGTTGCCGCGGGTGAAGTACTTGGAAGCAAGCAAAATCTTGGCCGAGCAAAAGGCCGCTATCAGAGCTAAGATCCAGGAGAAGAGTAAGGATCATATCGTTCACCAAGGACTGAAGTGGGAAGCAGGTGTGACGGAGATTGATCCCTTCCTGATACCGGGGATTAAAGCGAGTGGATGGTCGCCAGAGATGGATGAGCTTGCTCGCCGTTCGAAGAAGAGTCCTCACCATGCTTTCCTCGCAACCCTTCTTCAGGAGATGCAAGCTCATCCCTCCGCATGGCCTTTCACCGTCCCGGTATCAAGGGAAGATGTTCCAGATTACTATGAAGTGATCAAGGAGCCCATGGATTTGTCGACCATGGAGGACAAGCTGGATCACGACCAATATCCGACGCCAGAGGAGTTTGTGCGTGATGCAAAGTTGATCTTCAACAACTGCAGAAGCTACAATAACGAAACAACAACATACTACAAGCATGCAACCAAACTGCAAAAGTTCATGAACTCCAAGATCCAGGAAACGGCGCCGGAATGGGCGCATTTGTGCGAGTAAGTAGCACGCGTTATGGCAAGATGTGGTGAGCTGGGAGATTGTGGGGGCGGGAAAGGATGTCAGGCGCTCTTAATGAACGCAGCATGAGCGGGTGGGGTTGAGAGGCACGTGCACGTGCGGGATTGTTCCGGAGAGTCAACAGAGTTGCGACGAGCTGCCGCGCCCGGTACAAGAGGAAGCGACGTCGCGATTACAACTGGAAAACGGCGTTCAGGGAGTTCTACTTGTCAATTTCAATATACCGATTTCTAACAGTTGAGCTGAGCTGGGGCGCTCGAGTCAGTCATCCGCGCCGGTGTTCGCGCCATTCCCGTTCAGGCGTGCTAATCGATTGCACCGTACCGAGGCGCCGCCCGGCCATCGACCCTTAGCCATAGTAGCCAGACTGCAGGGTGAAGTCTAGAATAACACTCCCCCCACCCTTCACCTGCTTGCTTGGTGTCAAAGAGAAGAGAAGCGAGTCGTTCACTTACGTATCCCAGCCCTTTACCCAAAAGCCAACCCATTCTCATCATCGGGACCCAGCATACACCCCAAAAGTTTCCCTCCGGCACCCTTTGACTCTCTCGAAATAGCATTTACGGATCGGTCACCATCACCCGAACCTCGCCAACATCGGTGAACGCCTGTTTTCAGGATGTCTGGGCTTGGAAAGTTGAGTTCGAGAGGGTTGACGCTTGAGGGTTTGCATCCAGCGGCCGAGACGTCCAAGGCTGTTGATCCGAAATCTCCGCTGAACGTTGACAACTGCAAGGTCGTCCACCTCAAGCTAACCAAGGAGGCTTTGCAAGAGATTGTGAACAGTAATGGGAAAGGTCTTAATCTGACATTTGGCAGGAACAACGTTTGTCTTGAGCACTTGTGGGTGAAAGATCATGGACTAAATGCTGGCACAGGCACTTCACATCGGCAATACCACGCATACATTCTTCCCACTCGCCAGCAATGGCATGCAAGTCTATAAGCTTCCTCATCACGTTGAGAATACGGCAGAGTGCTACGGTAAAGTCGATCGGACTTTTCAAGTCCAGCGGAGAGGAACCGCCGTCTCCGAAGCTGCCAAAGCGGCCAACCTCAGCGCCCAGAGTTCAGGTCGTTCGATCAAGGTCCTTGATGAATCTATCCGTAAGTTTTGCCAGTCTTGTTGTGAGTTGAGTTTTGTTGACAAATACGATCCGTTCAGCCGACACCAAGAGAGGTGTAAAGGTCACCACCAAGAAGCCGATCCCTCTGCATTTGCAAAAGAACACGGCTCTGTCGGGCTCAGGAACAAAATCAATGCCCTCTTCACCTGCTTTCCCTGCACCAAAGGCCGTCCCTAAACCTCAAACTCCGAACTTCATGCAACTGGACAAGTCAGCACCAAAGCGAGCCGCCGCGTCTCCTCAGTTCGCTTCTGGTCTCCCGGATCTCCGCTTAAGAGTCGCACACATGCTGGCTCTGAATGGTAAAATGAAGAAAGGTCCCCTTCTGCAGAAATTTCGTGGTTCGGGATCAGGAATCCCCGAAATCACCAGGATCTTGGACCAGATCGCTACGCATTCAGATGTGTCTGGCAGCCCGGAGTACGCGTTGAAGGATGAAATTTGGAAGGAGATTGATGTATGGGCTTATGGTTCGTGGACCGACGAAGACCGTGAAGCAGTGGCGAAGAAGGCGGCTGACGTCTTCGACAAATTGGGTTTGAAATCAGAGCACCCAGCTAGGTTGAGATTGAACAAGGGCAACAAAGTCGAACAGAAGATCGTTATGCCGGCCTCTCCGGCCAACAGTGATGTTAGTGTAGCGGCTCCCAGTCCTCAGCCGCCCAAAAGCAGGCCTGGCGGTGGCATCTTTGTGGGCAAAGACTCTACCAAGGCAGTCACGAAGCACAAGAGGACTGCTAGTGTATCTTCTGACAAGGCTGCGAAACCTGAAAGCCCGCTTGCCACTAGGGCGAATGCTTCCACGCCATCTGGGAGGAAGCGCAAGCCTGAGCACGATGACGAAGAGTCTCGTACGAAGAAGGTTGCTAAAGACTCGGCACAGGAGAAGAGGGCACCCATTGAGAGAAACAGGGACTACATGCAACTTCCCAACATCCCTAAACATCGCAGCAATGCTTCCAGGACTATGACGGAGGAGCAGGTTAGGACGCCCATCTCGCCTGCTACAGCCCCGAAGAAGCCTTCGCCACTGGGAACGGCGGACCCTATCAGCGCTTCGGACCTACGTAAGCTCAAGGCTGGAGATGAGCGTGATGATGTGGCTATCAATGAACGTCCGTCGAAGCGTCCCGCCTCTGTTGCCAGTTCGTCTGCATGGACGAGAAGTGTGGACGAGTTGATGGAGCTCTCGCGCAGGTTTGTCGAGGAGCAGCCTAAATACGAAAAGATGCGCATCAAAGTGAACGGAATGAAGCCAGGTACTCCTGAGTGGACAAAGTTGCGTGCAGAGGCTAAGGCGCTGGGTCGCCAACTTGAGGAGTGGAAGCGAGCGATGTGGGATTATGCAAATGCTACACAGAACAGTACGCCTGCTGGCTCTTCCGAGGTGACAGGCTTGGGTATCACCGTATGAGCTGGAACAAAAATATCTTAAATCGGCGGGTTACGATTTACGGACGGCATCGGCATTTTGTTTTTAAAAGGATTCTTGGCATTCTGGGTACGGCGTTTTAATCATCTAATTGTTCTTTGGATCTTGACTCCGCGTGGAGCTGGCATCGTATGTGTGCAGGCTTCGCTTTTTGTTTACATTTTGCATCTTTAGGCATAGCCGTCATTTTGAGTCTTTCGCATCCGCAGCCGGTACCGTTCAAATATATATCATTTTGGAAGTGGTGTTCTTAGTGTCGGAATTGTTGCCCTTTACTTACGATTGCAATTGTGGAGGTGGACGATATGCTCATATTCCAACATTACGTGGACGTGTCCTCCGATCTCCTCGTCGTTAACCCAATCGTTGCATCCAATGGCCATCCAAAAAGGGGGGTATCACCAGCCCGCAACCTGATATCGCACTGGTCCTATTCCATCTGCTCTTTGATCCACGCAGCAACGGCTTTGGGCTTGCGCGTCTTGTGACATGTGAAAGTCAGCAACGGGGGGAAATAGAGGTCGGGGTGAGAAGACGAACCTGGAGATAGATCGTACCAGGGCCTGTGAAGCGACAAACGATACCCTCGCCGGTTTTCAGGGATGTGAAGAAGCCGCCGGCCGTTTCGGTCTTGAGCTTCATGGTCTATGGTTCGCGTTAGCGCATTCACTCTGGCGTTTCCGGGTGTAGGGTCCGCGTACTGAAGTCCAGGCGCAAAGATGCCCGTTGTCGATGATAAAGTCCTCGCCTGGCTGTAAGTCGATACGGTGAATGGCGCCGATAGCCTTAACAAAGCAAACGCCGCGTCCCGATATCTTGATGATGGCTAGGCCTGTGCCGGATAACACTCCGTTACTAAGTCCTGCGAATTTGGTCTCCTTTTTTATTTCTAGCGTGGAAGCGATGTATTGCTTGGCTCACGTTAGCAAATTGTTAATTAGTTTTCCAACAGTATGCTTACCTCGGCGTCTCCGATCAAGTAACCATCAGAACCATTCACCTCTAGAGCGATGACGTCCGAATAAATCGCGGGAGCAAGCAGGATATATCCAGGACCGTTCTTGGCATGGAATGTCGACGAGAAAACTTCACCTGACTTGAACATATTGCCAAACTTTGTCTTGCTCTCGATGGCGATGCTGTGCGACATCCCGACCATGCACCCAGAATGGGCATTGAGAGATGCGCCGGCTTGAAGTTGGACCTTCAAAAGAGTGTTCGTAGACCTATACAATAATTCCCAGCTCATTATATTCCCATATCTGCCCGCCACTTGGGTAGGCACTCCTGATTGAGTTACGTTCAAACCAATCTTTTCGTTCGAGCTGCCATAAGATTGATTGTGACCAGGCACCATATTCTGACCAAGATAGGTGGGCGGGGAGCCTGGCCCAGCACGCATACCCATCGGCGGGGACATGTCGCCGCTAGGATTGTATCCAACCTCAGGGTATCCTCCCGGGTAAGCTGGATCAGAGATTCCGCGATGCATGCGAGGCTTGTCGTCGGCGGGATATTGACCTTGAGGGAAGCTGGGCGAGCGTTGCAACCATTCCTGACCAGGGGAGCCAGAATGGACCTGGCCGTACGGCATCTCTTGATTTTGGTAGGACATCGGTTAGGAATGAGCACGATACTCCTTGTCGCCTATGCTGACTTCGCCTTCCGCCGCGGATGTGCGGTGCACCTTGTATACCTATCTAAGGCGTGCTGGCATATCGACAAGACGTCCTCCGGCCCTAAGGTGCACATGCTCTTGATCGTTCACGTTGCCATATGGCAGCATATGGCGGGCGACATTAGAAGCGGTCCGCGGTGACTGGTAGCCGTGGTGCATATAGGCTAGGTTCCATACCAAACAGTATTACTTAAGCTTTTCAAAGAAGATGAACAGAATAAGTAGCACAGCGATTAACCGGTCACAAGGCCTAGATACTGAGGATGCTTTTGGCGTGGTGCCCTCGGACCTAGCCCAGGTGCCCCTACGCGCGGCCGAACCTTAACCTTGTCTGAAGTGACCTACGGGCCCGGGGTAGCTCTGCGAATCCTGCCGTTGATAAGTTGGAAAGGTGCTCGAACTGCGTAGATCTTGTCACCGATGGTAAGAACTTCGGCAGCTATCTCAAAGAGTCCCACGTCAACTGCGCTAGGTTCTGTACTGAATCACAACAACCTACAGTAGGCCTAGCGGATCCGGAGTTGCATGCTGCAGCAGCTGACCCTAAAAAATTCTACTTTCAAAACGAATTGTCAACCAGATTGTGCCCAGAATATCTCACTAACTCGAATACTCTATTCGTGAGACTGGATAATTTTATTCGTGTTTTATAATCGTGTTTGGTAGAATTTGGGGGTCTCGTAGGGACCGCTCGATTTCTGACCTTCCCCATCGAACAGACGCATCCAGCTCGATCCTGTGATTAACGCCCCTACGAAGTTCCCGCTCGTGTAATTTTACTCGTGTAAATACCACGAGCAGGCTCGTGTAATTCGCTTCTGTAATCGTAGACTGGATTACACGAGGGCAGATTACACGAGGGCAGATTACACGAGCGGACTACACGAGCGCCGACCAGCTCTAGAAAATATAAATAGACTTTATATATCTTGCCATCGATACAATATCATCACTCATCGAATATCGCTGCTTGCTGTGAGTGTTTATCCGCCAATGCCGCCCTCGCCGCGTTCCTTTCTGCTGTGAATCTATATAACCGCTGTCATGGTTTACAACATGGATTGTTAACCAGACTGATCTGCGTAATCCATTGTGAACCTTGCCTAATCCATGATTTTGATGTCGATTAGGTTCAATCCTTGACAACTCGCGTCATAGGGAACATTTGACTCTCAGCGCGGAAAATCCATCTGCTACTGAGGGTATTCCATGTCAGAAGACATTGACGCGTACATTGCATCGCATACGTTGTTGTAGTTCAGGCATTTACTAAGCATTAACAATATTCGAAGCTCACCCGATCATAATGGTGGGTTAACCCGAACTCACTTAGGTGCGCGCGTACTCGACCCTACGTACGTGCGACTCAAGGATTGCAAATCCCGTTTGATTCATAGTTTTTGATCATAAATTAACCCATGATCGTACTCTGGAGAACGGGACCCAAAGCACAATCTCAGTCAGCATCATACATGATTTTCGGGCATGATCCATGAGAATCAAGAATACAATTGCTATAATCCACAATCTGATTCTGGATAATTTGTTGTGAGATTGGGCTTAACCCAGAAACCATTTTGTAGGGCTGCTTGCTCCCCGGGAAAATCAAGGAAGCTGCCAAAAGTGACCGGGGAAAGAGCAAAAGATAATCAGGTAAACGAATTTGCGTTAGAGTCTCCAAATATCTACAGTTGCGGTAGTTTAGATCCTGTAAGGTAGAAGTCAGGTCAGCCTCAACCATAACTAGTTTTGACATGCCTCTGTAGCTGAGGGAAACCATGCAGGGACTTATGGAAAATATTCGGAAAATCTTAAAGCGTGTGTGATCGGCTTCCTGCAGCTGGGTTATATGTCCACTTTCACACAACCACAACATACTCACACATGTTAAACCACATGGTCATGGATTATAGGGAATACTTTCGTGAATTATGCGGGATTTCGTAATCCATGATTCTCGCGATCGTAGCGGCAGAAGGAAATTATGAGGACATCTTGATGCATACATGGCGTATACATGAGCTGCAGATGACATCACGTTAGGGTTAATGATCTTTATGCATCGCAGGGGCCCGGGTGCTCACTGGGGTAGCCCAAGCATTTGTGTTTAGCAAGCGTCAGACTTCTCAGAGAACATAACCCCCATCCCCTACGAGCTCCCCGAATTCGACTGTCACGAATACCTAATTCGCGATTGCACAAATAGGGAATAACATAGTCCACTTCCAGCAAAGGCACTCGAATAAGTCATTCAACTATACGAAAATCAGGAATAAAGTGGGAAAGTATTCAAGTAGAGTGGAATTCCAATTCACGGTACACGAATACCTTATTTGACGGGTTTGGATCGTGAGGTTGGCTAGATTTCATGGGTCTTCGAGCGTCTTCGAGGGTCGAGGGTTGAGGGTCTTTGGTGGATTGACGAGGATCAATGGTCTTTGGTGGCGGTTCTTCGGCCTGCGCCTCTTAAGAGTGACATGTGAGCACTGCTGATGCGCTGGCAAATTTCACCAAGTCCTCAGCACCAACCAGGAACCCACCACCATCAACATCTCAATCTCCCTGGGTGTCTCACTACTGACTGAAGAAATCATTGAATCCTACACCTCCCTGGTCCTCTCCCATATGTTCTCCTGATGCTATGGCTTATATTGTCTCAACCCAGACTGGGCACATGATCGCTATTGCCGAAAGGTTGACATGATGGTTGTTTAATCTCAACACTCTTGCTTGATGTCTCCTCTCATTCGGGTGAGTCCCGCACTTTGTTGATAGCAACAGTAAAACGACTACTCATCAGTTTTCACTAACCCGCCCTGACCCAATGGCAATGCAGGTTTGTGGTAGGAGACAGCCCGGAAAGAAGACCTTGCGCACTTCAGGAGCATCAAATCGATACATGTCCAATCACAGTTTCCAAGATGATCCGGAGTTTGACGTTGACGATGATGATGAAGACGATGTACTTGTTTCGACTGAGTGGACAAAGGAGAGATGAGAGGAAACGTCATGGTATGCATATGTGCGTTGACAGTGGGAATTGGGGCAAGGTTGGGCTTCTGAAAATTTCAGGTCTTATTTAAGTTTCAATAATCTCAATGGGCCTAGATTGTTGACCTGGGATAGATGGGACCAATGAACGTCACGTCTGTGCAGTGTGCGGTCATGAGGCAGAATACTATAACAGTCTAGTGTTGGAAAATCGTATAAAAAATTCTACTTTCAAGACGAATTGTCATCAGATTGTGCCTAGAATATCCCACTAACTCGAACAACTCTATTTGTAATACTGGATAATTTTATTCATGTTTTATAATCGTGTTTGGTAGAATTTGGGGGTCTTGTAGAGTTCGTTGAACTTTGCGCAGCATACCTGAGAAAGTTGCCGATATACGTAGTAGCACGTATTTAATGCTTGAAGGGTTGGAGGCTAGCGCTTGCTATACATGAGGAAAAAACCTGCATCAAGAACAGGTATGATTGAGGTTTCCTCGTGTAAGATTGGACATGTGCTAACATTTTGAGTTACAGAGTCATTTATTCACAGCTATCATAGCTTTTAGAAGACTCAAATAAATCTTTCTTACCCAGTAATCTTGCCCTTATGGCCCGATATTACTGTCAATGTCTCCCCACACTCTTCTGCATTTTTCGAAGAATTTTCTGGGATTAAGCTCGATCTCATTGTGGATTATCCAGAATTAGATCATGGATTATCATGGATTATGCCAAATAAAGTTATGGATTATGCTAACTGAAATACTGGTTTGGGTCCTGTTACCTAGAATGCGATCAGGGTTTTTCCACAATAAAAAATCATGAACTAAACCGGGATATAGTAATCCATGCTATCTGCGAACACAGGGAGAAGCACCTGATTCGCCCAGGTTGAATCTGCGGCATAAGAGATTTTCTGCCTTGGTCAGACTCATCCCAAAGATTTTGTGCAGAATTTCAGGCTCTAAATTGTGAATTCCGTACATAGACCAGCTAATGGTAAATATGTAGGTTGCGTATGTGCAAGTACCATCATGAACTTCAGAGAACCCAAAGACAGCGCATGAAGGGGCGCACAAGAGTTGCCTAGCTCGATGAACTTGTCGGATGAACTGGAGCTCTGGCGCGCAGTTTTGAAGATTGATTTTCTCACTACCGAACTCTTCTTCTTCTTCATCACTTTCAAGGATACAGTTGAGTTCACTGCTGAACATGCCGCAGTGGCCAGCGTAGAAAAGGCAGGGCCATTGCAGGACTCGTCAACATTGGTGTCAAGCTCTTCATCATCCAAGAGAGCAGCTGTCTCATTGATGACCCTTTCAACAACGCGAACATCCTCTTCTTCAAATTCTTCCTCAGCACACTCCACCTCTGCATCAACAGACTGGGCAACAACGGCGCAAATCTGCGTAACATGAGCACTCTCCTGAACAATAACTTGCTCTTTGACCAGGAGCTGGGGTTCAAGGTCATCGAGGCGGTTGCGCTTAATGAGCTTGTAGCCAAGAACAGCTTTGGTCGGGGAAGAAACTCCGTTGATGGCAACAGAGAAGAGAGCAGTGAGGTTGTTCAAGATAGTGAACATTTTCAAAGGCTTTTAATGGTGTTGTTGAAAGTTTTGGTGAACCTGTGTTGTTAGACAAGTGTGTAGGGAAAAGATTCTCTGGAGACACTCAAAGACGGGATAAAATCTTCACTCTACACGAACGTGTTAGCTTCGATTTGCCACCGAACATGTAACTGTGCACTCGACCGTTTCCTGTGGACTCGTAGATTGTACAGTGCGGAGTTCTGACCGTAGGCATGCGCGCGGCCTTCTGCAAACTACTATTCCCGGGGTAAGAAGGACGTAGTAAGTACCTAGGTAGTAGAATTCATTAATGTATATAGTCAGATCTACTCAGACTCTTGCAGATGTGTTCTTACGCTCCTGCCGGTGCGCTCAAGGCTGCCATTTATGTGATGTCACCCAATGCGATACTGGAAACGTTGTGCACTTCTGCGCGACTGCGCAAAGGCATACCAGAAGTTGGCCTGTTCAAGGACTTAAAGTGGTTGACCCTTTACACTGTCCATAGGCTTTGACAGTTCTTTGGTAAGCATCAGCAGCCAAGCACTATGTTTATGCAGTTACTGCTGTGTGCAAAATTCTTGACGTAACTTTCCCATGTGCGCGCGAATCGCAAACTCCATATGACAAAAACCCCTAAAACAACATAGATAAAGGCCTCGGAGGTCAAGTAAGGGTTCGTACTGATCATACCTATTCTTAGTAATCACGTCGTGCCACCGGTTTTGGGCCACAAGGCCTCCCTCAGTCGCTTCGTGCTGAAAAGGTGTTTTCAGTTATAAGAAAGAAACGGACCCTGGAAGGCACTAGGGATGCAGCTCCGCGTCCCATGAGATAGAGGGAGCTTGGATGAACATGTTCTGCGTGTGGTTTCTTTGATTCTAACAGTTTTTGAGGTTTGTGGGTCCAGAGAATGTTTTCGATGGTTTCATGCATGTTCATGCAACATCATGCACCTATGCCGAAATCCTTCATAATGTCACAACTCTATGAGAAATGGTACTACACGCGTTTCGAGGACATCTATCGATTCCTAAGGGTCTGATCAACCGCCTTCTCCCCTGAAATTGCCCTCCCAAGCCTTGTCTATGAAGACGGGGGGGTTCATGAAGCTATCCCCGCACAGGTAGGCGGTAAAATGCGGGTCCTGATCAGGGCACACCCCTGTTTCTTCATACCACACCCCCGCGCGCGGATTCCGCGCCGCAGCCTGCCAAATTGAAGAGATCAGAGCAGAACATGACAAGATAATATTATTTACATTAGCAGTATGAAAGGTATAGCACTGTCACTGCTTACATCCATACTCTCCTCCCCTACAAGACTTACTTCGTCTCAGCCTGGGTTGATGCTGTTACTCACCTTGGTTACTCGGTGACATCTCAAGCTGAAGGTGCCCACAAATGTCTCAAAGGTCACATTCAGATCAACACGGGTAACCTCCTTACTGTCATCGATCGTTCTCGGTCCTTCATGGAGGAACAACACCAAGAGATCCTGGGCAAGGTTGCTAAGGAGAAGATAAGTGCTGCGTCTTCTTTAACAGCTCCTTTCTTTGCCGATGTCAAGTACAAGGTTTCTGCCTTTGCGCTGAGCATGATCGATCAACAATACATCCTTGCACGTCGGGGGTTGGCCACCGAGTTCAGGTTGCCCACATGTCGGGATTACATGAAGCGAGCTTTTGGTCTACCCTGCGCCCATGGCATCATCGAGGCATTGGAGGGAGATCGTGTTCTCCCTATTAACGATATACATGGGCACTGGCATCTTGTCCTCGACGAGAACTACATTGGGGGACCTGCAACTCCTGAAACCAACCAACAAGTTCGTGATGCTCAGGTCTTCAACGCTAGAGGACGCCCGAGGGGTTCTCAAAACCGCCGACCAGCCATACCACAAAGCTCAACTCAGCGAGATTCCAGTGCCTTTAAGATCGTTCAGGCCCCAGCAAGGCTCTGTGGTTTATGCAGGTGCCCCAGCCATGATCGGAGGGCATGTGAGCTTCGTGGAACCCAAACACCAAGCCAGACTCAGCATTCTATTGCTCCAGTGAATGGTGGGCCATCTCAACCTTGGTTTGTACCGTCATATGATCCCCGCCAACCTGCTCCGGTGCAATATCAGTTCTATGGCCCTCCCCCCGGGGCGCCGTGGGATTATTTTGATGGGTATGGGCACTGAGTCCGTGGGAGTGTTCTGGCTTTTTTTTGTACATACTGCTAATGTCAATAATATTATCTTGTCCTGTTCTGCTCTGATCTCTCCAATTTGGCAGGCTGCGGCGCGGAATCCGCGCGCGGAGGTGTGGTACGAAGAAACAGGGGTGTGCCCTGATCAGGACCCTAAAATGCGCGCCGTCAAGAATTTTGCACACAGCAGTATGCGTCTATATGTTCACACGCTTCATCGGGCAAGTCCAGCTCCCATAGAAGAGATAATTGACTTGAGGAAGCTCATAAAAGCCCCTAAAATAGTCAAATAATAATCAATTACTAATGATGATTGGTGCGAGTGTTCCTGATTATATATACATGCCCACTGGGCAGCCGTTGATCACAATGCTGAAAACACAGCGTTTCCCGTGTACTCCCCACAGGCGCGTGAGCATTAGCACGGCCGGCCTTGGCCCTCATCATGCAACACATGACCATCTCCCAGCGTTCCCATGACTCGGGATGCAGACAAGCGTCTTTGCGTCGTTAAATCTGCCCCAACCTCAGCATTGGCAGTCACCGCTGGACCTTGAAAGTGCCGGTAAAAGTCCAGACGTATAAGAGCCATACACCCCCATTCATAGACATCCCATAACATACACCTCCATTATGCCTGGAAAGAGCGGTCTTGAACCCAACACGCGTTTCGTCACTACCCATGACTCCTCCGGAAAGTCCACCTTCATGAAAGAGGGTACTGTCGACGTCGTCCCTGTCGGTGGCGGAGCAGCTTTGTTTGCCCTGATGTGGAGTACTGATACCGCCAAACCTGACATTGTGAATGATGAACGTGACGGTGGTGAAGCTTCGCCTCAGAAGAATGATGGTGTTCTATGCCGTGAGAACGGCAACACACTTCGTTACATCGACTTTCCTCCGCAATCCAAAGGACTCATGCACAGGACTGATACTCTCGATTATGGAATTGTTTTGAAAGGTGACATTGAGTTAGAGCTCGACAATGGCGAGAAGAAATCCATGAAGAGTGGTGATGTTGCTGTTCAGCGGTGTGTGTTATATACTTCCCCACGGGTTGTGCTAAAGCCCTATGCGTAGTGGAACGAACCATGCCTGGAACAACAATACTGGGCAAGTCTGCAAGTATAATACTGGTACTCCTATTAACTACTCTGGCAGCAACTGGACTAGGATGGCTTTTGTCATGATTGACGCCCAGCCCGTGCCTCACGATAACGACAAAGTCACTGCATTTGCACCCTAAATTGTGAGATTGGCCAATAGTTAAATCAAAGGATGCAGCTTGTGAATGTGATGTCTTTAGTTTTACTTTCCTTCCACTGCAGTAGCTGCAGTCAGTAGTCGGTCGGAATATCATATGCTATACCGGGTATATCTCCTTGCAACCTTCACCTTCGCATGATGTAACCGTCCTATGCAAAATTCTACAACAAACTCTGCCCACCCTCAACAACGTGATTGTGTCCAGTGGCGTACGCACTGGCATCGCTCGCCAAGTAAATGATAGGACCCATGAGATCCTCCACCTCAGCCAACCTTCCCATAGGAATCTGTCCAAGCCATGTCTGCACAAGCGGTTGCAAGTCTTTGCTCTTCTCAATTAAATCTGTACGGACGATGCCGGGCGAGAGGGCGTTCACGCGAATTCCACGAGGAGCCCATTCCACCGCAAGAGACTGGGTCAATTTGACCACCGCCGCCTTAGAGCAATTGTATGCGGCCTGCTTTTGGGGGTGGGGTACGAGAAGGGAAGCCATCGAAGCAATGTTGATAATGCTGCATGACTCGCCTGGGCGGGTCAGCATGTGCCTGGCTTCGGCTTGACAAGACAGGAAGACACCCTTGCAGTTAACGTTGAATGTCAAGTCCCATTCGCGCTCTGGAGTTTCTTCTGCCGGGGAGTTGAAGTTGATCCCGGCGTTGTTAACCGCAATGTCGAGCTTTCCGAAGGCGGTGACGGTGTCGTCGACCATCTTTTCGGTATCCGCCTTGGATGTAACGTCCGCCTGAACAGCGATAGCTCTCAAGCCCTTGACCTTGAGCTCCTTTGCAACTTCCTCAGCTTTGTCGAAGGCGAGGTCAACCACAGCGACCGCTGCACCGGCTTCGGCGAGCGCATGACAGTAAGCACGACCAAGCCCTTGTCCACCGCCAGTCACCAAAGCAACCTTACCAACCAATTTGAACTTCTGTAGGATTGAGTTTTGCTTGGCGCCACGCATGATCACGTCACCCTGACTGGGCCGCTTGTGAGTAATGATGGAGACACCGTCGCGGATAGGGAGAACAATGACGTCTACGCGAGGATCATCACGGACAGTCTTATTGAAAGTGATAAGTGCGTCGGTCATTTCCCGCACATCAGCCTTCTTCTCTTCGGGAACCTCAGCGAGCGCGGAATCAGTGTAAACACCACCCTTGAACAAGGTGTTGTCAACGACCAAAGCTCCTCCATATGCTAACAATCCGAGGTCCATAATCTTCTGAAAGTAGGCAAGGTAACCGGTCTTGTCCGCGTCCACGAAAATCAAGTCGAAGCACTCTCCCTTCTTGGCCAATTCTGAGAGGGTGTCTTGAGCGGGAGCAATGCAAACCTCAATCTTTTTATCCTGACCCGCCTTTTCGAAGAACGGTTTGGAGAAGGTCTTCATATATGGCTCAATGTCGCAAGTGTACACCTTTCCATCATCCGGTATCGATTCCGCGCATGCCAATGCCGTGGTACCGGTGAACATGCCGATTTCCAAGACACGCTTTGCACCGGTGAGCTTGCAAAGCGTAGCGATGAATTGCGCTTCAAAGGTACCAGCACAGAAGTTATTGGTGTATTTGAATTTGGTTTCGCCGTTCGCGTGTGCCGCATTCCAGTCGTTCCGGAGCGTTGCGTCGACCATCGTGTGCACGTTCCCAGAGGGAGTAGTGGTAGCGACTGTCATGTAATCGTCCAATCCTTGAGAAATCTCGAGGGCCTTCTTCACATAGCTCTCCTTCTCCTCGGGCGACTTTGCGGAGAGGGACTTTTGCAGCAAGTCCGCCATGATCTCCAGCGGAGTATCCGGAGCCCTCGTGATGGAAACATCGGTTCTCTCGCTCTTCGTATTAGTTAAGGCGTCCTTAAGGTTGTGCAGGGTATCCATAGTGAGTGTATGCTGGTTGTATGCTGTTCAATTGCTCCTGGGAGGGCGGCCGGCAGTCTCTTATACCCCTCATCTCCCCGGCCTCGTTGATTGAGGGGAATATGGTTTACATCATGACTGCACCCTAAGCTGCGCCTATCCCCCGATCGAAGACATCGATATCGATCGATGTCAATTGCAAACAGCATACATTCAGATTTAAACATTCTCCATTATTACAAAAACGAACGATGCTCAATGTTGCTATACCATCCTCCCCTTGTTTTTACCCAACGTGTATCCCGAATCGCAAGAATTATCCTAACTCATGATTACATTTCCCATCGCTTTTTCCTATTTCTCGGACTTCCTCCTCTTCCTGCGCTCCCTCTTCTCCTCCTTGGGGGTCTTAGCAGGAGCAGGGGTCTCCGTCTTCTTCGCGCTCTCGGCGGTCTTCTCCTCCTTGGAGGGAGTCTTGACATCAGACCTGCTCTTTCTCTTGCTCTTCTTCTCCTTGGGAGTGGCAGCGGCCTTGGCCGGGGTGGCAGGAGTAGCCTCAGGCTCAAGCGCAGCCTCGGCTTCAGGCTCAGGGGATGCTTCCTTCTCCGGGGCAGAGGCAGCCGCTGGAGACTCACCGCCCTCCTTCTTGGCCTTGTACTCCTCCATGTTGGAGGTGTACAGCTCCTTAGCCTTCTCAGCCAAGTCAACGTACTTCTTCTTCTGCGCGTCGGTCAACTTGCCCCATCTCTCAGCAACCTCCTTCATGATGTTCTGCTGAGTAGCCTGCTCGCCGAGCTTGTCCTTGACCTGCTGGCGAACCTCACCTTGGTAGATGAGGTAGGCAGACATGGGACGCTTAGGCTGATCGGGGTCCCTCTCACGCTTGCGCTTCTTGCCGTTGGCCTTGTCGTCGGACCCAGGGGCGGGAGGGAGAGGAAGAGCGAGAGTATATGACTCGCAGGCCTCGGCAGCCTTCCTCAAGGCATCAGCAGCGGCGCGGATAGCAGTGGCGAGCTATATATCGTGTCAGCAAATGCTACTCTGAATTTCAGATCGCGATCGCGTTGTCGCAAGAAAGTTGCGACGCGTCACGGAACGCGACATAGAGCGCATACCTCATTCTGCTTCTGCTGGAGAGCCTCCTTAGTGGCAGCATCAATGAGAGAAGCGACACCGTTCTCCTTGGTTTCTTGCTTGGTCTTGACCATTTTGTTGTTTTGTTGTTGTGCTTAGTGTTTGGCTTGACGTGATCTTAGGAAAAAGTTCAAGTTGCGCGCGGCGGTTCTTAGTTGACGCGCGCGAAATCAGCTGCTCTTAGTCATGGGGCACACTCAATTGAGGCAAATCATCTTTCAAACCTTTTTAACTGAAGAACCGGACCCGCGTCAAATAAGAAAACGGCAACATTACCAGTACTGTATCTCGCAATTGAAGACACTGACCGTGCACACGACAGCTTGCTACCGTATTAGCTAAATCTAATTGAACTTTGAGTATCGTCCTTTTTCATAAACTAAAACTTGCGCCTAATCTCGGCCTCTAACTCGCTCAAGCGCTGGCGAGTCTCCCGATCCTCCACCGTCTTGCCATACCCTGCCAGTGCGGCGAGCACTTTCTCGTACGCAAATCTAGTTCCTAACTTGGACGCCTCGTTCACCCAGTGCTCGCAAATGACCAATATGTCCCTGACCAAAATGAGCAACGCTGCCTTGCCCTGCCAAGGGTACTCCTTTCGATCGTACATTTCGTCCAAGATCGAAAACAGCTGCTCTGGCGGGACACGCGCAGACAGGAAAGCCTTTGGCACCCAGCCCGATGGTGCAACATCCTTCTGCTTCTCCAAAGAGTACTTTTCCACCATCGGAACAAGGTGCTCAGGCTCGAATATGCTCTCTGATGGGGAGAAGCGAAGACCAAGACGACGGATGACCTCAGAGACAGCTTCCCATGGCTGGATTGTGCCTTTGACCACTGATCTCTCGTGCTCCTTTTGGATGATCTTCTCCCAGCATGCGGTAATCTCGTGTGATACGCGGTAATCCGCGGCCTGGAAGATCGCAAGGCAGACCTCACCGTAGCCAAGGGGATCAGCATAATTATTGAACAACTCATTCAATGGCCTCAGTTTGCCATCCAAATGGTCGATCATCCGTGCCTTAACCTGAGACTCCGGTCGTTCGTCATCCTTGATGGTGCCGACCAGCTCTGCCTGAATTTGCGCAACATCCAGCTCTTCCTGAACGGTCTGTGCAATCTCGGCCATAGCCTGCCTCTCATGGATCGGAACCTGCATATTGGAATGGAAACGAGCGCGAGACAAGTATTCGATGCGACGCTCCAGGGGGATCTTGAAATCTCCTGAAGCCAGGGCTGATAAAACCTTTGTCGCTTGAAGCCACGACTCCCTACGTACGTAATACTGCCAAAGCATATCAGCGAGCTCGGGAGACGCTTTGCTGTTGCGCTCCAGATATGCCTCAATGTACGCGGTTTGCAAGTCGAGAAGTCGGTCACCAAGACCCTTAGACAGATACCAGTCGTAGAGCGCGCTGTGGAGCAGCTCGTCGTTGGCATTGTAAGTGACCTCGTACGCCATTCTCACCGTTGCCTCATCCCGTACTCTGCTGTCGACATCCTCGAGAAGATTGAAGACGATGGAATAACAGCTCATGCGCTTACTGTAGAAGGGAGCACGGGTATCAATCTCCGCCTTACCATCTGCAAGGTAGCCGAAAGCTAGCTGGTTGGGATCGCACGCCTTCGCAACATCCAATGCTAGTTCAATTGCGCCAGCATGGAAGTTCAGTGTTTGGAACTCATCCACAGCCTCCTTCAAGGTATCCACCGACAATGAACCCGCCGTTTTCGTGAAAAGCCTCAAACTCTCGCGAAGCAATTCATATCTGTCTTCCGAACCCTCAACCTGCTGCTTCGCACGACGCAACTGCTCGATGGCCTTGTACATCAATACGTCGTCGGCTGAGCAGAAACTGCCACACTTCTTCCTCAAAGTCTCGCTGACAGCATCGACGGAGAGGCCTGCACCGATCTGTTGGTTCACAATCTGCGTGACAAGCTCTTTCACAACTTCCTTGCCCTGAACAGTGATGAAGAGTAATTCATGACTCAAACCCAAGCACTGCTGTCGAAGTTCTTCGCTCAAGTTCATCACAATGGGATGCAGTTGATTTGACTTGTCAAAGAGCACCAAAAGGAAGGAGATGCCCTCGATAACTTGCGTAAGAAGCTTGGTGAGAGAATTCATCGCGCGATGTTCCGCCTGCAAGGCCAACTCCTCCGGTCGGTTCAACCCGATACCCATCATCTTGTCCGAACCAGCAAGTCCGTCGATGGAATTGCGGTTCTCCTCCAAGAATTGAGCCAAGATAATCAAGTCACGCTGAATGCGCTGCAGCACTGACGATGGAATGCCTTGCGCGTATGTGAGCATGCCTGGTTGGCCATGTTGACTGACAACAACTTGCCTCATGAATCCCCTCTTCCATACAGGCACCAGAAGCCTCGCCATATACTTGGCCAGACCAAAGTAGCGACCGGAAAGAGCCACATTATCAAGGGAGTACTGTCCGTTGGCGTCGGGTTGTGCAACAGGACGTCCTCCAAATTCGATGAAGCACTTACGGGCTGTTTCCACAACATCCGTAACTCCTTGCCTAGAGCGTGCACCAGGGCTGTTGTAAATACTGTTGCGGAACGCACTCGGATCATCTGATGTTCCGCCATAGCCGCACGCAACTGCCAGACTGTTCGCGCAACCCTCTTCTCGGGTCATATTCTCGAAGTACTTTCTCACTTCACCCTCAAGTCCTAGAGCCGAAGCCGACCCATGCTTGATGACGTTCCCGAGGATTTCCGCCGCCTTCATCTTCCGCAGCAAGTAAACACCCATGTTCGTAAGAACGGCAATTTCTGGAAATGGCATGGAGAACTGTGTTGCAAGATCATTTGCCGCTGACGACGCATTGTTAATCAAGGCAACGTCATGCACTGCGCCCTCGAGCGGTACCCACGTAGCATTCTCGGTGAACTGTACGGCACCATATTGCTGGCTCATCGCGATCTTGCCGGTATTAGGGGTCGAAGCAAACATTTTATCTTTCCCAACGAACGCGAGGAAAAGGTTAGATGGGAAGAGATGCGCTTGAGTGGTTGGCGAGAGCAGAGCTGTAGTAGTCTGGTTTGGACCGGTACCGGTGATTTGAGTTGGAGGGTATCGTACATGTCTCACCTGCATGGAGTTGGGAGGCAGACTTGAACTGGCCAGATTGTTGCCGCTAGTAGCGGCCAAGTATAATCTGCATCCTGTGGAAAGAACAGCCACGAGGTGAAGGATTCTGCTTTGCTCAGTCCCCACAGGCCAGATCGAAACCACCTGAACTGCTTCTTTGGACGGATCCGCGCTGAGATAGGATGCGGGAACGCCTAGCATTTTTGCCCCCTTGGACAGATCAACACTCGTGTGATTGATCATGAGGTTTACACCGTCCGGTACCAGATGATAGGCCCTGATGGTAGCCTTCGATCCGAGCGTGTAAATCAAGGACCTTGAGTCGTCCACGACAATCTGTACGATTGTTTCTGGGTCACCTTTTGCCCCCCATATTCCCCTAACGGAGAACATTGATAACACGCTACTTGCCGAACCCTTCGTGCGACAAACAGCTTGCGTAGATTGCCAGAACCACTTTTCTCTGTGGTCATATGACAACTCGTAGAGCTCTCCATCTAAGCCAGCCAAGAAAATTCTTCCATCGTTGGTTCCCTCGACACACACGATGTTTGATCCGGATATGTTCTGAACATTCATCTGGGTCCCGTACAGTGTAATTTCACCTTTCTGAGCAGCCGATACACCCATAAGAGAAATCTGACTGGCTGTCACGATGACAAGAAGGTGCGAAATGCCAGCGACAAATAGCCCTGGTTTCGGCTTGACGAGTTTCACGTAGGTGATGGCATGAACCTGATCTTCAAACGATTGGAAATCCTCTCTATACATTTTGTTAGCGTAAAGGGCCACCTGGGTGTGGAATGTATCCGACACTGACCCGTTCATATAGTTCCAAAGGTAAAGTTTGTTGTCGACAGTCATCCAAGCTCGTTGAATCTCCGGAAACAAACCCATATGTGTCTGGATTTTCGTAGCTTTTGGATTTAGTAAGCATTCATGGCAAGGCAGTGGTAAGTCATGAGGAATAGCATACCATTATACTGCTCAAACATTATGTCTGGGATGTTCACGACGCGGGTTGTTGTAATAGGCATCCATGCTTGATCTGTGGTGATTATATACCCGTTCGAACCGCCCTCTTCGATGAATTGTTAGCATTCAAGCCCAATACGTGAGCGAACGGATGGACAAACGTGTGAGGATGTCGGAAAGCTCTGGGTACTCTCCGTCATGCTTGAGAGCCCAATCAAGGCCGCCCTTCCCTTGCTCAAGCTGCGGAAGGACAGGGGTCAGATGTTCTGCCGCCTTGATCTGTCCTCTGGACGGTACCCTCTTCAGGGCCATTGCGCCTTGGGTATGATTGTGAATTGATTGATTGTTTTCGTCGTACGCGCGACTGCGACTGTTACTGTTACTGTTCCGTATCGAACTGCAGCTGACGCACGGAACAGGCCCACGCAGTTCCAAGGGGAGATACGTTCACGCTCAACTCAAATCAATTATTGGAATCGAAAAGTGTATTCTCTATCCTTAATACCGAACTTTCTGGCCCTTGGAATTCCCTTCGCTGACATACCGATTTTCGACCGTTATTCCCTTGCTCCTCGCCCACTCCACAACATCGTCGGATACTTTGTCACATCCCGTCATAATAAGCTTCTGCAACCCCCCGAGATGATTCTGTAACAATCGTGCAATGCCAATACCAGTCAGATTTGTACAGTCCGTAACATCCAACTCTTGTAGAGAAACCATGCCAGTGACAGCCTCCTCGAGTGTCTTGTCATTCACCCAATGACTGCCAGAGACGCTAAGGACAGTGAGCTTCGGACATTGTGTTCGTACTGTATCTAGCCATCGATCTGAGGTAAGTGGCAGATTCCTTGCACACAGTTTAACCAGAGCACCTTGCCGCCATAAAATTTGGACTAGGTTATCCTCCGTCACCCTCGACGAAGAGATATCCAGATACTCAAGGTTGCACTCGCCCATGCTGAAAGCATTGTCTATCGCCGTAACAAAGGGGATGCTGAGGCTGGTAACTTGCGGAGGAAGCACCGGCCACACTTGGCCACCCCCGGTCAAGAAGACATTCCTCAGAGATGAAAAGCCAGAAATGTCGATTGGTGAGACAGTGTTATTGTGAGGTCGCCGCCAGCCAATAATTGATAACTGCTCCAGATTTGGGAATGCATCCTTCATGCTGTCCACAGAAAGAAAGCTGGGACATGAATGTGGGGCGTTAGTTGAATTAGGGTCAACCTCAAAGGCAATCTTTAGTCGCCAGAGTTTGTCGGCTCTTCCTGTCCACTTAGTAAATTCATAATCGTTCACTGTCCCACACTCCAGTTCTTCCAAACTTGGGACTAGGTCAGCAATCCGAGCAACATTCTGCGCTGTCATTGAGCATGACAATATAAGCTGCCGTAAATGCCGCAAATGCCGTAGTTGTCCAGTGGCAAAGTTGCCAATCGCTATTGGTCCATTCAAGACACATAGTTTTTGTAACCTGCCGTTTTTTGCTGCAAGTAGTTGAAGTATAGTCCTGTCACTGGCTGCCAAGGAAGGTATCGCAAATTCTTGTATACCACCAGCTGCCCGAGAAATGTAGAATCGCAGTGATCGAGCCTTCACAAGTTTCCGCCCTCTTGTGAAGTCCAACTTCTCGTATAGTGAAGGGTGTGATGCAATTATGTTCCATGTCTTTGACACTCGTAATAAGCGCACGATATCAGATGTTGAAAGATACCGCATCACTTCCAGAAGGATCTCTGGAGGCAGAACGGCAACAGCATCAACACCCATTGATGCTATTTCTGCTTCTTTAATAGGACTGACCTGATAAATGCCAACTTTAAGCAACACTTCAGATTGGAATTTGGAAGATGCACTTACCTGGTCCTTTGTCAAAGTCCCTTTCATGTCGGCCAAGGTTACCTCCATCATATTCATCAGAGCCTGCATAGATTTAGGTCATGATCCGGGAAGTGACATGATGGGTGAAACCTTCTGCATCGGGTCTGTCTTAGGCACTTTTGCCAATCCAGCCTCATAAACCTTCAATGCAACCTTGTCTCTATCCATAAGTCGCAAGACTTTTCCTGCTCTGAGATAACCCTTGGCATTTCTGGTCTCCAGCTGAATCATACGATTTGCATCACCAAGTGCTGCCTCGTATTTGCCAAGCTGCTCACAGGTTGCTGCGCGATTGTCGAGGAGACCTAAATGTGGATGTTTACCAGCTTCAGCAAAGTATGCAATTGCTTCATTAAACTTAGCATAGGCTTTGGAGAAGTCCTTGGCTTTGAATGCACTGAGAGCATCCACCTTCAGCTGATCGAGCCGGCTCGCCATCGTAGCGTTCCCGGATGATGGAGGTGTGTTGTTTGTGTGCGGGTCGTCGTTCCCCGCGGCCGATTCAAACGTGCGCAAGTTCAGGCCTGCAACTTCACGCATCTACGTTACACGCCCAATATGCCAATTCCGGCATATTTTCAAGATCCTCGCTTCGGACCGATTCGATGCCCGCACGACCTCTGGCGCCTCGGGATTGAGGTGCTTCATGCATGCAGTACCGACAATGGGCCCATTGCAACATGAGGAAGGCGGCGGGTTCAGGCCGAGATCAGGTGGCCAACCTTTCCAGCGATCGGCTGTTTTATTTTATAAGTGCCCACCGGCCCCTCAGACCGCGATGCAATAGCACTAAGCATGAGAAGGTTCAGCTTTAGCAGTCTTAAGCGGTCCAGAACGCACAACGAAGAGGTTCCGGCTCCGGTCGTGGAGGAGCCTCCTACCACGCCGACGTCGAGCCGCCCGCGAAGGCTCAGTAGCTGTGTCGGAGCCCTCGCGCTTCATGGAACGGTGTTCGACCTTTCGGAGGCCTTAGTTGCATCGAAAAGGGTTGGTCACTTCTGGCCGCCCAGCGAAAAATGTTCCAAAGTCACGTATCTGGAGATGAGAAGCCACGTTCTGAGTGATAAACTTCTGGTCCTCATGCGCAATGTCTTGCGGTTCTATTATGTAAGTTACAGGGAGATCCTTGCTCCATTCTCCAGGGCTTGGCTCATATATGTACTCGATTTGACAGCACCGTTGCTCTCCAACCACTGAGCACGCTTCGGATATTGAAAGGCATGCTACGTGGTGCGTAGGAGCATGTATGGCCGCCATTTATGCTCGCATGCGCGTACTTCACTCTGTTCACCACGGAAATCCTGCGAAGTATAATGACAGGCCGTTGTTTGCCGCAGATGGGTTACTTCCCACGCCTTTGGCTGTTATGGTTCAGACACTGGGTTTTTTGCATCCTTCATTGCTCCCGCAAGACAAGTTTTTCCTGCCAGATATTGTGGGTGAGGACCCCCTCGATAACCAGTTGGCGCCTCCCGGATTTGACTACGAGATGTATGCGGACCATACTATTCCCAACCTGCGGCATATTGGGATTGATTTTTGCATGGTGGACAACTCGGCCGACAGTCTGGCTGGTTCCTACGTACGATGCTTCTTTTCGTTAATGACGAGTTGAGCTAACTGCAGCAGTGGTTAACTCTGGAAGCAATGAAAGACGAAGACGGTCCGAACTATATCCTGCGTGAGTAAGTGATATTGGATTATTCCCAACGTATACGTTCTTGCTGACTGCATATGTAGACGAGTACCACACGTACTGTACCAGGTAGGTTTTATTGTCAGTAGGGCTTTACAGCATATTCTAACGCTCGTCCATAGCATGCCGATGTTCTTGTCCGTGCATTGCTACTGAGCACTGATGCGAGGCCAGCGAACGGGGGTGGGGCGGATGCAATTGATACAGACACACAAGAGGGACAGCAAACGGACGCGCTGCTATTGGACTATAGTGTCATCGATTGTCGTTATGGTGTATTTGCGCAGTACTTAAAACCGAGCATTTCCGTGGCTTCATTTTGCGCACTGGCCGGAACAGAGATCTGAATGTGAACGCAACGGGGAACGCTGACGTACATAATCTTTACCTTGTCTTAATGATACATCAATATCTTATTGAATCGCAACCTTAGCAGCAGCAGCTGAAGCTGCACGCTTTTCGTCAAAACATAAAAAGACAAAAAACCACATTTTTATCCCACTCAAGCTTTTGAACTCGCGAACTAATATCATCATACAACCCGTAAATGAAGGAACCAAAGCCTAGGTATTAAAACCTGTAGGATTGATGCCATGCAAATAAAAAAGAAAAGGCTCAGGTGAAAAGGCGTCTGCAAAAGCATGTTAGCATCATGAACAAGGGTGCAATATCATATCACTTACGGTGCAATGTTCATGGCCATGAGCTCCTGGAACAAAAGCTTGGCCGCATATGGAAGGTGAATCTGTGAGATTTGGGTTTTGTTGTGACAAGAACGACATTCGTACTCGTTCTTCTTCAAGTTGGCGATAGCCGTCAACCCACAAATATCACACACGTGGATACGGTAGGCATCGGAAGCATCAAACAGACGCTCCTTCAAGAATGCTGCCACACCATGGGATAACATACTATAAGGCCCGTTAGCTAAAGAACGAAAAGGGGGTCAATCGTTACACACCAATCACGTTCCATCTCTCCGAAACGCAAACCTCCATCTCTTGAACGACCTTCGACAGGCTGTCTTGTTAGGATCTGAACAGGTCCACGAGCACGGGCATGGATCTTGTCGTCAACCATATGCTTCAATCTCTGATAATAGGTAGGTCCGAAGAACACCTGCGCAACAAGCTTGCGACCCGTGTGACCGTGATACAAAACCTCGAAACCACGAGATTGATATCCATATTCACGAAGAGATTTCGAAATACGGTCAACCGTGATATCGGTAAAGGGTGTAGCATCACCTTCCAAACCACTGAGGGCACCAACTTTACTCAACAAACATTCAATCAAGTGAGCAACAGTCATACGAGAAGGAATGGCGTGAGGATTGATGATGATATCCGGTGTAACACCCTCGGCAGTAAAGGGCATGTCTTCGTGGCGGTAGGTGATACCAATGGTACCCTTCTGACCGTGACGAGAAGCGAACTTGTCACCAATCTGCGGAACACGGGTTGACCTGACACGAACCTTCACAAACTTCATACCTTCGGCGTTTGTCGTGACTGCAACTTGGTCGACGATACCGTTTTCCGTTGACTTCAATGGCATGGATACATCGCGCTTGCTGTGCAGCCTTGTCCTTTGACCCAACTCTTCACTGTCCGGAGCGATGGGTGCGGTCTTACCGACGATGATATCCTCACCGGAAACGCGGGTGCCAGGAGCGACAAATCCATCATCTTCGAGCTTGTCATACGTTCCATGCTTCATGCGGAGAGTAGTCTGACGCGTAGGCTTCTCAAACTCTTCCACAGTCTGCATGCCAGCCTTCTTCTCTGCATCAACATGGGATCGGTAGTACAAACTACGGAACAAACCACGGTCGATACTGCTCTGGTTCATAATAACCGAATCTTCCTGGTTGTAACCACTGTAAACCAGAATGGCGACAATAGCGTTTTGTCCTGCAGGAAGCTCACGGAAGCGAAGGTACTCCATAGATCTCGTAGTAGCCAGCGGCTTTTGCGGGTAATAGAGAATATTTGCCATCGTATCCATACGAGTCTGGAAATTTGACAAGAAGATACCCATAGCCTGCTTACCCATTGCAGACTGATATGTGTTACGCGGAGACTGGTTGTGATCGGGGAAGGGGATGATACTTGCGCACACACCCAAAATCATACTCGGGTGAATCTCGCAATGGGTGTATGTCTGTTGGTGTTTGCTTGCATAGGTCTTCAAGCGCTCACCGACAGCACTCTGATCCTGCTGTTTCTCCTTTGCAGGTTCCCAACCTGCCTTCACTGCCTTAGCCCAGTCGAGGTCTTCTGTGGTCATGGCGATCATGCAAGTCTCTTCTTCTTCCGCATCGATGTACTCAACGCAACCTTCGCGAACCAGAGAGTGCCAGTCATACGGCGCTTCGTTTGTCTCGATGTCATTGTCAGCATTGTATTTCGACTCGCGGATGCGCTCAACATGGTTATGGGTAATAACCAAATCACCACGTTTGTCGACCCATCCATTTTCCTCCGAAGGCTCTTCGTTATTAACGATGAACAACGGGCGCATAACACGACCCGCATCGGTGAAGATCCTCACCTCCCTCTCACGGATATCACGCACCACAGAAACATCAACTGGGATCTCCGCTGTACGACGCATGTCACGGAGTGCATTTACTAAAATGCTTGGGTCGCGGTGGACACCCAACCATACACCGTTTAAGAAGATTCGCGTAGCATCAGGAACAGCGTTCGCCGAATACTGCTCGAAGCCCTCAATACCCCAGTTGTTCAAGTTCTCGATGATCTGAGCGGAAGGTCGGCTCACGGAAATGTAGGACATGAGCGACAAGTTCTTTACCAAACCACAGGCTTGTCCTTCAGGAGTCTCAGCTGGACACACCAAACCCCAATGAGTGTTGTGCAACTGACGAGGTTTCGCGATCTTTCCGTCACGACCAATAGGCGTGTTGGTACGACGCAAGTGAGACAACGTTGAAGCAAACGTATATCTATTCAACACCTGAGACACACCCACACGATTGGCCAATCCCTTTGCCTGGTCACCCCAGTTACCAGTAGCAAGAGAGTATTTCAAACCCTGAGTGATGGTCGAAGTTTTCATACCAGCAGCAGCGTTGAACTCCTTGCCTGTCTCAACACACTTTTGCATGTATTTGTAGACATCACGGCTGAGTTTCTTGAAGAGCATACGGAAAAGACCGCCGAGAAGAGGACCAGCGAGATCAAGACGCTTCTTGCCGAAGTGATCACGGTCATCCTGATCTCTTCGCTCCAAAGCGCAAAGCAGAAGTCTGTGACACATGTAACCCAAGAAGAATGCCTTGCGATTCTCAAACCCAACTGAAGTAGTGATGTGAGGCAACAACTCCTTCTGCATGATATCGTGCGCATACCTCAGACGCTTCTCGCGACCCATTTGTGGGTTGTTACCACGTCTGCCGATGTAGTCCAAAGCAAGATCCTTCTCCAAGATCACGTCAGCTTCTTCCAAACATGGCTTCAAAAGATCAAGCATTTGGTAGTCATTCTCGTCATAACAGATACGCTCCATAATCTCACGATCGTCCACAACACCCAAGGCACGGAAGACAATTGCGATAGGGATGTCAGACTTAATGTATGGCAACGTGGCCTTCAAAGTGTTGCCCACACCCCTCTCCTTGTCACCCGACTTTCCGAATTTGATCACTGTCGACGAAATGAGTTTACTTCCCTTCTCAACAGCACTCCGAAGTTCCGCTTGCCAGAGAACTGGACTAGGAGCGCTCTTCTTGAAGACCTGCACGGTATTTGCTGCAGAGCGCTCTTGCGCGATGATGACTTTCTCGGAACCGTTGATGACGAAATAACCTCCCAAATCATAAGGACACTCGCCTTGCCGTTGCAAGTCACCATCAGAAAGGTCATTCAACAAACAGTAGTTACTCCTCAACATGATTGGTACACGACCCAACTCGATCTTAGAAGGCGCGGCGTCCTCATGTTCAATCTCCCATTCAGTGTCGGGTCCAGTAGCACCGGGAGCACTAGCAATCATTTTCCTGGTCGTGATGTCGACATAAAGCTTCGCGGCGTATGTAAGATTACGCATACGCGCTTCAGCCGGGTATAGCATAGTAGGTACACCATCGGATTCTGTATGTTCGGGTTTCGACAAATAAATCTGTCCAAACTGAATTTCATAGCGAGCAGTGCGGTCGCCATCTGTGTCGGTGTGCTGATTGAACGCATCGAGGGTAATGACGTTGTCATCGTCAACGACGTCTTGGATCTGATGCATGATAAAGTCGTTGAATGAGTTGATTTGAGTGAAGACCAAGTTGTGTGCGTCGAAGAAGGAGGAGATCAACGTCCAACAATCCTCCTGCGACAGGCTATCGTCCATTTGGTCTCCCTCCGCTGCCTGCTCAACGTCATCCCCGTATCTCTGATAAGCACCCTCCCATTCATCCATACTGGTTGATATACGCTTCAGTGATTACTGGCGAGACGCGGTTTGAGACGATGGCGACGCCGACGATGGAGCTGCGCGACGGACAAGGAGACTATCGGAGGTGAAGATTGCCGGTCGAGAAAACGATCCCGTCGATTGCTAAGCACTGATTGACCGGGACCCTGGCAATTCCGGGGGCGGTTGTTGCTGTGTTGCTGCTCTGGAGAGTTTTGGTACGTAGACAGACAGCTCATGTGTCCTGCAATGCCAATGCTATCGCGACCGCCGAAAGTCGAAACTTACAAGGAATGTACACGAGGTAATCAGAGCATTTATATTGCAAAAAGGGTAAAAAGATAAAAATGCCAAGCGTGCTCCAGAAACTCCCCAAGACCCTATCCCGATCTGTGTCGCGATGTCAGTCCACGGTCTGAGCGCACCTGCGATACGTAGCGACGCCTGGGGAAACATTGCCAGGCTCGGTAAAAGGAGAAACTCACTTGAACAAGAGAAAAGCAATCTGACCAAGGTAGAAATAGATAAAGTGTTTGGACTCGTGTGTCACGTAGGAACCGAAGTTCCTCCCGACGATACAGTGCCATGTCGAGCCGAAACGCTTGTCGAAATCTCGCTTCAAGTATGCCGCAATATCCTGCGAGAGTGATGCGTCAGCGGTTGTTTGCATAGATGTAAAGACTCAGCCCGATGAACCTTCTCAATGTTGTACTTCTCCATGGCCGCGGTAGCTATAGACATAGTTAGCTATCCGTTCAGCTGTTTCATAAGACAATAACTGCTACGCACCAACTTCAATTGCAGCGTTCTGCATCTCTTCCGACTGTCGAGCAGGCAACATGAGTACTTTGGCCTTCTGCGTACCCTCGAGTTATATTTGACGTACCATGTCGGCAGACTTAATGACAGCTGGAGACAGGGTCAGTGGACACGTCAAAGCAAACGATATTGCAGCAAGACTTACCCTTCGTCTCCTTATCGTACGGCGACATCTCTGCTACCATGTTGCTGGAGAGTATCCACGCAATTGAGCCGACACCGGTTGCAATTGACAACTAGTACCGCGTAGATTTCGCAGGTTAAGTCACTGTACAGCGGCGCACGCGGCCGCGGGGTGGTGGCTGCATTGATCTCGCGAATGAGATCTGCTGGCGGACAATTGGCCTGAAGATCGAGCAGAGATTCGTGAGCTGTTGTCTATCGATTCTTCATCTCCGTCTCCCCCGTCCGTTACCCTGACTCGCTCCTCTCCGCCGAGGATAAAACACGTGACCGTTACCGTCACGGCGACAACCCCTCTGGCCAAATTTGCTTCGATAAGGTTCTTACCTGCAGCTGGAGGCGCGATAAATGGAAAAACATTTGAACAGGCAACAAAACATCTGAGCAGACGGCGTAGATCAACCCCGTCGGCATGTCAAATACCCGTATTATCGTCAAGAACCTGCCTCAGAGGCTCTCTCAGGATGGGTTCGCTAAGCACTTCAGCACCCACGGTGAGGTGACCGATGTCAGACTCGTTACCAACAAGAAGACTGGCCAGTCAAGAAGGTTTGGTTTCATTGGTTACAAGACGGCGAAGGATGCTGAGGAGGCAATCAAATGGTGGAACAATACCTTCGTTGGAATGTCCAAGGTGGAGGTATCTTGGGCTAGGGAGTCTGGTGATGCGGATATGCCTAAGGCGTGGTCTGCGCACACTCCTGGTACCACTGCCTATAACATCGCACACGCCCCTCCTGCCGCTGTTACCGAGGACGGATCAAAGAAGCGTAAGCGCGACGATGAACCTGCACATGACGCGTCACATATCGCCAAGTTGCGTGCGTTGGAGGAAGCGAACGACCCGAAGTTGAAGGAATTCATGGATGTCATGGCGGGTACAAAAGGTCGCAGAACCTGGGACAACAAGGATTCGGCTTTGGAGTTTGCCATGCAAAACCAAGACACAGTGGCAGTGGCGGAACCGCAGATGATGCAATTGGTGGAAGGAAAGGACGACGATGAGTACGATGAGCTTCCGCCGAAGCAGGTGCACCAGGATGTTGTCAGTGAGCTTCCGCTTGCGGAGGAGATGTCTGTGAATGTGAAGGAAGCTACGGAGGAGTCTGTACCTGCTGTACAACCTGAAGGGATGTCGGATATGGACTGGCTGCGTTCGCGTACCAATCGCTTGCTTGACCTTGATGAGGAAGACACTTCGATGCCCCCTGTTCGTCCGCCTGCTCTTACATCTGTTGTCCGAGAGGTGGCATCAAACCCTTCAGGTTCTGAGAATGCCCCGCTTGTCGCCGAGCCCCAGGATGAGGAGGCAGAAGACCATGGCGCTGCCGCAGAAGAGGAGATCCTTGAACAGATCCAAAGCACTTCCAGGTTGTTCTTACGAAACCTTCCTTTCACGGCCACCGAGGATGATTTGCGAGCTTTGTTTGGTCAGTTCGGTGAGGTTGAGGAGGCTCACATTCCGATCGACAAATCAACCAATTCCGCCAAAGGCTATGCTTACATTCTATTTACTGCGCCGTCTTCTGCCGTTACTGCATACAAGGCTCTCGATAGGCAGCATTTCCAGGGTCGTCGACTCCATATCCTTCCTGCTCAGGCCAAGCGTGAGCAGCACAAGCTCGATGATTTCGCAATCTCAAAGTTACCCTTAAAGAAGCAGAAGGAGCTTCGTCGCAAGGCTGCTGCGAACAAGGAGCAGTGGTCGTGGAACTCTATGTACATGAATCAGGATGCTGTGATCAGTTCCATTGCTGACCGGTTTGGTGTATCCAAGTCTGAGGTGTTGGACCCAACGAGCTCGAACGCTGCTGTCAGACAGGCTTTGGCCGAAACGCACGTCATTCAGGAGACGAAGGAGTACTTGAAGTCAGAAGGAGTGGATCTGGACTCCTTCAATAAGAAGGAAAGGAGCGACAATGTGCTCTTGGTCAAGAACTTCCCTTACGGTACTACCGTGGAAGAGCTGTCAAAGTTGTTCAGTGACTTTGGAGATCTTGGGCGTATCATTCTACCGCCTGCTGGTACGATCGCTATCGTTGAATTCTTGCAATCCGTCGATGCCCGAACGGCATTCGCGCGCTTGGCTTACAGAAGGTTCAAGGAAGCGATCATGTATCTGGAGAAGGCGCCGCGAGGTATCTTTGATGGTGAGAAGGCTGCTGCAACTAATGTCACAGCAAGTGGCCCTGTTCCCGTGGATGCCAAGTCCACGGCTGACGAAGTTATGGCTGCTAACCCTGTCGATGTCGACGCCATGGACAGCGCTACCTTGTTCATCAAGAACCTCAGCTTCAAGACCGAGACTGCTGGACTCATCGAACTCTTCAAACCCCTCAACGGCTTCTTGTCAGCCCGCGTCAAGACCAAGCCGGATCCTAAGCGTCCGGGACAGACACTCAGCATGGGTTTTGGTTTCGTCGAGTTTGCTAGCAAATCCACGGCCATGGCTGCTATGAACGCCATGCAGGATGTCACCCTCGACGGCCACAAACTTCAAATCAAGGTTTCCAACAAGGGCGTGGATGCAGCCGCAGAACGCAAGGCGGGTGATCAAGCAAAGAAGGCAGCCGCTGCCTCCACAAAGATCATCATCAAGAACCTGCCTTTCGAGGCGACGAAGCGCGATGTCCGCGAACTTTTCGGAGCATACGGGCAGTTGCGCACGGTCCGTGTACCCAAGAAATTCGACAACTCTGCTCGCGGTTTTGCTTTCGCAGAGTTTGTTACCACTCGGGAAGCGGAAAACGCGATGGCTGCGCTCCGGGATACGCATTTGTTGGGCAGGCATCTCGTGTTGCAGTACGCTGCTAAGGATGCGGAGACTGGCGAGGAGGAAGTTGAGAGGGCTCAGGAGAAGGTACGCAAGCAGATTAAGCTTGATGACCATGCGAAGGCACGCGGAGCAGGAGGTAAGCGTAGGGTTGAGATGGAGGAGCCTGAGGAGTTTTAGTTCATCGAAAGCCTGATAATCAAAAGATTGTTAAAAAGCTGCAAATTTATCACTCTTGCCCTTTACGCGGACATCGAGCAATGCCTCCTGAAACCCGCCTTCCCTGTATGCCTTTTTCAAATTCTTGATCTCGTGTTCCTTCAGTTTGCGTCCAGCCAACTTTTCCAGTTCCGCAGTCGATATTCTGTCTGTCTTGCCCGTCTCTTTGACCTCCCGCTTCCTAAACCGCGCTTGAATCCGTAGCTTGAACGTCTCGCAAAACCCAACACTCTCCGCATCACCTCTGATCTCCATAGTCCCACCCTTTGCATTCTCATCACAACTCAGGAACTTCTCGTACGCATTCTGGAAACACCACCCATCCCCATCTGTCTTTAATATTGGCGTCCACGTCTCTTGCGGTCCAATTGCCTCCTTTACACATGATAACAGACCAAACTTGTCGCATGACAGGTATTTCCCCTGTGCGCTCTTCAAAGAATACTTCTTCGACCCGGCGATTTCGGCAGCGACAAAGACTTGCCGTACATCATGCGGCTCCATACTCGTCGCCGGACTGTCCAAGTTCGAAACAAACACCTTGCCAGCCGTGTCCGCCGCCAAGGCAACGGGTGTATGTCCCGCGAACGCAATCAACACGGGTCCATTCAATTCCTCCAATAGCCGCGCATCGACCCATCCATCCTCCTGCTCTTCTGGTTCATCCTCTATCTGGGGTTTTGTGGGTTTCGCGGAGGGACGGTCGAGGGCGTCTTCACCTGCAGTTCTCTTTCTCTTCTTTGGCTTCTCGCCTTTGAATGACAGCTTTGATGGCATGTTGATGGTTGAGTGTAACGTAGACAGTAACGTAGACAATGTTCACATGTCCGATGGCGGGACGTTCCGCTGCCTATGTACAGTAGCGTCATATACGGTACGAGGCACGTCGGTGCAATATTACCCTGAGTACACCATCAGCATACAACCATGGACTATTTGACAAGGGAGAACGTGTTGAGTGCTGTCGCTGCTCTGATCCTGGCTCAGGTTGTTGTGTTTATCTTGAAGTTGCGAGCGGATAGGGCCAAGTTCAGAGGACGGGTGAGTAGCCTCCGATCGTCTCCAATGCTCAAAATGCTGACAGCGTACAGCCGGGTCCCCCGCACAGCTTCATATGGGGCCATCTCGGAGCAATGGGTGCCATTGCCAAATCCGATCACCATCCCGACGAGGTCTTCCAAGACTTCGCCAACAAGTATGGCGACGTTTACTACCTCAATCTTTGGCCCATGGCATACAACATGATGATCATCACGGATCCTGATGTCGCAGACAACCTGGCAAGGTCAATGGCTCCAAAGTCACCGACTTATCATGAGTCGGATGCTCTTATTGGGAAACATTCAATCTTGACCCTGGAGGGAGATGAATGGAAGAAGTCAGTCAATTAACTCTCGATGTATCTCGGACATGACTGACCTTGTCAACAGGCTCCGCAAGATCTTCAATCCCGGCTTTTCGTACAGAAACCTCGAGCCTCTCATTCCCGCCATCATGGAAGAGACGCAGGTCTTCGTAGAGAAGCTGGAGTCACTCGCGAAATCTGGAGAGGTGTTCAAAATGAACGAAGAGGTTACGGCACTCACGATTGATGTCATCGGCAGAGCCATTCTCAGTGTTCGCCTACACACGCAAAAGGACCGCTCTCATCCCATGGTGCACGCCTTTCAGAACATCCTTCACTTGACCGAATCCAGAGCGAGGTTCCCGCTCTTTGAGAACATAAGGCTGTACCGTCGATACCAGTATTGGAAGAACGAGAGGACGTTGGATAATTATTTCCGCGAGCAAGTCCGTGAACACCAAGTCAGGGCTGCAGCCAATGCGAAGGAAGGAGCAACTAAGAAAGACATGGATATCATCGACTTGGCTTTGCTTGATGCGCAGCGATCTATCGACGAGTACGCGCACCAAGCAAAGACATTCTTCTTAGCTGGTCACGATACGACATCGTCGGCCGTGACCTGGGCATACACCGAACTCGGCCAACACGCAGAATGCTTGAAAAGGCTCCGCGAAGAACACGACGCTGTCCTCGGCCCCGAAACAGCAAACGACACAGAAGCCCTCTGCCGAAAACTCAAAGCCAACCCCAGCCTCATCAACAAACTCCCCTACACCCTCCAAGTAATCAAAGAAGTCCTCCGCCTCTGGCCCCCAGCAGCAACCGCCCGCATGATGCAATCCTCTTCCGCAACCCTCCCAGTTAACAACGAACACTGGCCCGCCGACTACATGATCCTCTACATCCCGCACTACATCCTCCACCGCGACCCCAAAACCTGGGGACCAACTGCAAACGCCTTCGACCCCGAACGATTTGCGGAGGGGAGGGAAGTGCCGAAGGCGTATCAGCCGTTTGCTAAGGCACCGAGGAGTTGTATTGGGCAAGAGTTGGCGTTGATTGAGGCGAAGATTATTTTGGCGTTTACGGCGAGGAGGTTTGAGTTTGAGCCGCAGATCAAGGAGCCGTATCAGATTTCGCAGTTGACGGCGAAGCCTGTGGCGGCGATGCCGATGAAGATTAAGATTGCTGTGTGAGTTGGTTTGTCATGTTATTGATTCAGGCTTGGGTGTGATACGTTCGTTTTTACTGCGACCTACTCCGGGCTTAGGATTGAGGTCTCGACACAACATGATACCCATTATCTATTAGAAAAGTCTATGGACGTAAGCTTATGCTTTCCTTGCCCTATCCATGCCAAATCGCTCCCAAGCCATTAGTTGCAACTGCTAATACCCAATACTCCATGCATAAAAAGTCAAGACACCCGTCCTAATCGTACATAAGTTCATCTTCAACTCACACCCGTGACGACAGCACTGGATCGTGATCAATCTCATCACTCCCAACCCTCTCTCCATTCGCACCGTCCACACGCTGCTGTGAACCTTCCTCATACGCGAGCAGCATCAACAATGACACCGCAAACGCCGTAATCCCCGCATCAATCCCTCCAAAGATGAGCTTGAACACCTCCGCCGCCCATCCATTCGGCACCGTACAGCACCCATAAATCCCAGACAAGATGCCCACTCCGATACCCCAAACTGGTCCAAACAACACAACACCAAGCAACGCACCTTGCACAACGGTAACGAACACTCGCAAGATACGCGTCTTGAATGGAATCCCACGCTCAATGATGGACGAATTCGTGACCATCCATCTCAACGCATCATGTATGCGCCCATTCGGCTTCACTAGCGGGATTGGGGTGATATTATGTAACCGCAAATCACGAATGACCATCGAGGCGGTGGTGAGCCAGATCAGAATACCAGTGATGAAGACCGTGACACACGCATCACCAGCAAGCGTATTCGGGAACGGCCAGACATTGATTGTCTGGGATGTCGTCCGGTACATCGCTGTAGCGATACCAAAGTTAATTCCTGTGTTGAGTTCGTTAGCATACACTCCCGGTAAACGAGAAGACACGACGTCACTCATACCTCCAGCAACGATGGTGTTGATCAGGAACTGTTGTATACCGAGATAAATGATCTGACGAGTCGTCAAAACGCGGCGACGCCGGCCGGAGGCGTCGTAATGGGGGTCAACATTGCCGGGCCTCTCCTTCACAATTGGAGGCATTATGCGCGAAACTGGTGGTGATCAATGTATAGGGAAGCCGTCCAGATAAGTATAATGGATTGGAAGGCCAGCAGGTCGATGTATATAGGAGTGAACTTCACTTGTTCCAAGGTTTCTTTCGGTCGGTTCTTGCGGGCCGTCGGAGCCGAAATCATTGAAGCGACGGAGTTTGTTGTTGATTGACGTCAACGTGCCGCGCGCCTCGAAAAAGTTAAAGTGTTGAAAGGGTGAAGGGAACCGACAATGGAAAAATTGAGGGATGGATAGATTTGCCAACTGAATGCCGCCAGAGGTGGTTTGACTGGCGATGGCCGGTCGTGGTAGCGTATACGCCGGCTCTAGATCTTCTACGTACACTCTGTCGCAAGGTGGCGGTTACCCACATGTCGCAATTGCAACAAGTCCGAGCTCAACCGCAATAGTACTTGGAAATTAGCATTCTAGAATGAAGTAACACGGAATGGATATCGGCCCGACTGACAGCGTGTCAGTAACGCTGCTGTAAGCGAACCCTTATTCCGCCGGCACGGTCACATGGCCAAAGTTCCAAAACGAACGTTCAGTCATCGGTGACGGTCCTGCTTTTCGTTCTCAGTGACAGGTCGGATACTGTCGCATTCACAAGGTATGGCTGCTGCAGCGAACGCCATGAAGGACGGAGGACTAATGATATTGTACACATTTGTACAGTAGATTGATAGAGCGCAAAACCAAAACGCCTTCGAACCAAAAACAAAAGATCTGCTCTCAAAGCAGTTTGATGATCCCACAGATCATGTAAATGCCGGATTTTGCACTCTTTATCCTGACATGTCCAACTTTTCACTTGTCCAATTCAACGTCATCTCAGTTCAGCTTACACGTCAGGCAAAATGGAGGCACCCATGGGGCTCTGGAGGAAACCGACAGCAGCCTGAAGAAAGGTCAGTCAAACCTATCAAATGCGACAAAGAGAGACGAATTCACTTACAGCAAAGACGCCGATAGCCCAGACGAAGGTGCGGTTCTCCTCGGAGAAGACGGCATTGATAGTAGACTTGACGAAGCCAGGCTGAGCACGACCAGAGACAGCGACGTTTCTTGAGGGAGCCATTTCGTATAAATAATTATTGAATTTTCTGGAGTGACGTTTCTGAGCGGCTGCACGACCACGTCCGGGAATTTGGAGGAGGAAGGTGTGGCGGTGGAGTCTACGATACAGTGAGGCGCAGCGAATACAGTCAGTCCAGAACGGGGCGGTGGACGACCGCACCTGGTCTTTGCAAGATGGGTGTACTTGGCTTTACAGAATACCTGAAGCTATACGCTCCGGCAGTGCTCCGCCCATTCAGTTATAAACACCTCAGACAAACGCGAATAGCTATCGACTCCACACTTCACCTTCGCAGACTGTTCGCATCACCATTTGACGACGAAACTCCGAAGAAACATATCGTCTGGACGATACGACTCCTACGTCTTTGTCGAAATCTGAAATGCGCGCCGATTGCTGTTTTCGATGGGAAAGGAGCGAGTGTAGCGAAGCAGAAAGAACGAGCGAAGCGAGCAAAGATCAGGGCGGAGTATCAACGGCAATGTGGTGATACGGAGGCGAAGAGAGGTCGTTTACGAGCTTTGGATGAAATTGCTACTGCTCTGAGCCAGGTCAACAAGCCGGCCGTACGGCTTTCCATCTTGAACCAGGTCAAGAAGAGGTTAGATGCTGCGCCAATCATCGAGGGATCGACGGAGCAAGCGGAAGCAAAGAGGAGCATCTTATGGCTCCTGGAAGAGTCTAAATCTTTAAACGCCGAAGTGATAGTTGATGAAGAGACTCTTGTAGAAGAAATTACGCCGAAGGTACAAGTGCTGGACAATTCCGTCAAGGTGTCCATGACCGAACAGAAGGTCGAGCCACCTCCTGCAACTCCAGCAGCTCTACCGCCCTTTAAAGAAGGCATACCTCCTGTCGTGTCTGACCTGGAACTTACATCCATCTCAACAAAACTGACCGAGGGTTTCACAACCTTCTTGACATCGTCATCTGCACCATCTGCCTCCGAGCTCGATATCCTGTCTCGTGTGCTTCACCCAGAGCCAGAGACCAGAGATGTGGAGACAGTCACAACCACCACTGTTATCGTGACATCGCCAACCTCTGACGTCCTTACCGACTTGACCGATCTTCGTTTCGAAACGTACGAAGCGCTGACCGTACTGAAACGTCGCACTGCTATGCCCACATTCCAAGAATACGAGGAGACCAAAGAAGCTTTCCGGATACTCGGCGTGCCTGTCATCAGTTCACCGGATGGATATGAAGCTGAAGCAGTCTGTGCTGCTCTCGTGAAGGAGGGGAAGGCGGAATATGTGTCGTCAGAGGACACGGATGTCGTGATATTCGGCGGCAAACTCCTTCGATGGTTCTCGGCTGCACCAACCATGAGCGATTTCTTCTTCCGCGCGTCCAAGCGACTGCAAATGATCGATCCCGTAGAGGTTCGAAAGGAATTGGGCGACATCTCCACGGATAGATTGATCGACCTAGCGATCCTGTTGGGTACGGATTTCGCACCAACAATTGAGAAGCTTGGACAGAAGGGGATTAGGAAGGTATTCACGGATTCGAAACGGATCGAAGACCTTGTTCGCGAGCTGCCGCACATCATGGTCAAATCGACTGGTAAACCGAAATTTGCCATACCCGAAGGATATCTAGAGGAAGTGGAGGTTGCGCGAGAAGTGTTTCGTGTTCTACCTGATGTAACGTCAGAAAAATCGATCGAGATTGATTCATGGCTGAAGACTAGTGAGGAAGAGTGGAACGAAAAAGAGGACAAGATCATGGGAATGTTCAACATTGAAGAAGTGCATATTTCAGGAAGAGAAGAACGGCCGACCACTTCCCATACTCGTCTGCTTGAAGCCGAGTCAAAGAAAATGAACTTCTCGGATAAGCCAAACGGTGCTGATGGGCTCAGTGGTGTCAAGGATGACACAGAGATCAAAGACCCTTTTGGAATGGCGCTTTTGGGGGATAGGCTGCTCTGAGAGCAGCACCTGTTGTGAATTGGACAAGCTTCAAGGCAATGCAGGGTTATGGCGTTCATCGTATTATAATATACCATAACGATATCATTCATCTCAATTACCGAAATTAAAACTACACATCCCCGCCAAATAGTTGCATATAAGGGTATCACAACCAACCCGGACCAGTTCCACAAAATGTGCGAAAAAAGAGACCCAAATCGCGCCTGAAGAAAAGAAAGATAGCGGTACATCAACATGCGCGAGTGCGTCTGCATAGGCCCGTCATAGCCTGTGTCCGGGTACCAACGAAAATATCAAAGTCAGAGCTGCCGTGATGACACAAATTAGGGCTAACATCCAGATTGCACGTTGGCTAAGTAATGATCGAACTGCGAGACGAAATTAGCTTTGAAGCATCGACGATATCGACGATGTCGATCTCGTATCTTACCATATGGCTCACGAATGCGCATGAAAGACATGAACGTAGATTCGCTCAAACCCGCCAATGCAAGTAATGGGTCGAGGTTGTATTGATGTGACATGAGAGCATACACACCGACGAAGAATGGAAGGAGGACCTGTAGGACCTTGATTAGCATACCATGAATGCGGTAATCTAAACAAAAGCTTACCCAGACTCTCGTACTCTTCGAATAATTGAGGAAAATCAACGAAAATGCCGTCCAGAATGCTCCAAACATGGCCATCAACCCAAGAATCAATCTGAACAGCGCTGACGGCGGTACCAAGTTCCCTAACGCCTTCGCTCTCAAGAATCCTGGGAATGCATCCCTCTCCATCGCCTGAAACACATACTCCTTCGCATCATCGAACACCTCCGGATCATCACGTCCATCCACTTCAATGGCGTTACTCACACCATGGTGAATATGGCTCGGCAGCGCAATCTCCCTCTCCGCTCCCCTGACAAGATACGTATACAAAATCCTCTCCGCAGAAGCCCTAATATCCGCGCGATTGACTGTATGCTCCGGGCTCGGAGCAAGTCCCTGCGCACCTTCCCTCGACAACGACGATCTCCAACTCTGGCGATTCTCGGCTTTGTCGTATGCTGCATTCACCGGCACACCCTCTTGCGTGAATGTCGGCGAGCTCTCAACCGAAGCTCCTCCCTGCATGGGATGACTCCTCAAAAAGGGGCTGATCGCACGATCACCCTGCTTCTCGTACGCAAATTCATCACTACTTCTCGGTGCTTCAGAATAATGGGATTTTTCGTTATTTTCGGGTACGTCTGGCGTAGCATTCAATACCGAACGTCGTAGTTCACGGACGTATAGGCGGCATAACGCGAGGTGCTGTTCGCAGTCGAGGAAGAAGTCAAGGTAGTCAACACTACGTTGTTGATCGCGCATATAGAGGTAAAAACTGAAAAGATCAACGGGTGGGGCGGATTGACGGTGCAACACCTCGCCAAGAGTCGGTAACCGGGTCTTTCCTGCCATGTTTGTATGCTGTGAGTACCGTGCGCTGAAAGCAGCTGTTCACTGGGTGATATCGCGACGAAGCGACGCTGTTGATATCAATTGAATGGCCGGCTGGATCCCGTAACGCTGTTTCCCAAATGTATTACGGCCTTGTTGTTACATTGTCCGTTACGATACTGTATGCAGGGGTTGCAATTGCTGGGGGCCGTGTGGGATTATATGCCTTGGTGAGAAACGAGGATGCCCAACTTGAATTGGTGAAGATTGCAATTGGATGAATAACATCATGATGGTAATTTTATTCCATGGCCATAGCATAACGAGAGTACGATGTAACGCCGAAAACACCGAATAAGGAGACACGAAGATGTGCTTCAACCCACCCTTCCTCATAGTTCTCTTCCTGACCTCAATGCCCTAAACCGGAACACGACTTCAATCGTCGTCAATGCAATTGACACCAAGATGAGTAGAATGATGATGAGTGTGATTCTATAGCACAAGTTAGTGTTGAGTACCACTTGTCGGAGATATTCTTCCAACATACCTGCTCATGTTCGTATCATTCGTCGAATCCGTCAAGATATCCAGTAAATCAAAGATAACTTGACACCTCTCATTCAACACAAGGATCCTCGGTCTCAGCTCCAAGTACTCTCGCACAGCGGTATAAAGCGGATTCAACGCCGGTTCAGAATCCCAGAAGAACTCGGGCGTATCCAGCACATTACTCGACAAATTCACGTCCACTCTCAACTTGAAAAGTCTACCAGACATCTTGATAACCTGTTCTCGCGTAAGACCCAATTCACCGGTCAACGCAAGATGTCGCGGTACACTCTGCGCGCCCTCCATAACGGTTTCCATTCTGCCCTCGAACAGTGACATTTTCGTACTTTGTGCGATTGCGTGTGACATGGCGAGTTTAATCATGTGATCTCCGGAACGAAGAGTGATCATGTCGTTGAAGATACGGGGACGTAGTGTATTCGGGGAGTACTCAAAATGCAGTTCTTCCGTCTCGACATCGATTTCACGTAGTGGACGGAGGTAAAGTTTTGCGAAGGTGAAGTCGGCTAGGATATCCCGTTCTGCTGCGGCGGAGAAGTTCCAGAAGACGATTACTCCGTAGTTGAACACAAACACTGCAAAACCATGTTAGCGGCGTCCATCGCTCGGAGCCGGGTTAGCATCACTCACTTTCAGCATGCTTCAACATAGACTCGACGTCCAAACTTCCCCTTCTCGAGTGTTTACCAGATATCGTTGGATCCGCCGACGCCGACCTCGATCCAGGCCTCGACAAACTGTGGGCCCGACTCCTTTGCTCCCCATCCTGCTCCTCCCTGCCGAGCCCATTATCCTCCGACGACTCCGCAATCGTCTCCAACACAACCTGCGGCACCCTCTGTTCATCCAACTTATTCGCCAACGCAGCGAAATAATCATGTGAGTGATCCCGGTCTTCTGAATACTGGATGGCTTGTTCGAGGAGGGAGCCCCCGCCGGGTGATATGACTTCGGGACTTGACATGACTCTGCAGCCAATTCCGGGAAGTAGCGGAAGGCAGTAGGGGACGTACATGCATTCGTCGTAGACGCGGGGGCGGACGGAGTGTCGTTCGCGAAGGAACTGTGCTGTTGCTTGGAAACGGATACCTTCGGCCACGGCTGTCAAATCTGTTAGTGGATGCTTTACGCAATAAGACAAACATTCCTAACCATATGCTGTAACCCTTGGTAGATTTCTCTCCTCTCTGGCATGCTTCGTCAACCTCTCGGAAAATGACCTCTTCGGTAGTGCAGGTTTCGCAGCCTGTGCTTGAATTCTCGGTTCATCATCCTGCGGCGGTCCAGCATCCTCATCCTCACTCTCAAAACTCGCTAACCTCGATTCACTACCGCTACTCTCCGGTAATAGCACGAGCTTTTGTGACGTCTTTGTCGTTCGCTGTGGTAATGCATCTTTGCGCCCGATCCCAGCCGGTGCACGGCGTCTTGCAGATGGAATTTCAGATGTAGATGCTAGGAGACTCTCGACACTGACGCTGTGTAATCGTGATGCGGCATTCTGGAGCGTTCGGGGATCGGGGGTGGTATACTGTCTATTTCGTGGTGTAATGGCAGGGCGGCGGATCTGACCGAGGGCACCCTTGCGTAGACCTGTCGTCTGAATGAGAGGCGTACGCTGATTTGGTCTCTGATCCGTCATGCTATCCTCCTGGTTCTCGTCTACTTCGGCGTTGTACTTCGTACTTGGAGTTTATTTCGGGCCTGTAGCGTCGATCGGAATCTTCACGTGAATAGCCATCACATCACGTACTGCAGCGACGGTACGGGTAGGGACATGAAGAGCAGGTTACAGAAGTCAAAGATCCGTATAGCTATGCTAAGTACCAACTGATAGTAAACTCCAAAAACACTTCTCATTTTGTCTCCCGAAGCTTGGCCAGCAAGCTTACTTAGAAACCTAATCCCTCCTCATCATCACTGCCCTCCTCCTCGTGGTGCTCAAACAAATTCGGGTCAAAGAAGCTCTCCTGACTCGCATCAACGTTCTCCCGATCCTGCTCCGTAGCGTACATCCCGTGTCCCATGAATTGCTGTTGTTGTTGTTGCTGGTGGTGCTGCTCCAAGGCCTGCTTCTCAAGAACAAACTGCTCCTGCCTCTTGGCCGCAATCTTTGCCGGCGTCAGGAACAGTGCCATCTTGGGCGGCAATCCAGCCATCATGCCAGCATCCTCATCATCACTGTTATCCCCAGCCTTCTCCTGCACCTGCTGCTCATCATCATCATCCGCAAAAACATCCACCAATCCCGAAGGACGATTCCTCCGCGTCGGCACAGGGACAACTCCAGGAGCGAGGAACTGGGACTGACTAGGGACCGTCACATTCCCAGGCAACTTTTGCAAACCACCCTGCATCTGCATCTGCTGCATCAACAACTGCTGCTGCATAGGATTCTGCATAGGCTGGCCATGGCCGGGCATATGATGATGCTGGTACGGCGCAGGCAACGGCGTACTCATACTCCTCATCATCGTCGGGGACTGCATAGGAACGCTAGCATACGCTTGCTGCATATACTGGTTCTGCCCATACGACGCCAACGGGGAACTCTGCAACTGCTGCTGATAACTCGCGTGCTGGGGTCCAAGAGCAGACATGGGCGTCATGTTGTAGGAGGCCGATTGCGGGATAGTCTGCGGAGCCAAGAAATCGTACCCGCCAACGCCAGCTTCGTCCGCGTAGATACCCATACCCAATCCCCTCTTTGGGTCACTCATCATGTTGCCAGAGTACAACCCCGGTTGAGAAGGGCTAGGCCTTAACAACGGAGCCTGCATAGTGGTTTGCTGCGGCTGGGGCCTCAGACTAGCCGGTACGACAACTTCCCTCCACATTGTTTGTCCCGGAGCCCTCCCAGGCTCCTCCTTCTCCAACTCCCAAACCAACATGATGATCTTCGGCGCCCTTCCATCCTCAACATTCGAAACACCCATCAACTCCTGGACGATCGAGATCCCACCAACAGCGGTAGATGACTCCCTCTCCTTCTTCCTCCTCTCGCGCTCGTCAATGGCCTGCGTCTTCACATGTCCCTGAATTGTCGCCAACCCAGTCAAGAACGCCGCCCAGAAGTCCGTCGCAAAGGGAACACCAATCTTCGTCTTTCCCACAACTTGACTCTGATTCAACAACACATCCTGCCTCAGCTCCAACACCTTCGTCCCCATCGTATAAATCTTCGTCGTGCATCCCCATTGATGACTCTGAGCGAGTGCAGCATCACACAACAAACTCAGATGCGTCCTCAACACCGACTCCGCAGCCTGCACCTCCGGCAACGCAATCCCTGCCCTGAAATGCAAGATCTGCTCAGGGATCTGTCCATACTTGTACAACGAATCCGCCAAATACGGAAACCTCACCGTCCAATTGCTCAAACTCTCTAATGGCGTGGGCGCGAGTCCCGAGCGGAGACGTGTAAACATGTGAACGACTTGTTCCCTTCCTTGAGGTTCGTCAGTTGCAGACCATACGCAGAATGCGGTGGGTTTGAAAAGGCCGCGGGCGATGAGGGAGGCGGGTTGACCGGGTTGGGCAAAGAAGTGGGGGGGCATTTGTTGGAGGTTTTGCGGGGTTGGGCTGGGGTTTGAAACGGAGCGAGGTTTGGTGCCCATGAAGGGTTTATGATGGACGCCGTTGAGGGGTGTTTCGCCCATGCCGTCGTCGTCGTAGTCACCGTCTTGCTCATTGCCTGGGGTCGTGTCGCAGACGAGGCTCATGACTGAACGAGAACGTTAGTTCGAGTAAAAATTGCAGGATGTCACATGCACGTACACTCAGGATCATCCCTCTTCATGTGTTTCAAAACCTGCAAATGACTCGACACTTGCTTCCTGCTCCTGATCTTGCCAGTACGGCGGAAGATGTAGTCGGCAATCAACTCGTTTCTTCCGCAAGGCTTGCCATTGACAGAGATCTTGCGTCGTCCAAGCTTGGGGATTTTCTTGATAGCTATATATAAAGTCAGAAAACACTCAATGAAGGATACGACCAAAACTTACCCTGCATAAAGGCCTCCTCAACATCACTCGGCCAAACCTGATCTTCCTCTTCCTGCTTCGCCAACTCCTCAACAGTCTTCTTCGGCCCCGAACTACGTTCAGTACTCGCATTCGACTGTTGCGACGCGCCGCCCATACTCAGCCTCTGCTTCTTCCACGCGCTCGGATGATCCGGCGTCGTAAATCCATCCCGATCAACCGTCTTCCCAGCAGACGATCCATTGATCTTATAAACAGGAACATTCGAAATATCGCCCAACGGACGCTTCATAGAAGGTGGTGGGGTGACTTGTGGTGGAGACATTGCGGATGGTAATAGTCCGGAGGAGGATTGACAGTTGGTTGCTGAAGCTGATTGTGGTGTGAATGGTGGTTCGAGCTGCTGTGATTCTCGGACAGAGCTCATAGTCGTCTCAGAACGCGTTTTTGATGTTGATCCGGTCGAAGTGTACTACCAGAGTAACGTCGACAAAGGGAAAACTGGGTGGTATCGTAGGTAAAGGTCGTAGAAATCGCGTGGATTGCTCGGCAACAAACACGAACCAGCCCGTTTCTTACACGATCTCAATCAGATTTTTCGTATAGAAAACGCGTCGTGTCCGTAATTGGTGGTGTGAGTCTCGTGTGGAAGTGTGCGGACCACGGAATCAACGCTGTCCCACTCCAGATTTTGACGGGTCCTCGGATCCAGCTAGAGCAAGGCCTGCAGAATTGGACAAAGCCTCGGAGCGGCAAGAGTCGGATCAGTCCTCTGAAATTGGCAGGGTGCTAGTTAGAGTGGGTACAGATGAAAAAGCTGGCTGGAGGTAGGCGTCTGTAGCACTGATCCGACGAAGCAGCGTCGAAAAGTGGTGTGCTGCAATATCCGGCGAGGGGGTCCTTGTGTAATGCAGGCAGTGTTGTATGGGCTTGGGGACTGGGGTTTGGATGCAGTGTGATTTGAGGTCCATTAATCTGATCTCTGTCTACAGCGAGAAAGACGGTCCCGCTGACTGTCTACACTGTCTACGCTGTCCAGTCGACTCTTCATCTCATCTGGCCAAAACGCGCGCAATGTGAATTGGGGACTGTCTACGTTACACTGACGTCCTCGACCATACGCGACAATGACCCATAGATTAGCAACGCCGGAATTCCTGAATACAGTGAAGAAGGCATGGCCAAAAACTTCGACAGCACCGAATCCGTGGTATCTCATTGCTGCGATACCGTTCACTTACCTGAATTTACCACATGAAGTACCGCATATCGTACATCACGCATTGTCCGAAGATCCGGCAGATGGCCATGCCGCAAGACTCTCAATAGCCCGGAGAACGCGAGATGCACTCTTCAAGAGTGGAATCAACGGTGGTATGCCAAAGGTACTCACCTCTGACCCCTCTTCCTGCCAATGCACCGCTGATCGTGAACACAGGCAATCAACGCCCTCGCCGCCCTCCACGACTCCCTCCCCCCAGAACTCATCGACAAAGAACCCCTCCGCAATATCACCACCTCAACACCCCAAATCGCCGTTCATGGCGAATCCTTCTTCCGCCAAACCTACGCCTCCGCCGCCCCCATCACCCGCTCCCGCCTCTGGTCCATTTACCCCGACCTAGGCTACTACGCAACCCGCTACACCTACGGCCAAATATACGGCTTCACGGAAATACTAAATGCGGCGGAGACGAGCTTTGTGCAGATGGCTGCGTTGGTGAGTACGGAGGTTTGGCCGCAGGCGAGGGGGCATTATAGGACGAGTTTGAATAATGGGGCGAGTGTGGGAGAGGTTGAGAGTGTGCGGGAGATGGTTGTTCGGTGTTGTGAGAGAGTGAAGGGGGAAGGGTGGGGAGAGAGGGTACCGGAGATTGATTTTGATCAGGATAAGAATTCGAAGGCATGATTGCATATCAAGGTATTTCTTTACGCCTGAGAGAGAAGTCATCGAAATATCTATGTCGAGATCCAATCCTGCGAAACCTGCCTGTACCGCTACGCACACCCGAAGCACCCCCCATCGACCCGCATGGCTCCCGATAACACCGCCAACAGAGGGTATGACACCACAGGACACAGTTCCAATGGTCCACCGAAATCCCTCAATAGACAGAGATGATGACAACGACGCTGATATCACCGGTCTCCTGTACGCGCCGGAAGTGATCCTGGAGATCCCGGAGAACACCGTCAAGAAGAATGTCAAGAAGGAGTTGTGGAGACAAGGGCTGCTGAACGTGTTTTATATCGCGTCATGGTTCGTAACGGCGAAAGGGTGATTGATATTTGGCTAATTTTCGTGCGAACAGGTACTTCTTCTCGCTGTTGCTGTCGTTATACAACAAATGGTACGCTCAATACCTGGCATTCATTGATCTGCGTTGCTGACAGCTGGCACAGGATGTTCTCACCGCAGCATCTCAACTTTCATTATCCACTATTCATCACATCGGTGAGTCTCTCACTCAGACGGTTTCATCAACTGACACTGACGGGAATCTCACAGTTCCATATGATTATGCAATTCGGTATGGCCGCCGCCGTGTTATACTTTATCCCACGATTTCGGCCACCACGGGATAGCTTGTTCAGTTACGGCGACTACGTGTAAGGCATTACTCAATCACAGTAAGATCCTTGCTAAGAAATTGGTTAATAGGAAGAAGATCGGTCCATGTGGTATGGCGACCGGCCTTGATATTGGATTGTCCAACGCGAGTCTGAAGACGATCAGTTTGGCCTTTTACAGTATGAAGTCAAAAGCGTTGACTGCGTGTTCAATGATGCTGACGATTCAATACAGCTATGGTCAAGTCATCATCCCTCGGCTGGGTCCTCCTGTTCGCATTCATCTTCCGCCTCGAGAAGCCGCGAGCAAGTCTGATTAGCGTCATCGCGTTGATTACTGTCGGGGTTGTGCTGATGGTTGTCAAAGGTATGACCTTCGAGGTGATTCGTTGCATATCTTGGCATTAATTGAGGTCTTGCAGAGACAAACTTTGTCCTGATCGGTTTCCTCCTCGTCCTCACCGCCTCGGCACTTGGCGGACTTCGATGGTCGCTCACCCAGATTCTTCTTAAGAAGAACCCGGCGACGTCTAACCCATTCTCGACGATCTTGGTTTTGGCGCCAGTTATGTTCGTCACACTTATCGTGAGTGCAATCGTTACGGAGGGTATTAGCGGCTTTTTCACCAAGATGGGAGAGATCTGGCACGAGAAAGGGATTCTGACGATTGGGATCTTGTTGTTTCCTGGTTTCCTGGCCTTTTTTATGACAGCTGCGGTATGTGAAAGACTCCCGCGTCATACCATCTTGGCTAACAGAGTTCTTCCGCAGGAATTCTCACTCATCCAGTGCACCAGCGTCGTGACGCTCTCCGTCGCCGGCATCTTCAAAGAAATGCTCACGATTCTTGTGGGTCATGTCGTATTCCGCGACTCTCAATTCAGCGCACTCAACATATCGGGGTTGCTTGTCACGATCCTTGGTATCGCGCTTTACAACTACCTTAAGATCAAGCGGATGAAGAAAGAGGCGACTCAGGCAGCAAGGGATAAACTACGGCCCCAGGACGAAGAACACGCAGATACTCGGAGTAGAAAGGTGCAGGAGGACGATGACGATGTGGTGTTCGGATTGGGGAGCGAGGATGAGAACAATGATGAGGACCACCAACAGATTGGGAGACGACAGTCACAAGGGTCACATCCATCACAAGAGGAGACCAGACTACTTCGACCAACACGATAACTCTACTAGAATTCATGGCTATCAAAATATGGATATAAAGCCCAGGTTGACTTACCGTCATACCGTACAAGAGCCGATGTTAGGCTCTACCCGAGTTTCTTGATCTTCGGTTCCTGTGTAACCTTCTTCGCTTTCTCGTATGGCGCTGCTCTCTTCTTGTAGTCGAGCTTTCGTTGCTGGATGGTGGTTGGCTTGATTTCTGTGGTAGCCTTCCTGATCTTAACAGGGCGGGAGCCAATATACTTGCCTGTTTGTCATTGTTAGCAACACATTCCAAGAAAGGTCACACCTGACTGACCATTCATCTCTCTCGCAGCCTTCACAAACTCATCTGGATCCTTGAAGGATACGAACCCGAACCCCTTCGATTTCTGAGTGCGTTTATCGCGGATGACCCTCGCTTTGACGAAACTTGGATATTTCGAAAATGCCTTAGTCAATGTGTCGTCTGTCGTCTCACCACCCAAGTCTCCACAGAACAATCTGAAGTGACTTGGATCCCATTCTAGCAGTGTCTGATCCTCCCATACCTGACCTCCACCCTCCCTCACGACCGTAGTCTTCTTGTCCTTAGCATTCCATTTTGCTTCGTTGCGCATCTTTTGGTTGTCTTTGTGTTCGGCGGAGTAGATGGACTGTTGTTCTGCTATCGCTGCTTCCAGCGTTGGGTCTTGACCGGGCAAGGCGGGCACCTTTGGGTCTCGGAAGGGATTAACGATGCCTGGACCCACCCCAGCGGCGTTATAGGTGGTAGATGCCGGTGCAGCAGCGGCGGCTGGGTAACCGTAACCTGCTGCCGGTGCCGCTGGTGCCGCTGGATAACCTTGTGCTCCATATCCTTGCTGTCCATAGCCCTGCTGCCCATACCCCTGCTGGCCATAACCAGAGCCGTATCCTGACATTCTGTCTCAAGTTTGTAATGGGGGTAAATGCTAAGACGTTCTGTTCTGTACACGTACCGGTATGTATCGCAGGCGAAGGTCACCGAAGCCGCTGCTGCGCCACACGTGGCACGAATTAAGGTTCCCGGCTAACGCGCTCGTATATATGAACATTCGAAGCTCGAGAAATACAAACAGCGAGAATGGACGATTTCTTCAAGGTAGGTCTTGTTGGAATTGCAAGGAGCGCTGCTAATGTCTCCTAGAAACCTACTTTTCCAGCGTCTTCGTTGAAGCGAAAGCAGCCGCCAGCTGCCGATGATCCGAGTATGTTTGCAACTGTCAGTCATTGTTTGTGCGTCATGTCTAATGGGATCGTTGCAGCGGAGGCTTATAAGGCGTTGAAGCTTGATAGACCTGCCGAGGACGCGGACGCTTCGGCAGCTTTCGTTGACGAACCATTTATTGACGAAGAAGGCGGACGCTTCGAAGGATCTGGTCTTACCGAGGAGCAAAGCCAGATCCTCGACTTTATGGACCAGAATGACGCGGAACAGGATCAAACGGTGCGCCTGACTGGACCTTGTCGGTCGATGGGACTAACGCTCTTGTGTGCAGATTGACCGAATGACCATTCCTCAACTCAAGAAACTCGCCCTCAAGTTCGAGCGAGCAATCAGCAAGAACCACGAGATGCGTGCGAAATTCCTCGATCATCCTCAGAAGTTCATGGAATCCGAAGCGGACCTGGACGCGGAGATCAAGGGCCTTACGATTCTTGGTGAGACGCCCGAATTGTTTTCTGAGTTCGTGAAGTTGGGGTGCATCAGGAGTTTGGTCAACCTTCTGGCTCACGAGAACACAGATATCGCGATAGATGTGGTCGAGGTTTTGCGTGAGCTGACCGACGAGGATACGGACGCAGCGGATGAGGACATGAAAGCCCTGATCGATGCATTGGTGCGTTTACCCGCCTAACCCGTCAATACTCGCTAACAGGGTATACAGATGGAGGCCGAAATCATGGATATGCTTACGCAGAACCTCTCACGGCTTGACGAGTCGCAAGACGTTGATCGATCCGGTGTATATCACACACTGAGCATATTCGAGAACCTTGCGGCGCATGATCCTGCACTCGCTGAAACGGCCGTCCGTACGACCACCATCCTTCAGTGGATCCTGAAGCGTCTACAGGTAAAGGAAGCTTCTACCTCCCAGAACAAGCAGTACGCTGCCGAACTGCTGGCCATCTTAGTGCAGTCGTCTTATTTGAACCGCGTCAAACTTGCGGAACTTGATGGCGTTGATGTTCTCCTTCGCCTACTCTCACCGTACCGCAAGCGCGATCCGGCAAAGGGCGGCGAGGAAGAGGAGATGATGGAGAACGGGTTTGATGCTCTTTGCTCTGTCGTCGAGGAAGTCCCAGGCAAAGATAAGTTCGTCGAGGCGGAGGGAGTTGAATTGTGCCTCATCATGATAAAGGAGGGAAAGATGTCGAAGGCTCGTGCAGTGAAGGTCGTGGATCATGCTACGTCTGGTCGGCAAAGTGTAGTAGTGGCTACAAAGATCGTGGACGCCGGAGGATTGAAGGCGGTCTTCAGCATGTTCATGAAGAGACCGGATGGAGAGACGATGGAGCACATTCTCGGCATCTTCGCCTCGTTGCTACGACTGTTGCCGCTTGACTCGCCACCGCGAATCAGGACAATGGCGAAGTTCACTGAGAAGGATTACGAGAAGCTTGTGCGTCTGGTCGAGTTACGCAGGGAGTACGCGGCGCGTGTGGGTCAGGCGGAGCGACGGATTGCCAAGCAGAAGGCACAGGCAACCGAGGAAGATCTCAAAGAACGAGAACCTGAGTGGTATCTGCAAAAGATCGACGCTGGCCTATACTGTCTGCAAATCTTAGATACAGTTCTTGCCTGGATTTGTGCGGAAGATGATGGCGCAAAAGCCAAGTTGAATGCACTGTTGACGGAGGAAGGAAAGGACATTGGCCACGTGAGAGCCGTATTACAAGGTACATATCTATCCAGATGTGAAATGTTTGGTGTGCTAACACATAGTGCAGAGTTCATGGAGAACATTGACGATACAACGGCCGACGAAGCAGGTGATGAAGCAGATGGCGCAGCTGCCAAAGCTAGGGAGACCATGGAGGATGCGACAGAGCAAAAGGACATGCTCCAAACTCTTATTCACCTTCTTTAGATCTAGATAAGTTGGCAACCTTACTTCTGCCTTCCCATCCCGAACATGTCCGACAACGGTCTGGCCTTACCCTCGCAGGCTTCTGTGACTTCCTTCATCCGCCATTCCAAATGCCAGGAACGTTGGCAGATCACGCCCTTACCGAAAGAAATTACAAAACTTATCCCACAAGCTCTTTGGTGCGTCTGAGTCGGTTTTCAGTCTTTTGGCTTCAGGCTGCTCCTCAACACCCACTGCCTGCTTCGCCTCTACGACTTCACTCGCAACACCAGCTTCCTCCGAATCTTTACCAATCTTCAGTACACCGAACTCCTTTGCCCAATCCGGTACTTCTGTATGCCAGCCCCAACTTCCGTCTTCAGCAGCGTACTTGAATGCATGTAACCACAATCCCATCTCATGCTCCGCCGGGTCGGAATATAGCGGCACCTCGCATATCTCACAAAGTGATCCATCTAGAACCTCTCCTGTTGGTTCCTCACCTTCCTTCCTCGCAGCCTTCCACGCTATGGTATCTGCGGGCTCTCCACGGCCCATTAAGTGCAACTTCGCCTTGATCTCTTCGTCATCCCCTGCACCCCCTTTTCCGAATTCCGGACCCCAGACACGGGGGTTGGCGTAAATCGGATCATTTGCAATAGGATACCCCAACCATTGCAAGTGCACTCGGATCTGGTGGGTACGCCCTGATAGAGGCTTGGCGTGGACAATAGACATGTTGGTTGCTGGATCGTACCGAAGCCTTTGGAAAATGGTTTTTGAGTCCCTTCCGTCTGGCTTCACCCGGTTGAGAGAGAGCTTGGCAGATACAGTGAGAATCGGCTGGTCACAAACGATCTCGCCGTCTGGGAATTCTCCGTAGACTTTACAGACGTACTCTTTCTTGATTGTACGCTCAACAAGTTGTTTAGTCATGTCTTCGGCGCCCTTGCGACTCATAGCAAGGAACATAATGCCGGACGTCAATCTGTCCAGTCTGTTACACGGTGCAACCACGTCGATGCCATAATCCACTCTCAGGATATGGATAACGGAGTTGTGTCGGTATCTGCCAGCTGGGTGTACAGGAACACCTGCTGGCTTGTCGATGACTAGCAAATCTTCGTCTTTGTAAATGATCCCAATGGGTTTCGAGGTCACGGCCGGTTCGTGACGGTGTACTTTGTGAGTGATCACGTCACCGTTCTTCACAATTGTGTCCAGCGCTGCAGGCTTTTCGTTGACTAGGATTAAACCCTTCTCGATGGTCATCTTGTAGTAATCGTCCGTATGGCTGCGAAACTCAGTGACGAACACATCCAAGATATTTCTGTCTCTCCATCGCTCTTTAGCGTTTGTACGGTATTCCTGGTGATAGGTTTAGCTAGGATCCACACATACGAGGTTATTAACATACAAAGTAGTACGGTTTGACTCTCCGAAACTTCTCGTCGACAACATATTCTGCCCCAGCGAGGGGCTCAAAAGACGGTTGGTTCTCCAGATGGCGTTTCGGGCCTCCGATCTGCTTTGACTTATTCCTTGCCATTTGCCTGTAGAACTGAAATCTGAGCTGTCGTAAACAGGCAATAAACCCGTGTTTCGGTGGCATACAGTATACGCAGTACACGTATCTACGTTACAGGGCCCGAAAATATAGACCATGCAATGAGCCGGATGCACGTGCTCGCCACTGAGCAAGCTTTCTGATCAACATACAGTCCATTCATAGGTTTCACCTCCAACTTAACCACCTAATCTAACATAATCTCCCCAAAAAGTTGTAATATCTATCGTACCTTCTTCGACCATGCTCGCAGTCAGAGAGTGGATGTAGTCAGCAAGATTAGAACTTGAACACCTGGTCCTCAGTGTAGCCGAGCTCCTTCAAGATACCGGCCAACTCACCCTGGTCCTTAGGGGACTTCTTGGTACCAGAGATAGCCTTGTACATAGCCGGAGGACCACAGACGAAGATCTTGATCTTTTCAGACTCGGGAGAGGGAAGGACAGTTTGCAACAACTCTTTGCCAATGTATCCCTTTCCGCCCTTCCACTCCTCAGGGCCCTTCTCTAAAACGTAGAAAGCCCTGAAACGCTGAGGGAACTCCTGCTCGAGGTCCTCGAGCTGACGCTTGAGAAGAATGTCCTCCTCGGCGATGTTACCGAAGCAGAGGGTGACCTTAGTCTTGTCGTTGGGGTTCTTGAAGATGGCACGGCAAAGCTGGTACATAGGGGCGATACCGGTACCACCGGCAATCAAAGCGACGTGGTTGTGCTTGTTCTCCTCCCACTTGTACTTGGGGATGGGTCCCTTGAAGGACAAGCGCTGGTCGACGTTCATGTCGTGAATGTGGGTAGACATGGGGCCTCCCTCGTACTTCTTAATCAAAAGGTCGATGTAGCCACGCTGCTCATCGTCGGAGACGGGGGTGTATGGGCGGATCACGGGCTTCTCCATGTTGGGGCCCTTATACTTGGTGAGAAGGCAGGAAGCGGCCTCAAGACCAGAGACAGCGTTGTCTTCAGGAAGGTGGAAGCGGAAGACCTGCGAATACCCTGTTAGCAGCGGATCAATAGCAATTTGGTGGCGCCGTGACGAACCGAGGTGTTGTGGTTGATCTTGGTGATCTCGACCAACTTGAGGTCAACCCACTCATCAGCCTTCAAGGCCTTGGTAGGAGGAACAAGCTTGTCCTTGGCCTCTTTGGCCTTCTCCTCGGCATTGGCGAACCAGCCGGTAAGAGCAAGGATAGTAGCACCACCACCGATCGCAGCATTGCGACCAGCCTTGGAGGCCTGGGGCTTAGAGGCGGTAGCGTAACCGCGAGCCTGCTGGCGGGCACAATGTGCGATATTTCTGAAGGTAAACATTATTTTTTTCTCTGGTGTAGAGGTTCGATGAGGATGAACACGGCCCTCGAAGTGGGGAATCGATCTGAGTATGTAAGCGGCATAAGCGGCGCACACCAGACGGAGATGCACATCGTCATGGCCGCTCCGTCCTTAATCATACATGGTTCGAAATATCTTTCCAAAGATTGTCAATACTAGATAGTTCTCAGCGCTTCCTTTTCAATCCGCCGTTGACTTCCTTCGTGCTTGGTTTAACCGTCCTCGGTTGTACGGGTGATTGGACGTGCTCCACTTGTATTAACTCCTCATCCTTCTCGAGTATAACGGGTATTCTGAATCCTTCCTGGTCCAATTCACGCTGGTCGATGGTAGTGATATCAACGTCTTCATCTTCGTTTACCGCTTTCCGCTTGTTGAGCTCTTCGTCATCAACCTGCAGACTTAGTTAATCCAGTGACCTGGGAGGTTGAGGATAAGAGAAAACTCACTATATCGAACTCATCTTCTCTTTCTTCGTACTCGACGTTCTCCTCCAACTCGACGAAGTCCGGAGCAAGTGCACTCCAGTTCTCCGCCTGTGGTATTGCCCATACATATATCACACCCTGCTCTAAACCAGCCGCCACGACCAAAGGCTGTACCGGATGCCAGTCCATGTCCACCAACTCCTCTCTTGTACCTTCCAAAATCTTAACCAAAGGTGTACCCGACGCACGCTCCCAAATATAGATCTCTGTTCGTTTATGAGAAGCTGCCAAAACGTAATCGCCCGATTGAGAGAAAGCGGCAGCATTCCATTGTAGTCGGTTGATAACATCCTGGAACTTGTATTCTATTTCGATTTCGGCCTCCACCGTTACTGTCGCCAGATCTGGTAATTGTATGGTACGGATGATACGATCTGCTGGGTTGAGCACGAGTTCTCGCCCAGATGGACTCAGCCTCATGTGCTTGATGTTTGTGTTGCCAATTCTGATGCTTTTGACGATGTCGAGCGATGGGTAGGCGATAATGTTGATCCATCCCTTGCTTGTTCCGCTCAAGATATAGCTACCCGATTTGTCCCAAATGGTAACAAGAGTCTGTTGGCTCGCATCGCTTGCTACTTGTTTCTCAGTCATTCCTTCAATGTCTTCTTGTGACCGTAGCGGTACTGTCGGCAGGACGTGCTTCACGACTTCGCCAGACGACATGTCCACCAGACATGGCTTGTCTTCGAAAAGGGCGGCGACACATATGAGATGGTTGGAAGGATGCATATCAGCTCCCCATATAGGCGCTTCGAACCGGACGGTATGCAAGCGGCTACCATCTTGGAGATCCCAGAGCACAAGCTTCCAGTCGCGAGCCGCTGACAGGACGTATCGACCACAACGAGACCAACTGCAGGTGACGATCAGCCAAAGCGCAGTATGAAAGCCCTGACGCGTGCCGTTAACTCACCTGACAGAGTTGATTGGACGAGTGTGACCTTTCAGCGTGCGCACAGGGCCGTGGGTGAGAAAGTCCCATATTACCACACTGCCATCCAGTAGACCAGCTGCTAGATGAGAGCCTGTCCTGTTGAACCGGAGACAGCAAGCGTGTCCAAATGCTGATTCGGTACATGTCAGCAATGAGTCTTGTCGCGCTTTGAGGATGAAGCTCACATAATTGGGTTACAAGAGTCTCGGGGTAGTCCTAAACGGTCTCGTTAGAGAAGCAACAATGGAAGCGCAACAGCGGAGGCATACCTGAGCAAAAGGATCGAGGAGCTCGAGATTGGCCATTCCGACATCAGCGACTCAACAGCGCACTCGAGCACGCGCACGGTAATGTTGACTCTCCAGCCACACCAGCCACGCACAATGGCAGGCTAACACCACGACCGCCGCGCAACAGGCATCGCATCATTCACCGAGGACGATACTGGTATCCTGCCAGATCCACCACAGCCGATCCGTCTCTTCTTCATTGAATCAGACCCTTCACCAAGTCATTCGTCCAATCGCCTTTTCAGCAGCTCTTGCGGCGCTCCGACGACACCATGGCGACCAGCTTCTCTTACTCGAGCGCTCCCCTCAAGAGGGTTGAGGAGGTTAGCATTCTTCTTTTGTCCTTGCATTGAGCGAAGTGCTGACGGATCGTGAAACCCGTAGGTCCAGTTTGGAATTATGAGTCCGGAAGAGATGTAAGTGGCCACAATATTGAGGGCAGGTGAACGAGGCGATTGCGGGCGAGTTTGGCGATGGACGTATTTCGATTGCAAAAGAGCCCCTCGAATTGCCTTGCCTGCCCACTCGTCCCTGCTAGGTTGTGAGGATGCGTGCTGACATTGTGTCGCTTTTAGCAAAGCCATGAGTGTCGCCAAAATCGAGTACCCCGAAACGTTTGACGAATCGAATACTCGCCCACGTATCGGAGGTCTTCTTGACCCGCGTCTCGGAACAATCGACCGTCAGTTCAAGTGTCAGACTGTTAGTCTCACCTGAGAGATGTGCATGATATGTTCCGTGCTGACACACGCATACAGTGCGATGGAGAGCAAAACGACTGCCCAGGACATTTTGGTCACATCGAACTCGCCCGCCCCGTCTTTCACATCGGTTTCCTTAAGCATATCAAGAAAATCCTTGAATGTGTATGCTACAACTGCGGGAAATTGAAGGTTGACGAAGTGAGTTTACGCCAGTATCTTTCGCTCTGCAAAGAAATTGGTTGTTAACATGGCTTAGGACGATGACAAAGTTAAGCACCTGCGGAAAGCAAAGTATATCCCGCCTGCAGCACGTTTGTCCATCATTCACGCCGCGGCGAAGGGCAAGATGGTTTGCGCGGCAAACCCGCCCGCCGAGGAAGTCAACAACGCCGATGGTACTAGGAAAATTGGCCACGGTGGTTGTGGTAACCCCCAGCCAACCATTCGTAGGGATGGTCTGAGGTTGGTTGGTACCTGGAAGAAGGCGAAGGATGCTGAGGTTTGTTTACTTATCAGTTGTTTCTGTCTGACGCACGCTTACATATGGCTGTAGGAGGGCGCACCTGCTGACAAAAAGATTCTGACTCCGCTCGAGATTCAGAATGTCTTCAAGCATATCTCGTCAGAGGATCTCGCGTTTATGGGACTCAGTGAGGGATACGCTCGCCCTGACTGGATGATCATTAGCATTTTGCCTGTCCCTCCTCCACAGGTTCGACCCAGTATTGATCAGGGCACGGGTGTGAGGAACAATGATGACTTGACCCACAAGCTCTCTGATATCATCAAAGCGAATTCAAGTTTGCGCCGATGTGAACAGGAGGGTGCCCCGGCGCACGTCGTTAACGAATTTGCTGATTTGCTTCAATATCACGTTGCTACGTACATGGACAACGATATTGCTGGCCAGCCCCAAGCATTGCAGAAGGGAGGCCGTCCTATCAAGGCTATCCGTGCGCGTCTGAAGGGTAAGGAGGGGCGTCTTCGTGGTAACCTCATGGGTAAACGTGTGGACTTCTCTGCGCGTACTGTCATTACTGGTGACCCAAATTTGGGCTTGGATGAGCTTGGTGTTCCGAGAAGTATTGCGAAGACGCTAACGTATCCTGAACGTGTGACGCCTTACAACATCAAGAAACTCACCGAGCTGGTACGAAATGGTCCAACTGAGCATCCTGGTGCAAAGTTCGTCATTCGTGAATCTGGTGACCGTATGGATTTGCGATTCAACAAGACCGCTGGGTCGATCGCTCTCCACTACGGTGATATTGTCGAGCGTCACATCAACGATGGAGATGTTGTGTTGTTCAATCGTCAACCATCGTTGCACAAAATGTCTATGATGTGTCACAAGATCAAGGTCATGCCCTATTCAACTTTCCGTTTGAATCTTTCCGTTACAACGCCATACAACGCTGATTTCGACGGTGACGAAATGAACATGCACGTACCTCAATCAGAGGAGACACGTGCTGAGTTGGGTGGCATTTGCTGGGTTCCCAGGCAGATCGTGTCTCCTCAATCGAACAAGCCTGTAATGGGTATTGTGCAGGATACTCTTTGTGGTGTTAGAAAGCTCACTTTGAGGGACGAGATGTTGAGTAAGGATGCGGTTATGAACATCTTGCTTCATGTTCCTGAATGGGACGGGTATATGCCTCCACCAGCTATTATGAAGCCGAAGCCCATGTGGACCGGTAAGCAGATTTTGTCCAAGGCTATCCCGAAGGGCATTAATTTGTCGCGTGAGGACGGCAAGGATTACAATCCGCTCAGTGACGCAGGTATGCTTATTATGGATGGTGAAATTATCTACGGTGTCGTGGACAAGAAGACTGTCGGTGCTACTCCGGGTGGTTTGGTGCACATCATCATGCGTGAAAAGGGGCCCGAAGTATGTCGCGATTTCTTCAACGGCATTCAACGTGTCACCAATTACTGGTTCCTCCACAACGGGTTCTCGATTGGTATTGGTGACACCATCGCCGATCCCAAAACCATGCAGAGTATCAATGAGACAATCGCGGCTGCGAAGGACAGGGTCACTGCAATCATCAACGATGCTCATCTCAACAGGCTTAAACCCGATGCTGGTATGACTTTGCGCATTACCTTTGAATCGAAGGTTTCGAAAGAGTTGAACGAAGCTCGTGATACAGTCGGAAAGAACGCTGAGGCCAGTTTGAAAAAGTCGAATGCAGTTAAACAGATGGTATCTGCCGGATCTAAAGGTTCCTTCATTAACATCTCCCAGATGTCTGCTTGTGTCGGTCAGCAGATGGTCGAAGGTGCTCGTGTACCTTTTGGTTTCCAGTACCGTTCATTACCGCACTTTGCCAAGGACGATTACAGCCCCGAGTCCCGTGGATTTGTTGAAAACTCGTATCTTCGTGGATTGACTCCTCAGGAATTCTTTTTCCACGCCATGGCTGGTCGTGAGGGTCTTATTGATACAGCTGTCAAGACCGCTGAAACTGGTTATATCCAGCGTCGTCTTGTCAAGGCCCTCGAAGATGTCATGGTTCAATACGACGGTACTGTACGAAACTCTTTGGGTGACATCATCCAGTTTGCATACGGTGAAGATGGGCTTGATGGTGTTGAGGTGGAGGGTCAGTCGATTGACCTTATCACAATGAGTGATGCAGAGTTCGAGAAGCGTTACAGCTTCACTGAGGCTGAAGGTCAGAAATTGGAACACCCTAAGCATCTGGAGCATGGTATCACGATTTGGGATGACCTTGAGTACCTTGACAAGGAGTTCAATGAACTGAAGGAGGAGCGTGAGTTCTTAAGGAGCTTTGCGTTCCCTGGTTCTGACAACGCCGGCGTTGTGCTTCCCGTTAACATCAACCGTCTTATTGAGAACGCGCTGCAGGAGTTTGGCATTACCCGCCTGACACCGATTGATATCACTCCTCGTTATGTGTATGAAGGTGTTTCAACGTTGTTGGAGAAGTTGACAGTCTTCAGGGGTGAAGATGAGATCACGAGAACTGCTGACTACAATGCCACCAAATTGTTCAAGATCATGGTCAGGTGCAGGCTGGCTAGCAAGGTCGTCATTGGCAAGCATCTTACCAAGCAAGCCTTTGACTGGGTTTGCGGTGAAGTTGAGAAGCATTTCGCGCACGCCATCGTGAACCCTGGAGAAATGGTCGGAACACTGGCCGCTCAATCCATTGGTGAACCGGCAACCCAGATGACGTTGAACACTTTCCACTACGCTGGTGTGTCTTCTAAGAACGTTACCCTTGGTGTGCCTCGTTTGAAGGAAGTGTTGAACGTTGCGGAGAACCTGAAGACGCCTACGCTTACTGTCTATCTGGATAAAGAGCATCGTGAGAAGCAGGAGATGGCTAAGCTTGTCCAGGCTGCTATTGCGCATACTACGCTCAGGTCCATCACTTCGTCCGTGGAGATTATCTATGATCCCGACCCGAAGGAGACCGTTATTAAGGAAGATAAGGAGTTCGTGGAGTCTTACTGGGAAATTCCTGATGACGAGGCTGAGGCTAATCTGCCACGCATGTCACCTTGGACTTTGCGTATTTTGCTTGACCGTGCAAGTCTGCTCGACAAGGAAATGACTATGGAAGAGGTGGCAAGTAGACTGGGCCAGGAACATGGCAAGTCACTTTTCCTTATGTGGCAGCAGGACAACGCTGATTATCTCGTTATCCGCGCGCGTCTTCTCCGGGGCGATGACGACGACAAGGATGAGGCTACTTTCGAGGAGGAGACTTTCCTTCAACGGATGGCCGAGCTTATGCTCGACCAAACTACATTGCGTGGTGTGCCTGGTATCGACCGTGTCTTCATGAGTGAACAAGACAGGTCTATTATCAACGCGGCAGGTGCCTATGAAAAGCAGAAAGAATGGACACTCGACACGGTTGGTCTTAACCTTTCTGATGTCATGCAGCTCGATCATGTGGATTGTCAGCGGATCTATTCCAACTCATTTGTTGAGATCAACCAGGTCTTTGGTATTGAAGCATGCAGAGCTGCCTTGCATCGTGAATTGGAAAAGGTTCTTTCTTTCGATGGTGCCTATGTCAACTACCGTCATTTGGCGCTCTTGTGTGACATCATGACCTACCGTGGACGTATTATGCCTATCTCTCGTTTCGGTATCAACCGTGCAGAGACTGGTGCGCTGATGAGATCGTCTTTCGAAGAGACTGTGGAAATCTTGAACGAGGCTGCCGCCCATGGGGAGAGGGATGACTGCAGGGGTGTTTCTGAAAATATCATGCTCGGACAACTTGCCCCTATGGGTACTGGAGAGTTCGACGTGCTTCTTGATGAAGAGCTGCTTGCCCAGTTTGCCGTTTCAAACAATATCACCATGACTGCTGACGGCATTGCTGGCAAGACGCCGATGTATGGAGACGCAACGCCCTATGACAACAGGTCTCCTGTGTACGATACGGGTTACTTGAGTCCCTCAGGTGATGGGAATGCTGCATTCTCTCCGTTGGCAGTGTCGGGTGCGTCGGTGCCTGCCGGGTTTTCCGAGTACGGAGGCGGCTTCGGCGCTCAGAGTCCATACGGCGCCGGTATTCAGAGCCCCGCTTTCTCAGCGCAAAGCCCCTTCTCCGGAATCAGCCCTTCATCCCCTGGTTACTCACCGTCGTCTCCTGCCTACAGCCCTACCTCTCCTGGGTATTCGCCTGCGTCTCCGGCATACAGTCCTACTTCGCCTGCCTACAGTCCCACGAGTCCGGCATACTCTCCGACGTCACCAGGGTACAGCCCGACGTCTCCGCAGTATTCGCCGACTTCACCTTCTTACTCTCCCACCTCGCCGCAGTACAGCCCTACAAGCCCCCAGTACTCGCCGACATCCCCGCAGTATAGCCCTACGAGTCCCCAGTACTCTCCTACGTCGCCGCAATACAGCCCGACGAGTCCTCAGTATTCCCCGACGTCACCGCAGTACTCGCCGACTTCCCCTCAATACTCTCCCACGAGTCCCCAGTACTCGCCGACGTCGCCGCAGTACTCTCCAACGAGTCCTCAATACTCGCCGACGAGTCCTACCTATTCCCCCACGTCTCCTCAGTACAGTCCCACGAGTCCTCAGTACTCTCCCACCTCACCTACCTACAGTCCCAACCAGCAGCAGCAGTGAGGGCTCTGATGGGTTATAAAGACAAAGGTCTGCGTGTGGTTTCTTCTTTCTTGGTTATGTTTCAAGCTTGGTGTTTGTGTTTCGTGGAAGTCGACTTCCCTTATAACGGTATTCTCATAGCCGTCTTGGAGTGTTTATGCGAGGGAGGCATCTTAAAAAGGAAAAAGTAGTAGCAGAAATTGTACGAATAGATAATGAAGTTATGCATACCTACCCACAATTTTTGTTGTAATTATCACTACGGTAGCCACAGCCATTGGGATGCTTGAATAGCCGGAATGTCAATTGTTTGACAATGTCATAGCAGCCAAGAATTTATAGCATTATAGTAGAAACATGCTCAATGCACAATGCTATATCATTGCCCGCGCCTCTCCTAATCGTAAACCTTAACCTACTCGTACAAAGAAGTATCGTTCAAAAACGTTAACGCCCATGCCTCACGCCCATGCCTCACGCCTTTCACCCACCATGCTCCTCATTGTTCTTGTAGTCCTCTAAAATGCACCAACAACACAAGTACCAAGGACCTTGACCAAACACTGTCCCTTAGGAATGCTCTCCGCAAAAGACTTAGGAATAGTCAAGTTAATTTCCTCGGACGCACTCTCATCAACCGATGCAACCTGCAACAAGTTGGCCTCTCCGGGAGCGTTCTGAGTGTAACGCGAGTTGAACTTAATGATGGACTTCATGGCGTTGTATTGCTTGATAGAGAGGGAGAGTTGCTTGTGGGGGATGATGAAGGTGACGCCCTCAGCGCAAGGAGGGGTCGTGAGGGATCCGGAATAGACGAAGTTCTGCGCCTCGGAGCCAGTCACCAACTCGATGATCTCTGAGAAATCGAGTTCCTCGGTCTCGGTTTCGTTACCTTTGTGCTGGACAGCCGAGATATCATGCACAACGGCATCCAAGAATTTGTCTCCGCCTTCCTCGTCGAGCTGGAAAGAGGGGCCAACGACGAGGAGGGATCCGTCTTCAGCTTGGTGAACCATGTGCATTTCGAGGGGCATATACTCCTCTGCGAAACGGTGCTCGGAGGGGGTGTGGAAGTGGAATTGAGCCAAGCTGTAGGTTTTGTTGTCGTAGATGGTCGTACCGTTCACGGCGACCTCGAGCGTGGTACCGAGGTTCTCCAGATGTGCCACCTGGACAGTAGGAACATTCATCTGAATCGCGGATCCAGAGATGTTGCTCACAGTGTAGTCGAGGTTAATGGGAGACTGGTTAAGACCGGTATTGCACTTGCTGTTGGCCGCAGCGAGGTTGTGCCAGTTCAGAGGTCCGGTCTCGCCGGTGTAGGAGAATTGGATTTTGCGTTCTTCTTCGGGTTGGACGGCGTTTTCGATTGCTTCGTCGGTGGAGACGGTTGCGGATTCGGCTTCGCGTTTGTAGAATTGGGTGCCGTGGAGGCAGGATGCGGCGGCGTGGCCGGAGGCAGCGAGGGCTGCGATGAGGATGGAAGCGTGCATCTTCATGATAGAGACTGTAAGAGAGTTCTAAAAGCAAGTAGGTCAGCGGAGGTCAAAAGTAGCAGGAGGAAGCAAGGCGTACTCGTAAGGAGGAGGAATACGGACCAAAATAGACTAGCTGAGCCTGAGATATGTGAAGGAATGTTGATTCTGACGAACCCAAGGAGCGAGGAGTAAGGCCAGTTTTATGGAAGTCATGACGAGGCTGAGCAAGCAATCGATCTGATACGGCGGCACAAAGCTCTCCTCTCTACTCTCCTACCTCGATGCTTCACATGCACGTATGAGTTTCGTAATTAACTCGCTAGCGCTCGCCTCCCCAATTCGCTAAAAGTTGGCGCGACTCGGCTCGTGCGCATCGCACGTTCCAGGCAAGAAAGGACCCTGAGAGTTGGACCGATCAACAAGGAGAAGGGATAGGGACCAGTCGAGGAATGTTGCCGTGATGCTCCTGGGCTACATTCTCCAAGAGCCGGCCAGGAAAGGACGAAAGAAAAAGACAATAGTTCTCCCTGCTTGTCGATCTTCTCCGTGCAATACATCATTAGTTTCCATTAGACCGTTGCTGCAATACCATTCCGGATTTTCACCAGACCCCACTTTGGCCATGGATGGAGGCCGACATCATCCGGTTCAACTCGACCCATGCCCTAAGGGCCGAACCGCTGGTAAACAGCCTGGTCCACAAGACCCAGAGCCACCTTAGAAATTGCTCAAATCCACCAGAGACCGAGAGATATACCAAACCCCGACATCAACCTGAGAGAATCGGCAGAGACTGCGCTTCCTCACGCGACATCCTGCACCTTCACGTGTTCCCAAGCACAGCGGCTCAGCGCCCTTGGCACCCTCCATGGCCATCCCCATCAGATATCTCCAACAACTGGGAGTTCCATCCGCCCGAACATGTCTGATCGCCTGTCTAATTTCATTTCCGAAATAAGCGTAAAGTTTAGTTGGGATATCACTTCATCTGACGTCTCGGGTTCATGCTTGTTGACTGCTGCGCCCCGCCGCAATCTGGAGCACACTGCAGATGGGATGCAAGTTTGTGGGGAAACTTGGGCATGGACATCTGGCTGTAATCGAGGAATGGACCAATGACGGTTGACGGTCTGGATGCTCTTTGGAGGGGATGGACGGGCCGAGAGGCGCCCACTGAGAGACGGTTTATCCTTAATTGAGTTGTTTGCTGCACAGTTAATGCTTATTTAATTGCTTTTGGGTGGAGGTCAGGGTTTGCGCGCCCTCCCTGCCAAATTTTCCGCGCCCCTGGCTAAAAGGCCCACACCAAAAAGTTCACTTACGTGCGGCGAGCCAAGGGAAGGTCGGATATCCAGCACCCTTCAACACCGTCAAGGTCAGTACAATGTCCCAGCAAATTGCAGGGTCTGCACCGGGGTGATTGCGTGTTCTACGTACCCTCCCCCGTTTCAGATTCGTGTTGCCATTCGCATCATGTCTTGAGGAAGTTCGGTTTGGCTGAACGTGGTCTTATCCTCTAGATGGCTCCCACCGACAAGACCCAGACCCAGAAGAAGTCCGGACGCTCCGCGATCTCTGATGTTATCACTCGTGACTACACCATCCAGTATGTTCCTTCTCTCTTGTTCTCAAAGCCAACTGGGCTAATTGATTGTCCACAGCCTCCACAAGTACGTTCACGGTGCTACCTTCAAGAAGAAGGCTCCCCGTGCCGTCAAGGTCATCAAGGAGTTCGCCAAGAAGCACATGGGTACCGAGGACGTCCGTGTCGACCCTCTCTTGAACAAGGAGATCTGGAAGCAGGGTGTCAAGGGTGTTCCCCACCGTATGCGCCTCAGGATCTCCCGTAAGCGTAACGACGAGGAGGGTGCCAAGCACAACTTGTACTCTTACGTCCAGGCCGTCAACGTCCCCACCACCAAGGGTCTCCAGACCCAGGTCGTTGAGGAGGAGCAGTAAGCGATGGGCTATTGAATAGCTTGTCGTGAACTGGGTCTTGCACGATTGAAGGAAGCGCGGGGTAATGTTTTTGGTTTGGATTTATTGGCGTTTTCGGATCTTTGCATTGATTTGTGTTTCTTGGCTTGTATGGCAGTGCGCCGGATAAGCTTCGTCCGTTAATGAAATACCATCATGTTATCCCCGTGTTCAATTGGATCTTTGAATCATCGTAGTGAACCACGAGATATGCCCTGTCCGTTTTCATCTTTGTTATTGTTCGCTTCCCTCTGATATCTTCTGTGGTCCTTAACAGCAGCTCATGAGGAATTTTGGAAGTGGTCGATTGATGGGCGTCCATTTCAGGGATTGGGAAAAGGAGGAAAGGAACACCGGTCGTGGCACAGCTCCATACTCCTCCTTGTTGTAGAAGACTGATACGAGACCTGTCACAATGTTGTTGGATTGGACTATCCTTTGCTTGTATCATCCCACTACACATCAAAGCACCCCCTTCGACGTCCACAATCACTACGCGTGCTGGAGCTGGCTGCAAGCGTGAGAGCATGTAGAGACGAGCAATGAACCATATTTCAGGATAATAATACTTTATTCCAAGAACATCGTACACGTACACCTATTCGTACTCTCACAAACTAAGTAGCCAAAAACAAATAAGATACGCCATAACCATACCATATCAAATCATCATACACTTTCATCCTCCTCTCACAACGTCCGACATACATCCTCGCTCAAAGACGAACACCAAGCTCAAGCAGCAACCTTCAAGTTAAGCCCAGCATCCTCACGAGCCCAGTTCCTGTGCTGACTCATCTCCTGACTGAACTGCTTCGCAACATCGCCAACGTTCGTCAACCCAACGTTCCTGCTGGTAATGACACCGTAAGAGTTAACAACCTCCGTGCTCTGCTCACTCAACGCAAGGTCAACACCAGGCAAAACAACAGCCTGCTGGATGAAATCGACACCCTCACCGGTAGCACAGATGGGCTTGAGGTGCTCGAAGGCCTCACGGACCCAGTGGGTGACACGGCCGGATTGCTTCATCTTCAAGATGTGGCCTGCGCCGCCGGGGACGTAGATAGCGTCAAAGAGCGTAGAACGGCCCGACTCCCAAGAGAAGTCCGCGCCCAACCCTTCCTCGTACTTGGAGGATTCCTCCTGTCCAGCGGCCTTGATAGGACCACGACGCTCACCAACGATGAACGTAACAGCCTTCTGCGCAGCAAGCGCCGTCCTCATCTCAGTGACCTGTCCCAAATCGAAACCATCGGCGATGAGGATGGCAACACGGCGTCCCTCAATCGAGCCATTTCCAGTCAACTCGGCCTGAGAAACACCCTGAATAGCGGCAGTAGGATATTCGGTCTTGAACGGCTTCTCAGGGGGCGCGACACCGACCTGAGTAGCAACCGTACAAGCAAGCTCGAACGAAACCATGTTCAAACGCTCAATCATGGTGGTGTAGACCTGAGGGTCATCACACTTTGACAACTCAAACACAAAGGAGTTGGTCATGTGTCTCTTCTCGTGGGGACGCATAGAGTTGTAGAACTGGGTAGCCTGGTTCAAGTGCTCGTAGAACTTGGGACCACGCTTGCGCTGCTTGAAGCCGTTGACTTCCTGGCGGTAGGTCTCGAAACCACCGGAGCCGCCGGAGGCAGGGGTAGGCTTAATGGAGGAGTAGCGGTTGGGCCAGTAGTTGACCTTGCCCTCGGTGATGGTGTGACGCATGAAGCCATCACGCTGGTTGTTGAGGGTGGGAGCGAGGGGCCTGTTGATCGGCAACTCGTTGAAGTTGAACGAGCCGAACCTGTTCAACTGCGTATCCAAGTACGAGAAGTTGCGGCCCTGCAAAAGCGGGTCGTCGGTAAAGTCGATACCGGGGACGATGTGAGAAGTGCAGAAAGCGACTTGCTCAGTCTCGGGGAAGTACTCGGTGACGTTACGGTTCAACTCGAACTCACCGATATAGCGGACGGGGACGAGCTGCTCGGGCCAGAGCTTGGTAGAGTCGAGGATGTCGAAGTCGAAGTTGTCGGCGTCGGCTTCCTTGATGCACTGGATACCGAACTTCCACTTGGGGTAGGCGCCGTTGTCGATGGCGGCGTACAAGTCCTTGCGGTGGAAATCGGGGTCCTGACCACAGATCTTCAAGGCCTCGTCCCAGACGAGAGAGTGGACACCCAACTCGGGGGTCCAGACGAACTTGACGAAGGTGCGCTCACCCTGCTCGTTGATCAACGCAAAGGTGTTGACACCGAAACCCTGCATCATACGGTAAGAGCGGGGAATGCCACGGTCAGACATGGCCCACATGAACATATGAGAAGTCTCAGGCTGGAGACCCATGAAGTCCCAGAAGTTGTTGTGGGCGGACTGAGCCTGGGGAACCTCAGTCGAAGGCTCGGGCTTACCGGAGTGAATGACATCCGGGAACTTGATCGAGTCCTGGATGAAGAAAACAGGGATGTTGTTTCCGACGATATCCCAGTTACCCTCATCGGTGTAGAAACGGATGGCGAAACCACGGACATCACGGACGGTGTCTGCGGAACCACGGGATCCCAAGACAGTAGAGAAACGGACGAACATGGGCGTCTCGCGGGAAGTGTCGGTGAGGACCTTGGCGCAGGTGACATCGGCCGCCGACTCGAACAAACGGAAAACACCGTGAGCACCAGCTCCACGAGCATGGACCACGCGCTCCGGAATACGCTCATGATCGAAATGGTGGATCTTCTCACGAGCATGGAAGTCCTCCAAGATATGAGGACCGGTACCGTTGTCGGAAATGACCTTCAACCAGTCATCGGTGTTGGAGACCTTGACACCGGTGTTTGTTGTCATGCAGTTGTCCCTGGTGGACTCTGGGGTGACGGTGTACTGTCCCAACTGCTTGATCTTCGCGTTGGACGAAAGAGCATTCGCCTTCTCAGCCATCTTGGCCTTCAAACCGCCGCCGACCTCCTGCATGGTCTCGAGTGCTGATTGCAACGACATGGTGGTATATTAGTGGTAAGTGAGGGATACCCGAAGTGGGAGGTGTACGCGCCTTATATACGGCTCCATCGCTGAGGAGGATTACGAATGGCGGGCTGTTCTGGGCGCGGTGACGTAACCAGCTGGTGAGCTGATGTGGAGCAGATCTGATTGGCCAATCCGTCGGCAGTTGCAATTGCACATCTACGCGCGTGCACAGCTGGTCCTGCCCTCCTAACCTGCCCTAATGGGGGTAGTCAAACCTCTGCAAAATTTACAGCGAAGTAGATTATAATCCAGGGCATAATACGCTAATGTCTGACCGACCCTTACAAAACATAGACAGATTATTTTTTCAGCAGGCGGTTAGCTCCCGCTCACGTGAAGCATGCACGGTCTACCGTGCATAAAGCCGCAACACCAAAACGGGACGCGAATCGAGGCCAACAACCCAATGAATCCAGGCTGGTTTTCGACCGGATTACCGGTCCCTACGACCAATTATGGTGGTCCGCTTGAATGCTTAGACTGCTGTAAATAGGTAAATTGTCGATAGAGGATTGAAAAACAAGTGTAAATACTGCATTTAGTTTGTTTATTCCCCATGCGCTCAGTGGTCTGCTCGATTCCCAACCCTTGTATCAAAAGTCTCGATATCCTCACGGTATTTGCGGAAAAGGTCGGTACGGCGCATTCGACGGCGTGCTTGAGTGCCATTTTGATTGAAATGCGCGCGTATATCATCGGGGTGATCTCCCTCTAGATCCATGTTTACCAACCATGATTCGTCGATGTCCGCGGATCCGTGGAGATTGAGTATGTTGGCCAGGACAATCCAAGATGGTATCTATTGAAACAGACCTTCATAGGTTCCTTCAGAAACGGTCATGGGAAGGCACTGTAGCGACCCAAATCGAGCCTTCAGCACTCCAATGGTATGCTCGACCGTGACCCTTATATGGGAAACTTCACAGTTGAATCCAGCTTTCCGGGCCGTGTATCCTTGATACTGCTTGAAGGGAGTGACAATTGACATGGTATTGCTGTATGCTGAATCCGCAAGCAGGTATTGGGTGGGACCGAAGTATACGTCTGGGTCTAGGTGCAGCGGTAAATCCTTGTAGGCAGTTGAATCATGCTGGGAACCAGGTAGAGAGCAATTAAAGTGTCTTATAAGACACTGGTCATCACAAACAATGGTTGCCTGAAGGCCGTACTGAATACCATGGGTAAGCCGTTAACATTAAATGCTTGATAAGGTTCTATGGAGTGACTTACCTGCTTTTTGCGCTGGCAGAGGTAGTCCAGATGTTGCCGTTTCTCGAGTTTTACCATCCAGGCGAAGGGAAACACGTCGAGTGAACACGGTTAGGGTGCCCTTACCGATTCCAAACAATTCGGCTATTTTCGACAATGATGAACTAGTAGAACCTTGGGCGCCGAATCGAAAGAGGATACAAGCCAGCTGATACCTTACTGATGCTTGTTCACAAGCACTGTTGTTGTAGAACACCGGGTTGGTCTTGATCAGACCGAGGGCGAAATGAAAATCTTCTCGATTCATTCTGTAGTAGGTCTTGAACCTTTCGTCATCATAACCATTGAGAACCTCTTCAGTGAAGTGTTGGGACTTTGCCAATCGTTCGCATGCAGAGATATATCGAGTGTTTTCGATGATTCCAAGCAGCTGGTAATCTTCGTCTTCGGAATTGTCGGTCTCCATGGATTGCAAATAAAGGTCCCAATCGGTGATTCGTCTGGATGCTCCGGAGCTCAAGGATGACGGCGTTGATGGTGTCGAGGCCGTAGAAATCGATGAAGCTGAAGAGGGCGAGCATTCGTCGAGGTCAAGTTGATCCATAGCAGCATTTTCTAAGCTGTTGAAATGGTCCGAGATCGACAATGGGCGAGAGGGCAATTCAGCCTCTCTGGACTGTCAATAACGAATGATCGCGTTGCGCAGTTGTCGTTTCAGGCTTCTTTGAGGCATTTGGGAATGGCACGTTAATATCATGGTAGTGAGTTTGCCTCGAGGCAGCCGGGTCAGCCACAACGTAGCTATGCAGATCATGCGCAGACCCTGAGTGAAATCTGCATCAATTTCCTAATTGGGCGCATCGGCTCGCCCTACTCGATTATCTTTTAAGCGATTATTTTAACGACCCTGCTCGAGCACCGCGCAAAAATAATGGATGTTTATGCATGGGTTGCCATGGCAACCGCGCGATTCAAAATCAAGCTATTATCTTTTTGCAGAGGTTCGACTACCCCCACTGAGCGAGGGTTGTAAAGCGCGGGTGACCGCGTCATGTGGACGCTGGAGACATGCTTCCATGGTAAGGTTTACAGATTGATATCTCGCGATTGCAATCGATCGTAGACAGAGGAGGGGTGTAGCATGACAACGGCATCGGAGCATCGAAACCCTTAGGGGCCCCTCCGTCGGCAGTTGCAATTCACGTTACCGCTAGTTAGAGTGGTTCAGATGGGATTTTCCGAATTCTACATAACGGGTGAGACCGGAGAATTTGTCGTGTCGTATGACGCAGATTTGATCTTCTCGGTGTTCGAGGGTGCACGTGCACGTGCGTCTCAATTCGAATTCGACGTCGAAATGCTTCTCGCGTCCCTTGGTCGAACATGTTTCTCAGGAAGGCAAGGAATTTGGATGAAAGTCTGACTTGGTGGACACCTCGGTATATCATTCCTCCGATAAGGTTTTGGCGGTGGGGAGAGACCCAGCTGCACGCACCTGCCACCGACGCGCTACACTCGTAGATCCGACGTATATGACACTTATTGCACAAATCCAACTCTTGACTGAGATCCTCCAGTACGGCCGCGGACATTGAATGAGCCTCCTACCACGATAACGCAGCTTGCAGTTATCCAGTTCATTCATTCATCATGGGCGCCTCAGTCGGCGAACTCATCTTCATCGCCGTCAAGCCAATCATAAAAATGGCCATAACAGCCCTCGGCGGCGTCTGGCTCTCCCACAAACAAATCCTCACCCCCGCCGCCTCCCGCTCCCTCTCCCTCATCGCCATAAACTTCTTCCTCCCCGCCCTCCTCTTCTCCAAAATCGTCCCCTCGATCGATTCACAGAATATTCCGCAGCTCGGAGTGTTAATATTGAGTGGGATTTTTTATCAGGTGTGTGGGTTGATAACGGGGTTGTTGGTGAGGTGGTTGACGCCTGTGCCGAGGGCTTGGAGGAATGGGGTTGTTGCGGCGGGGATATGGAGTAATTGGGGTGACCTACCGCTCGCTTTCGTTTTGACGCTCACTAATGCAGCGCCGTTTACGGAGGAGGACCAGTCATTGGGAGTGGCATATGTGAGCATCTTCATCATCGTGTTCTTTGTGACGATGTTTCCGTTGAATGGGATGGCCCTCATTGCACGGGATTTTACGCATCCTGCCGTCGCTGTTGCGGATCCGGAGGAGTCACCGCCGGTTACGGCTGTGAGCAGTCCCACGGCTATACAGTCCGAGGCGGAGGACACGAAGATGGTTGAATCGAAGGAGCGGGAACTTCAGGGACCGTTGAAGATGAGGACACAGGAGTTGAAGGATGGAATTCCGATGACGGAGATGAAGAGGCGGCCATCGAAGAGTTCGGGGCCGAAACCGACATCCATGGTGACTACGCGAGCAAAGCCAGACTATAAAGATGAGACTGTGGATGATAGCCAGTTGTTTCCAGCTGCACTGGAGTCGTTCGCACCTATTACCAGAATCGCTACGGCGGATTCGCTGGCGATCAGCAGGATCAAGTCAAACCAGACCGCCGACCAGCCTTGGCAAAGGCGTTCATCAGACCAAACACTACACAGCCGAAAACCCTCCATATCACCCTCCGCACCCCCACCGAAACCAACCTTCTGGCGAAAAGCTCACTCCCTACTCAACACCTTCCTTACTCCACCAACAATCTCCCTCATCCTCTCCATCATCATCGCCGTCATCCCAAAACTAAAAGCACTCTTCGTCTCTGGTCTCTCCGAAGGCATCAAGAATGCCCCAGACGGCCAACCACCCCTCGAAATCATCCTCGAGACCGCAACATTCATCGGAAACGCCTCCGTTCCCTGCGGTCTGGCGATCTTGGGCGCATCCCTTTCCCGCCTCTCCCTGAAACGCATTCCGAGTCTGTGGTCAATCGCCTCAATGGCAATTCTTAAACTCGTAGTCATCCCAATCATCGGAATCGCGTGGACGACAGGCTTAGCACGCACGTCTCTAATCCCAGACGACGCGAAGATGTTGCAGTTTGTGATTATCTTGTGTGGAGCTGTACCGACGGCTACCACGCAGGTTTATTTGACGCAGATCTTTTGTCCGCCGGAGGAGAGTCCGGATGAGCAGTTGGATGCATTGTCGAGTTTTTTGATTTTGCAGTATGCGTTGATGTTGATTACATTGACGGCGACTGTGGCATATTCCATTAACATTCTTTATTGACGAGTTTTGGTCAACGGGCGTGGGATTATCAATAAATCATAACCATTCATGGTCGCGGCAGCCGAGTCTAAAGGTTGTAGTTGTCCTCTGGCACATACAACGTCGGCAAGGCCGATGGGTAACCTTACAGAATCGACCATTACCTAAACTTCACAGGTGCATGCAGATCTAGAGTATTAAGATTTTCTTTATTGCCTATATCCCAACCGCTAAACAATCAAGAAATGATATACAATCCAGCGTTTCTCTTTTCCGCCGGTTCCTCCCTCCGCACCTCACTTTTTCATATCTTTACACAATTACCGTCATTACAAACGTCACCCGCTTAGTACCTGTTCAAGGACATGTCGGTGCGGATTCTGTTGTAGTCAAGGATACCCTCGATAGGACCGATAGCAGCCATGGCGACGTCCTGGTCCCACAACTTCTCCTGGGCAACACGCTTAACATCCTCAACAGTAATCTTGCCAATGTGACGCTCAATTTCAGCAGGGGTCATACGGCGACCGGTGGTGACGATTTGGCGACCAATGTCCTCAGCGACGGCGGTGGTAGAGTCAAGGGAGAGCAACAAAGCACCACGGAGCTGAGCCTTTGCACGCTCGACCTCGGCCTCAGTAGGGGAGGTAGAAAGACGGGACCACTCCTTCAAGGTGAAGTGGATAAGGTCATCAAGCTGGGTAAGGTTCTCGGAGACCATGTAGATACCCCAGAGACCGGTGTCGGCGTAGCTGGTGGAGAAGGAAGAGTAGGAGTTGGCGAGGTGGTTCTTGGAGACCATGTGGGAGAGGCGGGAGCCCAACTCGGAGGCGTTACCGAGGGCACGGTCCCAGTTACCGATGATCGACTGCATGACGAGCATGGTGAAGTAGTCGGGGTGTTTCCACGAGACACCCTCGACGGCGATAGCGATGTGGGCGGCGGGCATGGTGTCGTCACGAACACGGACTTCAGAACCGACGAACTGAGGCTTCGGGCCACGGGCCGTACCAAAGCCAATAGCGTTCTGGGAGGTAGGGAGATTACCGAAGTGCTTCTCGGCGAGCTTAACCAAGGCATCGTGCTCAACACCACCAGCACCGACGAGAACCATGCGGTCAGCGGTGTAGTTCTGCTTGATGTAGGAGGTAATGTCGTCACGGGTAATCTTCCTGATGTTATCCCGGGGACCGAGGATAGTCTGGCCGAGAGGCTGGTGCTGGAACGCGGTGGCGTGAAGGTGGTCGAAGACAACCTCCTCGAGCTGCTTGTCAACCTCGTCGGACTCCTGGAGGATGACACCACGCTCCTGCTCAATAGCGGACTCCTCAAGCTTAGAGTTAAGGAGAATGTCGGCGAGGACATCAACGGCGGCGGGAACGTCGTCCTTAAAAGTCTTGGCGTAGTAGACGGTCTGCTCACGGGACTATAGAGATAAAGTTAGTACCTGCAAAGATAGACGGCGAAGCGAATATGCATACAGTGTAGGCGTTCAAGTGAGATCCCCTGAACTCAATCTCCTTCTCGAGCTGCTCGCGTGTCCGGGACTTGGTACCCTGTGCAAACAACGTAAGCAATCAAACTTTGCATGGTTCGACGTCCGGGGTGCGCACCTTGAAGGCGAGGTGCTCCAAGAAGTGAGCAGTGCCGTTGTTCTTGGAGTCCTCAGCACGGGATCCAGCGTCGATCCAAACACCAACAGTAGCGGTCTGTGCGTAGGGAGAGGACTCAGTAGCGACCTAAAACGTGTCCAAATCAGTCTTTGTCCTTCTTGTCGCTCCGATGGCGTAGATCAACGTACGGTGAAGCCGTTGGGCAAGGTGGTGGTCTTCGTCTTCGGGGTGAACGAGGGAGCGGAAGCGTAGAAGCGACGCATGCCGAAGGTCATGCGGGCATTTGTGCCGACACGGGCGAGAGACGAAATCCTCGATGCCATTGCTTTGGGATATATGGTGGTGATGATGTTCGACCAATTGCAGTGTACCTAGTCGCCAAAATCCCGGCCGCCCTGACCCGGGGAGAGGAAGGGACATACACGGATTGTGATAACAATAACTCCTTGTAGTAGAATATAAATAGTAGTATTTCAGACAGCATTCATGTTATGATTATGCTGGGAGCTTGTCATGACTTTCGTGCGAACGAGGATTGCGGGTGGTCGACCGGTCTCTGATTGGTTGAAAATGCACCTCCCCAGCACCAAGATCTGGCGAGAAGCAAAGATCGGGCGGGCTCATCTTCTTTTCAAAAGCCTGTTTCCAAATTGGAGCAGTTCCATCGCATAGCTTGACTCGTCCCCGTCTCTATCTCCACGTGATAACCTGACGTACATCCAAGTGCTCCCCACGGAAGGCATACCAAAAGACCCCTACACCAGATCCCAATCAGCACAATGACACCAATACCCTCTCAGGCTACGGACCCGAAGCTTACACCCTTCCTCCTCCTTGCCAAGTCCGCAAAGGGCAAGGCCGCCGCCGACCTTGTCTCACAGGCAACTGCGGCTCCAGGATTGTACAATTATGGGGAGTTACTGGAAACCGAGAGTATCAAAGCGTTGCAAGGAGGTAAGGAGTGGGAGATGTTGAGGCTGTTCGCGTATGGGACCTATATGGACTATAAAGGTAGAATTGGTCGTGAACAAATGCAACCTCTGTTTGCTAACCGATGGTCCCCTGTTCTACAGGCAATTCCGATGCATATCCTCCTTTGTCAGATGCTCAGCTCGCCAAGCTGAAAGTGTTGACTCTCGTCTCCCTTGCGTCAATAGCCAGTGCGCATACACTCCCTTACACCGACCTCATGTCTACTCTTGACCTATCTTCTGACTCGGCACTGCGCGTACTCATTATTACCGCAATATATGCGGGTCTGATTGACGGAAAGATGGATGCTGCTACTCAATCCTTCCGCGTATCTCGTACGAAGGGCCGAGATATCGAATTGTCAGACACCAAGACCGTGGACAAAATGTTAGCGATATTGACCACGTGGGATGCTGCCTGTACTGGTGTATTGCAGGATATCGATGACAAACTGAGAGATATTGCCGAAGCAAGGAAAGAGAAAGAGCACGCTGACGCTGCACATGCGGCGAAGTGCGATAAAATTACAGACGAGCTCAAGGCGCAGCAAGAGAAGAGCAAGGGTAAAGGCAAGGGCAAGGCAGGTTTTAACGACGACGCCATGGACATCGACGAAGGAGCTGGGCATGAGGGCTCGGTGGGTAGCGGTAGGAACTTCTTTGGGCTTGGCGGAGGAAACCAGGAGAGAAAGAGGAAGAATCGGGGGAGTAACGAGAAGAAGAGATGAAGAGCTGAAAGTATTTTCTGTGGCGTTGTGTTTTGCTATGCGTGTTGGTTTTCTTACAGTCGCCGGCGTTATTCTCGGATATTGATACCTTTTCCTCTCCTTCTCACTTGCGATTGATTCAATTGCAACGACTGGCCGAAGTGTCTTTGAGTGCAATGAAATCAATGATATAAATTGGCTCGACAAACGTAACATACAAACGCCCGTTATTTTCACTCGGGTTCATCGCCGCCTCAGAACTTCCACCCCCAACCTCTCAAAACCCCCTTCATTACTTTATGCGGTCCAGACCTTCTTAATACCCTCAACAATTCCAACGTCGTTCGTCTCAAACTGGTACAATCCGTACAATACGGTGGCAGTAGCCCCACGGAGAGCCCATGTCGCGAAAGGGGCGAGCTTCTTGTATTTGCGTTCGGGAATGTAGTCGGTCACACAGGCGTCGAAACCGATGTGAGAGTGAATGACGAGAGCACTGCAGAGAACAGCGTCCATCACTGGAGAGACGGAACCAGCGACGAAGGGCGCAACGGTCAAGGGGACGAGAGCAATGGAAACGAGACGCTCAAAGTCCCAGTGGTAGGAACCGTGGCTCCTAGAGACGGGAGGGATAGGGGCAGGGTCATTGACGGTTCCCTGAATAACCTGAGGACCGGCTGCACCGATGCGAAGGGGAGCAGCTATGGGCAAAAGGTCAGCACTCTGATCGCCGGAGGAGGCGTCCATGAGACGAAATATAGGGATACGCACTGGTACGGAAAGCCGCAACACGAGCGGGAGTGATGATGGACTTGGCCGCAGGGCGGAAAGCGGTACGGAGAGCTGCCATTGCTGATATCTGAGGGTATATTCTTTATGGTGTTTCCTCGGCAGTGCTGCACGGACTTTCGCGGGGTACGGCCGACCGGAACTCGCCGCAAAGTTAGGACGCTCATTGGCTGGAATAATCGAGCTTGTTAATTATTAATTCAGATATGCATTCAGGCTAGTAACGTAGATATCGATATCGAAAGTGTATGAACGGACTCCGGCAAGTAATTACCCAAAGATCAGTCAGAATGGCCAGTACTGCATATACAGGTCCTCAGCAGCCCCAGGGCGACAAGAAGCCGAGAACGAGAGGGGGAAGAGGCAGACCAAATGACTCACCAGAAGTCCAACTATCAAAATCACTATCTTACATCCTGCGACATGGAGCAGCAAAAGAGGGGCTGGAGATGCGCGAGGACGGTTATGTGATTCTTAAAGACATTGTGTGCATTCCGGATATGCTGGTCCAGATTGGTTGCTAATCTGGGACATACAGCTGGCACGGCCAAAATTCAAGAACGTCACATTCGAAGAGATCCAGCATATTGTCGAAACCAATGACAAGAAACGATATGCCCTACTACCACCAACAGATCTACAACAATCATCACCAGAAGGATGGATGATCAGGGCAAATCAGGGTCACACATTGCAGGTTGAATCGCTCGAACTTTCAGAAATTACCGAGCCATTACCGATCTGCGTACACGGCACGACAAAGAAGCCATGGGAAGCGATCAAACAGGAAGGACTGAGCAAGATGAAGCGAAATCATATTCATCTTGCTGTCGGCAAGTTTGGCGAGGAAGGTGTGATCAGCGGTATGAGGAAGAGCTGTACGGTGTTTGTGTACGTAGATATGAAGAAGGCTCTTGAGGCGGGGATCAAGTTCTACCAGAGTGCAAATGGAGTGGTCCTGACTGAAGGAAATGCTGAGGGCAAACTGTCACCTGAGTTCTTCGAGAAAGTCGAGGATGATAAGGGTCAATTGCTGCTGTGAGCGTATGTACCCGAGATTTATGTCTAGAGAACAGCCAAAGGGAACATCGAAAAGATCCAAAAACTGCTCTGAAACCATATGCTTGTTATGCTGTGGATATATTAGCAAGCTATAACAGATGTGATAACCTTTATCCCGTGTCCGGAATGCCAGATCCATGGTTCAATCGTGAGCGGTCTTTCATGCGATACGCATGATGGATATTGCTCGTGCGGATTGATAGATTTGTAATCTTCATAATCATGCAGAATGTGTATAAATCAATTACCACCAATATAAAGACAGGACGCCTTGCAACCATTTCCTCCCAACACAAAGCTAACCCAGCCCACAACCCAACCCCTCCAACTCGGACTCACCGCTGTTCTGCGATATCAGCCCCCCTACAACCCCCTATTCCTCCCCTCTCAAACCTACAGCTACAGCTACTGCTCCTCCTCCTCCCCTCTCTCCTCCAACTCCCTAATATCATTCTCGAGACCCGCGAAAACACTCTCCCTCGGACATCCCCTCACAAACCTCTCCACAGGCAAAAACACCGGTCCCAACTTCTCGATCCACTTCCTCCTTCTCTCCATCAGTACCCTAACACCCTCTCCCACTCCTTGATCTTTGTCAAGTGGGTGTTTGGAGGAGGACTTCTTTTTGGATTTGGAGTGGGTACGGGTACGTTTGAGGTAAGCTGTATCGACTTGTTTATCGAGGTCGTCGAGGATTGTGGTGTATTCCTGGTAGGCGAATTGTTCAGTTGTCAGCTGTGCCAGCCGGCGTTTTCGGGCGATATTTTCCGTCGAGACGGTCCGGAGTTGACGTTGGAGTGTTCGGAGCTGTGCGCAGATCTCGTCATCCTCGCGGGCGGACCAGTCGACTTCTTCTTCGGTTAGGAGTCCGATGTAGAGTAGCTCTTTTTTGAGACGTTCCTCGAAAGCCACGTAATCCATCCTGACTTGACTGATTTTCCAGGCTTTGTCGCCGCCCTCTTTCGCGCCCTGGACGCCGTTCTCCTCGACGCCGTCCGCGAGCGTCAATCCCTCTGTCCCCGCAACCTGCTCCTTGATAAGTGCAGCCAACACCCGCTCCGTCAGGGGTCCACACGAGATCTCCTCCGTCATGAGATACTGATCCGTCAAATCATCCGCGTTCCCCTTAGGAACATAATACTGACCACCCTCCCCACCCGCACCCATCACCCCCGACGCATCCCCCTCATCCGCCCACATCTCCATATAATGCACCCCCAACGGCGGCACCAAAAAACACCCCAACCGATCCCCCCTCTCCCTCAAAAACCCCAAATCCTCCTCCGTAAAAGGCCGAAAGTAGGGTTCGAGGTAGGTGTAGTAGGTTCCGATGTTGACTTGGTTCGGTGGTTTTTGGGGACGGGTGGAGAAGTCTTCGTTGGGGGCTGCGCCGGGGAGGAATTGGGATTGGTCGAGGATTGGGTAGGAGGCTACGCCGAGGAGTTTGCTGCGTTCGGTGGGGTTGTAGGTGGAGACTAGTTCGGCTTCCCAGAGGGCATCGAGGTCGCGGACGGGAACGGGTGGGGCGGCTGGTGGGGGTAAATTGAAGACTGGTGGTGGTGGACGGGGGAGAGTGGGTTCGCTGGGTGCGGGGGCGAGGGAGGGCGAGACGGTTTTGACTTTCTTTTCCTTTTCCTTGCGGTCTTTGGGGGTTTCGAGCTTGCGTTTCTTCTGCTGTGCACCAGGTGAAGGAGGAACGGCCGCCGGAGTTGGTTCTGTATGCGCGTCAGTACGAACTTTTGGTGGGATGTGTGCTGCCTACCTCGCTGTTCAGCCTTGACCTGCGGCGCAGGCGTCTTCCCCGGCACCGTCTTCGCACCCTTAACTGGTGATGGAGCAGGAGATGCACTCGGAACACTCTTGCCCGGCACAGTCTTCTTCGACAACCTCTCCCTCTCCTTCTCCTTCTCCCTCTCCCTTTCCTCCCTCCTCGCCTCCTTCTGCTCCCTCTTCTCTTTCTCCTTCTCCTTCAACACCTCAACGCGTTTCTGTAACTCCTTTGCATCACGCTCGAACGCGTCTGCACGGGCTTGTGCGCGTTCGGACAGGGCGGAGAGGTCATTTTTGAGGTCGATGAGAGCGGAGGAGTCGGGGATGGAAGCAGCATCTGACGATGAGGAGAGGTAGTTTGACAGGAGGGGTGGCAGGGGACTTGGCGGAGGGTGTCGGGTTGTTGCTGAAGCTTTCTCTCCCTTCATGATAAATGCAGCATACACACCCAGGAAATCTCAGGGGCTTTTCTGGTGGTTCTCGTTTGGACGCGATTCTTCGTGCGGTGGTGGAACATGCACACCCTGCATACAGGCGCAGCTGATAAACAATTTCTCGACTCCTCCAGCGATAGGGACTCCTCGGTTGGATTATGGCAGGATTGAAGATGGCAAAGGAGCGATTCGATGCTGATGCGTACTTGAAGAAGCAGGGTTGGAAGGGTGTAGGCAACGCCCTCAAAGAAGGCGGTCTCGCCCGACCGATCCTGACCTCGAAGAAGTTCGATACCCTCGGTGTATGCTTTGATCGATTCTCCTCCTCTTTGACAGTCCGCTGACCCCCAATCGTGTAGCTCGGCAAGAAAACCAAAGCCTCAGCCCAAGCCGATACCTGGTGGGACTCCGTCTTCAACTCCCAACTCAAAAACCTCTCCGTCTCGTCGTCCTCTGGTGCCGTCGTATTGGACCAAAAATTGAGTGTTGCGAAGAATGGAACGGGGTTGGTTAGTGCGCAGGCTACGATGGTGAATGCGGTTAAGGGTGGGGGATGGGAGAATCCCTTGTATAAGGCTTTTGTGAGGGGAAGTGGGTTGCAGGGAACTTTTACGCCGCCGAGTCAGTTAACAACTACGGAGAGTGTTGTGTCGTCGGAGGCAGAGGAGAAGGCGAAAAGCAAGAAGCGCAGCCGGAACGACAGTGACTCTACCTCATCCAAGAAGTCGAAGAAGTCAAGATCGTCAGATGAAGATAAGTCTGCAAAGAAACTCGCAAGAGAAGCCCGTAAAGCAGCCGAAAAAGAAGTCAAAAAGGCCGAAAAGCGTCGACTGAAAGACGCTGCAAAGGCAGAAGCCAAAAGACTGAAGAAAGAGGCGAAAGCTGCGGAGAAGAGAGCTGCGAAGGAGGCTAAGAAGGGTGTAAAGAAGGATACTTGAGCATGAGCATGGGAAAGCATGAAGGAGGAAGAAGGGCATGGGATACGGCGTTCGGGATCTACAGCATTTCATATACCCAAAAGACTGAAAGCATCGCATCTAGCCAGCTAGAATATTGAAAGACACCAAACTTCTACGACCCAAGCTTAAGAAACAATGTCATTTATTGTCGGGCTGGGGCACGGCAGCACTCGCCGCCGACGGCAACGTGCAGCTGCGCACATGCCAACTCCTTGGCAGCTTACAAACACCCAAACCTCACCTCCACCTCACCTTCAAACACCACCACGATGTTTTCCTTCTTCAGCGGCGGTAACAAGGCCCCTGAGCAGCCATCAAGCTTTGCTCGATCCTCCCTCGATAAACGCGACCCAGACGCCCCACCCGCCTATGACGCTCCCGTGGGTGAAGCGTATCCCCCCCTCGACACCTCACTCTACCGCCACCTCCGCGGAAAACGAATCATCCTCGCCTCCGCATCCCCACGACGCCGCACCCTCCTTGCCCAAATGGGCTTAGAGGACGTTGAAGTCGTCCCCTCGGGTTTCGAGGAGAACGTCGATAAATCACTGCTCACGCCATGGGAGTACGTCCTCGAGACAGCGAGCCAAAAGGCGTTGAGGGTATACGAACGCATCGTCGCCGAGGGCGAGGAGCCTGATCTCGTTTTGGGGTTCGACACCATCATTTCCTTTGGGAACACAGTCATCGAGAAACCGCCTTCAACAGCAGCTCATCTCACCCTCCTAAAACAACTCCGGGACTCATCTTCCCCGCATAAAGTCTTCACAGCCTGTGTCGCAATCGCACCACTCACGACGCCGCGTCACCCCGGGTACTGTCTCCGCTCCCATGTCGAAGAAACCAGCGTCAAGTTTTCGGCCTCTACTACCGACGAGTGGATCGAAGCTTACGTCCGTTCTGGAGAGGGAAGGGATAAAGCTGGGGGGTATGCGATTCAGGGGAGGGGCGCCGTGTTGGTGGAGAGGGTTGAGGGGGATTATGGGAATGTTGTGGGGGTGCCGATGAGGGGGACGTATCAGTTGATTGAGAGGGTGTTGTTTGAGCAGGGAGAGGAGGAGGTCGATGGGGAGGAGGAGCAAGAATAGAGGGAGGGGGAGGGGATGTGTTTTTGGATAGATATGTGGTGTCTTTCAGTATTCTAGCTGGCTAGATGCGATGCTTTCAGGTTCTGGGTATATATCAAATGCTAGATCCCCTCGATTCTCACCTCGTATGGGTCTTTGCGCGACGCGACAAGCTGCACGTTGCCGTCGGCGGCGCGAGCACGGCCACGCCCGATTGCAGGGACGTGAGATAGAGCATTGAACCCTGGAAGATGGTTGAAGATGAAAGTTAGATGTAGCTATCGAGCAGCAGTAAAGTAACGATGGCCAGGACCCGCCTGGTTAGACCCTTCTGAGTAAAGCAAAACTCCGTGAACTCCCCTTCCCTTCCCATTCCCTTCCCGCACACCTCTTCCACAGCCAAAGCTATTCCTCCGACTTCTGTCGAGAGAGGCGTCCGAAACCACCCCACCCGCCCTCCAAATCCCTCGGCACCTCAGCCCCCCTCTCCGCACACTTCCGCAGTAACGCTTCCCGTTCCGCAATCAAATCTTGCAAGAAATCCACCGAACGTTTCAGTACGACAGCTTCGGATCGTCCTTGAGAGCGGGAAAGACCTGGGACGAGTTCGGCGAGGCGTTCGAAGCCGGAGCGGATTGCTTGGCGGCGTTTTTGTTCCTTCGTACCTAATCAGTATCACGAATGCTTCCCTGTTGTCGTGGGACATACCGAAGCGATATGATTGGCTTTCTTCTCTTCTTGAGTTAGGAGCTCCCCAGGCGGCTTTGCCCACTTTGGAACAGGCATCTGCTTCGTCGTCATACCATCCCTATCTCTATCATCGGCGTCTTCTTGACTATCTCCCGAGCCTGAACGCCGTCGCGAGCGTTTACCCCTCGGTCCCGCCTCATCTGTGATTGAGGGACGCTTCAGCGAAGTCGAGGATGTTGATGATGGACTCGACATTGTTGTCCAGCGTCGAAAAGGGGTGTTGTCAAGGGGACAACGGGTTGGTTGGGCGGCGAGCAACACGGCGTAAGTGTCGTCCATGCAAGGCGGCAGTAGCGCGGTTGTACGAATCATGTGAAAGACGACCGCCGAAGTGCTCCGCCGAGAAAGTCGTGATCTGAGGAAAGTCGAGGAGAGCGGATGAGTACGTTCAACGGCGTGGTCAAGGAGTTTCCCGAGATAAGGGGTATGCTCGGAGTCCTTGTTGAGTCAGGGTGCTGTGTTGACGGGCGGGGATAGTGGACTACTTCCGACCACAGCCGGATCTTCCGCCCGTACAGGCGTATCTCTTGTCGCATGTACATGCTGACCATACGTATGTCGCATTCACCTCTGTCGAGCTTCAAAGGGCTGATGTGTTTGCGACAGAAATGGGTTGCAATCCCAGTTCTTCGGAGGTGCATTCGTGTATTGCACAGCGGCTACGAAAGAAATCCTCCTCCGCCTACAAACGAAAAAGGACCGCATACATTACGCGGAAGGGCTGATAGAGCAACGGCGATGTACCTTCCAACATCTGCAATACAAGCAGAAGGACCTACTAGTACGTGCATCACTCCATCTCTCCCCACGAGCTGACGTTTGTCGCTCAGCGAGTCCTCCCAATCGATACACCAACCCTCATCGAAATAGGCGGCAACAGACATATCCGCGTAACACCCCTCGACGCAAACCACTGCCCCGGCGCATGCATGTTCCTCATCGAATCCGTCCTCCCATCCCCCGCTCGCGCCGTCCTCTACACCGGCGATATCCGCTCCGACCCCTCCCATATCGCATACCTCGCCTCCCACCCCGTCCTAACCCCCTACCTGGCTCCCACCGCTGCTGGACAGAAGCCGTTGAGGATTTTGGATAGGGTGTATCTGGATACGACTTTCGCGATCTCGGGCGACGCACGAGTACAATCCTTCCCGAGTAAAGCGGAGTCCTGTACGCTGTTGGTCGCCGAACTCGCGAAATTCCCGCCTGATACGGTTTTCTGGATGTCGTCCTGGACACTCGGGTATGAGGAGTTGTGGGTTGCTGCTGCGTCGGTGCTACAAACGAAGATCCATGTTGATCGGTATCGGTACGAATTATTCTCCTCTCTTGCGGCGCCGGGGGTTTATAGGTGGGGGCCTTATCTGGCGAACAGTGTTTGTACGAAGCAAGGTGAGGCGCAAGGGTCACGAATTCATGTTTGTGAGAGGTGGGGGGAGTGTGAGAGTAGGGATCGGGCGGAGAGGGAGGGGAAGCTCGTCGTGGTCAGGTTGGTGATATTGAAGGGGGAGAAGGGGAAGGGAATGGTGGAGCTGGGGGCGGAGAGGGTTTGGACGTTTCAGAAGAGTGAATTGACGGGAGGTACGGAGGCGGGGACGGAAGAAGTGAAGGGGGTGGACAAGATGTTGGGGGTTGTGGGGAGGAGGAGGGTGGAAGTATTGGCTGCCGCGAAGAAAGGCAAGGACGTCCTCAGAGAAATGATTAAGAATGACGGCACAAAGCTCCTGGCCGCCATCCGACAGACCCCCATGGACTCAGTCGCCCTCACCGCCTCCCTCAACACCTCCCCAAATCCCCAAACCGTCATCCACGACCTCATCTCCCACCTCCCCTCCCCTCACGGACCAGCCATGCACATTCCAAGCGTCACCGTCCCATTTTCCCGCCACGCATCACTCACGGAGCTTCAGGCGCTCATCAAGCTCTTCCATCCTCGCGACATATATCCGTGCGTGGTCGCTGATGAGCGGCTGTCGTATGTCAACATGGAAGCTTGTTTCGGGCATCTCGTCACCCGAACTGAGGGTGAGAAAGCTTCACAAGGGCGGTGGTTGTTTGAATTCGATGAGCAGAGGGAACGGAGGGGGTTTGAACGGGAGGAGGTGAGGAGGGCGGTGGAGGAGGTGTTAGAGGAGAAGTGGGCTGTTAAGGCGGAGGGGTTGGATGTTGAGGAGGGGGAAGATAATGTCGCTTTCGAGGGAAATGACTTACAGGATGAGAAGGAGGCGGAGGGGGCGGTGACGGAAGCGGTGGTGAGGAAGGTGGAGAAGGTGCAGTCGATACAGATAAAGCGGTTGAGGAGGGATAAGAGTATGGACGTTCCGATCGTGGCTAAGAAGGTGAAGCATTCGACGTCGTCTCTGTCAGAGCCCTCGCTGCCGAAGCTAGAAGTGGAAATAGAAGGCAGCATCGGAGGAGGAGAGGTTTTGGGAACGCAGGAGCCGACGACGAGTCAGTCACGGGAAGTGGAGTCTTCGCCGCCGAGCGCGTGGAGGAGACGCACACCTCCGCCAAGGCGGGCAGTGGTGAAGGAGGTGATAGATGTTGATGAGGCGCCCAAACCACGAGCGACAACTGTCGTCCCGACGCTACCTGTGTCTGTTGGGGCCAATGCGGACATTACAAAATCTGCGTCCATTGAGACAATTGGCACAGCTAGTGGAAAAGGCAGACCCGGGCCAAGGGAATTGCCGTGGGTAAAGACTGCTTCTGGCAATGAACAAGTAATGGTGGACGAGCACGAAGCAGAACCGGTAACGAACCAGACTCATCGAGGTGATGCTTCGCCGGTCATGCAGATTCGACGTGCACGACCACCATCACCACCACCACCACCAGCAGCGAGGAAGCCGGGTGCAGTGTCTACCACCGATGTCATCAACTTGACTTCTGCTTCAGCACAGTCACACACGCCGCCGAGGCTTGAGAAGACTGATACCCGTAAGCTTCATCACTCCCGTTCATTCACAGTTCTTCGCGAAAGTACCGGGCCCGAGACTCCCTTCATTAAGCCCGAAGGCTCGGATACCGAGGACGACGAAGACATACTGGATCAGGATACCGTAGCTCAAATTGGACTGGGACTGTCGCAGAGAAGCGCAAGTACCTTGGCGGACGACGATGATCCCGCTGATCCAAGAGCAGTGGAGGAGTACAGAGTGGCATATAGCGAGGGAAAACGAAAAGAACTGGGGTGTATAACGATGAATCTAGGTTGAGTTAAGTAGACTCCTGAGTCATGTTCGGTTGAGGTGGTCGATTTATATCCTTCCCACGCCCCGCCCCTGAGAACCGCATGCTGGGATCATTCATCCGTCTTTGCCTACCATCCTACCGCCCGATCTCGGAATTGATGAAGTCATCGAACTTGTTCTGGCCAAAGAAGACGCGAAGAATCTCCAACGCTACTGTCGATGGCGGAAAAACCGGTCAACGGATGAACCTCTACTTGGAGACTTTAGCACTCTTCGATCTTGATGCCTTCCGACGAACGCCTGCTGGCAGTAACGCAGAGGGAGCACAACCTCCTGCCGAAGAATTAGGCAACTCAGACCAGAAGCGAGACGTGGAAACCGAAGCTTGAGATACGCTGTATACCCCCACGTCGACACTTTACACTATGGATATGGATTAATTATACGAGGGCTTCCGTCGTTACCAGTATTTGCCATATTATACCTACACAGGAATATAGCTGGGACTACTATTTGAGCCTTTTCCTTCACGTAGCTCGCCTAGCTCTTCAAGAAACGTCAGCGCGCAGGCGACCGAACCTGCCGAGCTTCTTGGCGGCCGCGCGTGATCGTACGTACACCTCGCAGTGCTCGACCATGTACGAATCCCGTCAACGAAAATATGGCTCGTCCTCCAGGAATGGGACGTAAATTTAAGGGTGGGAAGCCACCGCGGCCTCCGCCTGACGACCTCATTGGCACTTCTGCGCAAAAGCTCGTAACCACGACGCAAGGAATCTGGGAGATCACAAAGCGAGAAGGATCACTTGTACGTCGCTTTACGAAAGATGGAGTGGATGAGATTAAGCAATCATTTCCGTATGTGTGGAGGTTGTTCAAGCTCGTCTTGGCGTTGAATCCGAGGAGGACGGTGTTGTTGGTGATTGGGAGACTTGTGATGTCAATCCTGCCGTCGACTAGATTGAGGGTGCAGGGTGCATTTATTGATCTAGTACAGGATGCAATCGATTATGGGAAGCTGGATCGGACGCGTCTACTCCGTCTAGCAAGTCTTCACATGTTGATCCATGTGCTTGAGGAGGCTATCTCGACACTGTTGGAATCCAGCAATGCCGTCATCGAACGTCGATTGGGCGAGAAGCTCGACCTGGAGCTAATGAGAGCTCATTTGAAGCTTGATCTAGTGTCCTTGGCCGATCCTGCCGTTACCCAGAAGTTCCAGGACGCAGAGAGGGTGTGCAGAAGCACTGGCAATGGCGGTTTTCAGCAGATCATGCAAGTCGTGGATGTGTTTACGTCTGTTACTGGCATTCTATCCCAGGTAACTACACTCTCGGGATTGGTTAGTCGACGTTTGTGGCCGCTTGTACTCATATCTACACTCAGACCGTTACTCCACGCTGCAGGAATGCTAGGCGGTGGAGTCTTCGGGGCGAGGATTACGGATCCTCTATACCAAAGAATGAGTACCGTGAAATCTTTCGCTACCAACCCAAGTCTGAGACAAGAGATCAAGGTGTTTGGTTTGTCAGACTGGCTGGTCAAGGAGTACGAAGCCGCAAGCACTGCCCTCGGCGTCGTGAGCCTAAGATTCCAACGCGAGGAAGGCATGTGGTCAAACATCGGTAACTTTGTCGAAGCTTTCACGACGCCTGCGCTCTACATCACGACCGCGCTCCAATCGCAGAAGTTCAAGATATCGTTGGGTACACTCAACCTGTTACAATCCACAACTGAGCAAATCATCCGATCAACTTCGAAACTTTTGACGCGCTCGGAGAACGTAGTGTCGAACTGGAAAGTTGTACAGTCATTCTTTGAATGCTGTGATATGGCACCAGCGGTTCATGCTCCCTCAGGTGGCGGTAAGGATTATGAGACCGCCGAAGCAGCGGATGGACGGAAGGGAATGAAGATCGAGGCGAGGAACGTGCGGTTTGCGTACCCTGGACAACCTGAGGTCTTGCACGACGTTAACTTCACCATTCAGCCAGGAGAGATGATCGCTGTGGTAGGCTACAATGGAGCCGGAAAATCGACGATCGTCAAACTCCTGACCAGGCTGTTCGATTGTACGTCAGGCGAATTATTGCTGAACGGCACGAATATCAGGGAGTATCACCCCGAGGACCTCCGTAAACGTACCGCGGTCCTCTTCCAGGACTTTGGCAAATTCGTTCCCATGACCATTCGTGAGAACATCGCCGTGGGCAACATTCCTGCCGCGATGTACGGCCACCAGTTCACCATCGAGCAAGCCGCCAAGAGTGCCGGAGCCGCCTCCTTCGTCGAGGCGTTGCCCAAGAAATACGGCACGAACCTCACCAAATCCCGGGAAGGCCACTTCCAGCCTGTCTCCACCCATGACACAGCTTCCGGAGATCTATCCGGCGGCGAATGGCAAAAACTTGCCCTCGCCCGTGGAATCTTCATGCGAGCCTCCCAGTCCGACCTCCTCATCCTCGACGAACCAACCGCCTCCCTCGACCCGAAGGCTGAATTCGATCTCTTTGCTCAACTCCGCGAAGTCCGTCGAGAGCGGAGTTGTACCACGATTTTCATTAGTCATCGGTTCAATACGGTTGTTAACGCTGATCGGATCATGGTTGTTGAGGAAGGACGGGTTGTTGAGTTTGGGAGCCATAGGGAGTTGATGGACGGGGAGGGGGTGGGGAGGTATAGGGAATTGTACGAGCTCTCGGCGGGTGCATTTTTGGAGCAGGAAAGTTCGAGGGAGAAGAAGAGGCCTAGTACGGCTGTTTCTGTGTCTACCGAACAGGAGTAAACCGTCTGTAGAGTATACCATTGATATCTTCTATGCCTGTAAGCTATTTTTATCTAGACGAGCGAGTTGTAATGCGCACCCAACCCATACTTGTGCTTGTAATACGCCAACCTCATCGGCTCCCCAACGTCTTCTTCGTCCTCCACATCCACCTTTATCACCGGTGCTCCCATCTGCACGACTTCGACGGGGACCTTCAGTGCCCGGGATAGTGCCAAGATCTCCATCTGTCCACCCCATACGGGAGTTTCTTCAATTTCCTTCGTGTACTCGTCGATACTCGGCGGGCTATCCGACTCAGCCCACAAAAACGGGACGAAAGTATCTGGATTTGCTCGGATATATCCAGCGGCAGTCTTCCTCATCTCCACATGATCCATCTCCACCCCTCTCCTAATCCTCAACTGATGTGCAAAAGCATTATACAAACAATGCCCATCAGGCACGATATCATGCTCCTTCAATCCCTTTGCGTTTGCGAGTGCGGTTATTGCCTCGGTTTCGATGGCGCGGAGGTCGGGCATGGAGTCTGCTTCTGAGGCGGCTTCGTCACGGAGGCGGTCGAGTTCTGCGGCTTTCTTGGCTAGGCGGTCTTTTGCACGGTTTCTTTTCTTTGCTGGGAGTGGCGGTTCTGATTGTAGGGGAGCGGAATGGAGTTCGATGTCTTTGACTGCTCTTTGAAGGCCCTCGGTGTTGAGTGCGCCGTCTTCACCGCCGTTCTCGCCATTCTCCTCCTTGTTATCTTCGGGCTGATTCGTCTTATCCCATTCTGCAATCTCGACTAAATGCGTCTGTCGCAGTTCCCTCTCGAGGACCTCGATCTGCTTCTGGACATCCTTCTTGTTCTTCTTGTTCACGGTCTTCTTGAGACCCGTGATCTTGCCCACGAGCTCCTTCTGCTCTTTCTTGTGGCGAAAAATGAGTTCGTCGTGAGTCTCAGCCATGGTACAATTGGCAAGTGATGGAATAAACGGAAAGGGAAAGAGGATGTGTAACAGCGGAATTCGAAGATTACGGTGGTAACATCACGTACTTGCTTGCTTGGACCCAAGCTTCGGCAAGGGCGACTGGGGTCAGCATGGGTTTGCATACATACGGGCCGACAGAGACCCCGATCAGATGTCGTAAGCATTTGACTTTTCTTCCACTGAACGCGGATATATGAACAGCATACACCCCCTCCTTCATGGACTGAGTGCTACCATTCAAAAGGGTCCGTTGCTCGTCGGGAAGTTCATCCGCACCGCCAAGACTCTTGCGCGTGCAGACGGGAACACCAAAGCGGCGATCCGTACAGACACACCCCGAGCCCCATCCAACCCACACAAAAACTCCTCCCCTTCTTCGCCACCTGAACATCTTTACCAAACGACGACGCTGAGCGTCCTGTTTGTTTATTCAGGAAGATTGCTTGAGAACGTCTTTGCATTATGAGTATGTTCAATCCCGTCTGTTTGGAGGCTGTTTACTGACGTCTTGGCGTTTCTAACAGCCAAACTCAGCGTCTTTGGCGCCATCATCGCAAACCCAGGTAATACATATCAAAACAGTGATTTCCTCCGTCTCATCACTCGTGTCCTCCGTCTCGCTGACATACTGTTCCAGGCGGATCAGAGAAAATCCCAGACTCACTGAGCTACGAACTCCAAATATCCGGCAATAAAATCTATAACTACGGACTCTCCACAACTGAAGACACCGGAATACTCTACGTCCCCGCAAACCACAACAACTGCTCCGACCCCGCCGCTCCCAATGCTGTTCCATCGGGTATTACGTCATGGAACGATATCCCACATGACTATCTGCGAATAGCGATGGTGCCACTGACCGGATGCGCGAATGAGTACCTTATGCAGGCGAGACAGGATCAGAATATCCTGGCGGCGGTGTTGTATAATGTCACCGGGAGCTCGTATCCGTTGAGTGGAGTATCCGTGCAGTCCAGCTGGAATTTCCCAATCTACTCAATATCCTCCGACGAAGCCGCCCCCCTCCTCCAAGAACTCGTCAACTACAGCGGAAATCTCACCTCCGTCCCATACGGGCACAACCTCTCCCAACTTTACCCCGCCGATTCCTACGCCCGACTCATCATGCAAATCGGGGATTCCGGCGTAAGTTTGCCGGGATTGTGGATTTTCTTGTTGATTGTGCTGGCCACGCTGTGTTTGATCGTGGGGGTTGTGAGTATTGGGATGCATGCGCATACGTATCGTGCGAGACGGGATTTGAGGAGGAGGATTGCGGCAGGGGAGTTGGATCTGGAGGCGTTGGGGGTGAAGAGGTTGACGGTGCCGAAGGTGTTGCTGGGAAAGATGCCGATTAAAACGTTTGGGGATACGGCACCGGCAACGGCACCATATGCTAAAAAGGCGGTTGAGACGACGATGGTGTCCGAAGCGGGCCTGAACGGAACCACGATCAACCACACCTCAACCTCCTCCGACGGAACCCTAACCAACCCGACCCACGCTCAAGGCGTCAGCGAAGCAACCAACTTCGACCAAACCTCCTGCGCAATCTGTCTCGACGAATTCATCCCCCACGAATCACTCATCCGCGAACTTCCCTGCTCCCACATCTTCCACCCCGACTGTATCGACCCATATCTCTCCACGCGGTCCTCGCTGTGTCCGTTGTGTAAGAGAAGTTGCCTGCCGAGGGGATATGTCCCGGATACGCTACAATTGACGAATGCGACGATTGCGAGGGAGAGGAGGTTGAGGCGGATGAATGCTACGAATATGAGTGTCAATGCGGGCACGAATGGGGTTGTCGTGGAGATGGGAGATTTGGAGAGGAGGGGGACTGGGACGGGAATTAGGGAGGATGCGCTTGCGCCTACGCAGGAGGAGGAGGATGAGATGACTAGGAGACGGGGTGGGTTTAGGAGGGCTTTGGAGGCCGTATTTCCGGTATTGGAGGGGAGGAGGTAAAAGAGCATAAGGCATGAGGTGGCTCTGTTTTTGTCTTATTCGTCCCTTGAAGGGGATGCGGCTCGTTGAGCTTTTTTTGGTTTGCTTCATTGTTCACTGGCTGTCTTGGATTCCGGAATTTGCCTGGATGGCGCTTGGATTGGTTTGTGTTATTGCAAAGGGGCGTTCATTACGGTTTCTTTATTGTTGCGCTGGCTGTTACTCATAGGTGACCGCAAATGCAATTTTTTGTTCATTGAATGACTTGATTGATATGTGTTCTGCCTGAAAAATACCCAATTGCTGAACGAATGTGGTATCTAATGACTGGCAATGACTCGAGGAGGAAGGCGAAAGTTCATTCGATCATGATGCGGTGGGTCTGCTGGCCATCGAGTTCTGTTTGTGATGCAGTGGCAGATTCTTTCGGTTCATCTGAACCTGCCGCCGTAACTCCTTGTCCAGTACCCTGTGTCATCTTGATTACTCCTGGTCGATCGTCCTTTCCTAGCTTCGGATCCAGCAGAACGCGTTTGAGACCTTTGCCGAAGTTGTGGAGACAAATCCCTGCAATTATGATCGTTATGAGGATCATAACCAGTGAAATGCTGGCAAACATTATCAAAGTTTTCCTCACGTACTTGTACTTGCCCTGGGTCGCAGCTCTGTAGAGTTTGTAGCTGAAGTATGCCAGACCACATGTGAAAAAGAACTCCGATACCACCATAGGCCACCATTTTTCATGTCGCAAGGCCCAAGCGCACAAGATGATGATGACAAGCGTGACTGCTATACCTAGGGCTGACAGAACTTCCTCATATACCTTAATATCAACAACGACGAGTTCCTGGATAAGGAACCCGATGAGGAAGAAGAAGTCGAACTTGAGTAGCGTAAGAAGAACTTGGTAGATGAACAACAGACGTTTGAGGTGAGTGCTTGCTCCCACGTCATACCAAATCCTCCTGCGTAACTCCACGCTGTAGAGCTTCCAGGAGCAGAATAAGTTGAGACATGTTGCAACGCCGATGATGATGGGGACAGCTATTAACTCGGGCCTGAGCTCTTCGAGGAATGTCAGTCGTTGCGCAGAGCGGGAAAGGCCAGTACACACTGTGTTGATACAAATCATGGGCTTTCTGGGAAGAGCCGGGGGTGGTAGTATTGTAAACCGTGAGGTTGTCTTTGTATGCTGAAGTCCAGGCATCATCGACTTGATTGATTTGAACGCAGGAGTATGCCAACAGAAGGACATTAAACAAGGCCAATCCCAACGTCTGTCGGAGCCTCTATTAGACCTCCTACTTGGTCGCTTTCGTAGATGTTACATACCTGCATGATGCTTTTCAATCGCAGAGCATCCCATGCCATTCCCAACTGGTATACAAACGCAAAGATGAAGATCGCAAGGTAAACCGGAATCACCCTGACAGAATAGTCAGCCAATTTGTTTTTCCAAGGCAAAACCGGCGCACACCTCAGTTGTGCAGTATTAACAGATGTTTTCTCCCCATCGTCGCCATCGTTATCATGATCGCCAGGGTTGTGTGTTTTCGAGAGCATTGTACCAAAGACATATCCTGACGCCCACTGATCAACATGGTGCCGAAGAAATGGCTCCGAGGATTTACCTGACAACGCTAGCACGCATAGCGCCTCAACAACACAGGTCAACAGGAAGAGAATGCTGTATCTCTCGGTTGGATAATACTAAGAGATCAAGAGGTCAGATCTCCGCGGCACGCCGCTTTTGAAGAGACGCGTATACTCACCACTTTGAACCGAAGCTTCATGACGGCAGCTGCTGGAGGTTACACGACAAGAGATGTTCGTCTTGTATCGTCTTATAAGAGCAGGGACGTTTGACCTCTCGATACCAACCCGACCCACATGGAGTTCAGCTCTTATGATCAAGATTGACGTAGATTACCAAACCCCGGTCCTAGAAACTGCGTACCGGCCCGCCTGTCCCAACAGCCGCGGCCCTGAATTCCGGCTGTCTCAGGAAAGATGGGAGAGCGGCTCGAGCGGGGAGTAACCGAGATTTGCGATTGCGACTGAGACTGAGACTGCGGTCGGCTCGGTTTGTCTATATTTGGATATACATTTGGAGAACGCGTTCGAATGGTCAAATCAGCATACGCCCTGCCGCACGGTGAACCATGGCACCGAGGAATTCGAAGATCTGGTGATAACGCTCTTCTCGCTCAATAATGAAAGTTGATGCTAAACATACACCCCAAAGATCAATCCTACAGTCCCCAAAAAGCGATACGCGATAAAGGGTATAAAAATACATGCCTCCTCGGCTGACCCTGCAAACGCCTGCTCCGACCTCCTCTCACTCAATCACCACAGGAATGCGATTCGAGTACGTCGAATCGACCGGACTTGGCGCCAGGTGTCTCCCTTCCTCTTCGATTGGTGCAAGGCTGTACGTGCGACCTGGACCAAATGTTGATAGTCTTTGGCTGCCAGATGAGGCCCGGCTGAGCCTACGTATTTCCCGAGCACGGTCCATCGCCTGCAGAAGCCCTGTACAAGCAGATGTCAGCCACGGCATATCTCTAGCCATATGGAGCATTACCTTCTCTAAAGTTTCGCATGCAGACAATGCCCATTCCAAACGTTATGAGAAGCAGTATGCAGCCGGTTACGGCAAAGACCGTCAGAGATTTCTTAACGCCGTCATAAATTTTATGGTCATCGTTGCCGGCCGACTCAGGGGCCCAGATTCGCCACAGCTTGTAGCAAAAGTAACCCAGCGCTCCTAATTGAAGGACCTCGACGGCGAGCATGATAAACACCACTTCCCACCGCACAGCGCAAATACCTAGAACCACGGTCACCACGGTAACAGGTATAGCAATCCAGGTCATGATCTTCTCTGGATGATGGGCAAGTGGTACAATGATAGCCAACTATAGAAATAATGAGGAATAACTCAAGTCAGCATCGAGGAAGCGTACCTGGATTAAAAATCCGGCCACGAAAAACAGGTTGATCTTGAGTAATGTAGAGTAAATCTTGAGGTCTGTCAGTCCAAACCCGAGAGGACAGAGAGTGCCATCAAACCTGAGTCAATTGATATACCCTCCTGATTCTTGGACTGGCTCCTAGCTCCCTAGCCAATCTCCATGCAAGTTCGCTGTCATGGAAGATTTTGTAGGTACTAATTGCGATGAGTAACGTCCCTGTTGAGATGATAACAACCACGGAGACGCTGATCCGATACGACGTATCAACTTTGTTCAGTTAGCGTATATACATTGTAGTCAATTGATCGAGCCTTACAAACAGTTCTAGCCGCCCCAATATCAGCGCTCTGTTCCCACGCATTGTTGGCTATCGGCCAAGCGAGCTGCTTCCATTGCAATACGGCATAGACTGTCAAGGCGACACTGCAGAAGACCAATCCAACGGCCTGACGCTTTCCGTCAATAACTTCGTGTAACGAAGATCTCTCTCGCGTTTACCTGCAAAACATTCTTCAATCGCAGTGCATCCCAAGCCATGAACAACTTAAAGATGTCTGCAAAGATGAACAAACCCACATATGTAGAGAGCATCGTCGAAGATGCGTATGCGTCAGGTATGGTCAAGTTTTTCAAGAGGTAGCCTACAAACAAGTTTGTGTCAGAGCGGGAACACTCGAAAATCAGAGCTGAACGCACTTTCCAAACCAATAACCACGATGGCTTCGATAAGGCAGGTAAGTATGAGCACGACACTCCATCGCTCAGCCGGGACGTAAAAGCGTCCCATCGCCTTGCGATATCCTTTTTCTGCATCCATGGTTCTGGGCAAGGCTTGATCGGATGGTAATGGTGTATGAAGATCCAAACAAGAGGGAAGGAATGGCATCGACACTAATTTTTAAAGGCAGTCGCCTATCGATTCCTCCGTCCATGTGCTTCCTCGATTACGGCCCGAGCAGAGAGCATGCTGCCTGAGCCGCAACCGGATGCCGCCACGCAGCCCAGGTCGGTAGACATTTATATTTAGTTCAACCTCGGATATTGCCCATCCAATCAGTCACGGGTCGCGAGGTCGGGAGCGCGTACTCGGCCGATTACCCAAAACACGAACCTTTGGATCTCGTCGAATCAAGGTTTTGAACTTGCGTTGTCTCAGGAACATTCAGCGTACATACGCGCAACCTTATCTTCGACGTCCAACGATAACCTCCATTGATTCAATTGCAATTGCAATGATGCCGGACGCGACTTCTTCGCTGAAGACAGGTTTGTCCTCGCCATTGTTCTTATTCCTACCGACGCGTTTGCTCACGATCATGTTGTAGGCGCTGTTGATATTGGCATGATCACGTCAGTGGCCGAGAGCGGTACATTCGAGTAAGAAGTACGAGCAAATTCGGCCGAGGACCGTACCTAACACACGGTATTACAGTGGATCTTGGCCAGAGTTCTCAAGGACTCTCCTCGCCAGACTCGAGGAGAACATCGGCGCTTTTGCGCCGCCATCGATCCCTCGACCGGAAGGCGCGTCGGAGAGTGCTGCTGCACCAGTACAGGGAGATTCACCGAAAGCGTCCCTACCTCCGGATCTTCAAGCACTTTTGTCGCGTCTTATATCTGTTATTGAGAGATTCACTGGACCACCATTCACGGTACAACGGATCGCGGAGTTGATTGCGCGGCCACGGGAGCACTACACGGATGTCGGGAAGTACCTACGAGCATTGGAGCGGAACCTGAGTGTAAGTGTCTACAGCACGTTACCAAGTGACTCTGCTGACCTGATTCTCCAGGTCACCTCGACAATCGACGCTTTCCCCCTCCTCCCCATCGAACCAACAAACGACGTTCCCCGCTTCACAGATGGCAGCTCCACCAGCGGCGTCGCACTAACCGCCATCCCATGGACAAGCGCAACAGCCATGCCAAACTCCAATGGCACTCCAACCCCCATGGAAACAATCCACTCATCGCTTGCCGAGAACGCAAATGATGCCGCGGCTGGACCGCATCATCCGCCAGAAGGTGCCATGCCTGTTGATGCGAGTGATATTGGACCACAAGTAGGTGGTATCGGTGATGTGGGCGGTACGGTGCAGGATGCTATTACGCAACTGGAAGAGGAGAAAGAGAAGCTAAAGGAAGCGGCGGCTGCGGGCAGCGCGACGACTGGTGAAGGAGACGTTGGAGAGAGGGCAGACGAGCAGAAAGCAACGGATGATGACGTGAAGATGGAGGATTAACGAGTACGGGAAAACAAATATCTCTGAAGAATGATACCCATATTCGAAATCTTCGAGGTAAATTTGGTATATTGCGCTGGTAAAAGATCCTAACCATATTGTGCTCCAAAATCACACATCATACATCAATCTCCCTAAAAGATAAAGTGCTTCTGCGTCAACGGCAACTCATCGGACGGCTCACAAGTCATATGAACACCATCCGCCTCAACAATATACTTCTCCGGATCAACCTTCATCTTCGGCATAACATCATTCAACTTCATATCCTTCTTCCCAATATTCCTACACCCCTTCACAGCCATCACCCTCTTCTTCAACCCATACTCCTTATCCTTGCCAGCATCGATAGAAGCCTGAGACATGAACATGATCGAAGTCGAGGGAACCATGCTGGCGAACATGGGACGCATGTACACCGGCTCAACGGAGGGGATGGAGGCTCCGGGGTCGCCCATCTGTGACATAACGATCATACCACTCTTGAGGATCATGTTTGGCTTCGCGCCGAAATCGGCGAACTTCCACAATGCGAGATCAGCCACCTTACCCACCTCAACGGACCCGATAGCATGCGCGATTCCGTGCGAGATGGCGGGGTTGATGGTGTACTTAGCGATATAGCGCTTGACGCGGAAGTTATCGGCGTCGGTACCCTCGTCCTCGGGGAGGAAGCCGCGTTGTTGCTTGTTTTTGGATGCGGTCTTCCATGTACGGAGGATGACCTCGCCACAGCGACCCATAGCTATGGATAGAAATGTTAGCCTGTGCAGCCACGAACCGGTCCCTGCTCTTATCCATACCTTGAGAATCGGAAGACATCATACTAATTGCACCCAAGTCGTGCAAAACGTCCTCGGCAGCGATAGTCTCCGCACGGATACGGGACTCGGCGAAAGCGATGTCCTCGGGGATATCCTTTGACAAATGGTGGCAGACCATTAACATGTCTGCATATAAATGTCAGTGACGGTAGAGGTCAGGCCACGAGCATACATACCGAGATGCTCGTCAAGAGTGTTACGAGTGAACGGCCTGGTAGGGTTCGTCGAAGACGGCAACACATTCGGATGCCCACAAACCGTAATAATATCCGGTGCGTGTCCACCTCCAGCTCCCTCCGAATGGTACGTATGAATCGTACGTCCCTTAAACGCCTTAACCGTCCCCTCAACAAAACTCGACTCATTCAACGTATCCGTATGAATCAAACACTGCACATCATACTCATCACAAACCCTCAAACAACTATCAATTGCCGCCGGCGTAGTTCCCCAATCCTCGTGCAGTTTCAACCCGACACAGCCTGCCTCCACTTGTTCCCTCAATCCCTTGGGATCGGCGTCGTTGCCTTTTCCGGTTACGCCAAAATTCATGGGGATGGTGTCGAGGGCTTGGAGCATTTTGGAGATGTAGGTGGCGGAGGGGGTACATGTCGTTGCGTTCGTACCCGTCGAGGGGCCTGTTCCGCCGCCGAGCATGGTTGTGACACCGGAGGCGAGGGCTTCTTCGGCTTGTTGAGGACAGATAAAGTGGATGTGGGAGTCGAAGGCACCAGCTGTGAGGATCATCTTCTCACCGGCGATGACATCGGTGTTGGAGCCGATCACCATGCCGGGGGTCACACCTTCGATGGTATCGGGGTTTCCGGCTTTTCCGATATGTGTGATATTTCCGTTCGTGATTCCGACGTCAGCCTTGTAGATTCCGGTATAATCGACAACCAACGCATTCGTAATCACCAGATCCAAACACTCAGAATCCTTCCGTCCACTCGCCTGTCCCATGCCATCCCTCAACGTCTTCCCACCTCCAAACTTACATTCATCACCATAGACAGTGAAATCCTTCTCCACCTTAATCCACAACTCCGTATCACCAAGCCTGACTTTGTCACCCGCAGTGGGCCCAAACATGGCGGCATACGCCTCGCGGGTCATCTCGGCCGCTTTCACGGGTCCGAGGTCAGCGTTGGGAAGTTGAGGGACGTGGGAGAATCCGTTTTCGACGATCATTTTGAGGAGGGCGTCTTTGTTGGCGTCGTCGACGGGACCAGTAGCGAGGCCGTTTCCACCGGCGATGATGCGATTTCCGGCGATGGGGACGAGGGGGACTGTCTTTACGTCTCCAGGCTCGAAACGAATTGCCGTTCCCGCCGGGATATCCAAACGCAATCCCAACGCAAGTCCGCGATCGAACGCCAAAGCAGGATTGGTCTCAACGAAATGGTAGTGAGAACCAACCTGAATGGGACGGTCACCCGTGTTCTCAACCCTGAGCTTACTCCTCTCGCGTCCAGCATTCAAAACAATCGGTCCCGCACCATCCTCCACCACAACAGCTCCAGGCTGCTTGGAGTGTTCATACACCTCCTCCCCCTCCAACACAAACTTCTCCTTCTCCGGAATCGGCAAGAAAGACCCATACAACGCCCTCTCCAAATCCCCATCATCCGTACTAATCGGCCCATGGACCGTAACCAAATACGTCCCATCCCTAAAATTCCCCTCAATCTGAATCTCATGCAACCCCTCCACAACCTCCGGCAACACATGTCTCCTCCCCAACATCTTTGTACCGATTTCCATGAGGTCGGCACATGTGTACGTGCCTTCACGGACGAGTTCTTGGAGTTGGGAAGCGATGAGGCCGATGGCTTCGGTGCGGTTGAGTTTTATGCCGCGAGCGAGACGGCGTTGGGCGAGTTGGCCGACTTGGGCGAGGATGAGTTTGTCGAGTTCGCGGGGGGACAGTTGCATTTTGGGCAATTGACTTGATCCGCGGGTCTTTGGAGTTGCAAACTGTTGGAGGTTATAGGGATCAAGGGCAAAGCGGGGTACCCCAGCAATTGGATATCTCTCGCGATGAGGACCCGTTCGGAACTGAACATTTACCCCGTACTGATAAGGACCCTCGACGTCACGTGCCCTGCGTCGGGGCGGCTCGCCTAAGGTTGCGCACGATAAGCTGGAAGAGCCGTGGGAACGGAACGAGCCGGTGTATGATGATGGCCATGAAGTTTTTGACTGCTTTATGCGCATTGCAATTGCTGCGACATTGACCTGAGTTGAAACGGTAGTGCGAGGTAGAAGGCATTGGCCGTGGTGTGAGGGCCCGATTCCCGCAGCTGCAGCTACATACGCAGTTTTCCGACGTGCGTACAGCGGTTGTGTCGCAACGAGAGCCTCATTGACACTCCATGAGGGGTTCACATCCCTTGTTCTGGTATCTTCCCGGATAATGACATACTTGACTGAAAAGGCCTGGGACTCTAACGAGTTGTCGGGCCAAGTTCAAGGTGTTTGTACGTCCAACACCATTTCACCCAGACTCCGTTTCTGTCCACAGTTTTCGCGCCGATTCAAGCCCTCTCGAAAGCAATGATGGTCGGTACTCCTTGCTCTCTCATCTAACTGCAGCGTGTCTCCCACGCACCGCAATTGCAAAGCACCGCGTGCGCCGTAAACGAACTCGCACTCGGCAACACTTCTGAAGAACGTCCGAGCGTGCGCTGTCCCTGAGGTCCTTCACATAAACTTCCAGAACCCAGGACAGTTCAGCAAAACGAACGTCTCCTGAAGCATAGGCCTTGCCTCAATTATTTCCAGACATCGGAAATTGCGTGTTTGATACAATAAGGTACGGGGTTACCCGGTTCACGTTACGTGATGGAAATTACGCCTTTACTCCGCACAGCTGCAGTAAAGCGACTATCTCGAATCCGCAATCCGCATGCAGATCCGAACCGAGATTTCCCCCCCCCGATCACAGGCGCGCGCATGCACGTGAAATCGGTATCACGGGCAAATCCAGATCATTGACGTAATGGCACACGCACTTCTCGATCGTGTGCGTGTGGACTAACGTGAATTGGTGAGAGAGACACGTGATGGCGGGCCAAGGCAGAAGTCCCTCCCTCCCTCGATGCCCTAAGCAGGGGAGGAGTCCACGCACTCGCCAAGCGGAGCAGATGGGCATCTCAAGATTGACGAGCGATCAACTGGCCCGGCCGAGCAAGTCGTATCGATATCGACGCATCTCCCGATTGCCCCGCTCCTCGCCCCACCCGCTTGTCATAGACCCTCCCAAAGCAGTATAGCCCCAAAGCCAAATGAAAAGGTGCAACACAACTCAATTCACCTCGTTCCAGCTCCCTCTCACCTATAAGAACTGCCCGTGTCCCCCGCCAGTTGCATGCTCCCCATCACCAAGATCAGCAAGCTTCACTTTCAACAAGAAGTTACGATTACGCAATGTCGGCTCAACCCGCTACCAGCTTCAACAATAACCAGGCGAGCTTGGATTCGCATATCCGCCCCTTCGAGAAATCGGCTTCGAATAACACTCTGTCCTCTGTCGTCGAGGATGCGGCCACTCCTCCGCTCTCCACCTCCTCTTTCTCCAAGCACCTCCCTCTCCTTCACTCCGCAGCCTTGAAACCCGACTTCCGCCGCGGTTCAGGTGATTCCGGATACGACGAGGGCTCATCCTCCCCATCCCCCCTCGCCACACCCGACCTCGCTCCGTCCGTTGCTTCCGGTACCGGTTCTGGTGCAGAGTCTCCTGTCTCGTTGGACGAGTTCTCGTTCGGGCATAAATTGCGTGCGGAAGACCGCGCGGAGCACCACGGCGTCGACCAAAAAATCAACCTTGCCGGCCTCAATGGTCTCGATATCGGTGGTGTCACGGGTCTCGAGACCGGGTCGTTCGTCGCGAGCGCGATGATGCCGATTAGGTATGAGATTAAATGCGTTGATGGCATTCTCGATACTTCCAACACGGACTTGTTGGTTGGGATTGATTGCTCTGTCTTTCCCGTTATGATGAAGCCTTACACTGGTGAACCTGTGGGTCGTCGTTTGGTGATTGTCGATAATAATGTGTATGCGTTGTACGGCGACAAAATCAAGGCATACTTTGACCACCACGGCGTCGAATCTCACATTCACCCCCTCCGCGCCTCCGAGAACACGAAAGAATTCGACTCCGTCCAGGAATTGCTCCAGCAGTTCAAGAATTTCGATATTGATCGCCGTAATGAGCCGATTATCGCTGTCGGTGGTGGAGTTACGTTGGATATCTGCTCCCTTGCCGCCAACTTGTGGCGTCGTAACACGCCTGTCGTTAAAGTCCCCACGACCCTCATCGGCATGGTCGATGCCGGTGTCGGTGTCAAGACCGCCGTTAACTGGTGCGGAGGCAAGAACAAGATCGGGACCTATTGCGCCCCCCTCGGTGTCTTTGTCGATGCTGAGCAGTTCCTCGGATCTACTGGTGGCCGTGGTGTCGGAAATGGGATGGGCGAGATCTTGAAGATGGCTTGTGTCAAGGATGTAGAGTTGTTCGAGTTGATGGAGGGGTGGGTCGCCGCGAAGCCCGAAATCGAGGGACGTGCGCCGACGAGTATGATCATGAAGAGGGCAATTCAGGGGATGTTGGAGGAGCTCTCTCCGAACCTCTTTGAGCACACGCTTTACCGTGTTGTTGATTACGGACACACATTTTCCCCCTTTGTCGAGATGGATGCGTTGGAGACGAATAAGCCTTTGTTGCACGGTGAGGCTGTTAACCTCGATATGGCTCTTTCGACCATGCTTGCCCATAACCGCGGATGGCTTTACCCTGCCTCGGCCTCGCACTCTTTCTCCCTCGTCCGCCGGACTTACGCGCTCATGTCCGCCCTCGGCCTCCCCCTCCGTCACGCCTCCTTCACCGCAGACAACTGCATCACAGCCCTCGGCGAAATCGAGAAAGCCCGTGGTGGACGCGTCAGGGTTCCGTTGATGTCTGGAGGAATTGGAATGACGAGGTTCGCGGATGATGTTTGTGAGGACGAGGTTAGGAGGGCTTGGGAGGATATGTGTGAGCTGGTTGGGGAGATGGAGAGCAATGGGGAGTTGATGGGACAGTTTGGGGCTGAGGGACAAGTCACGGAGGGACCGTTGGAGTAGAATTATGGACGGTGCAAAACTGCATGGGTGTACGATAGGCCTGGTGCCAAGGTTGTTTTTTCTTTCTTTTTTTCTGAGAGGATGTGAGGACGAGGGGTTCCCCCCCGATTCTGTTTTTGAGGGGCTTTATTTGCATATACCCGTTACGTTGTTATCGATTTGGAATCGATCATTGCACAGCATTGAAAGGAATGGAATATTATTGCTGTGGGTTGATCAATGTCACCATCATCCCTGGAGGTGCGCGCAACCTCAACTGAGCGCAAGCATGCACCCCAGACCGAGCAGCTGAGCACGTAACACGGTCACCAGATCTAGCAAAGTGACGATCCGAGATGACTCCCCGTCCGGAGCCCCTGATATTTCGGTCGTCCGGAGATAGATCACCTGCTGTAAAACCTTGCTTGCTGCGTCATGTTTTCAGCTGCTGCGGTGCTTTGTGTGTGTGCCAATGTAAACCCAAGTAACTCCAAGGTTCTGCCATACTTACAAACCTACTGTGGTTTCCTCTACCTACAACTGTGATCATAGTTCTGAACCTTTCAAACTGCCGCCAACTACAGTCATCGCTGCATACTCCTACCTCCAACACCATCACCACCACCCTCAACAACAGCACGCAATGCAGCCCTACATGCACCCAGTCTTCCTCCCCCTTCTTCCACCGGCTACACAGTCTGCGGATGTCCAGCCTGCGAATCCGAAACATTCTCAGGCGATGGCGTTCGTTACGAAGAAGACGGGAAGGTCGGATTCATCGAGTACGGAGAAGAGTGATGTGAGCACTGCGAGTACGAGTAGTCCGTTGGAACCTTTGGAGGAGAAGGAGGGGCAGGAGAATGTCGATAGGGGAAAGGTGAATATGGAGCAGGGGAAATTCATGAAGTTGATTGATGATGAGGGGATCGATCAGCTCTCGCTTTGAGCTCTTGTGCGATCCTGATTTTGGAGTGTCAAGATATTTGGTTGGGTGCCTCATCATTACGCTGCCGTTTTCTTTTGAGGGATTATATCGGTGTTTGGGCGGTCTTGAGAAGGCTTTTGTTTGAGTTTCTTTCATTCCACCAGTACATATCATCAATATGAACGGACTCTACGCAATAATGTCCACAGGCTTCCCCGTCTCCATACTCTCCACAATAGCCTCAATCACCACAAGATCCTTATACCCCTCATCTCCACTGCACATGGGCTCTTCCTCGCCCCTATGCACCCCCACCAGATTCCTCAATTGCAGCGTAAACGGCGGCACATCATCCACTTCCTCTCGTAAACTCATATCCGACAAGAAAGGAGTCGTCCAGGATCCGCCCGTGTAATACCACCGTTTAAGTTCCGGAAGGGAGATGGAGCCTTCTGTGCCCATGATGGTGTAGACGCACTGGTGTTGGGCTGGAATTGCTGGGTTCTCACCCGTCGCCGATTCCCAGTTGTATGGCGACGCAACAGCATCCGACAACAGAAAAGTCCCAACTGCTCCACTCTTGAATTTCAATGTCATCGCCGCCGTCTCCTCGCACTCATGGTCTCTCGTATTTTCACCCTTCTCCACATAAACCCGTGTGATATCCCCAAACAAATAGAGCAGATTATCGACCTCGTGGATCATATTGATCAACACCGGTCCTCCCTGCCCTTTCTTCGTTCTCCACGCCCCGAGCTTGAAGTACTCCACATCCTTCAGCAGTGCCCACGTTCCCTGGACTGCGATGATCCGGCCGAGGGAATTGGAGGTCATGCATTTCTTTGCGGCACGGAGGTAGGGGTTGAACCGGCGATGGTGCCCGACTAACAACTTCCCGCTTCCATTCTTCTTCGAGGCCTCGACCAACTTCCTTGCCGACTCTGTGTCTGTACTGATCGGTTTCTCGACCAAGACCGTAATGCCCGCTTCAACCAGTGCCATCCCAATCTCCACATGCGTATGATTTGGCGTAGCCACAATCGCTGCATCAACCCTGACCTCTCCAGTCTTCATCGCGTCGAGTAAGGCGTCGAGGGTTGGAGAATTTGGGATGGAGTGCGTAGAGGCGAGAGTCTGGCCGGCGGGTGTTGGATCGAGGATTGCGGTGAGGTGGGTGCTGGGTTCGGAGAGGATGTGGGAGACGTGGCGGAGGCCGATGAGGCCTGCGGCGCCAATTACTGCTATGTGAACGGGTTGGGACATGTTGAGTAGTTAGTAGTCTGATCGCTGCTTGCAATTACTGGTGAAGAGCTGAAGCGACAGTGGTTATAAGGTGCTGATCAGGCGGTCGGGAGGACCTCGGCTGATCTATCCGGGCCACGGTAGGTTGCTATCGTTCTTGAGGTTGTGAAGGCGGTGCATTCTTATTTCATTGACTGTGACGGACAATATTACTCCGGCGGTGGTATTTGGCGGGGACACCGCCCTCTCCGCGCGTACGCGAATCGGGTTCTGCGGGGGCCCGCCGCGGTAGCGAGGAGACGTGGGAACTTTTCATCAGCTTACCCAGCTCCGGAAAGCTTGGGAAGACGACATCTCAGCCGAATTGAAAGTAAACATGGCGAGGACAGAACGTCGACCGCAGTGATTTTGAGTGCGTTCTCAAGAGGGGATGCACCGAGGCTCCAGACAGAAGGAGCGCGCCTAAGGGTCGCAAGGAGCTGGCAGCCAAGCAAAGAGGACCATGAGAGAAGTCAATAACATTTGGATTTCATACTTCCTTCACCGCTTTCCGTATGAATTTTCTTGCAGGACATTGTCATCGTCTCCGTCCTTCTGCCGCGCTCAGGGCAAGGAAACCCTGATGCAGTCCCCCTGAAACTGGCTGCGCCCAGACGTGGCGGTGCAAACTCGAAATTTGGTAACCTGCTACACCAGGGAAACAGAGGAAGCTCGTCCACCGCCGCCAATCAACACCTGACCAGCAGAAATGGCCCGTCTCACCGGTATGTGCTTCTCGTTGTCCGAGCGCAATTGCGTTCTGCGCTTTGATCCGGCGTCCGCATCTCATTTTTCTGTGGTGATGCTGACCCTCTTTCGCAGAGTACCAAGTCATCGGCCGTAAGCTTCCTTCCGAGGCTGAGCCCACCCCCAAGCTCTTCCGCATGCGCTTGTTCGCCCCGTAAGTCGCCCACCTCCTCGGGTTCCCGGATTGCGAAGGATTGTCCGGGAATACTGGTGCCGAGAGAGTGTTTATTGATTGGTGTATCAAAGGAACCGCGTCGTTGCCGAGTCTCGTTTCTGGTACTTCATCAAGAAGGTCTACAAGCTGAAGAAGGCCGCCGGTGAGATCGTTACTGTCAACGCTGTATGTGCTTCCTTTACCTGGAGTTCCTACGGTTGCGCGCGGTGATCTGCGATTGTGGATCGGGTGTGCGCCTGTAGGAGCTGGGTTGTGTGGAGAAGTGTGGGCTAACCGCACTGTTTGTGTAGATCGCCGAGAAGCGTCCCCTCAAGGTCAAGAACTTCGGTGTCTGGATCCGTTACGACTCCCGCTCCGGAACCCACAACATGTACAAGGAGTACCGTGTTATGTCCCGTGTCGAGGCCGTCGAGGCTCTCTACCAGGACATGGCTGCCCGCCACCGTGCTCGCTTCAGGTCCATCCACATCATCCGCGTCGTCGAGCTCCAGAAGACCGAGGATGTCAAGCGTCCTTACATCCGCCAGCTCTTGTCCAAGGACCTCAAGTTCCCTCTTCCCCACCGTCTCCCCGCTCAGGCCGGTTTGGGCAAGAAGCTCTTCGCTTCCCGCCGTCCTGCTACTTGGGCTTAAATTGCTCAAGTGCGGTAACAGGGTCTTTTTGTTGGGTGCCAGGATTTAGAAAATATCTTCTTGGATTACCAAATAAAAAGGGTGTTGGTTGCGAAATACCTATCGTTCCGTCGTCGTAATCCTGTCTGTTGTCCTATCTAAGGTTAACCACCATTCCCATCGGACTTCTCGGGATGAACGATGAGGTCTTTCATGTATCTTTGTAGCAATTGGGTATCCCGGCTCAGTCCCTGCGGCTCGATCCCTATATACCAAGATAGAGTTAGGACCCTCCCATCCCTGCCGCGTCACTCAGAGATCGCGCGTCACTCAGGGATGGCAATTGATCGAAGGTTCTGAGCTGCCGAACGAGTCTTCAGAGCTTCAGGAAGTCCCATACCATCGGACTCGTGTTTTGCGACGATCTCGAACGTGCTATCCAGCCTTGTCCTTGGGTTAACCCCCTTTCTGTGCACGCTGCAATCTACTGCACACCACCATAACAAACACCTCGCCGCACTCTAGCCAGACACCACACTGCGTAGCGAACCAACCCTATCGCAATTTGTCGGCTATCGCGTCAGTCCTTACAAAAGTATCAGGTCGCTCGTTCATTTCTGTTCAGCATTGCTCCTCTTCAGTGGAGTGTCAACGTTCTCTCGGCATTCACCTGTGTGGAGACCCCTTATCGCGTTTACCGACTACGAACACGAACGACAACCTCCAGTTCAACACTTACGCACATACGTCGAGTCATTCTCAACTACGTATAAAATCGTTGAAGCAGCAGCAGAGCTCCTTTCTAGCATACAACCCAGGCCATTTTAATTGGTCTGATATACAGCATACATAGACTCTTGTCATAATGACTACACCAGCACAGGCAGAAGCTGCTGAGGTTGCGAACCCTTTGGCGCCTGTACAGGGACAAGTTATGTCGGCGGAAGAAGAGATTGGGCATGCGGCGCCTGATACGCAGCCGGGCCCTGTGGACATCTTTAGTCCTGCTCCACCTCCTGCGGATGTTGCTGGTATGCTTCCTTTATATCCGACTGTATGCGCTTGCTAACGCGTGTCCTCACAGACGCTCAACACCGTGTTATGCCTACAGAAGAGAAACCTACTCCTTCCCCATCACCTGTTCCATCACCCGTTTCCACCCCAGCAAGGCCGACAGGACCGCGTACTCAACCCGTCGTCAGACAAACGCGAAAGCCGTCGCAAACACAGGGGAACACTACAAACAACACAGTTCGACGAAAGAAGAAACGCGGATTCTTTTCCGCTTTGGTGCATTGTTTTGCGCCTGCGTATGTTGAAGAGCCTGCAAGACCACAGGGCGCTTTGGCGCCTTCGGTACCGCCGAAGCCTGCGTCGCCATTGCAGAAGACTGAGGAGTCCTCGCATACTATTCCTTCCGCCACGACGCGTGTTTCGGAGACTCTTTCGGCGCCGCAAGATAGTTCGGGTGGACCACTTCCGACTGTACCTGAGATCCAAGTCCAGCCTCCTTCGACGCCGACATTGAGCAGTAGTGGAGCGGCTGCTGTAACTGGTGAGGAGAAGGTCGTGTTGGCGGAGCCCATCACAGGTATTGGTGCCGAGCCTCAGGATCGTATGCCGGCGCCTGAGGTTGGAGCAGCTGCCGTCGCTGTTGACCCCCTCTACCCAGCTGATAAGGTCGCTTCTCCGCCCGGCGGCGAACTTTACGCCTCAGAGGAAGCTGCCATCAACGAGCCGTCCGTTGTCTCCTTACCTGAGTCTGTCGAGCAACAACAATGGCTCCTCGCGCCTCTACGTCCCGAACACATAGGCAAGAAGTGCTTGGTGCTTGATTTGGATGAGACGCTGGTGCATAGTTCCTTCAAGTTGATCCATCAAGCGGATTTCATCGTGCCGGTTGATATTGAGGGACAGCTTCATGATGTTTATGTCATTAAGCGACCCGGGGTTGATGCGTTCATGAAGAAGATGGGGGAGATGTATGAGATTGTTGTGTTTACTGCGAGTTTGTCAAAGGTGAGATTTTGGCCTTTTCAGTTCCTTTCAACAATAAGTGCTTGTGCTAACAAAATTCTCACAGTACGCCGATCCGGTGCTCGACATGCTCGACATCCATGGCGTCGTGCATCACCGCCTCTTCCGCGAATCCTGTTTCAACCACCAAGGAAACTACGTGAAGGATCTGTCGCAGCTCGGACGTGATCTTCGGGATGTTATCATCCTCGACAACTCACCGGCATCGTACATCTTCCATCCTAGTCACGCTGTGCCGATTAGCAGTTGGTTCAACGATATGCACGATACGGAGTTGGTTGACTTGATCCCGTTCTTGGAGGACTTGACGGGAGTTGGGGATGTTGGACAGGTGTTGGACGTATCTTTGTGAACGATGGTGAATATGAGAATGGATTTCACCAGAGCGTGGGCTCATCAAAAGGGAGTTGCTTAAAACGGACTGAGATGGTATACGGGTTGCCTTTGTCTCTTTAATATGTGTTGCAGGGTTTTGAGGCATCATTTTGTGGTTTTATCTTCGGCTTACTGTTGTTGCGTGCGTGCATTTGGTTTTGTGTCTGGGTTATGGATTGTGCTGCATGTGTTACCCATATTTCGCTTAATTTTATACTCTTTGTACTTCGACATGTCATGACTGCATATCTCCAAAAGGTTGGTCTTCTCCTACTCGAACTTCCTGTGGGTGTCGAATTTCTGCCATTTGATCTCATTCCACTTGCGGAGTTGTGCGAAGACTGGACATTCCTTCTTATGCTTCATGTTCCAGTTCATCACTTGGCATGTCTATGTAACACATCATCAATAACTCCAGGTTACATCCATCGGTTTAGACATTCGAACCTGACTGCAGTATTTGACTCCGCACCTTCCGCATCGTTTAATGGGAACATTTGGCTCCGTTTTCCCACAAACTCGACATCCCTCTGCTGCAGTGTCTTTACGGAGATTGTCGTTGAAGTTTACGATACCGGGAAGCGAGCAAGGTAGGACCTGGATTGAATTCATGAGCCGTGGTCAAGCAGTGAACCGAGTTGGGAGCATCCCGTGATGTACTCGAGTTTGTCATCCTCCAAACGAAGCCCAACACTCTTATCCCGAAAACGATGCCCCGTAGCGTACATAACCAACACCGTGTGTCCGACCATGAACTTTTTTAACACCGGGTATTCCTCCTGGGGTTTATCAAAGTAAAACCAAATGTCTGTTTCCTTTCCGTATCTATCGGTGACGACAAATCCTGGACGGAAGGGGTGGAGGATGTTCCTTGATTTCCCCATGAAGCACCAATGCACCTTGGTGCAATAAACAATATCATTACCCTCTTGAGTAAGACCGAAATACCGACGGCTGTATATATCGAAAGGCAGGTCCTCGAACCCGGGGAAGTGAAGAGGATCGCGAACATTTAGTTTGTACTTGGAAGACATGCTGGGGGTTTGGGGTAGAGGTTAACCTGGCATGACGAGTTAAGAGATAGTGGTTGACAGCATGTGAGCGGGCAAAAGTTGGAACTCTACGCTCGGGCCTTGTCAGTTATTGGTTGCACGTATTGTCGATAGCACACGCGACGTGTAACGGATGGAGTAGCAAGAAGTGATTGTTATTGGAACGTAGAAACTAAGCTGCCAAAGCTTCCCCTTTTATAGGGAATTAGTTACGCAAATCTGCGTCTTTATCGAGAATCACCCATACGTGAAGCTGTCGTTGTTGGCAGTGTGAAAGAAGTATCCATACTTCCAGATGCTACCTACTTATGCCAGAATTTCTCCCCCAGGACCTTTCCGCCTTGCTCGAGATTATAATTCCCACGGCATCGGTGGCAAGGCAGCGGAACCCAACATGTATATGGTACTGCACTGCATCCGTATTGGAATAATTTTAGCAGGCGTCGAGGAAAGAGGGTAAGGCAAATAAGCTTAGTGCACGAGCAACATAGTTGCAAAAAATGAGCGTGACATTGATGTTGATTGCGACGTTCGAATCCGGGCGTCTGATTAATCTATTGACTAGAACATTGGTCAAAATCAAAGCCGCCGACACCGATGCGAAATAGAGTGTAGACCTTCAAATGCCAACTTCAAAATATCGTACCTCTTTTAATACGTAATACAACTAGCATTAAACCGTATCATTTCAACGTAGGCGTGCTTCAGAGCACCTCAGCTCCGCAAAGTAAATGTAAACTTCAGGACGTTTTCAGCCCTTGAATTGATGCAAAGCACCTATATAAAACGAGACCTCGCCAACTTCAATTCCGCATGCTTTCTCTTCATTTTTCCTTATCCCCTCAATGTCCATTCTCCCAATCATACTCGTACTCAAACATTCCGTACGCATTCTCACCACTCAAACTCCCCAGCCCCCCTCCCAAACACATACTCCTTCCCATCAATGGTAACAACCCCATCCTTCAAAACACACTTCCACTTATTCTTCGTCCTCTGCACCTTTTCGTATTGGCACCACAGCGTTTGAGCATTCTCATCGTCGTCAGCGTTTTCGCCGTCAGAGTTAACGCCACCGTCATCGGAGTCGTCGAGGTCGGAGTTGATGGCGTCTTCGTCGTCGGAGGTGGAGGTGGGCGGTTTGATGATTTGGGGTTGGGGAATGCCGAGGTGGTCGAAATCTGCGGGGGGTCCGTCGTGTTGGGGCATACGCAGCGTAGACGCAGCCGCAGCCGCAGGGATAGATACAACAGAACGAGTCGGAGGTAGAGGGGCCGGACCATCGTGCTGAGGAAGCATTAACCCAGGCGACGCCGTACTCGTCCGCGAACCAGACATGGACTGGATATGCTGCGCCGCCCGCATAGCCGCCAACCCCGCTCCTCCAACACCACCCACACCACCAGGGTTCTGCGAATCAAACACAGACTGCCCTGGTACTGCATCAGGGTCTGATTTGATATAAACACCTCCTCCGTTTCCGTTTCCGCCTGGTAATTGGAGTCCAGCGTTTGGGTCTCCAGGTAGTGCTAACGGATCAGACTTTATCTGCATATGATGTTGACGTTGATGTCCTCCCATCGGATCCTGCGGCAGCCCACCATATTGTGGGATTTGTGGCATAGGTACGGGTGCCGGTGCTGGATCCCAGGGAAAGTGCGCAACGCCTTGCTGCGTCAGTTTGTGTTGCCATGAGGACATGAGTTCTTGTAGCGTCGTGTCATCCATGCCATATTCTTCAAAGTCTGTACGGGAGGAATCGATTGTTTCTTTGATGATGTGAGCGTAGAGATCACCCTGGACAGGTCAGTTAGTATGACGGCTCCGAGACTCGGGAGGCCTGGGACATACGACAATGTTGTTCGACATGGCGAGTGAGTAAGACGATCAGAATAAGGTTGACGAAGGGTTGAATGGAGTTTCAAACGGCGAGGAGAGCTGGGAGAGGTCTGTTTTGATGGAGGTCTGTATTGGTTCACGACGACGTCGGCGTTCAGCGACCCCGTACATGCAGGCTCAGGCACCAGGATGCCCCGCTGAGGTAATAGGAGAAACTGTATACATGAAGGGTGTTACAGGCGACGGAACTCGTTCGACTTATGATAGGGAGTCTTATTCATCTTTTGTGGTGGCTTTCCCTTCATAACACCTACTGCTGAAATGCCGGTAGTGGACTCCGGATCCTTTGCCTGCTGCGGCGGTCGCTGTCGCTCCGTCGAATCATACCAAGGACCTGTACGACGTTAAGGGGGGTCATACAAGGCATTGAGGTTTACTTGCGAGGGTGAGGAGGGGGGTGTTGGATGGAGCCGGTCGGGCACACAGGAAGGACCCCCGCAAATACAGTAGTTAGGGAGTTGTCCTCTTAAAGATATCTTTATTTCGCTTTAAATAAGACGTTTTTCAAATCGTTTCAGCGAATTTCCAACTTCTAACTTTACCAGCTTCCTCGCCGGCCCTCGCGCCGACTTTTTTGGGCCACGGTATAGTTAACGTTGGTGAAGCGAAATGCAAAAGTAATCAAGCGTCATTTTTACTCATCAACTAGCATACACCATAACTTTTAAGCCTCATACGAGGACGATATCCATCTCTAAACGAGACTTCATCGTAACGAAACATCCGAAACACTAGATGTACAACGTCCCATCCTCAGCGTTCACCTCATTTTTAGACACCACCAGTAATCCACTCAGTAAACTTCGATTTATCCCCAGCATGGTTCCTCAAACTGACAACGCCACTCTGCTGGACCCACCCACCGTGATACCTGCTCACATCCTTCCTCGTTAGATGAATCCTAACCTCCTTACTCTCTCCAGGCTCCAGGAAGATCTTGTCGAACCCACGCAAGAAGGTCTGGTCGTCATTGTCGAAGGTGTAGTAGACTTGAGGGACGATACCACCGTAGAGGGGACCGGTGTTGGTGACGGTGAAAGTGACGTTGTAGAGGACGTCATAAAGGGAAGGGTTACCTCCGACGCCGCCGCCGTCTTCGGAGTAGGGAAAAGTGGAAAAGTTGTTCATGCCTTCACCGGAGTTCAAGGCGGGAGCGGAGGAGGAGGTGGTGGCCGCGGCCTCGTTCCAGGTAGAGTTGGACCAGGCAGCGTTCGAGGAAGCCTGAGCGGTAGGAGAAGGAAGGTAAGGGTAAATGAACCCACTGACGCTAGAGACGGAGGTAGGCATGTACAACTCCGACCTAGCCGGGATGCTCTCATCCAAGAACGCGAGCGTGGGAGTAGCCGGACGAGGAGCGTAAGTAGTGTTGAGAATGTTCGCAACATTGAACTCCGAGTACTCGAATGTAGTGTACGACATTCCCTCACCGAACCAGTAACGAGGTGTGACATTCAGCGTCAAGAAACGACGGTAGTCGATGAGGTTACACTCGGTAAAGTTGTCTTGCGGGACGGGGAAGTTGGGCTCGTACATGACATCCGTGCCGTAATCCTCATAATTCTTGGCGATGGAGAAGGGGAGACGACCAGAGGGGTTGATGACACCCCAGAGGGTGTCAACGAGAGAGTTTCCGGATTCTTGACCAGGGAGACCAGCGAAAATGACAGCAGTGACGTTCTCATGCTCGATCCAGGACTCCATATCAACGGCACCAACACCGTGGATAACAACGATCGTGTTCTCGCACTGGTCAGCAACGGTCTGGATGAGCTTATCCCCAGCATGCCACAACGTCAAGTTATTCCTGTCACCCTCGTTCCCGTCAACGGAGATGTATCCCTCACCCGAATCAGCATTCGCAAATACCAAACAAGCACCGGAAGGAGCGTCCTGGACTTGTGCAATGGTAGAGTTGATCTGAGCGTAAGCGTAATCATCAATGACCCACTGAACGACGGTCGCATCCTGAACCGCACGCTCCTGGATCGCCTCGAGGGGAGTGATAAGGTATGGGAAGTTATCGGACCCAGATCCCCATCCCATAGCGAGCGTTCCATTATCGCACCCACGGTCAGAGCAAGCGTTAGGACCATACATCCCCGGCCCGGCGTCCGATCCAAAAATCCCGATCTGAGCCAACGGCTTGGAGGGGTTAAATGGCAACGTGCAATTCACGTTCTTCAACAACACATTTGCCTCGGCTCCAATTTGGCGAATAACCTTGTAGTGATCAGCCATGACATTGACATGCTCGTTCACCTTCTCCCAGCCTTGCTTGGTGGGAGGGAACTCATAGCCCTCCGTAGTCAGCGTCCAAGCATTGAAGTTCGTCTCGGGGTAGTCGTCGTCTTGACCCATGAAGTACCACGCAGCGAGGATACGGGTGACCATATCGTCCATACGCCATATGGGTACGGATCCGTTCATGACAGCCTCGGTCAAGTTTCCTCCCCAGAACGACAATCCATCACCAAAAGCCTGGTCTCCAGGCATAGACATATCGAGTCCAGCGAGGGCAGACTCAACACCAGAGTGGTGTGCTCCCCAATCAGTCATAACGAATCCCTGGAACGCGAGCTCATCCTTCAACAATCCATTCAGGAGGTGCGCATTCTGGCAAGCATACGAGTTGTTGACCTGATTGTACGAACACATGAATGAACCCACATCAGCCCTCACAGCCTCCGCAAAAGGCCAGAGGTAGAGCTCATGCATCGTCTGATCATCAATATTCGCCGAAATCGAATCGGTCACGTTTTTGTGGGTGTGATACCCATTCGACTCCCCCATCTGCCTAAAATGCTCCTGCTCATTTCCAATAAAATGCTTCGCACACGCAATAACGCCCTGACTCTGGATACCGATAATGGTCTCGTACATCGCCGCACCAGTCAAATATGGATCCACGGAAAACCCTTCCCAGTTTCGGCCGCCGGCGGCGTTTCGGCCGAGAGGGCCTGCGACGGGACCGAGTTGGACGTGGACGCCTTTGCCGTGGTGTTCGGCGCCCATAGCTTCTCCGCGGAGACGCATGAGAGTACGGTCCCAGGTCATTGCGGCGGTCATACCGGCGGGGAAGGCGGAGACGTAGTCGGCGTTGCGAACGCCCAAAGGAGAGTCCTATCAGAGGGTTAGTCTTGTGGATCAGCGAGGGTGTGGAGGAAGGCGAGACGTACCTGGAGACAGAGAGAAGGGATACCCATTCGGGGAACGGCACCGGTGTTACCAACACATGGACCATACTCCCATCCAGTACCAGTAGTGATGTTGACCTTCTCAAGAAGGTTCAATTGCTGAACCATGGCACGAGCGGAGTCATACGCGGCTGACCAATTGCCGAGCCCAGCACCACGAGCTACGTCCGAAAAGTCAGCATACATCCCGGAAAATCGAGGAGAGAATAACGTACGAGAAGGAAAGTATCCCTCAGTGGGCCGAGGGTAGTAGATCGAGGGATTAGATTCATAGGTGTCGTTGGGTGCTTGCGCCGTAACACTGCCAGCCAAAACGGCGGCCATGGCGAGGCAAGAGATCATCATCTTGATCGCTTACTCCTGTGTTGAATGCCGAAGTTTGCTGAGTTGTCGAAATGAGGCTACGTGAGGAGAGCGAGGGAGGGAGGTAAATATATGCTGTCCCGGACAAAAAACCAGTCCGTGGCCGAAGGTGGGGAAGATGTCGGATCGTCTGATCCTCACACCTGGGTGAAGGAGGAACAGCGGGGTCGCGTAACAAATGTGGTGTCGCGTGGGACGGGAATGGCTGGGGTTCGGTAGATTATATGCTCAGCACCGGTAGTGAATGCGATATGGAAATGTGAGCCGTGCGAATGGAGATGACGGCTAATTAATAAAGGACCTTGGCGAAGCAGCGATTGCGAACTTGAGCTGGACGATATCAATACAGATGCTGAAGAGGGGAACAGGGTCAAGAACGGGATGAATGCCCCTCCGCGGAGTTTCTCTTACTGTCGATCAGCTATCCCCGTCCATCTTCACAGGCCCTCCAAGATTTCGCGGAGGAAGGTCGGAGACTTGAGGATGGGGTGCACTAGCTCGAACGCCGCTGATCCCATGCTCGCTACCGGTAGTAATGGCGCACCGCCGGGAATTAACACCCAAAGCTACGGCTGTGCTGTCGGCTGAATATAAGCGGAGTGGGAGATGCCAGGTGATAGGCTGACACAAGCAGCATTCACTGACCTCAGAATGCCATCAATTGTAACGGCTTTCAATGCGTAGGAAAAAGAAGCAGTAGGGGTCCGGTTCAAGGGCTCCATCGCTCCCCTCGCATGTGGCCGGTTAAATCTACCCCCACAAGTGGGGGATCGACGCTGCGAGGGCCGTGGGGCCCGAAGACCAAAATTTCGTTGGAAGATGGCATGATCTAAGTGGGTTCACTTGATCGGAGAGGCGCCGAGAATTGGTCCTTGAGGAGCAGGCGGGTCGGAGGCGGTTCAAGGCGGCGCACCGGTCCCGGCATGTATGCGGTTCGCGGTTGCGAGTAGGCCTAGGTATCGAGAAAGTTAAGGGTGGGGAAAGGTGGAAATGTAAAAGACATCATCACATGAGGTTCATTGATGAGGTTACGTTACGACTGGTAAGTGTCGGTATTGCCAAGTTTGTAGACGACCAAGCACACCACCGGGCGGCACAGGAGGCCGACGAACGGCAAGTATAGCCGTGATCTGTAGGAAAGTAACACGGTCATATGTCTACACCATAGCAAGGTCCTTGGTTTTCGAAATATCTATAGTACCGTCTTCCACATCTGCGCCATCTACTCCTCAATTGTCCGTCCCCATGACCTCTCTTCCATAACTTGCCGTCTAGTTCTTGGCATGAACCTCTTTCCACCCCCAAACCCCCCACCTACACCTAATCTCCCCACTCCCCCAATCATCCCACCCCAAATCCTCACCCTCCTCCAAAATCACCAAACCCACACCCTTCAACTCGCTCCACAACATCCCCGGCAACTCGCCTAACCCCCCCGGCCGCACTGGTACCGAAACCACGAATTTCGCGTCAGCGTTTCGGGGGAGTGTAAGAGAGGTGACGTGAGCGACGAGAGCGGGGTGACAGGAGGCGTACAGGCAGTCAGAGGCAAGGACGATGTCGAGGTCCCTGAGGGAGGGGTGGGTAAGGTCGGGGATGGTCCAGTCGAGGATTCCGGAAGTTGCGTGCCCGTTCGCGGCATGGATGGTCTCCTCATTCAGGTCAATGTTTTTCTGGAGGTTTGTAACGATTTCGGGGAGGTCCGTTAGGTGGACGGACCAACCGAGGGTACTGGCGGCGGCTAGACCGACGAGGCCTGTCCCGGCTCCCAGCTCGAGGGCTCGGATTTTTCGGGGTGGTTCGGAGTCTGAGGTCCTGGTGGTGGTAGGTGGAGGGAAGAGGAGTGGGAGGCGTTTTGCGAGGAGGAATGAGGTACCCCATGTCTTTAAGCCCAGATTATCCGATGTCAACGGCGGCTCGTGAATCCGCAACTCCGTATATGGCGTCTCAACCGGTGTTCCGATTGGCGTCGGTGTCCGTGATGGCGTAGGTAGCGAAAATGTCCGAGTCATCGCGGGTGCTGCGCTGCGTCCACAGCGTTCCGCCAATCTTTTCGATGCCTCGGCTAGGATTTCATCGCGTTCTTCGTCTGTCTCGAGCCAGTGCAAATCGGAGGAGACAAGCATGGTCAGCCAGTGCGTGATACCGGGGTCATGCTCTGGCGAGCCGGACGAGGCGGCAGGGTTCGACCAATCCGGGGGTGCGATGGTGAGTTGTTCGAGGGTAGTGGCGAGCGTTTGGAATGAAGGCAACACTCGACCTTTTAAACGAGGGAGGTCGAGGTGATGTATCGGAGCTGCCATAAGGAGTCGTACCAAATAAACTTACCTGGTGCCTGTAACGAGGAACAATTTGCCGAGACGCGCCTTACTAGCCACGCTCTACACAGCACAGCCACCCAAGGATCTGCCGGTCGCCGAAACCTTACCGCTTGCTGCTCAGGGGCTGCCAAACAACACCTCAACAACAGCGAGTTACTTCAGTCGCTGCAGCTGTTACTTTCGAGAAAAAAACTCCGTTACACGCCGATCATCGTCGTGGCTTCTTCTACTAATTTGGGTTATATCCGTGTTATGCATCAGAAATTGAGCGGATGGGTATGTATTGTGCTCAGGCCCCGAGCCTCCCCAGGCTTCGCGTCTTTTCGCTTCCTGTGACAGTTGACTAATGTGTTGCTTGGCAGGGACCCTACAGCATCAACTGTACGTACAAAGCTTCTTCTGGGCCTGTCTCTATGCTATTTTGCCGTGCCTCTCCATCCTCCCCTTGCAATTGCGATTGCTCAAGCGTTGCATAGCTTAGACGGGCCTTTTGTTAGTCATGGTATTAATTTTCATCCCCCACAGGTTCCAACGACCCGCCTTCCTTCACTTCCGTCGCTGGCCGTTGAATGTCGTATTCCCCGACCTCAATTTCATCACGGTGCACTACGCGTACTTCATCTTCGTTTGTCTTGTTTCTTCTGGTATCTTTTGGGGGGCGTCGAGGCCGGTTGGAGCGGTGTCGTACGTTGATTCGTTGTTTCTTGTCGTGAGGTCGAACCACCATGTTTATTTCCTGTGGGCGGGAATGAATGCTGATGGTCTTACAGTGCGATGTCGCTGACTGGGTTGAATACGATCAATCTTTCGACACTCAACACGTTTCAGCAGTTCCTTCTCTTTTTCCTTATCCTCATCGGTTCGTCCATCTTTGTGTCCGCCTTTGTCGTTTGGATCCGTACGCATTATTTCGCGAAGAAGTTCAAGCATGTCGCCGAGCAGCAGAGGAAGCGTCGTCAAGAGGAGCGGGAGAGGGATATTGATGCTAGAAGGGTTGAGTTGGCTACGACAAGGAGAAGGCGCAGCAGTGCTGGTGATGGTATTAGTATGTTCAGGACGTTTACGCATCAGAGTACGAGGGATAGGAGGGCATCGTTGAGCCGCTACATCACTATGGATCCCGATCCAGTTGTTGACGACAAAGAAAGCGACGAAGACTACGACGTTGCACCCGGCAGCCCTCTCCCTCGTTCTCGCCAGCGTTCTGGTCTCGGTATCCCACAGTCAGGGTCGGGGTTGGGCTCATCGGTTCTCGGCTCTGACGATGTCTTCGTCGATGAAGCCGTTGAACCACAGGTTGCTCATACCCGAACCCATATCTCATTTGCGCCGCCACGAGACACCCCAAGCCGTCCCACGACAAGTTCCGGCCTCAGGAACACTTTGCTGAACTTTCAAGGCGTGGGAGCGTCAGCAACGCCCGCTCGTTCCCTCACATTCAGCCCAGCCCCCACGCGAATTGCCGCAGACGGCAACCCCGCCACCCTACCCATGATCAGCGCCCCAAGCGTCGGCCGAAACTCAACGTTCATGTTCTTGACGAAAAGTCAACGCGAGGAACTTGGTGGTGTGGAATACCGCGCCATCCGTGTCCTGGGATGGTTGGTCCCCGCTTACTACATCCTCTGGCAACTCCTCGGTTCGATTGGGTTGGGGTGGTGGATGGCGACGCATTCATCCTACACCACCCAGATCCGCGAGAATGGGATTAACCCGTGGTGGTTGGGCGCGTTCAACACCGTCTCTGCATTCAATAATTCAGGAATGAGTTTATTGGATGCGAATGTCCAGCCGTTTTTTGATGCGTATTATGTCTTGATTACGATGTCCTTGCTGATTTTAGCGGGGAACACGATGTACCCTGTCTTTCTCCGAATCATTCTCTGGTTGATGCGGAAGGTTCTCGACTTCCTTCCAGAAAGAGGACGGTGGGCACAGATGCGCGCAACGGTGGATTTCTTGTTGGAGCATCCGAGACGGTGTTATACCAACCTTTTCGGACGTGGACAGACGTTGTGGCTTGCGGGTGCCGTGTTTGTCCTTAATTCGTTCGATTGGTTCTTCTTCGAAATCCTGAATTTGGGGAATAGTGCGATCGAAGCAATCCCCACTGGTCCCCGTATCATGGATGGACTCTTCCAGGCGTTCGCTGTTCGGAGTGGGGGGTTCTATGTCGTTAATATTGCGACGTTGAGAATCGGAGTGCAGGTGTTGTATGTCGTTATGATGTACATCTCTGCGTTCCCGATCGCTTTGTCGATTCGTAACACAAACGTGTACGAGGAGCGGAGTTTGGGGATTTATGCGGCTGATATGCCGGGTGCTGGGGAAGATGATTCGCTTAGTTCTCGAGGAGAGAGGGAGCGGGAGAGGTTAACTGCGAAGCAGTTCGTCACGACGCAATTGCGTGCGCAGTTGGCACATGATTTGTGGTGGCTCGCGTTGGCGGTATGGTTGATCTCGATTGTGGAGTATCAATCCTTCGAAGACCAACCCGCCAATTTCTCTATCTTCAACGTCATCTTCGAAGTCGTCTCCGCATACGGCACAGTCGGACTCTCAGTCGGTTTCCCCAACGTCGACTACTCCTTCTCCGGAGCACTCAAACCCCTCAGCAAACTGATCATGTGTGCGGTGATGTTGAGGGGACGGCATCGGGGGTTGCCGGTCGCGATTGATCGGGCGGTGTTGTTGAAGGGAGAGGATGTCGAGGAGGGGGAAGGTAGGGGAATAGAGGAAGAGGATGGGATGGTTGGGAAGACGTTAGGGGATTTGAGGAGGAGGAGTCGGTTGGATTTGGGGTGGGGGCCGGATAGGCCTGGGGCTGGGAGGAGGGCTATGAATGAGGAGGCTGTAGAACCATGAGAGGGAAGCTTGGATTGTATGTATATAAGGAGGACACGGGCATGAGTGAAATTGGATTGTGTTTATATTGCGTTATAATTAGGATCGTAATGGAATAAAAATCGGGCAAAAATAGGCGATTGGCAAATGAGATGCACGTCGACGTCGTCGTGTCAGCCTCAGAACTCCGCGCGACGCCGAACAGAACACCAAAGACCATCTCGACACCATCAGCATCGACTGATCATAGGAACCAATTGTAAATGGGTTTCTTTCCTTCACTCCCGAAACCTCCAGGTCCCCTTCCTGTCAGCACCTTCACCCTGGAATCCCCAATCGAGTCGACACTTCACACCCCGCACCCGCCAAGCCCAGCCCGGCCGCTTAAAACCAGCTTGATCCGGGTCTACTACCCCTGTGACCCATCCACGGGAACTAGCAAAGCTGAATCTTGGATCCCGCGGCCGTTCTCGACGTATATCAAGGGAAACGCACATTTCTTGCGTGTTCCCCCATTGCTGGTCTGGGCATTGTCTTGCATCTCCGGCCTCCTCTTCACTCGCCTGCCGTGTCGGAAGGATGCAACACCACTAAAACGTGACGGAGGGTGGCCAACAATGCTCTTCTCCCACGGCCTCGGTGGTTCGCGGGGAGCCTACGGAGCATACTGTGCCGGACTGGCGAGTCACGGCGTCGTCGTCGCGGCCATCGAGCATAGGGATGGATCGGCTGCTGTGTCGTATGTCTCTACATCGGATGGGAAGGGGGAAGAGGTGCCGTATGTCAGGGTGTTTGACCAGAAGGTTAAGGAGAAGCAGGTGCATGTGCGGACGTATGAGTTTCGGGAGGCCTTGAGGGTGCTGAGAGCGTTGAACGCGGGGCATCCAGTCGAGGTTGCAAACTCCCGCTGGCATGCCAAGAACTTCAACTATGAGAGTTGGAAGGGCGTGATGAACGTCAAGAAGGGACAAATCATTGCCGCCGGACATTCATTCGGCGGCGCAACCGCCCTCTCCGCCTGCAAAGATATCGCCGAATTTCACCTCTCTCCCGCTCCCAACTCCTCCACTCCCGACAACTACCCCTTCAGCGAGGAATTCGCCGCAACGATCCTCCTCGACCCCTGGATGTCCCCAACAACTACAAACTCCCACATCCCCCTCCCAACACCAACCCTCACTGTCCTCTCCGGCCAGTTCTACAAATGGTCACAGAACCTCACCGCCGTCAAGGAATTGCACAGAGGGAGGCAGGAAAGTAAGTGTTGGGTCGCCACTAGGTCAGCGCATCTCTCACAATCAGATTTTGGTGCGTTATTTCCGTGGGGAACCAAGAAATTTGCTAAGGCAGAGGAAAACCCCGTGAAGGTGTTAGAGTGGAATATCGAGGCGACGAGGGCGTTCTTAAGGGACGTTGGGGTTGATGGGATAGGCGAGGGGAAGGATGTAGATGAGGCGATTTGGAGGGGTGAGGAAGGGTGGGAGGGAGTTAGGTGTGAAGAGAGGGGGCGGGGACTACACGTTGAAGGGGACTTTGGGAGTGAGTTTTGAGAAAGGGAAGGGGGGTTATAAAAGGCGAGAGTGGAATATAAGGATATCGGGATACTATAAGATACCCAGTGCTCAATCAACTACTTCATTGCGAACAGCAGCACACCTCCGTCCTCGTCTTAGCCAAGTGTCCTCTGATAATCTTCATCGTCATAATTCTCGCCCAGCCGTAGGAAAAAGAACTACGTCCCGGTGAACCAAACTCGGAAGGCAAGGCTCCTATGCTCATGGGTCCACAAATCCTGTCCTCGTAGCCACTGTCCCCGTAGCTACTGTCCCCGTAGCTGTTTTCTGCACTCTTTTGGTCCGCTCTGTTCACAGCTTACTCCTCAACTCCTCCAACGCCTTTACCAGAACCTCCACCACCTCCGGACACTCCTCCGTCAGAAAATGCCCCTTTCCCTCCATCTCCACATACCTTCTCGTTGCCGTCTTTTCGCCGCCGAACAACCCCTCCGCCACTTCTCGCTGTTCCGCGATAGGCACGAGATGATCATCCGACCCTGATAGCTGGAGGAGGAGCTTGGTGTTGTTGGCTGAGATGGCGGCGTAGTCAAAGGGCCTGTTGAAGTATCCACTTTCTCTCTGTACAGTTTGCCCGTCTTAGCTTACCATCCTTTCCGGACTGACACTGGTGGAAGACAAACCTCAGTTGGATCATCCTGATCCGTCAACGCCGCTGACACAAGCAGTGATCCACACACTTTTGTCGTCTCTGTAAGCCCTGTATCGCAGCTCGGTCAGACATAGCAAAAAGGTTGGACCGAAAAGCAAAATACGCATTGCTGCACTCGCCCCTGAAGAGTGCCCAATCAAGACCGTCTCCTCGTCGACGCCGATGTCGGATTTGATGAAGGCTAGCCATACAGATCTGTTCCCAAGCTTAGTATCGTCATATGGAGTGTAAGTGCTGAGATTGGACATACTCCTTGGCTCCATAGGGATCAGGGAAGTCGCGAAGGACGACCCCTCGAGGGAACAGCCCAGTCTTCTCAAGTTCGTCGTGAAAGTACTGGTACCAATTCGCATCGCGGATGTCGTCACAGCCAATGCCGGGGATGATGATTGCTTTCAGATTGGACATTTTGGGCTTCTGGTAGGAATTGTAAGATGTTGGACGTACGGTCTTCATAATGATGTCATAGGCATCCACATTGTCAATAAATCGCAAGGAATGAATCACGATAAGCAAACTCTTCTGTAGTTCACTAGCTAATCTAAACTAAGTAGGTATCGAAAGATCAAACGCCGTAAGTCCGTACAAACTCGCCATCTCACGCCGGCGGCAACACATTCGTCTTGTACCACTTCCAAGGATTCGCCGCCTTATCCGACCCAGTATTGTTGACGTTCCCTGCCCTCCAGTACTCGCAAACCAACAGGTAAGGGTAATAATACGGTCCAACACTCCCACAATTCGTCGCAAACGCACACCCAATCTGCGTCGTCGCATTCCAAACAACCCGTGTGAAGTGCTCAGTCTTGGCAGAATATCCGGTCGGTGTGTCGTAGTCATAGAAATTCTGCTCGTTGTACCACTTCTGGAGGTAATAACCCGAATTGGAGTTCGTTCCAAGACCCATGTTCTCGCCGTACGAGCCACTGCTGTCACCAAAAGCGCAGGTGTCTGCGATGTTTTGGGCATACTTTTCGAGGTTCTTGTTCCATGCCAGAGGTTGTGCGGAGTGCGCGGCGCGGTAGCTGTTGTGCATCGTGAGCATCTGGGATATGAAGGTTGCGGATGCAGAGGAGGTTGCAGGTGTTGCACTGCTCGTGCTGGACGAGGCCACCGTCGACTTCATGCTCGAAGTGGAGGCGATAGTAGACTTCGAGGTCATCGTTGAAGGCTTGATAGTTGTTGTACTCGGCTTCACACTCAAACTAACAGCCTTTGCTACAGATGAAGCCGCCTTCGTGTTTGCACTGCTGGTCTTAGACGAAGACGTGGCCTTCATCGAGACACTCGCACTTGTGCTTGACGCCGACTTTACAGCAGAGCTGCTGGTCTTTGCCGCCGATAAAGTTGCCTCGAGCATGGAACTACTGATCTTCGATGTAGACACAGATTTGACGGAAGAGGAAACCTTGGTAGACGCAGTACTCGTCGCAGCACTAGAAGACACCTTCCACGTGCTGCTACTCTTGACCGAAGACTTCGCTGTTACCGTCGTCTCAACACTAGACGTAGCCTTCGTTGTCGACGAGACCTTCTTCGACGAACTGCTGCTCTTCACGCTCGACACCTTCGTACTCGTCGACCTTTTACTACTCGTAGGAGGATCAACCCAAACTGTTGTATCCGTGGTCCACGTCGTCGTGGTATGAGTTTGCGTGCTCGTCACGTCGGTCAACGACGCTTTCTTGGTGCTGGAAGCAGACTTCACGGATGACGCTGACTTCCTCGAGGAAGATGAGCCTGTGGTCTGTTGCACTGCAAGCAGCAACGCCGACGGAGACACGACGGACGTTGCTTTTGCTGATGTTGACATCACGGAGCTCGTCTTTGCAGTGGCCTTCACCGTGGAAGACGCCTTGATTGAAGATGTCATCGCCGAGATTTTAGCAGTAGACACCGCTGTCAAAGTAGCCTTCGTGGAGCTCGCCTTAACCGCCGAAATCTTGGGCTTGGAGGAAGACGCTGTAATCGAAATGGATTTCACAGAGGAAATCTTCGTGCTCGCAGCCACAGCGGCTGCAGAAAGACCAGACAGATTGACCGTCGATTTGACTGAGCTTGTCGCGGACACCTTAGTAGATGCTTTAGTTGAGCTCGTCGTCTTGGCAGAGGTCTTCGCGGTCGACGAGGACTTCTTCGAGGTAGTCTTGGTCGCGGAAGCCTTCGCAGAAGTTTCCACGGAAGTCTTAACACTAGACAACGACTTGACAGAACTCGAGACCTTCACACTCGACACCTTGCTGCTACTAACCGCCAGCGACGAACTCGCCGATGTACTGGCTGCACCTTGCTTCAACGTTCCCCCCTCACACCGATACTTCGAGGGATCGAAACAACCTCCATTACACGCGTCCATCCCAAACGAACATAACGTGACCTTACCTGTGCTCGAGGTTTCGAAGATGCACGTGTAGACGGAAGGGTTATAGCACTGCTGACCGTTGGAGGTGGAGGGGCAGCAGGAGTTTGAGCCGCAGTTGATGGTGCAAGATGCTGAGGAGGAGACAGCGGAGGCGGAGGAAGCCAACGATGTCGAAGAGCTCGTGATGGTAGACGCAGTCGACACTGCCTTGGCACCAGCAGATCCCGTCGCCGTACCCACCATGGAAGACCCCTTCGCCGCCGTAGAAGAAACCTTCAAACTCGAACCCGTTGTCTTAACCGTCGACGTCGCCGTCGTCAACACAGGTGGACTAGGAATGACCGAATAACTCACAGTCCTCGTCGTCTTCACCTCCGGCATCCACGTAAACTTCTTCCCCGCCCCAACCTGATAGACAGTCAACCTCCAATCCCCACCACAAGTCTGCGTGCTATTCCCCGAGCACGGCATCCAACATTCTTGATCTGGTCTTGGAATTCCACCATTTGCTAACGAATTTCCACAGAAACATTGACCGTAGTATTCGAGGCCGGCGAGGGTGTATCCGGCGGCTGCACAGGCGTCCATGCAGGATTCGGAGGGCTTGGTAGTTGCGGGTAGCCAGGTTTGTTTGGGGAGAGTGCGGGAGGAGGAGTCGTTGTAGCAGCCCAGGTAGTGCCAGCCCGTGTGGTTGACTGGGTGTGGGCTGAGCAAGAACTCTTCGTACTCCGCTTCATCTTTGCTCAGTGTTTCGGGCTTTAGGGTGCAGACGGGCATAGTCGCCATCGCGCTGGGGTAGCCACCACTCTGAATCGGATTACATCCTGGTAATTCATCGAGTGTACCCGAGACGTCTTCGATGACTTGTGGATATGCGACACAAGAAGACATCTCCTGTGTCGTCTGTAGCATCCCATCAAACACCTCACAAACATTGATATCACCAGACATATCCGTACAATTATCAATCGCGCGCTGCAGCACGTCCCTATTCCACCCGTTCATGAAATCGCCGTGCAAACCATATCCGGTTGGATCTCCGTTCGCCAGGACGAAAGGTTGCGAGACACCGTCGGGGGTCCAGAGAGAGGAGAATTGTGCGACGTCGAACATGACTTCGTAGAAGAGCGAAATGAGGCGGATGGGGTGGGTGGGGGGACATGTTCCTGAGTTCATGTTGGAGGGGTATGCGACGTGACTTTTGTGATTCGCGGAGTCGAGGTTGACTCCATCCCAACAACTCGGAAAGAACACCTGTGCACGCAGGCCATGCGGACAGTAGGTGAGAGGGAAGTAAGGCTTCTCGAGACTTTGGGCGGCGTAGTTGATACACATCCAACTAATCGCGCGTTGCTCGAGAGAAGGGTAATAAGACCTCAACATCGGATTCCCCGCGACCATCCTAAACCCATCCGGAAACGCAACCAACTCGGTATCCGTCTGCGAGTTATACCGCTGCAGATAATACACCAACATCCCCCCTATCTGCGGCACACTCGTGAAACTCCCATTAGGGTGTTGGAACCACAGATTGGGTGTCCAGTAGTTTGAGAGGTCTTCGGTGACTTGGCAGGTTGTGCAATCGGCTGCGCGGAGGGAGTTGAAGGTATTGGTGAAGTTGATTGCGTCGGAGCCCATGATTGTGTGGACATGGCTGGAGACGAGGCCGGGGTTCACGATGGGGTCCATGCGTTCGACAACGACAGGAGCACCGCACGGAAGTCGCCAGAATGCATCGACCGTAGAACAGAGCAAAGTCGCGACGGGTATGAAGCCGACATCGAGGCGCATCGCGATTGCGCAGCTCGACACAAGCAGATCGACACGGAGCTGAGGTCAGTTGATCCTCGAGGAGTAGTGAATTGACGATACATTATATCAGCACGGAACGCGAAGGCGACAGAGTGTACGGGGGCTGAAGTGGCGAACGCGCCTTTGCGACGGGACCCTTCATACGCTGACCCATCCCATGCGCCTGATCAGGTCTGCTGAGGGCTCGAGCGCGAAAGAGTTGCTCAAGCGCACCGCAAAAGGCTTAGTGGCCAGAAATTCATCTGGTTGCAGTTTTCGGTTTAGCGTATACTCTGGGTCTGGTCCGTGCGCAAAAGCTCAGAAGAGCGCGTGAAGTGAAGAAGAAGTTGGATGAGACTGTACATTAAGTTCAAGATACTAATATTTGTGAGTTAGTCTATGCTTGTCTATCAAAGTGAGTAACACCAAACGCCTGCCAAGAAAAAAGGAAAGCAAACAATGGGATGCCGAATCCTTCGCGATCGAGGAAACCGCGTTCATCCCAATCCCCAAAAAGCAACGAAACGTAAAGAGCGTGATAAATAAACGCAAGTGGGCGTGAGCCAAGCAGCTGACTGTTGATAATGATGTTGAAGGTCGTCGGCCGCTGTGGCGAAGAAAAAAAATGCAAGAGAATGTCTTGGTAGGTCGAGTCGTAGCTCGATCGTCTCCAAAGAAAGTAAAAGCAAAAAAAATCGACCTTAGAAGGTCATGTTCATCAAGAACGGGTTGAGCACCAACGGCAACAACATATGACTGATCAACGTAATCTCAAGCGGCACAATAGCCACCCAACTCGTGATCCTCCACTGCAACGGCACCCAGAACGCCAACGCAAGAATCATCGCCTGCATCAAGAAACTGAACACATACATGTTCCTGAAACCGCGGGCAATCTGCTTCGCCTCTACAAAGAAGTTGGAATCCTCCAATTCCTTGGCGGTGGCACCCCATCCAATGTTCAAGGAGAACATGTGGCAAATGAGGGCGTAGGAGACGTGGACGGAGAGACCTCCGAAGAAGATGGCGAAGAGGGGGACCCATTTGAAGTTCTCCCAGAGGGAGTAGACGAAGTTGTGGGTTCCCATACGGTGACGCATAACAGCCAACGTGAAGTTACCGAAGAGCGAGAAAACAATTGCGACGGAGAACCAGATCTTCCAGGAATCGAGGTAGAAGTGATCAGCCGTACCCGGAATCCATCCGGTGATGAAGTAGTTCATCAGCGTTCCCATCCAACCGAAGGCAATAGCGTAGTAGGTTCCAATGTAGGCCAGCGTGGCCAACTTGGCGTAGGTCTTCATGTTCGAAAACACGAAATCCTTGAAAAGCTGCGTGAAAGGACCCTGACGGAACCAAGTAAAGACCGGGTTGAACATAAGCTCCGAACATCCATACGCGTACTTCTCCCATCTCATCAACTCATCCTGAACAGTCAAGGACACCCCCTCCTTAAACCCACCATTCGTGTACGCAGCAAGACGTACGAGGTAACCATTCACCTGCAACCTAAGCGCAATATCGAAATCCTCAGACACATGGGATTCAGACCAGAACTTCTGCACATGATTCTCATCATAAAACGAAACCTCCTGAACCGCACTCCACCTCAAGAACGCATTATGCCCAACGAAAGGCGCAATATCACCGTTCGCACAACCATACTGAATAGCAGTGTAAACCAAGTCAGTGAAGAAGGTGATACCGTTTTCCCAGTAATTCCACACGACTTGCATGACACCGGAAGCGTGTTGGAGGATCGCTACTTCAGGGGCCATTTCCATTTCGGAAACGGCGTCGAGGATGCAGTCTTCGGGGACACGGGTGTCAGAGTCGATGATCATGATGTAGTCTCCGACACGAATATCTCCGTCGGCCCAGGCCTTACCGCCGGTTGCTTCGACGGCGTCTTTAAGGGCCTCTTTGTAAGCGATGGCTTCGCGTTCGACGCTCCAGTCGCCGTCACGAGGAATTTCTTCGAGGGCTTTCTCGACGGCGAGGGTAAGGGAGAGTGCGAAATTCATGTTACTGGCCTTCTTGAAACGACCAGCGCGGACGAAACCGTCTTTACCATGAGGGGGACGAGCAACCCATCCAATGTTCTCCTTCTCGTAATAAAGTCTCCGGATTTCAGCATCCTCTTCAGAGAGCAATTGCATACCGTCGTCGTTCATGAAGATAGACGCGGTACCACCCTGCAACTCGTAGGTCGAGATAGCAGCCTTGATGGATCTCACGGTCGGGTCAATAACACCATCCAATGATTCCTTGTAGACGGGGCACTGGATCGAAACGTGTGGCAAGTCCCCCTGCAAGCGCTTCGGTGGCTTTCCAGAATAATACCTCGAATTCTGGTGAACCTGTGAAATAGGCCCAAACAGACGGAACAAACCGAAAACGATGCACAACGCGAAGAAGAAAGCGAAGAACCAGTAAACCGGCCAGACCGCGAGAAGTGCGATACGAGCGTAGGAAAAGTCGAGCATGATTTCGATGATGACTTCTTTGACGGAAAGACCGAAACAGAGGACACATCCGGCGACGGACATACCGACCATCATGGACGAATACCACATCCACGGACGGTCTTCGAGAATCATACCTGCTTCCTCGTCTTCGAGGTCGAGATTGTCAAGACTTCCTCCCTTCCAAACTAGCGCGATCATATCTTGCTCGAACTTTGCTAGCTTCGTCTCAATCTCATCGACTGCATCAGCCCAGACGACGAGAATCTGTTCTTCCTTGACGAAAGCAGCGAAATGGAGTTTACGAGCACGACTCAGCGCAGCCAAGTTTTCCACAATTTGAATCTTTGAACCATCAAGCATCTGCAAATCCGTAATCCCATGACTGCGCTTCAACCGGCCCATAATAAGTCTCACGACCTTCGTACTAACCCTCACCGCAACCTCCACATTCAACCCCATAATTGCCCTCTGAAACGGCCCAGCCTCATCGTACACCTCCGGCGGATACATACAAAACGTCTTCTCCGTCGCATCCCGCCTGACAGCAATAACCGGCTCCCCATCAACCTCGACTTTCGAGAAATAATCCTTGTTACGGAAGATTCTGTAGAGGTGTTCGGCCATGAGTTCGTATTTGTCGATTTCCTTGAGCCAGACTTGGGGCATGGACTTGCGGCGGCCTGAGCGTTGGGACCAGAGGGAGCCAGCGTGTGAAGGCGCTCGGGAGGGTCGGCGTTCGAGGTCGGAGGTGTGGTAGAGGAGAGAAGGCCGTCTCGAGGGGGCATTGGATGCTCGTGTTTGGGATGAGGCACGACTTTCGTGTGTATCTGAGCGGGAATCATAGGTGGAGTATCTCCTAGGCTTTGGCAATGGCGGTTCGGTCTCAAGGAAGGCATATGATTTCTCAACAAGGATGCTGTCGTCGGTGGCTTTGGTGTCGACACTGACAGTGGATGATCCCAGAACAGCTTGTGCCTCCAGATCGATATCTTGAGCCGGCAGGCTGATCTTTTCCAGGCCAAGGTGAGCGGCCAGCTCTGCTGGAGTCCGCTTCTGCTTCTTCGGAGCAGGCTTAGAGAACCCTTCAATGAAGGATCGGAAGGAAGGCATGGCGATTGAACGTGTCCCTTGATTAAAAATGGCCGATTGAGACGGGTATAGGACCGTAGGAAAACGCTGTTTGGTCGATTAGTGAAGTAGACGAAGATTAATCCCCAGCCGTCGTGAAGGAGGGCTGAAGAATGCCGTCCCGTCGTCAGAGAAGAGTCAAGCGAAAACTTTGACGGGTCGCGACAGCTCGTATAGATTACATATAGGTAGGGCAAAGCTTCGGTACCGCACTCGAACTGGCCCACGCGGCGTCGGCTATTGACAGCTCCCGGTTGGTGATCTACTCTGCCACATGGTCTCATGAAGCTTGGTCGCTTTGTCTCGAAAAGCTTGTGGCGATTTGGGCGTTGTTGTTGTGTTTACGCCATTGCACCTTGTCCATTGTGGGTGATGGCGCACTCTGAGCGCCCTTTCGAACAAATTCCTGCCCGGCATTGCAGAGAAGAGACCCGAAAGCGTTATCCTCCGGACTCAGTACGTTCATGCCGAATGCGAGCCGAACACGGATACGGTTTCACTCGGGCAATGGGTTTCCAGCTCTCAGAACTGCTCTCTCCTCTCTCTTCGAATTCTCTTCGTCGTTTTTGCTTGTTTATTCGCGCGCGCTCAAGCCTTTTGCAAGGTTCTTTAGGCGGCGGGTCTGTGCAGTAGGAATTTGCGACGTAGATCACCTAACGGGCGATCCCTAACCGCTTCTGTCGTGCACGGACCAGTCAGCCCAAGTCGCAACGTAAACAAACGAACATCGGAGCAGCCGCCGAGAGTCGCCCACTGGATAAAGGTCCAGTCACGCTTCATTCCGCAATTGGGATAGCACACGGGTATACTGTCAGCACGATTCATGCATTGCTGAACCTTCTTCACGATTGAGACTGTATCAATCAGGCGATCGCTTGTCTTTCAGACCCGGGTAACTTGCCGGGGTTTTTGGACCTGGTATGTTCGATTCGTATTTCCTGATGTCACGTCGCTGTCAGCTCGACCGGGATATCATCCTCGCTTGATCGTCGTTGCAGTCGTAGTCTAGGACCCAGATACTCGCAATGACGTGGCCCGGAAAAGGTAAGTGATTGCCATTTCCTCCATTATCACTCCAAATCACTCAAATGAAGCCGCAAGCTCACTCTCGTGGATTGTATTGGCCCACGCAACGTCCAACGGCTCTTCACCTTGCCCCGTGTCCAGCCATACGACGGTATACCGGTTAATAATTCTGCCCGTATCTTAATCTTTTCTTTTTTTTTGCATAACCTTTCTGTTTCGGCAATAGTTTGATTTACTCGTGTGGAGGCCTAAACGTAAAACTGACATACCGCGTGGGCATGGGACTCAATCCACCGGGGTAATGGTGTTACGAGTGCCACGATAGGAAGCACCGACGCTTGATTGTTCCGGGAGCACAGCGATGCCGACCATCACGAGCGGGAATACCAAAAGCGGGACTCGCTTGATAAGCTGAAAAAAACAAATCGGCTGACGTTTGCAACATCCAAACTTCTTGCACGATCGGACACGTCAGTAGAGGGAAAGGACAGCCGCAAGTCAGCTTCGCCTCCATAAACGAACCTCTTTTTGCCCAAGTCCGACTGACTAGCGGCGTTTGAGTTTGCTGCAAGTAACCGGAAGATCCGTTATCTGTTCCCCGACGATCACTGTCTACGGAACCTCCAGCCTCTCTTGCACCTTCGACGTCCAATTGCCCAGTAAAGTTTGGCACTGATCTGATACACCTCCTCCAATTCCTCGCCAGAATCCTGAGCAACAGCAACAATGCCACAATCTGACAAGTCCCGCCAATCTCACAACTCCTCACCACCATCCAAGTCCGGTGTCCGACGACCTCCAGCTCTCAACATCCCTGGTCACCGTTCCCGCCGTGGTGGTCCAGGTGACACTGAAGAAGAGCAACCCTCCATCTCCTTCACGAACGCCAATGGTGAAGCATACAGCGTCATCGGATCCGAAGAAGGGAGTATCTCCTCCTCCAAGGGATCAGCAGCAAGGAAACACAAATCCACCAAGCAATGGGCGGAAGACGTCGAGCGTGAGCTGCCGAGTCCGGTTATCGAGGAGAGCAGGAACGGAAGCGTGAGTACCGCAAGTGGACAGAGCATGTTGAGTCCGATGCAACAGAGCTTTCCCAGTCCGGAGCGGAGGCACAGCACAATCGGCGGTGTGTCATTGCCAGTCAGTCCTACGACGCCGGAGAGGAAACAGAGTTTGACTGCGCAGACGTTGGCTAGTCTTCCTTCCGCCATGAAGAACTACTCCCGTCCTAACAGTGCCTTGGAGGTGAACGACGAGAAAACCGAGGAGCTCCCTGATTCACCCAGAAAGAACGCAACTGCTCGTCCGGGTATGGCAGAGCGTCAAGGCTCTGTCGCATTCGACGTCCCAGCAGGCGAGAAGAAGGGTCTAGCCTACATCAACGAAGAAGAAATCTCACCACCTCGCTCCTCTCTCGGCTCCTTCTCCGACCGCCGCTCCTCAACCTCCTCATACCGCCGTCCGATCTTTCAATCCCGCCGCCTTACTGCCCCTGTCGAAAAGCCCTGGCTCCTCAAGAAGCGAACGATGCGCGAACGCTGGGTCTCCGCATTCCCCCTCATCGGCCTCGTCATTGGTATCATTGGTTCCGCGTTCATCACATGGCGCGGAGTCTCTATTTTACCCAACAAGAACCTCTGTCTCGTATTCGAGGATAACTTTCAGGGTGATACGATCAACAGCACGATCTGGTCCCACGAAGTCCAAGTCGGCGGATTTGGGAACCACCAATTCGAATGGGCAACAGCCGACTCCTCCGAATCATTCGTGGCGAACGGGTCACTGTACATCATCCCCCAACTCACCGAAACCGTCGTCCAACCCGCCGATATCACAGACGGGTACACCCTCAACCTCACCTCCCTAGGACAATGCACCTCCACCAACTCCTCAGACTGCGTCATAACCTCCAACTCAACCCTCGGCACGATCCTAAACCCCGTCCGCTCCGCATTCCTCACGACGAAAAACACGCACTCGATTCGGTACGGCCGTGTCGAGATTCGCGCAAAGATGCCCGTAGGAGACTGGATCTGGCCGCGAATCTGGATGTTACCCAAGGACAACGTCTACGGAGATTGGCCAGCCTCAGGCGAAATCGACATCCTCGAGTCCCGCGGAAACGACATCACATACACCGGAAACGGGCGAAACTGGATGACCTCGACCCTCCACTGGGGACCTTCCTCCTCCTACGACAGATACTGGAAAACCCGAAACGTCCGAATGACGGAGCAGACCACCTTGTCTGCCGACTACCACAAAATCGGATTCGAGTGGACGGATAAGTACATGTACATGTGGCTCGACAACCGTATACGACAAGTCATGTTCATCGATACCTCCGCCAATGCCAAAACCTTCTGGAACCGTGGTGATTTCCCCGAACGTGATTCAGATACTCAGGAACTCCTCGTGAACCCCTGGACAGAAGGAACGCATTCCGCGCCGTTCGACCAAGACTTTTATTTGAATATCAATGTTGCGGTTGGTGGGACGAATGGTTGGTTCCCAGATGATGTTGGTGACAAACCGTGGGTTAACACGGCACCGAGTGTCGCTATGAGGGATTTCTGGAATAAGAAGGACGTGTGGTATAACACTTGGCCGAACAGTACTGCGAGGGGTATGGCGATTGATTCGGTGAAGATGTATAAGAAGTGTAGTGCGTACACGACGGATTAAGGACGTTGAGATCGTGAAGAGGCGTTGTTTGTTTTGTGGTACCGGTATCAGACAATAATGGGTATCAATACAGACCGTAATTTATGAACCAAATCCCTGTCGCCGTTGCCTAACCCTCTGTATACCGGATTACCAAAACATCGACTTGAACCTTGCGTGATGTGTTCAGCTGCAGTGAACTCCTTCGAGCACCGAGTATGTGTGCCGTCAACACTTAGCCGCAACTACTTGCCGCGAAGACAACGATCACCCACAACACCCCCACCTCCCCGACATCTTCTGTTGCTGCAACCGAAACGGCTGTTCCCAATCTTGCCCCCCACCCCACCAACTCGCCACACTCGTCCCCCTCATCCTCCTCCCCCTCTCCCCCCTCCTCCCAATCCCTCCCCATACTCCACCTCTATCTCCTCCCCCATTAGCCATGGTGTCGTGCCACGTCCCATCATCATTATCCCTAACCCACCCCGCATCCCCATACTGTACCCCACTCCCCGCATCCTCTGGTCGAATTTCGCCCAGTTCGACGCGGGTGAGTAGCTCGCGGACGGGACGCATGAAAGCTTCGTTGACATTTAGGTCTGACCGTGCCGAAACCTCTAGATACGGTAGCGAGTGTTTCGTTGCCCACGCTTGTGCTTCAGCTGACGAAACCTCTCTCCGACCTTCTGCGGGGTCGGTGGAGGCGTCCACGTCGGCTTTGTTTCCGATGAGGACGATACAGACATTCGAACTCGCCAAGGCCTTGGTGTCTGTGAGCCATGTCGGTAGGGCCTCGAAACTCTCCCTACTCCCCAAACTAAAAACCAACATCGCACACGCCGCCGCGCGATAATAACTCCTCGTGACGGCCCTAAACCGCTCCTGTCCCGCCGTATCCCACAACTGTAACTTCAACCTCTTCCGTCGAGGTCCCGCGCCGACACTCACGATTTTAGAACTCAGTGAGACACCGATTGTGTGCGAGGTTAGTTCTAGCCATTCGCCGCGTGTAAAGCGGTGGAGGAGGCAGGATTTTCCGCAGCCGGAGGGACCGATCATGATGAATTTGACGAGGTAGTCATAGAGAGTGTCGAGTTCTTGATCTGGTGGTGCTGCTGTTGTTGTTGTTCGGTTTGGTAATAGAGCATCGTTCCCAGATCGGGGGTTCAGGGTTGACAGCGCGGTCGATGTCTGGGAGTGTACGGAGGAGAGGGAGGTGGTTCGTCGTCTTGGCATCTTGACCTATCGTGTCGCGTATGAACGGGGAGCTGTAGGTCTGAGGAAGCGTGTTCGGCAATGAAATCTTGAGTTTGTTTGCCGTCCGTCGTCCCCTCACGTCCTGTTTTCTGAGAGGTTGGTATGGTGTTGACTGGATTGTTTGGAGTTGAGCGTTATCGGCTGCGCCTGCTTGAGATTAAGGGGTGGACTCCGAGAGCCGTACCGGTATCCCGTAACCGTACGAGTTGTATTTAATGATGAAAAGATGCCTGTATATCGCACCGTCTATCCGAAGTACCTCATGCTTCACACCCTCTCCTCCTCTTCTCGATCATCCTTCTCTTCCCCCTTCACCCACCACGTCCCCGCCAACCCGAGCACCAGGACACATCCTACGACATTCCACGCCAAAAACCCACCAAGCGGCCACGTCTGTCCCACCATCCTCTGACTCGCCGTGAATATCGCACCTGACCCAAACGGTCCCAACGCTCGAAAGACGGCGGCAACAGCTTGCGAAAGTCCGTTGAGTGAGCCGAGGGTGGAGTCTGAGGGTGCAGCGTTGGTGATGAGGAGCATGATGCACGTCATCCCCAACACCGTCGCAATCGTCCGAAGCGATAGCACAACGAGCGCACCAGCCCACAATCCAGCTTTAGAGGAGAGAAACCCCGGCCCAAGACCAACAAACGGTGTCCCAAAAAACGCAATAGCGAACACCGCAAACCCCAACTGATAACACCTCTTCGTCCCAAAGCTATCCTGCAACCTCTCATAAAGCGTAATCTGCGCAACAATACTCGCAATCCCGCTCGCGGCCAACATAATCCCAATATCCCTCGGATTCATGTCGCGACCGATCGGATACGGGGTGGAGAGGAAGACTGGGAAGAGTTGGCCGTATGCGACGACGGCGAAGGAGAAGATTGCGAAGGTGAGGAGGATGGAGAAGATGTTTGGGGTGAGGAGTTGTTTCCATTCGTCTTTGCGTTGCCAGAAGGATGAGCGAGCGGCTTTGGAGGCGGAGGGTCGGAGGAGGGGACGGTGGGGGTCTGTGTCGGCTGAGGAGGTACCTGGATATGCTGAACGGGATGTTGAGGGTGTCGTGTGCCATTGCCAGACGCGAAGGAAGAGGACCTTGATACGGTTCACGAATGCCGGGGTCTTCTTTTTGTGTGATTCCGAGAGGAAGAACACGATAAGGACGAGATCAATGAGTAAGAGCAGTGCCGAGGCAAGGTTAGGAAGAAGGTATCTGTAGAGCGACATTAGCAATCATTTCAAGAACGAGGTTTGGTTGCATCTACGGATATCGCTTGAACAACTCTTGTCCGAATAACCCGGGAAACGCATCCGCCGGATCCGCCAACACTCCACCCATCGCTGGACCCACGATACTCCCCAGTCCCCACACAAACGGAAGATAACTGAACGCCGCCGACTGATTCGAATCATCCGTGATTTCACCCAACACAGTCGATATCACACCCTGATTCGCATTCACCAACCCAATAAAAACCTGTGTCAATATCGCCTTCTTCAGCGTATCCGCGTACCCGAACCCAAGAATTCCAATCGCAGTCCCCGCCGTGCCTATGACAATCACAGGTTTTCGCCCAATCTTATCACTCAACCACCCCCACCCAAAATTCGTCACACTCTGCGCGAGGAGGAACGAGGAAGCGATAACACCAACATAGAAGGAGACATCGCCTTCAGAGGATGAAATATGGAAGGACCGGACCATTTGGGGAAGGTAAGGTGCGATGTTGTTGAAAGCTGTTTGTTCGGCTAGACAGGCGAAGCAGAGGATTGCGAGTTGGCGTTTTGGAAGGGGGGTTTGTTCGTCGTCTATGCTAGCTGTAGACCGGAGGTCTGTGTTATCGCGGTCCTCGCGATCTTGTATTGATCCGTAGCGGTCCCTTGTCATCGTTGCTTGTTCTTCGTGGTTTCCTCGGTTGTGATCCGTCCCGCTGTAGGATGTTATTCACTGTAATGACCGCTACACACGGATCAACTCTGAATGTTGAGAGATCAAATGTTCTATAGGTTTTCTCGTTCAGCTGTATCACCAAGGTCGCTGGTGTTGGTGCTCGAGTGATTTCGTGCGCCAATGACGTGCAACACTGCAAGCTGCTACGGCAAGATTACGGGCTTGGCGACCGCGCGAATCCGTGGGAATGTTAAGTATATGAAGCAAAATGTACTTTGTTTGTAAGGCTAAGAAACTCTTCTATCGGTTGCTGATCTGGTATCGATATTGTCTGCATCCTCGCGGCAGCTGCAGCCGAGCTTCAGTTCAAGCGGAGCAAGATGTCGACGTCGACGTCCTCCTCAAGCTCAAGCGCTGCCCCCGAACCAGCACACTCCACTGCTTCACCTTCGCCCTATCTATTCCATCTGTAGCTGCCTTCATGGCAGCCGTCTAATGCGTTGCATCCCCCACCCCATCAAAATGCTCCCTCGCCCACGGACTAGCCTTCCTAATCCCCCTCCCCCAAAAATAAAACAAAAATGGAATACAACACATCCCCAAACTCAGAAACCCCAACAAACTCGTCGCCCACCGCGGTCCCATACCTTCATACATCTGGGCCGCGAACAATGGGAATCCAGCGCCGACAACGTTGCGGACGAGGATGACGCCGGCGAGGGCGGAGGCGGCGTAGGTTTGGTAGGCATCGACGACGTAGTTCAGGATGCCGAGGATGATGATGAAGAGGCCGGCGCCGAAACAGCCTGCGGCGAAGATGGGGATGATCCAGGGGACGGAGGGGTAACTGGTCCAGGCGAACCAGAATAACCCGATAGGCAGCAAGAACGTTCCGAGCAGCGAAGACCAAATTCGCTCTTCCGGTACAGACTTGCCCCCTGCTTCCTTGACTTTCCGAAGATAGTGCTGTTCTTGAATCGGATAACACAATGCTGCGATCAACGACCCCAATACGAACCCAAGGAACGTCAACCCCCACTCCCCCACATTAAACCCATGCCCATCCGCAAACACAATCGGCAAAGCCTCATTAAACAAAAATACAACCCCAAACAAAAACCCATTATAAATCGCCGAAAAGAACGTAATCGGCTCCGTAAACAAAAACCTCACCGGTCGGGTCAACGTAACCCCAAACAACTCCCTCAGTTTCCGGTCCTGGTGGGGGTGATACGCGCCCAACTTCTTCGCCCGACGAGCAAGGATGATATCATGTCTTGTCTCCGGCAGGGTCAAGACCATGATGATCCCAATCCCCCCAAACACAATCAAATAAACCCAAAACAACCATCTCCAACCCATCTGCAACACGATCCACCCGCTAATCACCAATGCAAATGGTGGACCTGCCGCACTTGACAACCCATATATCGCCATCGCATACCCACACTCATCACGGGCAAAGACGTCAGAGACGGTACCACCTGTGTTGGTGAGAGGTGCCGAGCCGAAGGTGCCTTGGAGGAAACGGCAGATGAGGACGGTGGGGGTGTTCTGGGCTAGGGCGAGGGGGATTTGGAAGATCGTGAAGAGGGTCCATGTCGTGATGTAGACGGGGTTGCGGCCGTAGTCTGCTCACAAACAATCAGCACTCGTATCCTTCATGCACAACCACATTCACACGGGGTGTATGCAGCTTTTTCACCCGCATACACCCCCGTAAAGTTATGTTCCGCTGCTATAGGAGAAAGGGATCAACTTACACTCACTCAACGGCGCCAAAACCATAGGCCCTAACGCGAACCCCAGCACATACAAACTCAACCCAACCGTGACAACTTCACTTCCCATGCCCAACTCCGCACCCATCTCGCTTCCTCCACTCGAATATCCACTCGCACAAAGACACACGAGGACGTTGAGGAGTGAGGCGAAAGAGGCGATGTAGTAACGTTTGTACGTGGGCCAGTTGCGGGGGTTGTCGGGATCATCGGGTGCAAAACTCAAGACGTGGTGGGGGTCGTCGAGTTGCGCGGTGTGTGCGGCAATTGGTTCGGAGGAGTGGTCGTAGTCCTCTCGTTGAATGTCTGCCTTCTCGATATCTGTAGGCGATCCCGCACGCTGAATCGCATGCTCAGCTTTCTCGACGTCTTCCTTGATCACCGACATGCTGGTCTATCCCTTACAGTCTGATTGTCCTTGGAGGAGGAGCGACCTACATGTACCCCAATTTTGCAATTTACACGATCTATACCGCCCTGTGCCGTGGAGCGCTGACTCCAGTTCCGGTGCCGCCTATTCCGCACTAGGTCGGCTAATTTGTTCAAGTGCTCGCTTAAGATGAACCTGATGTCAATCCGCCAGGAATCTCGAAAACGGTGATGAGGATCTGGGGTAAGGAGAGTGTTACTTTGGGGTGTGATAGGGGGTAGTATGAGAGGTCGGGTACAGGAATCGCGGTTAACCGGTGTTTGGACATCTGTACGACACGAGGGCACGTGATCTCAAACACGTGCATGCAAACTGGGAGTATTCGAAAACAGCATGCGCAGTAAGTTCAGCATTATTTGAGTAGCTCTCCCATCTGTATCGTCTCGCCGTAACGATAGCTTCGCGTTTGGCGGTGGTCCTCATGAACCGGGTATCATCTATCAAAACAAAACTCCAGTCAGACACGTCTCATAATGCACGTCCATCTGTCTCTTCCTTCAATTCTTTCGCTTTCGAACATTCCCAGCGTCATCGTCTTTCACATCCCCGTCATCTCCTGATCCTCATTCGTAACAATAGGCACCGGAGCCCCCGCATCCAACTGCAATCCCTCCACTGCCCCTTCTTGCCCTTGCCCTCCTCCCCCATTTCCCCCGTGTTGTTCTTCATCCTCCTCCACAAACATCCCCTCCCGTCCTCCCAAACACCACCTCTCACTCGGAGCCCTAACCCCCCACCCCTCCCTCACAACCGGCAACGGCCTCCGATTCCTCTCCCCCGCCACCTCCAACAAAAACTCTTTCGGGGGCGGACCCCTAAATGAGTAGTTTGTTCGGGAGGAGATTGCTAGACGTAGGTCGTCGAGGGTGAGGGGTTGGGTGAGGGTTGAGAGGGGGTTGGGACGGGCGTAATCGGAGTATTCGAGGGAGGAGGAAAGGATTTGGTGGGTGTAGCCTGTGCGACGCGAACGTTAGTGAGCTGCTCAATCAATATTCCCATCGTACGCATTCATCCCAAAAGATTGAGAGCAAGACGACGCGTCTAGGGGAAGATGGGAGACGTACGATGCGCAAAATCCATCAACTGCAACGGGACTTTCTCCCCGTACTCCGGCACACCCAAATTCATCATCATCAAATGCAATAACTTCGCATCCCTTGGCTGGGCATTTGTATCTCCAGTTTCCGGTTCCACAGACATCTCGTCCTTCTCTTCTTTCTCTGTCAATACGCGATGTTTGGTGTAGAGCTCGAGGTGTATGCGTGATGCGGGTTCGTGTGGCTGATGACCAATTTCGAGGCGTCCAGATCTGAACGGAAGAGCGAGTCATCGAGCGTCCATAACAGAGAAGCTCAAGGCGGATCAGCTGCTGTTCCATAGACAAACAACGACGATGCTGATTCCTGTATTGCCGCTCGTCGACATCGAGGCGAAGGAGACGAAGGGATTGCCTCGTATGTTCTACTCTCTCCAGATCAATTGACCTTCCAGGCCGACCCGTGATGTACAGGTGAATCACTCTCCCACCTCGGCCATGTCCTGATCACAGCGACACCCGCAAACTACGACTCCATCCTCGCCTACACTAAATCCAACTCCCGCACCTACAATATCCTCATCGACGCCTCCTCCGAGCTTTCTCCAGATCAAGCCATCACCCTTCTCGACACCGGCGCCTCGCGTCTCTTCGTCACGAAACTCGAAGTAGACTCCCTCACCGATCTGGGCGTCACTCCGTCTCGTTTGGTGTTGGAGTGTGATCAGGAGGAGGCGGCGTCTGGGGATATGGACCACTACATTGAGAAGACGAGTGGGATTTATATGAGGCCTGCTCATGCAAGTCAGTTGTCGCCTGAGCTGTGTGCTACGTTGGCGAAGAAACTCGTGAATTCTATTCTTCCTACTGGTGGTAACAGAGATTTCTTCGTCGCGTTCGAGGAGGAGGGACCGAGTCCCAAGGAACTCGTGGCAGCCCATATGTTGAGCATCACCCCGATTGTCAAGGCGGAGGCGATGACCAACGACCCGAAGAAGGAGCCGGGGTTGTTGCCGATCGCTAGTGCGATTTTGAGTGCGGCGAAGACGGATAGGCCGGATGGGTTGTTTACTACACTTGTTGTCAACGAGGCTGGTGTTGCGCTCGGACTCGTTTACTCGTCTGAGGAGTCAGTGAAGGAATCCCTCCGTACCGGAACTGGTGTGTATCAGTCTCGTAACAGGGGATTGTGGTATAAGGGCGCCACCTCCGGCTCGACCCAAGAACTCATCCGTGTCGACTTGGACTGTGATGGAGATTGTTTGAGATTCACCGTCCGCCAAAAAGGCAAAGGCTTCTGCCACGAAGAAACCGAAACCTGCTTCGGCCCCCTCTCCGGTCTCGGCCACCTCGAGAACACCCTCATCGCACGCCGCTCCTCCGCCCCCACCGGCTCCTACACCGCCCGCCTCTTTTCCGACGCCCACCTCCTCCGACAAAAAATTATGGAAGAGGCAGAAGAACTCTGTGATGCTGAGGATAAGGATGAGGTAGCGTGGGAAGCGGCTGATTTGATTTACTTCGCGTTGACGCGTGTCGTTGCGATGGGTGTGTCGTTGAGCGATGTCGAGAGAAATTTGGATGCGAAGAGTAAGAAGGTTAGTCGGAGGAAGGGAGATGCGAAGGCGAAGTGGGTTGAGGCTACTAAAGACAAAGAGACCGCCTCGGGTGTTGAGGAGGCGAAGAAGGAGGGGATTGCGCCGCAGCCGAAGGAGGCGGTTCCCGCGGTTAAACCTGTTGAGAAGGTTGAGGAGGGGAGGATCGAGATGAAGCATTATGTTGCTGAGAAGCTTGATGAGAAGGAGAGAAAGGCGTTGTTGCAGCGTCCGGTCCAGAAGACGGATCAGATCATGGGTCTCGTCACTCCCATTGTCTCAGCCATCAAGGAGAAGGGTGATGCAGCCCTCCTCGAATACACCGAGAAATTCGATAAGGCAAAACTCTCCTCCCCGGTCTTGCGTGCGCCGTTTAGTGAAGAGTTGATGAAGTTATCGCAGGAGACGAAGGAGGCGATTGATTTGGCCTTCGAGAACGTGAAGAAGTTCCATGCGGCACAGATGCCCACCAAGCCTTTAGTGGTGGAGACCATGCCCGGAATCGTATGTTCTCGTTTTGCTCGCCCCATCAACAGAGTTGGTTTGTACATCCCGGGTGGAACTGCTGTTCTGCCGTCGACTGCGACGATGTTGGGTGTACCAGCGATGGTCGCCGGATGCAAGACCATCGTAATGGCATCCCCGCCCCGTGCGGATGGGAGCCTCAGCCCGGAGATTGTGTATGTCGCTCACAAGGTCGGGTGTGAGGCAATCGTGTTGGCGGGTGGTGCACAGGCTGTTGCGGCGTTGGCTTATGGAACTGAATCTGTTCCGAAGGTCGACAAGATCTTTGGTCCTGGGAATCAGTTCGTTACTGCGGCTAAGATGTTGGTTCAGAATGACTTGTCTGCGCTCGTTTCGATCGATATGCCTGCTGGACCCTCGGAGGTGTTGGTCATTGCGGATGAGAACTCCGAGCCCGTTTATGTAGCGAGTGATTTGTTGAGTCAGGCCGAGCATGGAGCTGATTCGCAGGTTATTTTGATTGCGGTTGAGATGAGTGAGAGTAAGAGGAAAGCGATCGAGGATGAGGTTCATAAGCAGGCGAGTGGGTTGCCACGCGTTGACATTATCCGGAAGTCGATCGCGCACTCATATATCTACTCGGTTAAGGATATGGATGCGGCGATGGCGTTCTCGAATGCGTACGCGCCTGAGCACCTTATCTTGCACGTCGATAACGCCTCCTCCCTCGTCGACAAGGTCGAGTCTGCTGGATCGATCTTTGTTGGACAGTACTCCCCCGAGTCGTGTGGTGATTATGCGTCGGGAACAAATCACTCGCTTCCTACGTATGGATTCGCGAACACGTATTCGGGTGTTAACACTGGATCGTACTTGAAGCATATTACGAGTCAGGAGTTGACGAGGGATGGGTTGATGGGGATAGGCAGGGCTGTGATGAGGTTGGCGGATATTGAGGGGTTGCATGCTCATCGTGATGCCGTGCGATTGAGGTTGGAGAAGTTGGAGAACTAGAGGTAGGAGGGAAGATGGTGGAGTTCGGGTGATGAAAATATGTTAGAGTGGCGTGGGTAATGGATGTAGGATATCTCTTTGGTAACATGTTTACGTATTCTTCTAAGTCTGCGCCTATGCTTACCTCTTTCCTCCTACTCGTACATCACTGCTCGCACTCTTGCTCCCAACGCACCACCCTAAGCACTCCTCCATTTCCCCTTCCTGAACCCCTCCACCACACTCTCCACATCCCTCTCCCTCGTCTCCGGCAACATAAACCACGCCCCAATTCCAGCCGCAACCATAAACCCGGCGAACACCAAAAAAGACCAAACCCCCATAGTCCTTTGCATCTGCGGAAACGCATAGCTCATCACAAACACAAACATCCAATTTAAACTCGTACTACACGAGCTAGCAGCACTAATCGCCGTCGTCGGGAAGATCTCGGGGATGAGTAGCCATGGGACTGGACCGAGGCCGAGTGCGTAGAAGAATACGGTGATGATGAGGAAGATGGAGGAGGGGATTGAAGCGTGGTGGAGGGAGAGGGGAATGATGAGAATTTCGCACGCGGCCATTCCGGCGATTGCGGTGAGGAGGAGTACGCGACGACCGGAGCGATCCATGAGGAGGGCGGCGATGGCTGTGCCGATGGTGTTCACGAAGGTTAGGGCGACGGAGACCCAGCGGGCTGTGCTGGGCGCCATGAACCCCGAGAAGAGTTGAGCGGAGAATGCGAAGATGGGCGAGATACCGGATAGCTGTTGGGCGATGTGAAGCATTGAGGCTAGGAGGAGGGGTTTCCGGAGGGTACGGGAACGGACGATTTCGAGGATTGACATACTCGCGCTCGCGATCGCATGCTCTTCTTCGTGGGCTTTGAGGAGGTTGGAGAGCTCGAGGGTCACATCGTCCGTTTCGCGGAGTTTGGCGAGACTTGCCCTCGCTTCTGTTATCTTGCCTTTTGAGACGAGGTACTTTGGGGTTTCGTAGCACCAGGGTAAGAGGGCGCTCATGAAGATTGCCCAGACTGCTGTGCCTGCGAATAGGATTCTCCAGCCTGGGTAGTAATTGAGCGGGATTGAGATGAGTTGGGCGGCGTTGAGCCCAATGCAGATACTGAAGGAGAAAACGGTGCCGAGGACTCCTCTCCACATTGGCGGGGATATCTCACCCACGTACATCGGAACCACCGAACTCGCCGCACCCGTCCCCAATCCCGACAGAAACCTCCCAAAGATAATCATACCCGGGTTCACGGAGGCAGCCATGAACACACCCGCTGCGAGAAAGATCGCGTTCGTGATATGGAATGGAATGAGACGCCCGAAACGCGCTGTGAGCGGTCCGGCGAGGAGGCCACCGAAGAGACCACCGAGGGCGAAGGAGCCGATGAAGAAGGCCCAGATGTTGGAAGACATTGGGAGACAGTCGGGTAGCGAGGAGGAGGTGGGTGTTGGGGTGCATAAGTGGATTGTATCGGCTGGGATGCTAACGGCTGTGGTTCCGTTGTTAGCTAGGGTCCAATGACTGAAGTGATGGGACGTACTTCCAATGTTCCATCCGTATTGGAAACTTCCTATGGACGCAACGAAGGTTGCAAAGAGTAGATGTCGCGTCAAAGGCTGCTCCGGTAACGCGTCCTCTCCACTTGCAAGAGGCGGCAATGATACGGTCGACAGCGCCCTCGAGGAGAGTTCACTCGACTGAATGTAGACATCATCTGGCTTCAACCCCTTCCCATCCCTTCTCGTCAGCGAAGGAGGAGGCAAAGCTTCGACACACTCCGTCATGATTGCTTCCTGCTTCGACTCAGTGACAGACATCTGGCGGGACTACCGTTGCCGATATTTTATATGACATCGCCATGACTCGAGCACCAACAATAAAAAAGAGGGGACAATCCCGATTTTCCGGCCGCGGATTTGTTGTTTGCGCACCGAGGAAGGAAATCGCGCCCGGTCCCCGAGGGGCCTCCGGCTCTGTCAGGGCGCGCGAATCCGGGGCCGCAACTAGCGCCTTTGAAGTCCATTTAGCCGCCGGTCGCTTATGCCTGTGCGAATCCACGGCATGGGAAGGTGACAGTTTCGACCGCAGCTGTCCAAAAGGGTGTGCTTATTGCGGGTATATCATGAGCCTATATGCATGTTCACGCTCTTAGCAATCTACATGGTTGAAGCAGTGCGGAAGACGCTCCACCCGGGAGTTGCGCCCTTCAAATCCAAGAGTTAACTCCGTGCACGGCGCACACCGGCATCAAGATCCCTTGTAATATCTTGAATTGTACTTCAAAAGAACAAAGCAGTTCTTCCAACCGCTATGAGAACCGTGCGCGGGGCTTTTGGATATTACCATGCTATTTGTGGAGACGACAGATGGCCAATGAGGCGTGGGAAATTATATTGTCGTTCCTTCATGACGGAAGGGAGGGAACATCCAGCAGCACTTGCGCGAACTACCGAGTACAGATAGATCCAAGACATGAGTTCGACAAGACAAACCTTGGTGCTTTCTTCACGTTACTCGTCAGGCACCGGACAATCGAAGCCTGTGCAATCATGTCGGCTGAGCGGACTTTTCCTGGAAACCTCCAATTGTGACTTTCCCAAAAGCGGGACGGGAGACAGCCTGGGGATATTCAAAGATGTTGCCGCTCGGGGGAACGCTTAGGGAGATGAGTTGAGATACGACAAGAAGAGCACAGCCCACATGTATATGAATTCCTGACCGATCAACGGTTCCTACAACTTATGCTCCGTCCACCTCGTCATAATGATCAAATGCTGCCCGCGGACTACAGCGTCAAAGCCTGCACGTTCAAGCGCAAATCATCATCCGCTTCATAACTCTCATCTCCTTTCCCTCCCTCATCATAACTCCCTTCGTCGTCGTCATCCTCTTCCTCGCTTTCTTCTTCGTCACTAAGAGGAAGATCCGGAATGGGTTCCCTCCAGAAGTTAACGTCCGTGTACTCTGCTTGTAGTGCTGCCACCACAGGCGGGAAAAAGTGATCCACGAGGTCATTGATCGAGATATAGGATGACCTGTATCCTGCCAGTTCGAGGAGCTCCATTCGTACCTCTCCAGTCGAGTTAATGGTAAAGATCCGCGAACTGGGAATTCCGACGCTTCGGTACGATAACGCATCCGTGATACGGTTTCCGTAGCCAGCGTAGAATGGATTACTCCCCTCACCGTACAAATGCCTGATATCCTTCAAACAGGCCATCTTGAACACTTCCGGTTTCCTGAGGATCATTTCCCTCTTCAACGCCGCCATTGTCCGGTCAGGACTCATGATGACGGGTCCATCCGGCATTTTGATCCCGGTCTGCTCGATACTCTTGAGGTATGCTCTTGTCGCATCGGCTTGACCGACACTTCGGGAGGTCAGGTAGAGGATGTTATACCCATTCTTCGCAATATCCGTGTACAGCTTGGCAACACCGGGATGTGTCCAATCGCGACCAACCATCGTAAAGATATGCCCAAGCGCATCCGACTTCGTAATCGTACCGTCGATGTCGGAGATGACTACTGGTACACTGTATGACCAATAGAAGATGTTGGCGTTACATGTTGCATTGCCTTTGTAGGACGAGACGACGGTGAATGAGATTGGGTTCATGCCTGGCTTGAGGTTAAGGCTTCGTAGTTGTTCCGAGGTTAAACGGAGGGTCTTGGCATAGTTTGACCGGTGTCGGCCGTCTTTAGTGTCGGGTGATGGAGATGTATCACGACTTCGCGGAGGCGAGAGCGGGGGCGGTGTCGACAGTCCTTCTGATCTTGCCCTGCCAATGCTGATGGCATCATCGCTTGTCTGTTCATCGCTTTCGCTCCTCGGGTACTTTCTCTGCTCCGCGTCCTCCTTTGCCTCCTCACTTGCGTAGATCCATAGGTTACCCTCACGATCAGCTCCAACGAGTGACTCAATATCAACTTCCGTGCCTCCTTCTCCCTTCAGTTCTTCTTCCAAGATACGGCGTACCTCGCGCTCGGCTTCGATCGAGTCGGAGAGGGAGGCCTTGTAACCGTGCATGTCGAGCATCACGTCCCCGGTTTGGGTGACCTCAGACAGAATGTTCTTCTCGGAGAGGCGCTCTCTTAATTGACGTGCACGCTCAATGCTTACTTGACTTGAAGGACGAGCATCAAGACGTGGCCGTTGTGAGATCTGTCCATTGCCAATCGTCTTGCTTCGTTCTGGCCTTGTAGCGCTCAACGGCGGTGTTGCCGGGGAGCCGGACCAGTCGCCACTTGTTGGACGCTGCCTAATCGGATCTGGTGATGCTGTTGTTGGTGGTGTCGCGGGTTTATCCAGATCAAAATCATCCGGCTCCGACATGTTCGCTGCCTCTTCGTCGGCATCTTTCTGACTTTGCGTCGGACTACCTATCGCACTCAACACCGGACTAGTCTGCCACTCCTTCGGAACCTCGGACTCTGTCTCGAACACGAAGAAAGCCTCTCCTCCCTCACCCAGCTTCATCTTGAAATCAACAGCGTCGCCATTGACTTTGAACAGCACCTTCTTCTCAGAAGGACGGAGCAGGGAGAATTTGCCAAAACGGACATGAAACGGCGAGCAAGACAGGTTCTTCTCAGCGTCTTCGATTACGATTACGTCGATTGCGCCAGATAATGTCGCTGGATTGATCGAGTTCCAGGTATTTGTCAGACGGCGGACGTATTCCATTGCGAACCTATCGGAAGCCCATAAACGGGCGGATCAAAACTGAGCGATGTATGATGGATGTATGCTACCCTGGAATGGGAAGCAGGAGGTGTATGCGGCTGCAACTGTGCGGTTCGGCGGTGTTGAGATCGTATATTGCTCGGCGGCTCTCGGCGGAGTACCCCAACGTCATACACGTGAATGAGGTAGAACATGAAGTTCTTATCGCATTCCAGGATCTCTACGAGTGAATACTACGGCAATCAACTAGACTCTCCTGATGTATAGGTACTCAACGGACCAAAGTCACCTCACCTGCCTTTCAAGGTTTGCTCGCCAAAAGTCGACCCAGGCACCGATGAACTGCAGCTCGAAGCTCCCCGAGCGTCCGTAAAAACACTACACCAACAACAATCACACATCCCACCTACAGCGACAAGACAATCCAGCAGGGCATGCTCCCCCTTTTCTTCACCCTCGCAGCCCTTGCCTGGATCGTCCACCGCGTTTCCCGAATTCTCTCCATCCCGATCCCTACCCTCGTCAAACTAATTGGCTTTGACGTCCCACTGCCTCCCAAGGTCTCCCTCGATGCAGTCACAAAGGACTCAATTACCTTGCATTGGTTACCGGAAAAGGGCGGGAGTGTCACGAAACATGTGATCAGCATGAACGGACAACCGGTGGGGGAGAGTGAAAAACGGGAGACGAGTGTGACGGTCACTGGATTGACGCCAGGACAGGGCTATGCTGTTCGTATCATTGCGGCGAATGCACAGAATTTTCAGGCACCGGGAGAAGTCATCAGGGTTCGGACGCGGAGGGCGAGTTACAGTGATGGGACTGCATTGGAAAACGGTCATCCGACGGCCACAACAGAGGACCCGGAAATTCACGCACATACTCACCCACGAACACCGCCTATCGACGCAGTTTCTTCACCTCTGAACCGTCGTGGCCTCTTGTCCAACCGACGTTCCGTCTCCGCCTCCAGTGTCGACCCAGCATCCGCCAACACCCCGCCACCAGAACCTGCCACGACCGAAACCATCGAATCCTTGACGGCCCAACTCGAGCAAATTCGACGCGAAACAACCGAACTCGAAGCACAAATCCAGCATGTAGAGGAGGAACACGCGGTGGCAGAGGCGGTATTGTTGGCGGAGTTGGAAGGGTTGAGGGAGAAAAAGAAGGAGGAGGATGTGGCCAGGGGACAGTTAAGGACGGAGACGAAGACGTTGGAGGAGAGTAAGCGGAGTGTGGAGGCTCATAAAACGCGTGCGGAGAGGGCATTGAGGGGTGAGGAGGAGAGTGTGAGGAAGTTGAAGAATGAGATGAGGCGGCGGAAGGAGGAGATCGAGACGACGAAGCAGCGGGTGGAGAAAATGCGTGCTCAAACCGCGGAGGAGGACGTTCAGGCCGAGTCTCGTATTATCGAACTCCAATCTGAGATTGCGCAAACTCATGGCCATATTGCTAACCTGGATGCTCATATCCGCGATTTGTCCGCACAGCTCAAGGACCTTGAGGCGCAACACTCCTTATTAGCCGCGTCCCTTCCCGAGGCGGAAGCCAGGGAGCAGGAGCTGGATGAATATGAGGAGCGGGCCTGGAACGAGAGACAGAGGCTTCTCGAGAGGCGTTACGTGGAAGTGTTTCATCAATATTCTAGGGCGGAGGAAGAGTGGAAGAGGGCACAAGAGGCAATCAGCCTGGCGAACGGCAACGGCTTGAACGGCGCTGGTGTCGGGAGGAGCGGGAGTCCCGCGAGTCCCGTCACTGGCGAGTTCGAAACCGGGAGGGGCAAGAGGAAGGGCGGGAGGAGGAGGAACAGAGGGAATGGCAACTTGGTCGGCAATGGAGCTGCGAAACTTGGGTACTACGGCGATGGCGGTAGCGGCATGGGCATGAACGGCAGCGGCTACGGACGTCACCCCCCCATGTCTGGTTACCCCGAGGACGAAGTCGCAAGCGAAAATGGAGCCTCCGCACCACTCAGTCCTTCACTCTCCGCCCTCCTCCCCAGCAACCTCTTCGGACAGGAAGATTTCCCACCATCTTCTACACCCTCGTTTTATGATATTATGCGTGGGGTGTCGTCGCATAATAGCGGAGGTGTGGGTGCGTTGACGGGAGCGAGTGGAAGTCCGGTTAGTTCGAGTTCTGGGACGCCGTTGAGTAGTCCGAGTATCTCGAACCAGAGGTTGGTGAGTCCGTTGGTTCCGCCTGGGCTTGGACATGCGCCTGCTGCGGGTACTGGTGCGGTGGACAGGACTGCCAACTTCTCGCCGCCGCCGACAGTGGATGCACAGGTCGATAGGCATATTAGCCCGGTTAGCACATTGAACGGTATCCTACTTTCTCCGGCCAACGATGCCGCTGCGGGTAAGATCGGTTCACGCAGATTCGGGAGCTTCTTTGGTCATTCGCATCAGAAGCAGGCGCCTGGTGTTGGCGTTTCGGATATGAAGAGGGGTAATACTCTCCCGCCTATCGAGCCGCCTGCGTTGGGTACACTCAGCCAGAAACACACCAGGAGTCTGCCGAAATCCGACCTTGCGCCTATCGGTACCAGGCCGAGGAGTGGAAGTGCTGCGAGCCAGACGAGTGGACCTCCCATGGGTGTTTCGGCTGGGAACTCGCCTGCTGCTGTTGGTGAGAGGCGAGGCAGTACTGTTGGCTTGGGTGGCGAGAGGAGGCCGTTTGATTCGTTTTTCGATCCGTTGAGTCCGAGTCAGTTGTTGCAGCCTGGAAGTGCTATCGGCATGGACCGCTGGAGTACCTCTTCGTTGCCTAGGCCGAGCATGGATGGGTCGTCCTTCGGGTGGCCTGTTACTGGCGCCGATGCCGGCGTGTTAGGCAGGAGTCCGGAGTTGACGTCGAGTGTGTTTAACCCACTTGACACTACTTGGAGTATGAACCCTGCACGTAGCCCTGCGTTGGGTGGAGTGAGCATGCATAATTCGCCGATTGTGTCGAGTGTTGCGGTTTCTACTTCGGCTTCGGCGTCGCCTGTCGGGAGTAGTGCTACCTCTACGCATTTAAATCCCGATGCTAGGCCATTTCAGAGCTCGTTGCCTGGATTGGGAGAGAAAGACTCCAGTCCCAGGGCGAGTGCGTTCGGTTCGGTAGCTAGCAAGAAAGCGAGGTTCTCCTTCAGCAGGCGTGGGAGTTCGAGGTTCAATCCGTTCGGAAGTCTGAAGGATGGGATTTTTGGGCACAGGGCTGCGGTGGAGGTGCATGATGTTGATGTTGATGTTGAGAAGGGCGGGGAGCTGGAAGATGTTCCTGCTATTGACATTGATGACGAGGATCATGGTTACAGCGCCAAGGACTCTGCTTAGGACCAGTACGCCTACTGCACTACGATAGTTACGGAAATGATATCATTCGTTGCATTTCATCTTCGTTCTTATCGTGCAACATCTTAAGCTGGACGGCGAATCGGAGTCAATCATTATCCATCTCTTCTTTTTCCCACATAGTCTTAATTTAAGCTTCGAGTCACTTCGCTAAGCCGGCTATCAGTCGCCGCATCTTCATGCGCCACGCCCGAGACCCTTCCCTGTCGTGTACGTACCGCGACATAAAGTTCCTCGAGCTCCCACACAGCACTTGAGGTCCCGAATCAATTGCAATCAATCAAGCAACCCTACGAAATGTCTGCTCCTCACCTCTGGCTCCGTGCCGAATCCAAGGCTATGGAACACCGCTCCGCCCTCACCCCCACCACCGCCAAGGCTCTTATTGATGCTGGCTTCAAGATCACCATCGAGCGTTCCACTCTCCGCATCTTTGACGACGCCGAATTCGACAATATCGGTGCTCCCCTTGTCGAGGAAGGGTCCTGGAGAGATGCACCTAAGGACGCGTACATCATTGCTTTGAAGGAGTTACCCGAGAACGACGACACCCCACTTCCTCACGACCACATCATGTTTGCGCACTGCTATAAGCAGCAGGGTGGGTGGAAGGATGTTTTGGCGAGGTGGCCGCGTGGTGGGGGTGTATTGCTGGACCTTGAGTTCTTGCAGGATGAGAGTGGTCGCCGTGTTGCTGCGTTCGGATTCCACGCCGGTTTCGCGGGTGCGGCATTGGCGATTGAGTCCTGGGCTTGGCAGCAAACTCACAGTCCCGAGAAGCCTTTGCCGGCCGTTACTCCTTACCCCAACGAGGGCGAGTTGATTTCTCACATCAAGGAGGTTGTCGCGGAGGGTGTTGAGAAGAATGGTGGAGAGTATCCTCGTATCCTCGTCATCGGTGCTCTTGGCCGTTGTGGATCTGGTGCGGTCGATATGGCTCGTAAGGCTGGTATTCCTGAGGAGAATATCATCAAGTGGGACATGGCCGAGACTGCCAAGGGTGGACCTTTCCAGGAGATCGTCGACTCTGACATTTTCGTCAACTGCATCTACCTTTCTCAGCCTATCCCCCCCTTCATCTCCCCCAAGTTCATGGAGAACAAGGATCGCAAGCTCCAGGTTATCTGCGACGTCTCCTGCGATACGACAAACCCCCACAACCCCATCCCCGTCTACTCCATCAACACCACCTTCGACAAGCCCACCGTTCCCGTCGACATCAAGACTGGTCCTCACTGTACCGTTATCTCTATCGACCACTTGCCTACGCTTTTGCCTAGGGAGTCTTCGGAGGCGTTCTCAAGTGCGCTTTTGCCAAGTTTGTTGCAGTTGAAGGATAGGAAGAATGCGAGGGTTTGGCAGGATGCGGAGAAGCTGTTTAACGAGAAGGTTGCTACTTTGTAAGATATAGATTGGGAAATGTGCACGATATGATTGATACGAGTGGGAAAACGTAGCGATGAATAGACATGACGTTTTCTGGTCTACGTACAAGCGTACGGCAACCGACCGTTGCTGCTCAATAGCCTACGTTAGCCATAACACATACGCGGTTTTAGAAACCCAACCACCCAGCATTCCTCATAAGCTTACCCTTCCATCCAGCCCGACATCCTCCTGCATTCGAAGTCTTTTGTCCATGCTTCATCCCACGATGCATCGTTCTGCACGATCCTGCTGCAAGTACACCGTCCCCGCGATACTGTAAGTCAGCGCCTGACGTATGCGTCCGAGATCAAACGAGCCTCCATCAACCAGCAATCACAGCATACAGTCCGCTGATGGAGCAACTAGCAGAAGAGTTTGAGAAGCTCGAGCAGAGATGCAATGCCTCTAAATCCACGGAGAGCGTAGAGAAGTGTATCGAGCTGCTGATGGAAGCGAAGGAGGCTATCGAAGCGGGTATGTCTTGGTCAAGGTGGATCATTGGGCCTGACTGATGAAAGTGGGGGATAGATCCGGGGAATGCACAGGCGACGGTTGCACAGCTGAAAAAGCAGTTAAGTGTAATCACGAGTCGGATGAACGAAGACATGAAGAAAGTCTACAACGGGCTCGGAAAGTACGGGAAAGCGATTGACAAGGTCGAATGGTCTGGCAGTGTGGACCATGCGTACATGCTGATACCGTTTGACAGACCTTCAAAGCAAACCTTGACCTTGTCAACAACGAACGTGCATTCGAGGGAAAGGAGCACGTCGTGAACGAGACTATTGCTATGCATTTCGTACGACAAGGACAGTTTGGGTTGGCGAATACGTTTATTGAGGCACGCTGCTTGCGAATGTGATTCGGAGGGAAGTCACTTACGCAGTGATGTACAGGAAGCAAACATCGATATCAAACCAGATGTACAAGCACGATTTGAGGAGATGTACCGGATCCTCGAAGCACTACGACAAAAACAGCTTGAACCCGCAATAACGTGCGTACTTCAACACCTTCGTCGTCTTTTGTGTTGAGACTAACGAGAGATACACAGATGGTCATCCACACGCCGTCCTTACCTCGACCAACACGGCTCAAACCTCGAATTCGACCTCCACCGCCTCGCTTTCATCCAACTTTTCACCTCCGGACAAATTCCTGAAGCACTCGTCTACGCTCGAACACAATTCCCCACATTCTCGACAAGGCATTTACCCGCAATACAAAAGTTGATGTGTGCATTCGCATACGCAAGAAATCTCCGGAACTCGCCGTATGCGTCCCTCTTCTATGCCGAGACGATGTGGGATGACATACAATCCCTTTTCCGACGGGAATACTGCGAATACCTCGGTCTCGGCGCCGACTCGCCTCTGAGCACAACTGCACACGCCGGCGCCCTCTCCCTCCCAACCCTCGTCAAAATGACATCCCTCCTCAAGACCCCCTCCACCATCTCCACCACCGCCCCCTGGAAATCTGCCCCCTCCCTCCCCATCGAGATCCCGCTCCCAAAACAATACCTGTTTCATTCGGTTTTCACGTGCCCTGTGAGTAAGGAACAAGCAACGGAGGAGAACCCGCCGATGATGATGCCGTGTGGGCATGTTGTCTGTAGGGAGAGTTTGGGGAGGTTAAGTCGTGGTCATGCGGTTAAGTTTAAGTGTCCGTATTGTCCGAGTGAGAGTGTTAGTGCTGATGCGAGGAGGGTGTGGTTTTGATGAGATTGTGGTATTTTCTGGGCTGGTTTGGGTATAGGTACGGTGTTTCGTTTGGATTTCTTCATCATATTCTTCAACACATGCAATTTCGCATCGATTCTATGCTTCTTCACCACCACCTTTCGCTATATCGTATCAACGCCTGGTTTTTGATTTATGAAGGAAGCCTGTACGCCATGATGCTCTACACAAACGCCCACCCTATAGCAAATCCCTCGTCTCCTTATCCTTCTGCCCCTCCTTCTCACCGGGCGCCCTCAAGCCCAACCCCTGCCCAACAGTATGCTTCAACCCCCCAAAACTCAAAACCTCCCCAATCCTCGTCTTCCCCGTCATCAACATAACCCACCGATCAATCCCCATTCCCCACCCCCCCGTCGGCGGTAACCCCCACTCCAACGCATGAACAAAACTCTCATCCACGGCCGGGATCTCCGAGTCTCCGGATTCGCGATCAGATTGTTGCAGCGTGAATTTCGCGCGTTGGGAGATTGGGTCGTTTTCCTCCTCGTACGCATTACAGATTTCTTGTGAGTTTACATAGAGTTCGAAGCGGTGGCTTACTCTATGTCCGTTGATTTCGGAGCCTTTTGCGAGGGGGGACATGATTTCTGGGATATGGGTGATGAACGTGGGTTGGATACATTGAGGCTCGAGGTAGTGCGATGCGAGTTTGTCGAGAAGTTTTGAGGGTGTGGATGGTGATGGGGGCTTTATCCCGAGGTCTTTTAGGAGGGTGAGGAGGGATTCGGTTGTGTTTTCGTCGTCGAGTTGCGGTAGTTTTCGCCCCATTGCGGTTTCGAGCGCGGGGATAAACTCGATCCTTCTAAACGGTATCGCGAACGAGATCGGTTCCCCACCCGTCGGATCAGTGGGGTTGAGAATCGTTGAATCTCCATCCTTCAAATGTGCTACCATGCCTGAGAGTAAATCTTCTGTGTCCCGGATGAGATCGTCAAGGTTGGCGTATGCTTGGTAGTACTCGCAGGATGTGAATTCGGGGTTGTGGGTTGCGTCGATACCTTCGTTTCGGAAGCATTTGCCAATCTCAAACACCCTATCCAGACTCCCGATGACGAGACGCTTCAACCACAGTTCGGGAGCGATTCGGAGACTCAGCTCTTTTTTCCCTGTGACTTTACTTTGTGTAATAAACGGCGTCGCACTCGCCCCACCCATCGTATCACTCAAGATCGGCGTCTCAACCTCCACAAAGCCTCTGTCCACCAAGAATTTCCGTAGATATGTGAGAATTTTTGATCGTACTCGGAGGGCGTTGGCGGCGGATTGGTTTACCATGAGGTCGATGTGTCTGTTTCGCATGCGTTTGTCGAGGTCGAGGGGGGTGAGGGGAGGGGGGTGGAGGCAGGGGGATAGGAGGATTTGGGAGGATGTGAAGATGGAGAGTTCGCCGACGTTTGTTTTGCCTGGGATTCCGGTCATCGCTATCAACGTTCGTTAGCCGGAGTTCGAATCAACTGAGGATGAAGGTGAATCACGTACAAATATAATCTCCACGATGAAACATATGGTGCATCTTCGTGAACTCCTCCGGCGTCCCGTCAAACTTCCTCAGTGAACATACAGCCTGTAACTTCTTCCCATCCTGCACGATATCGTAGAAATACAACTTTGACGACGACGCGCTCTTCCTGCCTATTCGTCCACGCAGGGTAACAACTTCTTCACCTCTCCCACCCTTTCCGAGCGTCTCGCCATACTTCGCGATAAATCTGCTGACATCAATCGCTCGTTCGTCAAATTCGACCCGTGGATATGGCTCTACACCAAGTTCCTCGAACAGTTTTCGGCGTTGCTTGATATCTGGTCGATCCTCGCCCTCCGTTTTTTTTTCTGGTCGGGCGAGAGGTGGAGGACGCCGGTCGCTATAGAATCTGATGGAAGCTGGTCTTAGAGATCGTGGACATGCAGTCGAAATTGCGAATCGTAATGCTGGTGGAAGGCCCTTCATTGTGTGTGGGGTTATGTCATCGCAGTCGGTACAAGGTTTATCTGGCAACGTTACAGTACAGGAGCAAACTGCACGTGCCCGGGCATCGTGGGGAAGCGAGCGTTGAGGTGAGAAAACGACATGCGATAAATGCAATCTCAGCATTCACTGACGGATATCACTTCGAACGGGAGGCTTGTGAAACGGCTCAATACACTGGGTATATTGGGAACAACAAGAAACAAACGGGTATACGATAGCAGAAACAACTCCTCAAGCAGCCTCCTTCAAAGCCTTCTCGATAACCATCAACAACCCAACACACTTCTCATCCTCCAATCTCTTACAGACAATCTGCAACCCCGCCGGCCCACCCTTATAGAATTCCGCATCATAATCATCATACAACGCTTGATCAAGCTCATTCGCCGCCTCGAACGTCTCGGGCTTGACGTCAATCGCCGGATCGGCGGTCGTGACAGGGAATGCGCCCGTGGAGAGATCGAGGAGGGGCGTGACGAATGAGTATCCCATCCAACGATAGTTACCTCGGTTAGGCTTCGAAGCGTGAGGAGCGACAGGCATGATATACCCATCGATCGGCTTCCCCGTACTCGTCGACTTTGCCGTCTCAGCCCACCACTTCAAATACTCAGCCGCGTAAACATTCCTCTCCTGCTGTACCTCCCACGTCTCCAATACACTCATCTCCGTACTCTGTGCCTTCCCGTTCTTGTCAGTGGGGAACAACAACCCTTTCACCTCGTCTAACCACGGCTCGCCTGAGGCCTCGATGTGTTGAGCCATTTCTTTTCCGCCGTCCGCGGAGTAGAGTTTTCCGATGATGCGGATAGCGCGGGCGTGGTCGTAGGCCTCTACATCGATGACTTCATGCCCAGCGGCGAGGAGTGCCGAACGCGTCATCTCGAGTGCGCGAGCAATGGGTGGATGAGGATGTGCAACCCCATCCCAAGTAATCATCCCAAACACACGTTTCCCCTCCTGCACTGCCCTCTCCTTCCCCATATCCCACGGCATCGGAATAACCTCCGGATCCCACTGCCACGGCTCACTCGACAAATACCCACTCATGAAGAGCGAGAGGTCAGCGGGCGAGTGCGACATCGGCCCTGCACAAGACGTGACGGCTTCCTGCCCCACCATACTATTCGCCGCGCCCCAGTATGAGATGCGGCCGTGAGATGGTCTCAAACCCCACAACCCGCAGAAACTACTCGGTAACCGAACGGACCCGCCGATATCTGTTCCGACACCCATTGGGCTTCCCCTAAACGATACCAGTGCTCCTTCGCCGCCGGAGGAGCCACCTGGGGAGAGGGAGGTTGAGTTTGGGTTGAGGGTTAGCTGGAAGATGTTGTTGTATGTATCCCCCATCATCAACGTCTGCGGAATATTAGTCTTGACGAACGGAATCGCACCGGCCGCTTTCAGTGACTTGACCAACACTGAATCCTCCTTTGCCACATCCCCGATCCAGGAGACGTATCCCATCGTCGTCTCGACACCCTCGACTTTGAATTGGTCTTTGAGCGAGATGGGAAGACCGTGTAAGGGACCCACCGTCTTCCCTCCCGTCTCCTGGTAGTATTTGTCGAGTTCTTCTGCCCGCTCCAACGCCTGATCAAAGAAAACCTCGGTGAGGGGGTTCACCAATCCCTGCGCAACCGTCGCCCGATGACAAAAAGCCTTCATGACCTCGACCGCGTTCCACCTTCCCTCCTTCATTCCCGCAACGAGATCCGCTGCGTTGGTTTCCGTGATCTCCAATTCTTCTTTTGTGAATAAACCACTTTTGCGCGGGAAGTCGAGGAGGGAGAGGCCGGCCTTACCGGGGGTGGGAGGGGGGATCGTGGGGAGGAGGGAGGGGGGGATGAGGTATTGGGAGGGGAGGAGGGCGTCTCGGGCGGCGCGTTTGGCGTTGGCTTTTTCGGCCCAGGGGGGGAGGGATTCGGTGACCATGGCTTGCTTTGTTGCTCGTTGTTATCTTTTTGGTGAGCTGATCTGATCTGTAGCTGCTACGTATAGACAAGCGGGGGGGGGCTGGGGTTCTTTATGTACGGCGAACCCGTTATCCCTTGCCGAGCCTCGCGACACGGTGGATACGCAGGGTTATCAGTTATCCGAAGGTGGGGACGGGACATGTGAGCCAATTCGTGTGGGGGAGATGAAATGCTCATGCTGGTATCCGACGCTTGCGAGCGGCTCCTGCTCCTGTGTGCCTGCAGCTTGTGACTGTGCCAAGGGCAGTTATTACAAGATCAGTTGCAGTATAGTTTGTGGATGCAGGCTGTATTGCTATCCTACTCTCTCACATCTACAGTACACCGACATCGTCAGCATTCATCCACAACAAAGTCCGGTCCCAACCTCTCCGCAACCCTCGACGAAACGACGGCATCACATTCCTCAGAGAGAAGATTAGATTTGGTTATTTCGCGTCCTGGACTGCCCAGAACCCAAGAGTGGGCTGGCAGTCTCGTAGTACTTCATACAGTTCGTGGTCATCTTTGGATGTTGATGCCGCCGGGGGCAAACGAGGGGGCGGGGGGAGGGAAGGAGGAGGGCTTACCGGTACACGAGGAAAAGGAGTTGACGATGGATGCTGGGCCAGAGAGAATTTGGTGTGCTGTTCTTACCGTATGGTCCCGGTATGTGCTTCCCCTGAGTGTGTACAGTACACACCGCCCCCCCTGCGTCGAAGTCTGGAGTGTGCGTGTGCCGCGGCCCGAGTGCTGCTGCGCTTTTATAACTCACACCGCCGACAAGGGACGGTAAGAAATAGAAAGTGCTTGGCGGTTGAGAGCCGAGACACACATACAAGCTTAAGAGGAACGCGATAGCTGCTGCTGCTGCTGCTGCTGCTATTGGTATTTCGAGCGAGGGCATTGAGGTACTTGCTACCGTTGTTCGCCTTCGCCATTGCGTCGAGAGCATTTATCCTCGTGAGGGAAATTCTCCGAGCCGTTCAAGGGCCGCGTATACACCACCTGAGCAGCGTGTACCCGTCGAAAGAGCACTGAAAGCGCACTACACCCTATCAACAACAACCCTTTACAATTCTCTGGTTCACAATTACACACAATGCCATCAACCCACCAAATCCCAGTCTACGGCATGACCTGCTCCTCCTGCTCCACCGCTGTCTCCACCGCTCTTACCGCCGTCCAGGGCGTGCATACCGTCTCTGTTTCCCTCGCGGACAAATTGGCTACGGTCTCCACTAACTCTGATATTGACCGAAGCGTGTTGGTGGAGGCGATTGAGGATTGTGGGTTTGATACAGCAGCTGGGAGTGCGGAAGAAGAAGAAGAAGAGGAGGAGCAGATGACGACGGATTCGCCACCGCCTGAGGATGAACAGAAGAATGGGGGCGGCCAGACGGTTATGGAGATGGGGTCGCTTCCGTCTCGGTCGCGAACGTTACTCACCGCTGCGAGTATGACCTCCGCCTCCACCACCACGACACTGAGCGTGATGGGCATGACATGCGCATCCTGCACCTCAGCCATCGAACGCGGTCTCACACCCCTCCCCGGCGTCGAAAGCGTAACTGTCGCGCTCCTCTCAAACCGCGCAGTGATCATTCACGACGCTCGTACCACGGCTGAGAAACTAGCCGAGAGCGTCGAAGATATGGGGTTCGAAGCCTCTATCATCTCCAGCACCACCAACGACGAGGACGAGGAAGTTGTTGTGAAAATCAAAGTCTACGGCATGACCTGCGCATCCTGCACCTCCGCCATCGAATCCGCACTCCTCGCACGCCCCGGCGTAACCTCCGCCCTCATCTCCCTCTCTCTCCAAGAAGCCCGCATAACCTACGACCCCAAACTCCTCGGCCTCCGCGACCTCGTCGAAACAATCGAAAACGCAGGTTTCGATGCACTCGTCGCGGAGGATGAAGACAATACCACACAACTCGAGAGTCTGGCACGCACGAAAGAGATATTGGAGTGGAGGAGGGCGGTTTGGGGGAGTGCGGGGTTTGCTGTGCCGGTGTTTTTGTTGAGTATGGTTGTTATGGAGACGCGTGCTGGAATGGAGTTTTATAATACGACACTACTCGTGCCGGGGTTGTATCTCGGTGATGTTCTATGTCTCCTTCTCACGATTCCTGTGCAATTTGGGGTTGGTAGGAGGTTTTTTAGGGCGGGGTGGAAGAGTTTGAGGCATGGGACGCCGACGATGGATGTTTTGGTCATGTTGGGGACGGGAGCGGCGTTTGGGTTTTCGGTGTTGGCGATGGTGTTTAGTGTCGTCAGTGCGGATCACTCGCGTCCTACGACGTTCTTTGATACGAGTACGATGTTGTTGACGTTTGTCTCGTTTGGGCGGTATTTGGAGAATAAAGCGAAAGGGAAGACTTCCGCGGCGTTGTCGCGACTCATGACGCTCACGCCGAGTTCGGCAACGATTTACGCCAATAATGGAGAGGGGGCACCGGCGGAAGAGAAACCGATCCCGACAGAGTTGATTCAGCCGGGTGATATCGTTATCCTCAGGCCGGGTGAGAAGGTCCCTGCTGATGGAGTCGTTATCGCGGGTGAATCATTCGTGGACGAATCCCTCGTTACCGGGGAAGCCATCCCCATCCGAAAGACGCGCGGGAACCAGTTAATCGGCGGTACCGTCAACGGAGCCGGAAGACTCGATTTCAGGGTCACGCATGCGGGGAGGGATACACAACTTTCCCAAATCGTCAAACTGGTGCAGGAAGCACAAACGTCTCGTGCGCCCATCCAGAGAGTCGCGGATGTTGCGGCGGGGTATTTCGTGCCTGTTGTGCTGTTTTTGAGTGTGGTTACGTTTGTGGGGTGGATGGTGTTGTCGCACGTCCTCACGAACCCACCGGAGATTTTTACGCATGATCAGCAGGGAGGGAAGTTTATGGTGTGTCTCAAGTTGTGTATTTCGGTTATTGTCGTTGCGTGTCCTTGTGCTTTGGGGTTGAGTACCCCCACCGCTGTGATGGTTGGTACGGGCGTGGGAGCACAGAATGGGATTTTGGTCAAGGGTGGTGCGGCGTTGGAGGCTGCGACGAAGATCACGAGGGTTGTGTTTGATAAGACTGGGACGTTGACGGTCGGTAAGATGGTTGTGGCTGATGCGTATATCCAAAACATGGAGACAGAGTTATGGTGGATGCTTGTTGGGAGCGCGGAGCAGGGGAGTGAACACCCTATCGGACATGCGATTGCGGTTGAGGCGAAGCAGGTGCTTGGGTTGGGAACGGATATGTTCTTGAGTGCGACTGTGCTCGATTTCTCGGCTGATGTTGGGAGGGGGGTACATTGTGTCGTTGTACCCAGCGACAAGCAGGGAAACCAGTGGAATGTGGCGATTGGGAATGCGCAATATATGAAGGAGCGTGATGTTGCGATCCCCGGTGATGTCGCGGAGATGATCCATTGGCAGCAGGGGAATGGACACACGTGTGTCCTTGTCGCTATTGACGGCAAGTTCAGCGGTCTCGTCTCGCTGCGGGATTCGGTGAAGAAGGGATCGAAGAATGCGGTTAGGGCGTTGAGGAGGATGGGGATTAGTGTTGCGATGGTGACGGGAGATCAAACCGCTACCGCACAACGCGTCGCTGCGGATGTTGGGATTGAGCGGGAGATGGTGTATGCCTGTGTCACGCCCTCTGGCAAGCGGGATATTATTGCGCAGATGCAGGCGGAGGGACAGGTTGTCGCCATGGTCGGGGATGGAATTAATGATTCGCCGGCTCTGGCGTCGGCGGATGTTGGGATTGCGTTGAGCACTGGTACGGATGTCGCGATGGAAGCTGCGGATATTGTGTTGATGCGGCAGCAGTCCATTCTGGACGTTCCGGCTTCGCTTAATCTTGCGAGAACGATCTTCAGACGGATTAAGATGAACTTGCTGTGGGCGTGTTTGTACAACTTGATTGGTATTCCGTTCGCTATGGGATTCTTCCTTCCGTTCGGGTTGCATCTGCATCCGATGATGGCGGGTGCGGCAATGGCTTGTTCCAGTGTGAGTGTCGTCGTATCCAGTCTCCTGCTAAAGACCTGGAAGAGACCTGACTGGATGGTCGAGGAGGGCGAAATTGCACTCGTGGACAACTCAAAGAAGACAAGCGATAGCTGGTTGAGTAGCGTTACGTCGGTGTTGTCACGCCCGAAGAGGACGGAGTACCAGAGAGTACAGGACGAGGAGATGGTTTAGTTTCGTTATGATTGATATGGGACATAGAGCTGCACTTGGCCAAGGCGTTCGTGAACATTTTTAGGATAGCATGAGCTTTAGACGATTGACGAAGGAAATTTTTGGATTCCTGCTACTTCATATTGGTATCACCAACCGTGCTTAATGATTGAGCCGTAGGTATATCTTCTCCAGCCATAGTCAATGTTAAATCTTGTCACTGGACTGAGTAGCATCCGTCTGACCATCACTCCTCGGCACCTTTGCAGCGGGCTCTTCACTGCCCACCGCCGAATCAATTTCCAAGGGCCTCTTCGCACTCCCATCCGAATCCAACACCTTCCTCGCAAGCGGCGATGCACCATTCCCGATCCTTCCCGCAGGCGTCGGCGTTCCGACCCCCCCAGACGCCCCCGGAGTCGCGGCCACAGCCCCCTCTCCATCCCAACTTTCACTCCCCATTCCCTCAGCACGGTTCGTGACCCATCGACTCACTTCCACACTTCCCAACGTAATCTTCGGCTCCGAGGGGAACACCCAGTCCTCGTACCACCTCCCCGCGATCTCGTCAAGTTCGAGATTGGATTCATATTCGGGTCCGAATTTAGGTTTCCAGTAGCCGCGGTCTGCGGCGTAGGTTCGCATACGGTCCGTGATGACCATTCCGGGCGGTAAGTCGTGGTTCGCGGCACCGTCTTCGTCGTCTTTGAAGGTGTGGAAGGTGTAGATGTCGCCCAAGAGCGTGACTGTTGTGTCCGCTTCTGAACGTAGGAATGCGCTGATGAGCATGATCTCGTCTTCTGCCTCCTCGCCTGCCTCGGGATCGGATTTCAGACGCACGGGCTCGTTACGCCAGATTCGTTCGGGACCGATGAACATCCCGTTGTAGTATTTCCCAGCTCGTGGATCTCGGCCCGAGGAGACGTCGGGGGTGTAAGAGCTGATGAGAGACCATGTTTTGCAGATCTGCTGCGCGGTCTTGACGGCGGTGCTTTTCTGGGCTTCGGGGCCTTCGACAGCGCGGGCGAGCCAGGGGAGGACGTCGCTATGAGGGAGGTTCGGGCGAATGCCTTTTGAGCCGATGTCTTTGACGTCGTATTTTGCATCCAGGGACTTCTCTCCCTTGTGCCGCTTCACCACGACAGCGGGGACCCACTCCTCACTTCCTCCCTGCGGTGCCCGTGCCCAGACCAACTCAGCGACTCTGTACGCCGGCGCATCAGGCTCCAACTCCTCCCGCCTCTCTTGCACCGCAAAATTCTTCTTCTCCTTCTTCGCGCTCATCGGTCCTCCCGGAGTCCTATCAATCGTGGAATTCCGCGCCCCACCGCTTTGTTTGCAGCAAACACAGATACAGGTATCATCCGTATTGGCTTGGTGTGTAGTGTTGAGTGCCATCCATTGGAGATGGGGGTTGAACTCTGCCGGAGAACGGAATTTGCGACCAGTTGGGTGGCCCCAGAGATACACGTCAGTACGGGATCCTTTCCGGTGCTCGAAGAGGGCGTAGCCTTGGGGGAGTTCGCTTAGTTCGATCTCGGTATCTGTCCAGCTCTGTTAGCCAAATATCCCCGCCAGTGCCATCATAGTTCTTCGCAAAGCTTAGTTCTGACATACCAGCAGGCAACCCCTCCTCGCGACTGAACTGCGACAGAAACTGCCCACACTTCTTCTTGTAAAGCGAATACTTTATTGAGTCCAAGGGAAGCTTGAAATGGTAGTTCACCTCGCCGTTCTTTGGGGTTGGATCGACGTCGGCGCCTTTTGGCCAGGTCTCGGGAGTTCCGTCGGACCAGTCGAGCTTGATCCTGAACACAGAGGGTCAATTACGCGATGCGCCAGGCGTCTTCCTTCATAGGAGAGTGCTCACAACTGGATATTTGGCATGGTCGCAATCGGATACGGATGGGATTACTTGTGTCATATGCGAGTGTTCAGTTCACGCGTCGCGAATGTGGAGCGGGCCGGGGCGTGTCCCTGCACATGCGTGCACCTGGCCTGCGATACATCAAGGGACAGCATAGCTTCGAGTATTCTGAGTGTTATCCTAGATCTAAGAGCATCTTCTTCCTTTCTGTGATATACCCCTGGTATTCTAGGTTCCGACGCGATGCCGCCATTCTTCGACTACTGGTATGCGGCGAGGAATCCGCCCAGGCCCGGCAAGCCGAACTCTTCGTTCCATCCTCGAATACAGAGCAATCAATGTGACAGACGTTCCAGTCGTGGCCCTCATTTCATCGCAGCCTTGCAACACTTACACGGACAATCATCATAATCATGCTCCTCATTACTCGCCAGCCACAGTACATGTACCTTGAACTCATTCGGACTCCTGTACCTTCCGCCAGTCGGGTGACCTATCTCACACGTCAGTTCCTCGTTCGCACCCACAAACAAGCAAAGAGGGGAAACGGACCAAAAATATAGCGATCTGTCCGCTCATCTTTGCCTACGCCCTTCACCCGATGTCCATAGACGGAATAGCCCTCCGGTATGTCGTCCAACACGCATAGCGATGGTTCTGTCCGAAATACGACAACATTAGCCCACCTGTCTCCGCAAACCCAAACCTTCACAGTTGATCCAGACATACGTAAACTCTGCACCTGCTGCGCCAGATACTCTCCACACTCCCTCAGTACGCGTTGGTAATATGGGTCCCCTGGTTTTGCTTCTTGGAAATATTCGTAGGAACCGTCCGGGTTGAATTTTTGTACGCAGTCTTCGGGGGGTGGACGCATTGTGGGTCGGCCATCTGATGGGAAGGGATTAGCGAGTGGGTGAGGGAGGTGATCGCGGGTGATACCTGAATAATGAACACGGATCCTGGGCAGGCGGGTTAGCATAGGGTAACAGACGGGGAGAGTGTGGACTACTTTTGAAGGGTGGGGAATTGGCCCCACGCGTAGTTCATTGTCGATAGATGGTCCTTCTTGCAATAAGGGTTCGGTCGAAATGATGCTCCCCAGTCCTCGGGGGGGACGCGGGCCCTGTATCGTCGTCTATGTACGGTGCCTGACCAGGACAATTTCGGCAATGGCACCCGGCCGCCCAGCTCGACAAAGAAGTAGACTTCGTACGAGCGCGAGATCTGATCCCCTATACCTATTTCTATCCGTTTCACTCGGCGCATTATGTCCTACCTCGCCACCGAGAAGCAAACGGCCTTGAGCGCCGTCACTCTGGCCTCCAAGCTCACCGAGAAGATCTTCCGCTCCCTCGCCGGTGCCTCCACCGTCTCAAAAGATGACAAATCCCCCGTCACCATCGCCGACTTTGGCGCCCAAGCCCTTGTCAACGCCGTTCTCGCCCGCGACTTCCCCAAGGATCCAATTGTCGGCGAGGAAGACTCTGCCGTTCTCCAGGAAAATGCAGAGTTGAAAGCAAAGGTTTGGGATTTGGTTAGGGGTGTTGTGGAGGAGGGGATGCCTGGACTCATCAAGAATGAGGATGAGATGTGTGCGATGATTGACCGTGGATCATATGCTGGGAGTGATAATGGACGGATGTGGGCTCTGGACCCCATTGATGGTACGAAGGGATTCTTGAGAGGAGGACAATACGCAGTCTGCCTCGCACTCATCAAAGACGGCAAAGTTGAGCTCGGCGTAATTGGATGCCCCAACCTCCCCGTCGACAAAACCGCCGGAATCGAAGCAGAGGGCGTAGAGCGCGGAATCATCATGCACGCAATCAAGGGCCAAGGCTCTTTCCAGCGCTCTCTTCACTCTGATTCCGATGATGCTCGGGTCAGCATGCGTCCTATCGCTTCCACCGCCGAAGCCACATTCTGCGAATCCGTCGAGTCTGGCCACTCGGCCCACACGACCCAACATGCCATCGCCACCGCACTCGGCATAACTGCCCCCTCCGTCCGCATGGACTCTCAATCCAAATACGCATCCATCGCGCGAGGCTCAGGCGACATCTACCTCCGTCTGCCCGTCTCCGCGACTTACGAGGAGAAAATCTGGGATCATGCGAGTGGTGTGGTTATTGTTGAGGAGGCGGGGGGGAAGGTTACTGATATGTTTGGGAAGAGATTGGATTTTGGGGTGGGGCGGACGCTGAGGGGGAATAAGGGGGTTATTGCAGCGCCGGTTGGGGTGCATGGGAGGGTTATGGAGATTGTTAGGGGGATTATGGGGGATAATGTTGTTGCTAAGTAAAAGCGTACGATACTTACAAGAGCGGCATGCAGCTTTCCCACTGGTAGCGCCGCGTTTCCCTCGTACCGATCCTCTGCCTCAGCCGTAATCATGATAAAATTGAAGACAGAAGGAAAATATTATCACCCTCCAACCCCACTTCATCTGATCTCCGTCGCGGTCGTATGGCGGATATGCACGGTTAAATCATTCAGCCGGGCCGAACGGGCTTTGAGTTCAGGCTGATGTAACCCCGCAGTTCCGCCCGTATGAACAGAACACCAAAAATACAAAACTCGAAATATACCCCCTATACCATCACCACCCAATACCAATTGATCCGTTGATCTTCTCATTCAACATGTCTCCAAAGGTGAGCTGATGGTTGGATTCTGGTCACCGATCATCGACTAATCAACTCACAGAACCCCTCCTTCGTCCTCCAAAAAGTCAACGAAGTCTCCTTCGAGGACCGTCCAATTCCCCAACTATCCTCCCCCTACGACGTCCGCGTCCAAGTCAAAGCAACCGGAATCTGCGGTTCCGATGTGCACTACTGGACCCACGGCGCAATTGGCGACTTCATCGTTAAATCCCCCATGGTCCTCGGCCACGAATCAGCCGGGATCGTCGTCGAGGTCGGCGAGAAAGTCAAGAACCTAAAGGTCGGGGATAGAGTTGCGATGGAACCGGGAGAGCCGTGTAGGTACTGTGAGTATTGCAAGAGGGGCGACTACAATGTCTGTAACGAGATGAAGTTCGCCGCGACCCCGCCGTTCGATGGGACACTGGCAAAGTACTACGTCCTCCCCGGCGACTTTTGCGTCCCACTCCCAGACGAGATCAGTCTGGAGGAGGGCTCAACAGTTGAACCCCTCGCCGTCGCAGTCCACGTCTGCCGTCGCGCTCAAGTCAAACCCCACACCAAAGTCGTCGTATTCGGTGCCGGACCCGTGGGACTCCTCTGTGCTGCCGTCGCCCGTGCATACGGCGCCTCCGTCGTCGTGAGCGTCGATATCGTCGAGAAACGGGTCGAGTTCGCAAAGTCATTCGGTGCGACACACGGTTTCATCTCACCCAAACCCAACCCCGACGAATCCAAAATCGAATACGCCCGCCGCGCCGCCTCCGCCCTAAAATCCTCCCTCGACCTCGCCGTCGACGAAGGCTTCGACATCTCCATCGACGCATCCGGTGCCGAGGTCTGTATCAACACAGCCCTCTACTCCCTCCGCAAAAAGGGGCGACACCTCCAAGCCGGAATGGGCTCCGATACGATTACGTTCCCAATCGCGCACATGACAGCCCAGGAAATTGAGTTGGGTGGGAGTTTTAGGTATGGAGCTGGGTGCTATCGGGATGCGGTTGAGTTGATTCGGAGTGGGAAGGTTGATGTTGGGAGGATTATTACGCATCGGTTTGCGTTTGGGGATGCGGAGAGGGCGTTTAGGGCTGTGAAGGAGCAGGAGGAGGGGTTGATTAAGGCTGTTATTGCGGGGCCAGAGTAAGCCTCTCAAGAAGTGAATGTCACTTTTGGAGTGTTGTGTGGAGTTGACGGAGTTGTGTGTTTCGAGCGAGTTGGACCTTTGACTCGTGAATAGTGATACCAGCCATCAATACAGTATCGTTAAAGGTGAATGTGTATCCCTAACCTCTCCAACCCCCCGACAAGAATGTCTCTAATCATACCCATGAAACTTCCCTTCCACTACCCACTCACAAAGGCCTAACATACGTAGCATCAATCTGCTCCAACCCCGGCAACGCCAACTGCACCTTCCTCCGATAACTAACCCCAGCCTCCCTCTGCATCGGATTATGCTCAAAATACACCGTCTTCAACCCCTTCAACCCACCCAATTCCTTCTCGAGGTCGTTGAATGTGCTCGAATGGAGGATGTTCGAGGACGCCCAGAATTCCTCTAGTTGGGTTAGGTGTGAGAGGTTTTCGAGTTTGGAGATACGGTTTGCGGTTATGTCGAGGACTTTGAGGGATTTGTTGTGTTGCAGTCCTTCGATTTTTTCGATGGCGTTGTGGGAGACGTAGAGCTCTTCTAGGGATACCAAGCCCTCCAATCCCTCGAGTTTGGTGAGGCGGTTGGATTGGATGGAGAGGATTTTTAGGGACGAGAGGGGGCGGAGGTTTTGGAGGTGTGTTATTTTGTTTTTGCCGAGCCAGAGTTGGGTGAGGGAGGTTAGTGTGTCGAGGTTTTCAATTGTCTATATACCAAATGGGTCAGCCTCTGGTAAGGAGAAAGAGCAAGCGAACGTACCCGAATGCGGTTGGCGCCCAGCTCGAGGTTCTCCAACTTATCCAATCCCTCCAGATTCTCAATCCTCGAAATCTTGTTTTGTACAAAATACAAATTCCTCAACCCCTTCAAGTGCTTAACCCTCTTGATATGCTTCACCTTGTTAAAACTCAGATCGAGACTCTCCAAGCCCGGTACGCCCTCCAACCCCTCCACATGTCCAATCTTGTTATCATAGTAATCCAACTCGACCAATGTCGGTGGCAAAGCTTCCGGCTCGATATGGCTTATTTGGTTTTGACGGACACAGAGACGTTGGAGGGATGGGAAACGGGAGGGGAGGGAGAGGGGGAGGAGGGAGGGGAGACGGGCGTGGATGAGGTCGAGAGTGTCGGTGTCGGCTGGGTACCCGTCCAATAGATCTGTACGGACATTGTTAGATCTGCGAATAGAAAAGGGGTTGGAGACGAGAGTACCATCTTCGAGGTCTTGTGCGCCATGGTCGTCGGCGTTGTCCTCCTCAGCTGAGTGGTCCTCGTCATCGGAGCGGACGGTTTCGCGGTCGTTGGGGTGGGGTAGGATCTCCTGTACCAGCCTAACCTCTCTTTGAACGATCGGTTGGACCGTAGATTCTTCCTCTACAGACATCTCCTGTGCTTGGTTACTGGGTGTTTGGCCGGTCATTGCGGTTTGGAACGTCGATGGTGTCCCGTTGTTTTCTGGTGGTGAGGATTAAGGTTACGCGATTCACGTGAGCTCGTTCGGCACCCCGGTTTCCGAGACTGCATCATCATACACCTCATACACCAAAACCACCCTTTTCCTCCTCGATCCTCCTCGATCCCCTTTAATCCCAATCGCGATGTCCAAACGACCCCTCGACCCCTCCTCCGACACTCCAAGCTCAAAACGTCTCGCACTGGACCCAACTGCTCCACCCCCCTGGTGCAAATCATCCCCAATCTATGACCGCGAATCAATCTTCACAGCCCGCTTTCTCCCCGCCTCACACCCCCTCTGCACCTCCCGCTCCCCAACCCAACTCGTCCAACTCATCCGGGAACACATCAGTGTTGAAGTGGCGGATCATCACATCGCTGCATGGCGCTTACCGCCTCAATCGAATGCTTTGACGCGCTCTTTGGGTGGGGTGAGGAAGGATGGGGCGGTGGTTATGGGACATGATGATGATGGGGAAAAATATGCGGGTGTGAAATTGGGGAAAGTGTTGCTTGAAATGGGCGTGCGCGGTGTCGTTGTTGTTAGTAGGATTTATGGTGGGATCATGTTGGGACCCGTTAGGTTCGAGCATATCGAAAACTGTGCCCGCGAAGCTATACGCCTCTCACTGGCACCAAAGATCCCTACGACGATACCCACGGCCGCGGCGATGGAAGAGGATGAGGACGCACTACGAAAAGTCCTGGTAGGGAAAGATCGCACCATCGCATTCCTCCGCACCACCATCGCCGAATTGCGATCCCAATCATGTCCCTCTCCGCAGCCACCTTCTTCACAACAAGATGGAGCGAGATACGCAAAGTTACCATTGGATAGGTTGGAGAGGTTGGTTAAAGCGCGTGATGCGGGAATTGAGAGTTTGAGAAGGATGATTGCTGAGGAGGAGGAGAAGAGGAGGGTCGAGGAGGAGGCGTGGGTTGAGGTCGCAAAGGCTGCGATAGCGGGTGGGAAGGGGGAGGGTGACGGTGAGCAAGGTGACGGTGAGCAGGGTGATGGTGGAAGCAAGGACGATGTCCGGGGGGATATTGCGAAGTCCGAGCCAGAACCGGAGCCAATTCAGGAGCCGGAGGAGGTGGAGCTGGAGGGGCAGGGTGAGAGGGTTGGGGAAGACAAGGGAGGAGAACAAATGGCTTCAAATGAGGAGGAATGATAATATCGCAGCTGTGAAGGTATCCTAAAAATAATCTGAAATCAAGTCTGTATGTCTCATGATATTATCAAGACGATTTCCCACGCATGCGTCTACGCGCGCTGCTCGCCCCTCATCACCAACTCGACCACATTCTCCACCACCCCATCCTTCTCCGACACCATCCTCACATGCCCTTCCCGCTTCTCCCTCTTCTCCCCCCTCTCCCTCAACCACCTCCCCCACCTCCACAACCCAAAACTCCCCGGCACCCCAACACACACTGCAACAAACCCCAACACACTACACCCCCACCCCACCCCCAACCCCTCAAACATCTTCACCCCAAACAACGGCGACGCAAACCCAAGTAGTGAGCGGAACAGCATGAGAGACGCTTGTGCTGAGGCGGATGTTTGGGGTGGGAAGGCTTGGGCGAGGTAGAGGGTTGAGGACATGTAAATTTGGAGAAGGGAGAGGGCGAAGAGGAAGGAGGAGAGGGCGGGGAGGGTCCAATGCCAATGATTGTGGGCGGACCAGCCGAAGAGGAAGAGGCCGATGGGTAAGATGATCGCGGCGGGGAGGAGACATATGAGCCAGACTTCAGGCTCCGGGTCCACATTGGCGGGAAGTGACCGCTTTGCCCGCGCCCAAGCTACCTTAATCATGATCGAGAGACACACGAGACCGATGAGGAATCCGATCCCGAATGCGAGGTAGTTTAGGGATGCGATGTCGATTCTTTCGTGGTAGGTTTGTTCGAATGTGGAGGGGAAGATGACGAAGAAAAGGTAGAGTTGGCCGTAAATGATTGCTTGGTAGAGGGCGAGGAGGAAGACGATGGGGGAGGTGAAGAGGAGGCGAAGGGGCGTTGTGAAGCTGTGCAATAAGTGGTTTCTCACCGATACCTGACCTTCTGAGGAGGAGGTGTGCATGCGCCGAATTTTGGCGGCGAGGATAGCGGGTTCGTAGGTTTCGGGGAGGAATGGGATACCGGATAAACACACCACACTAGACACAATCGACAATGTCCAAAACAACCATCTCCAATCCTGGACACGATACGTCACGAAGCCACCCACGACAGGCCCCAACACAGGCCCCAACAATGGTCCCAAAGCGAGGATCGCACCAGATGTTCGTCGTTGGGCGGGGACGTAGATCTCGGTTCCGGAGGCGTATCCAATGGCGAGGGGAGCTGAGCCGCCGAGGCCGGAGAGGAATCGGAAGGTTGCCATTTGGGTGGTGGTTTTGGCGAGGGCACACGCGATCGAAAATACGGTGAAGAACAGCAACGACCCATTCAGGACTGGTCTTCTCCCATATAGCTCGGATAGTGGAGCGAGGAGGAGTGGACCTATTGCGTATGCGAGGAGGTAGATCGAAACGAGAAATGCACCAGTCGTTTCAGACGTGAAGTGGAACGTAAAGATTGCCATTTTGGTAAGTCCGGGAGCCATGATCGTGGAGCCGAAGGCGGAGAGGAAGGTGTAGGAGCCTAGGATGGCGAGGGTAAGGCCCTTCTTGCGGGTGGGCCAGTTAAGGGGTTTCTCATGTTCCTCGAGGGTGATGGGTGTTTCCTCCTTCTGGATGGAATTTGACGAGGGGAAGGTGAAAGGGGCAAGTGTGCTGGTAGAGGGTGACTGCGTGAGGGTAGTGGCGGACATGATGTCAAGTGTGATCCCTGGTAGGCCGGTGTTCCACAGGGAATATCGAGGAGGTCATGGTTCGGTATTTATACCAAGATCTATTGAGGATCGACTTGGTACGCACCCACACCAGTGTACCCCAGTCGTGCACTATCATTGTCCATCAAACCCCAGCTGTTTCAGTGTCTTCACCATATGGATCGTTTCCATGCACCATGATTAGCAGCAACCTCGGCCGAGCAATTGCAAAGGTGATTATTGTCGAGCTCGAGGCAGCACGGTTCATTTTGGGGACTGAGCGCGCGGGAAGGGCGTCAATCTGAGACGACCTCGGTGGAAGGTTCGGCCGGGGATTCTCAAGGCCGATAAGGTCAACAAAGTTCGACTGAGAAGATCACAATTGATTCAAGGACAGAGAGTAAGAGCATTCCATCTTCCAAGTATGCTGGTTCTGTTTGGGGAAGCTGACAACGGCATTCGATCGCCCACCGTCGTGGCATCGGCCCGGAAAATCGGCTCGGTCAATCGCAACAACAGGCGATCCATGCTTGATCGTATCAGAGAACGAGAAACATTCTCCATTATCTGAGTGATTGGACTCATTTTGACAACTGCGACATGACACGTTGCAAGTACGAATGCCGAGGCACTTAAGACTTTTTGGCGGCTGTCACAGAGTGGCGCCGGCGCCGGAGGGGCTCCGAAATCGTACGGTGGAAGTATTACCCGGCCACGACATCCACGTCAGAGCATGCCGAGGAAGCGATTGGTGGACATAATTGGCGATCGTTCTGTTACCCCAAAGCCGGCGAAAATGGACGCGATGACCCCCTTCTGGCTTCATGACATGATTACTTGTCCATGGGGGCAGCGAGCCCGCCAGAGCAGAGCAACAGTCGGTAACAGCCAAGGGGTCACAGCAAGTGAAGCTGTATGCTAAGGACTGCAATCTTCAGTATAGTAGCAACCATTCTCGTTCTCACACATCAGCTGAGTGCCCTTTGTGTTTTTTTTTGGCAACCGTATGGGATTAAAGTTTAAGGTTGCATTAACTTGCAGGATCCCTTCAATTGCTCGTCTGATAACGTGCGCGCAAACAAACCATCGAGTCAGCATTCACACCCAAACACGGTCCTTACGCTGACCTCTTCTGCTTTCTTCAGTTACCACTATCTGAGATCGACCCCTTTTTGGACAAACTCCTTTGTTTTCCTCTCAGCATTTAGCTGGGTGTTCGCGTGTTTCCAGGCTTTGTTTGTTTCGAGCTCACCATGCCACGGCCCGCCCCTACCAGGGTCCTCACCTGTCACCCAAAACGCTCAGAGATAACCAGACTTTTTGCGTCCTTGTTGCGACTCAGTCAGTCTGAGCCAGCGTTCACCCTCTATGGAGCAGAGATCCAGTCCCAAAGTCCCATCAAACGCATTATGTTGACGACGAGAGTAAGCAAAGAGTTCTATTGGCAACTTTGGCACACGAAGTATGATATCGTATTCATAGCAGATGTGGATGGTTTGATGCTCGAAAGATTTCCGGAGGAAGTGATGGTGATCGGTACGCACGCCCTTCTCCGGACTGAATGCTGCGTTCGGGATTTTATCAGGGCACTGACTGATATGTGCTGCAGCATCACCCCAGTTCAATGCACTCTATACAATCGGATACAACATCCCTCTCCTCTCCTCCCTCTGTCTCGACATCAAACTACCCCCCAAACTTCCTTCCCCAACAACTTCTTTCTTCTCGGACAAAGTCCGCCCAATCTCTGTGCACATTGCTAGCCATGAGGAACGAGTGGGTGTCTTGGCCAAATTTGGGCCTAAGCCCCTCGAGTCTGTCGTTCAAAGTTTCAAGTCGCTCTTCGGTGGGGTGGAGTCCATTTTTCGCACGCACGGATCCACCGAAGTCCGTTGTATTGCACTCCTAGGCAAGTTTTCGAGGGAGTTAGTAGACCATACGGTCACCCTTGCGAAGACTTCTGGCATGATTACTCAGAGTGGAGAGCTGTTGTTTGTTGTTGATGCGGAGGATCGCAAAGGAATGAGGAGAGTGGAGGAGGTCAAGTGTGCCGGAGTTGTTACAGTGGGAACCAGGAGGGCGGAAGCATGGGGGGTGGAGTACCTTGCTAAGCAAATGCGTGAATTGTCGGAAGAACTCACAGTTGACGTCGTTGAGGTTAGCGCGATGAAGAATTCAGTCGCGGGTATGACAATCCCTCCGCCGGATAAGAATGAAAGGAAATTAAAACTGGATCAATTGATTGAGGAGAACCTCCGAACAGCCGAAGCAGCTCTCGAAGGCGAACAAAGTCGACTCGAAAAGGAGTTGGAGCATTTCAGGGGAAGCATTCATCTTTTGGATGATGTTCTGGAGGCTGCGAGTTTGCCAACGCCTAAGAAGCCTATGCAGGCCACCACGAAAACGAAGCCGCAATTGAGAAAGAAGAAAGGCAAGGTGGCGAAGGAGCCGTTGTGGTTTCAAAATGACACTCCTCGACAGCCAATTGACTGTGACAGCATTCAAGCTGATGAGGAAGGCAAGGAGAGTCCGAAAGGCACGAAAGATGGCGTCTATGAAGTCCCGCAACCAGGCGTGAGAAAAACACAGGAAGTCAACAACCCGCCGGGTGCACCCAAAGTCACTCCTGCACAACTTGCTTTCCGTCCCAAGCTCGATCTAGACTCACAGAGCAAGATGTCAACGACGAAGACGAACGGCGATCCGTTTGAGTACGACACGTTGTGGTCGCGGAGGAATGCCGAGGCGAAGCCAATGGTGACGAATAAGCTTTCGGACATATACAACAGGATGGCAGAAAGGGAGGCAAAGAAGACGGATGAAGAGAAGGTAGAGGAGAAGGAGAAGTTGCACAGCAAATATGACGCTTGGGTAAAGCAATACCGACCGGCGGAGGAGAAAGAGAAGTTAGAGAGACTCAGGATAAAGTTTAAAGCTAGGGCTGACTTTAACGTAAGAGGAGGTACCGATGCTGTGTACGGAAGCACCGATACGGAAAAGGCTATGACGAGAGAGGAGTTGGAGAGAATCAAGATGAAGTTCAAGGCTATGGCACAGCACAATAGCGGAAGGGCAGATGATGGTGTCGTGTCCGAAAGCCAGAGCAGACAGTCAACGAACAGTGATCCATTCGAGTTTGATACGTCGCATCCAACTCCGAGAGCAGATGAGAACCGGTACATGAACATGTACAACCAGATGGCTGAAAAGGAGAGGAAGAAGTCGCATGAAAAGGGGGCGGAGGAGCGGGAGAAGTTGAAGAAAAGCATGTATGAGTTTAGGGCTACGGTGCAGAACCGGAGTGCAGAAGGAGGTGATGATCTGGTGGCCGAGAGCACCGATACGGTACCCGTTGACAGGGAAAAGTGCGACGAGAAGGGCAACACAAACCCTGTCCCCAGTATAGTGTACAGCGACACCGACGAATCCATGTCACCCTTCGAATTGGATGACCCCCACTACAACGAGCCCGGCGCTCCTGGTTCAAGTTACCCCAGTCCTCCCCCCATCACTCACCTCGATGGTCCGAAGTTCGATACAGTCCGAATCAAAAAGCCCTACAAGAAAGCCCGTACCCTGCTGTGGTTTGAGACAAAACCCGAAGATATCATGGAGGTGATCGAGGGGGTAGAGGGACTTGATATTTCGACGAGAAGTACTCCGAGTGAGAGGGTTGGTGTTGATGAGTATTTCGGGATGGGAAGTGATGGGATCGCGGCTCTGGCCGAGGTTCGTCTCGCTCGAGGTGTGAAAGAACTGTGAAGAGGTATGTTTATAGGGAAGGTATCCGACGGCATGGACGAGGAGGCTTGTGTGTAACGAACGATCGTATGATAGCGTACTCTAGAACAACCAATATACCTAGAAAAACATGAACGATTGTCGTATTCATAACGAATGTCATAACGCCCCCAAACCTTTCCTGATGTTCCAAATGAGTGACCCAAAATGCCAAAATGCCAAAAGAAAATTCCCAAAAGAATGAAGATGTACTCCCCGGCTCACATGAGTAAAATGCCGGCAGTGGCAGAGAAAACCACGATCCACGCAGTCATCCCAACACTTGCCAGCCTCATCGCAACCGAAGAAGATGCCATAGCCTTGACGTCTGTTGCAGTCCCATTCCCCGTGTCCGCCGCCGCACTCTTAACACCCTTCGCTCCCGCCGTACTCGTCGCACTGGCCGACGCACTCGCACTCACCACCGTCTGCGCTGTCCCCGTCCCCTCCAATTGAGGCGCCAATCCCACCTGCTGCTTCCCATACTCAAACACCACATACACATTCTTCAAAAACACATCACCCACAAGCCATTCCCCCGCTCCCCCTACACTTTCTCCCACGATATTAGACACACACATCCCACCACCAACCGGGGATCCGACATAATCTTTCGGGGAGATGGTGAAGGGGGTTGAGGAAATGACGAGGTTGAGGGCGGTTGTGGTTGTGCAGGGGATGTAGAACATGGTGGCCCCCGAGGCATCAGAGGAGGAAGCGGCCGCACCGGGGATGAGTTGGTGGAGGGCGAGGGCATCGGAGGGTGGAGCGAGGATTAGGGTCGTGCCGGTATCCACAATCGCAGTCCTACCCGTCAAATTGAGCCCTATCCCACCCACCTGTACGTCATCCATCTCCACCTCCCATAACCCGCGTTCACTAACATTATCGACAAACACCATCGCGGTCGGATCGAACTTTGTGGTATCGAGGATGCCGAGGTCGACTTGTCCGTCTCGAGTACCGTCTGCTGCACGTTGTAGGTTAACCCCGATCTGATTTTGAGAGGGAGAGTTCAAGGAGGGGAGGAGGAGGGAGAGGAGTGTTGGGACACCTTCGGCGGATGCGGCTTGGTTTCCAAGCCCGAGGATCCCATCGGTGGGGAGGGAAGCGAATTGGTTACTCACCCTCTCGCTCAACCCAAATGTGAGACCCTGCACTGGTGGTATCCCTGCCGCGTCCCCGAATTGCACGGTATCTTGTACCAACACACCCTCGACAGCCCCACTCCCATATGTAATCTGGAAAGGAGATCCAGATACAGCCAAGCTCGTCGAATCCGCGGTGGATAAAGTATCGTGGTTCATGCACGCCGCATCCGTACAATTCGCACTCATCACCCACAGATCTGAACTACCCGAGTCCATGACGACTGAGAACTCTTTCTGTGAGGATCCGATGAGGAGGGATGAGAAGTATGTGATATCGCTCCCAAACTCGTCGAGGGGGAGGGAGGTATCCAATTGCGGAGGCACGGCGGCTTCAATTGCGAAAGTGTTGGCTGATTTGGATGATGATGAGGAGGAGGAGGTGGAGGGGTTGCGTTTGGTGAGGGAGGGAAATGGTTGGAGAGTTGTCAGGTTGAGAGCACGTTTGAGGAGGGTGCCGACATCTTCTTCGGGGGTAGAAGAGGGAGAAGTAGCATTCGACAAGAGGGACGCCCAACGATTTTGTGCTCGTCTCCGTTTCTGGTGGTGTGCGATGATTGGGTGTGTTTCATTCTCATGGACAGTCCTCGGTACGTAACGCTTCAACGAGAGTGTGACTCCTTTTTCTGCGCGTTCAGAGAGTGGGTGAAGGTCTGAGGTTGAGACTGAGGATGGGGTGGAGGAAATGAAGAGTCGTTTGACGAGGGTGGACTTGACCGAGGTGGAGCCCAGGGCCGTCAGAGCGGATACGTTGGCCGCAGCATCAGGCAAAGGAGAGAAGGTGAAGGGAGCGGGTGCAGCCAGTGCACCACTCAATCCGAAGAGGAGAACGACCAGCGTCCTGGAAACTTCGATCGTAAAATACATCGGAAGAGAAAGTCGATATCGATAAAACGATCCGTACAGTTCAGATCCAGCTGAACAACACACAAACAAAGGACGTAAATGACAGAGACGGCCAGCGTCGACGATGAAGAAGCAAAAAAATGAGAAGAGAAGAAGGAGGGCAATTTATACCGAGGAGGCATAGACGCCAAGTAAGGATGAAACGAAGGGGGTGGGACTGGTGAGACGTAGCGGTTGCCAGGGGGGGGGGGGAATGCAACCTCGACGCACGCACCCGCGGAACCCGCACTCCACCAGTTTTTGCTCAACTCAAGAGATCCAATTGCAACCACCACGATGGCCACCATGTCATCCGACGAATCCCTCGCCCCAACCCCCCTCCCAGCCCACATCTACAAACTCCTCCCCTCTCCACCACCCTCTCCCCTCCCTCCCGCCCTCCCCGTCTCCGAACTGGACCAGAACGACGGGTATATCCATCTCTCGACACATACCCAGGTCCCCGGAACCGCTTCCAGATTCTTTGCATCAGAGAAGGAGGTGTGGTTGCTGAAATTACGGTATGAGGATGTAAAGCCGCACATTCGATGGGAGAAGAGTGGAAGCGGCGTGTTTCCCCACTTCTACAATGGGTTGAAGGTTGGGAAGGATAAGGTGTTTGACGTAAAAGGATGGAAGAAGGCGGACTTTGCGGGACGGGATTGGAAGGAGATTTTGGAGGAGGATGCGTGGTTGGAGGCATGAATATCAGAAAAAACAGACGTGATAAATTATGCCCATGAATAGATAGATGTATACCAAATGCCCAAAGTAAACCCCATAACGATAAATGAACCGATAGGTAACACCATGACCCTTACACCCAACCTACCCATCATGCTTCCTCGCATGATCCTTCCTCAGTGCTTACTCTTTCTTAACAAAAAACCCATCCAATTTCTTCTGCCCCTTCTGCTCCTTCGCCTCCTTGACCTCCTTCACACTCAACTCTTTAGGATCCTTAACCCCAACCTCCAATATCTCATCCCTAAACTCCTCCCACAAGCCCACCGCCAAACTCCCGCCTGTAGCCCTCCTATGCCCCCTCGCGAAATCCGCACCAACCCTACTCCTAAAGCCCTCCTTCCGACTCGCGTACTCCTCCAACATCGCAATTAGATCGACATCCCCCTCCGCGCCTTCTTCGGTCGTGAGGCGTCCCGGTCCGACGGGCCGACAGGAAAAGTTGACGCGGGCGTCGATATAGCCGGTGTTTGCTACACATACCATCTCACATCTACCCCTTCCTCCCTTTGAGCCCTTAGAGAGGGTAGAAGACCACCGGGATGCGATGACGGGGTGGACTTGTGCGAAGGAGTCGACCTCAACGACCGCGACTCGGCCATCACGTGAGAATTTAGGTGCGGCACGTTGCCAGCGTTCGATTTCGGCTTTTGTGACCTCCTTTGCGCATCTCAACGCCTGGCTTTCCACGACGGTGATGGGAGAAGCGTCAGCTGCGTCCAAAGCCTCCCATGCCGGAAGTGGATTTCCGTCCAGCCGGCGTGGAGCGTTAATGAGACTGACACTCTCCGTAAACCTCTTCTTCGTATACGTCTTCAACAACGGCGCCAACTCCTCCGGCCACGGCTTCCCGTCGAATTTGATACTACTCCCCAAATCGCCGTATGTGCCCAGGATGGCGAACCACCCCACGAGATCAGCGACGGAGCGGTGAAGTGGTGTACATAAGATATACGCCAACATCGACGTCGTGGCGATAGGCGGGTGTTGACATGCAGAGACGACCATCGCTCCCTCCGGGAAATCCTCCGAGTAATGGTGGTCGATCACGAGGACTTCTACGCTCTCACCCACTCCCGATGTGGGAGCCACGAGCGGTGGACCACCTCGGGAACCTTGATCCAACACGACGATGTACCTGGCCCCGTACGCTTCCATAGCCGCACGCTCGATGGGATCGTGGACGGACCGGGATTTGTGGACGAAGTGGGTGTAGATGTTATCGGGATGCGCACCGAGGAGGAGGAGTGTGCGTTTGATGATTTGGCCGGACGAGAGGCCATCCGCGTCCCTATCCGGCACAAGCAAGATCTTGCTCGAAGATGAGGAAGAGGAAAAGGAAGAGGGAGGGGCAGAGGCGGCTTTCGCAGCGCGAAGGAGGAATCCCCGAGCGGATCCGATGGAGTGCATACCCGCCGGCCACTCCCTCAACCCCTCCACCACGAAACTCAAATCCTCCGTCGTCGTTGTCGACCTAGCTTCCCTCTGCAAAGGGGGATTCCACGTTGGGTGTTGGTCGAGTTTTGGAGGTGCGTGGATGCGTGTGGACTTTTGGGGGAGGGTTGGGTTTGTTGTGAGGAGGCCGTTTGTCGAGAATTTGCGTTTTTGGCTGTGAGCCATCATGCTGGGAGGAGGTTGGGAAGGATGAGACTGGTAGGTTAGGGGTGGGGGTGAGGGTGAGTGGGTGTACATGCGTGGTGGTGAAGGCATCGCGTAATGTCCTTGCCCTTGCTGAAGAAGACCGTGGTGTTGGTGCTCGTGCTGATGAGCAGAGGGCAAAAACGGTGACCGTGGTCGACGCTGATCACTTCCCTCCCCACCATTCGAACTCCCACCACTGGACGAACCCCCACCCCTACTCCCACTCCTACTCGAACTCACCGACGTCGACATCCCTTCAAGCTCCAAATACCTGTCATACAAAATCGAACTCGCAGCAGTCGCAACAGTTCCCTGCAGATACGTCGACATCTTCCCTAGGATTATGGTTGTCGTTGTCGGCAGTATATGCACGGGCATAGGGGATGTATGCCAGCACGTCCATCCTGTTGGTTTTGTTTTCCTCGTCGATAGCGAAGGGAAGAGGGTGACGTGTGGATCCTCGATCGATGGGGCCGGGATGGGACACGCGAATCGGGCGGCGGGTGCGCGACTGGGCGTGGCGGATCGAGTGCCGGTATGAGAGGCACGTGACGAGGAGGACCCTGCGATGGCGACTGTCAAAGGCGAGGCACGTGGGCTGGAGATGCAATTCGAGTTAAATAATGCCTGTTGTGCTGTCTACTCATCATCCTCCTCCTCCTCACTCTCATTCTCATCGACCTCCATCTCCCCCTCACTCTCCTCCTCCTCATCACTCCCATACCCCTTCTTCCTCGCATCCCTCCTCTCCGCCCTCGCATTACTCTCCTCCCTCTCCGCCTCCTCGATCATCCTCCTCCTCTCCTCCCTAACCTCCCTCTGCACCTTCGCATACCCACCAAGCGGGGTCTTCTCCACCGCCAAGTCCTTCAAGAAATTATCGACCTCTCCCCGGTTTTCAGGAGCAAACTCGATGTTTGCGCGGCGGGCTGTGACGAATTTCGCGTTCATGTCGAATTTGTCGATAATCGTCCCAATCGTGCGATTAAACTTTGCATTCTTCGATTTCTTGGTCCACCGCTTCAGTGCGACGATCGCCGGCACCACCAACTCAGGGAACGCGATCGATTTGGCTTCGAGCGCGTAATACTCCACCAACAACTCCGCAACCTCGTCACAAACACCATCCTGGTATGCCTTGGTCCGGAGATACGACTTGGGTGCTCTGACGACGTACCCGAAATCCAGGGGTTTCAGGGTGGACGGTTTCGGTTTTTTGCGGAGTTCGGCACTTTCCAAGACCTCAAATAACGCGCTCGCGAGGGGGATATAAGTCTTGGTCGCCGCGCTCAGTTTGATGAGCGTCCGGATGAGGTGGAATCGGAGCGGGAAGAATTGGGCGGTTGGGATGAGTCGCATCGCTCCCAACACCACCTGCACGAGTGGGTACACCAAAGCCCGGAGAGGCGACTCGGGGGATTTGGCATACTGCCCCAACACCAATCCCCAGAAATCAAGCGAATGTGCGTATTGCCAATTATAAACCCCCTTATACGCTTCCTTACTTTTCTGCGTAATACTCTGTCTCAAATGCACAGCCAACTGCCTCACGAACCCGAAAGCGTGTTGATATGACGCGGAGAGATCCAAACCATAAAGTTCCGCCGCGGAGTTCTTGAGGAGGTTTATGGCGGGGAGGGAGTGGACTGTTGTTGAGCGGGATGCGCGGATGAGGGTTTGGTAGCTTGCTTTGAGGCAGACGTCGCGGATTGTGGAATCACCCACCACGCAGAATTTCCGGATGAGGAGGAATGCGGCGATGCGGACGCTGTCGTGGGTGTTTGTGCCCCAGATGTCGATAACAGATTTCAAGAACCCGCGGAGAAATTTGCGGAAGGAAAGCATGTATGGGACGAGTTTCTCCGTTGTCGTCAACACCAATTTCAGGGTCGCCGGGTCAGAGAGGTTGGGCAACATGTACCCCAACGATCCGAAATGCGATTTGAGCAGCGGAATCAGATTCCGGTACTTTTTCGCTTTGTCACCACCCGTATCCAACCCGCCGTTTTCCTTTGCGGGGATATGGTGGGCGACGACCTCTGGGATGTGCGTGAGGGCGAGGATCATGAGCTCGTCGAAGACGGCGGGTTCTTGGATGGCGTATTTGTAGGTTTTGTTGGCGTCGTTATCTTCGCCTTGGTGGGCGGCGGCACGGAATGCGAGGACGACGCGGCGGAGGGCTTTGAGGGAGTGTTCGGAGACGAGGGCGGTTCGCCAGCGCTTGAGGTGGGCTTTCGTGACGACTTCAGCGCCGGAGGCGGAAGGGGTGGAGGGATCGTCGAGGTCTTCGGCATCAGAGTCGAGGTTTGCGAGATCGTCGTCTTCGGCGTCGGAGAAGTCGAGGAGGCCGGCGTCGTTTTCTTGGAGGTATTTGTAGAATTCTGGGTCTTGGGATTTGAGGGCTTCGATGTCTTGTTTGTGTTGTGCCGCTTTGTTTTCCTTTTTCTTCGATGGTGCTGCGGTCTCCTCCTCTTCCTCATCGTCCTCCTCCATATCCTCATCGTCTTCCTCCGCAGACCCGTCGTCCTCGGCAGCAACGCCGTCCTGGCCTTCCGGAACCTCAAACCCACCCGCCAAAAAGTCGCCCATACTCATCTCCTCCAACTCCTTCTCCCTCATCTTTTCGGCTTTCAAATCCTCCACCGACAACTGAGCGTTCGCACCACCCTTCTTGGCCGGCCCGACATTCTTTCCCTTGTAGTTCTTTTTGACAGCGCGTCTTCTGTCGAGGGTTTCTTTCAGGTGGTTCTTTTGGAACTTCTTTGTTGCTTTGGAGGCTTTTCCCATTGTGAGAGAGGATCAATTGCAATTCCAAATGGTTCCAAAGGGTGGGTGGGTGTACGAGAGGGTGGTGCGCGGTGCAGGTAACTTTTTTGGTGGTGTGGCGCAGTTCAGCTGGAGGGGCACCGCTATCGATACGGGTGGTCGTGTAGCAGTTGTCTGTTGCAGTGTAATCACGAGCCTGATCCTCCAGCTACTTGACCGCTCTCTATTGCTCGTTGAATTGCTTGTCACGCCAAGGAGGCGAGGCGACGACAATCGAACAATGCGTCGAGCTCCTAGAACTCGTGGGCCAGCGCTGCTACGGTTACGGTCACTCGTACTGCTGCGACTGCTACGGTCACGGTCTCGAAGACGGCTACAATCTCTGCCAGCACTGTCACGGTCTCGAAGACAGCTACAGTTTCTGCCAGCGCTGTTACGGTCACGGTCTCGAAGACAGCTACAGTTTCTGCCAGCGCTGTTACGATCACGGTCTCGAAGACAGCTACAGTTACGGAGACTGTCACGGGTATCAACACAGCCGCGACTGCTACTTCGGTTTCCACTATCACCTCTACGGTCGCTGGGTCTACTGTCACTAGTACTGATATCTCTACCACGGTTAGCACTGTCGTGGTGTCTGGATGGAACACTGTTACGACATCAACCGTCACTAGCACCGTTCCGGCGTCCACTATCACAACAACTTTGGTTTCTAATAGCACTGTTCCGGCGTCCACTGTCATCAGTACATCCATCTTCACCAGCACTGTGACGGAGACCACCACAGTCACGGAATCTGGTACTGTGACGGCATCTGCCACGAGCACCGTCATCAGGACTTTGATCTCGAACAGTACTGTTCCGGCGTTCACCATTACCACCACAGTTGTTGCTAGCAGCACCGTTACGGAGTCTGCGACCATTACAGCCTCGGTCTCCACTGTTACAGAGACCACCACCGTCACGCCGTCCACTCTGGCGGACACCGTGATCTTCACGTCTACTGTCATTGCCAGCAATGTCATTATTACGCCCACGATCACAGCTGCAGGTGTTACAGTGACTTCTACTGTTACGAGCGGAAGTGTCACCGTTACGTCCACTGTGACTGCAGGCAATGTGACCGTCACGCCTACTATCACTGCTAGCGATGTCACCGTAACGTCCACTGCGCAGACCGTGACCACGACGCCTACCTTCACCGCTAGCGGCGTGATGGTTACTCCCACTTTCACGGCAGGTAACGTCACGCTCACATCCACCGTGGAAACGGTGGTCATCACGCCCACCATTACAGCAGGTAATGTGACGCTTACATCTACCGCACAGACCGTCACGATCACTCCCACTGTTACCGCCAGCGGTGTCACTGTTACTCCCACTGCCACAGCGGGCAATTTCACTACGACGGTCTTCAACACTGCTAGCGCACTATCCACGGTGACCGTTACCAGCACCAGTTTCATCGCTGCCAACAATGCGACTACGACGATTCATGACATTGCGTCCACCGTGACTGTCACGAGCATCAGTGCCGCCAACAATGCTACTACGACGGTCCATGACACTGTGAACGTACCGTCCACGATCACCGTCACCAGTTACATTGCTGGCAACAATACCACTGCGACAATTCATGAAACTGCGCCCACAGTGACCGTTACCAATATCATTGCTGCCCACAATGGGACTGCGACAGTCGTCGACACCGCTGTGCCAGTTACAGTGACCGTCACCAGTACCAGTATCATCGTTGCCAAGAATACGACCACAACAATTCTCGGTACCGCCGTGCCTACGACCGTGACGGTCAGCAGTCCCCAGAATGTGACCATAACAGTCTACGATACAAGTCTGCCCACTTTGACGACCGTCACTGCTACTCCCATTGCCGGGAACCTGACTACGACAATCACTAAGACTGTACCCTCCACGGTCACCCTCACGACGACTCTCGGTCTCAACAATGCGACCACGACGATCTTTAACTCTAGCAGTCCTTCCACAATCACGATTACCGCTACTGTGCCAGCTGGGAACATGACTACGACTAGGTTCAACAACAGCGTTCCTACGGTGACTGTCACTGCGACACTTCCCGCCCGCAATATGACTATGACCATGCTCAATACTACCCTGCCTACGGTAACCGTCAGCGCTTGTCCAGCTGCCAGCAATTGAACTACCTCAATGTCCAACAGCACTGCGGTTCTTACGACGGTTACAATGATTGGAAACATGACCACGACAGTCACGGAGATGTCAACTATCACTGGCACCCCATCCACGGTCACCACCACTGCCACCACTGCTGCTGAAAACGGTACTATATCGGTCTTCGGGACTAAAACCGTCACGTACACAGTCATTGGAAACTCGACCACGACTGTCATCGGCATGTCGACCATTACTGACGTCGCTACGGTCACCAAAACCAGCACCATGGTCTCTGATGAGACTATCTGGGCTACTACTACTGTGATCGAATCTTCGCCAGAGACTAAGAATGCAACGACGTTTTCAACCTCCACTTCTAGAGCCCTTCGCGGGAAATGGTGAGGAGTCTCGTGGTTTTTGAAGGTGCATCATCATAATTGTCATTTACGGGATTGAGATTTTATCAGGAAAGAAGATCAAGGACAATTTAGGGAAGTCGTATAGCTATACTCATTGACCAGATTCATTCGTTTAGATTTTGTTAACTCCGTGCCTAAGTGCTATGCAATGACCTCAAATCCTGTTACATACTCTAGTGCGCTTCTGTGCCAGCCAACCCAACTACGAGACTCTCAAACATGTCTTCCAGGCTTGGCATGGCATATGGCGGCGCATCAAACATCTGACTCATCAGATCGCTATTCACTACTGCCGCTTGTGGCTCCTCGTCGAGCTTCTTCTCCTGTGTTGGTGCCAATACACGTCCTACGGTGCCGGAACCATACGAGGCTGATAGAGCACCCACAGACGGCTCCTCGATAGCCTTTGCACCAGGCTCTTCTGCTATCTGGACTGCACCGGCAGCTCCACGTTCGAGCACAGCAACCTTGCCCTCCGAATCGAAGTAGATGTATCCAGACCGGGGTGCCTTAACGTGGTGAATGGCACTTACTGCTCCCTTGACCTCGTGGACTCCAGTAGAAGCTGGACCAGACGTCTTCCATACGGTAATATTGTCACCGCCTTGGTTCTTAGGCGCAGAAGACGCAATGGCGAACTCTGCAGCGGCGTGGTTAATCGCCATCTTACCACCGACAGTCTTCGCAGTCCACCTGATCTTGCCCAAGACAAGGTCGTAAGTGACCAACTTCTTGATTCCCGAAACCACAAGCGTAGCGCCGACAATACCGAGAGAAAGAATTCGTCCAGCGCTGAATCCGCCCAATGCCTTTCGTACCTCACCAGTACGTGCGTCAAGCAAGAGAACAACATCATCATCTCCGACATTAACAGCAATCAAACTACCATCAACACTCCACGCAAGCGCATGACCCGCCTTCGCAGGACAATGCACATACTGAATATTCCTCCTGCAAGTCCACGTAACCTCCTTCTCACGCCCAGTCTTATCCACCCTCGTCCTCGCCTTCCAGATCTTTACCGCACCATCAGACCCAAGCGTCGCGAAGCTCTGGGCACCGTTCTTCGGGTTCGCAACGAGCGCAGAGATAGATGATCCATATCCGTGCGGTGCGTCGACCCTGGTGATCAAATCCCACTTCTTGAACTCGGCATTCCATTTCCAGAATTTGAGGTAGCATTCTTTCTCCTCCTGTGAGCCCCAGGCCATAGTACTCAGTCTCTCCTCAACCGGAGGAACCCATTCGTCGACCGTGCACAACCATTGTCCGTCGGGACCAACAGCGACGTGCAAAACCTTGGGCTCCTGAATACCGTTGCCGGTAGCGGCACGGCCTCCGATCATGGTGGAGCGAGACACTTCGGTGCGGGTGGTTTGAGCATCGGTCGTGAAGTCGAAGGACTGCAGAGCAGAGGAAGAACCGGCCTGAGGGGCGGAAGCCAGAATGAGGTTGCCGTTGAGAGGGTGGACAGTCGAGGGGACGACGGTCGCGGCTTTGACATCCGACGAGGTCTGGATACCAGTAATCTGAACCCTTGCGCGAAGATCCGTAGCACTGATAACCTTAACCGAGTTATCACTCAAGCTCGCAGCGTAAACACCACCAGTCAATCCAACCCCAACACCCCTGATGGCAGCCCCAAGTCTCGGCAAGAAGGTCTTCTTACCCGTCTCCAGCTGCCAGAAAACAAGTACACCTTCCGCACCACCAGACAAGAGGTAAGTCTCATCCAATACGAAGTTAAGGGAAGACACGGGGTTTGCGTGCCAGTGGAAAGTTCTCACGACGGGGGCGGTGGTGAGGGCAGAGGTGACGTGGGTGTAGATCCGGATTTGGCCATCGGCGGAACCGACAGCGAGGTGCTCGCGGTGGAAGGCGAGGGTGGTGAATGGCGCGGAGTGGGACTGGGCGTCAAATCTGCGGAACTCGAAGGCGGTCTCGACGGTGGGTCTGGTACCGAGAGTGATTGTGCGAGGAGTAAGGATGGCGATGGCGAGGGTGTCGACCGAGGTAATGAGACCAAGGCATTCGCCGTTCACGGAAGCGAGGTTCACGACGGTGGGCGCTTTGCCCGGCTTAGTGGGTAAACGGATCTGGAGAATATCGGTGCGCTCCTTGGTGGATGAGGAGACCTGTGCAGGGGAGGCGATGTAGAGGGTTGCCTTCTCGGTAGCCGGGATGGCGAAATGCTTGATGGTGCGGTTGAAGTTGTAGGTAGCGAAAGCGTATCCGTCAGTCCAGTCGTGAACGGAAACAACACCAGCGGTAGTCGCAGTCATCAATCTGAACGGGTTGGTGGGGTCGATTCCCATACCCACGATTTCGTCCTCCCCGGGTGTCAAGGTGCGGATCAAGTCGCCGGTAATCGCGGAGTACACCTTGACCGAAGATCCAGCAGCAATAAACACATGCCTCTCATCCTTCGTGAAGATCGGCCCCAACTTCTCGCTGAAACGTCCGCCCGCAGTCCTCGTCACAGTCAATGGCGCAGAGGGCGTTCTCGACGATTTCTTCACATCGAGGGTCTTCCTCGTCGCACGCTTAATCAAAGCCGCAAGAGGGTCTTGTTCAGTCTTCATCGGCGCCGAAACCAAATCCAAGCTCTTCCTCCTCGGCTTCTCAGGTCTCTGGCCTTGCACACTCGAACGTCTCCTCTCCTTCTTCTCGGCCTTCGCAGGCGCAGCCGCAACGACAGGCCTAGGCTCCTTCACAGACGATCTCCGTCTCTTATTTCCCTTCTGCAATTGATCAGACATTGCCGTATATCTTTCCAACTTTTTCAAATTCGGCACGCTTATCGAGGAAATTCTGAACCAGCAGGCAGTGGCGCAGCAGGGGAGGAAAATAACCGTGAGCGCCACAACACCAGACACACGCAAAGAATACCGAGAGAGCTGTCAAGATGATTATCCCTGTTCGTTGCTTCTCTTGCGGAAAGGTAGGTCGATCGCGGGTCTTTTGTCGTCTTTACCCTGGTCTTTATGCCGTGTAACAAGGCTGGGGCATCGAGGAAGTCGGCGGATGTGTTTGGACGGCGGCTAACAATGACATAACAGGTTGTCGGTGACAAGTGGGAGACTTATCTCGAGTACCTCAACGATGATATGAAGGAGGGAGATGCTCTCGATAAGCTCGGTCTCAAGCGTTACTGCTGTAGACGAATGGTGTTGACCCACGGTATAATCCACTGCCTGCCGCGCCTTTATCAGAGTACTGACTTCGGTTATACAGTTGATTTGATTGAGAAGTTGCTGCAGTACAACCCTCACGAGCGTCGTGAGCGTCACTAAGCGGCTCCAACTGACGTGCCCTTGGATGGAAAGGTGGAGGAATGGGAGGTGTACATTCATTTGACGACCTAAAAGTGTTCTACCGGCGTTCTTGTGTTTCTTTTTTCTTTTGCATGCAGCAGAGCTATACATCTGCCTTGGGTTTTGGGTTCTATCTTCGAACAATACAGGATTTTGATCTCTTACAAAGGGCACTCTCCTCGAGTGCGCTTCGCTACGCAAATCCCATGTGTACCCGATGACGAAGCTGGAAAGAGAATCACATCACGGAGAGGAGTTGAATTCTGGACGCGTGATACGCTCACATCAATGTGGGACAGGGAGCACATAGAGGCTCTTGCGGTTCAGGTAACATGGACATGAAGGTAAAAGGGGTTGATTAAGAATACTAGTAAGAAGGATGTCATAAGAAGACGGGCACCGCACCACCGAACTATCGAAAAAGAAGTAGAACACCACCCAGGAAGAGCTGAAAGAGAACGCCAGAACAGAGGAAGAAACGCCAACACCACCAAAAGCCTAGTAAGAAAGCATGAAGAAACAGACATCACCAGCCATACCACAAACTCATTGAATACACGAACCAAAGACCGGAGCAAGCGGACGTCCAGCGCCTCGCACTCGCTTCACGGCCTCCAGCACGGCATCTAGCGAATCCCAGCAACAGCCTCCATCTTCTTCTCAACACTCCTCGCCGAACTTCCAGACGACGATCCCTTCCCCTTAACCTTGTCCCACACCTTCCAAAACTTCAAATTCTCATCAGCGGCAACGGTAGCGACGGTAGAACCGTCAGGGGACAATCCCAACCCAAGGACACGAGACTCGTGGGCGGGGATGTCGATGGTGCGAGCACAGGTCGCGGTGGAGGAGGAGTAGGACCACACAGTGAGGTTGTTATCGGGGAAACCGTGGGTGGAGACGAGCTCGCGGTAGGTGGAGGAGAACTTGAGACCAGTGACCTGGGATCCGGCATCGACGGATTGGACGCGGGCACCGGTGTTGGCGTTCCAGAAGTGGATCTGCTTGTCGGCAGTACCACCTCCAGTAGCGAGGAGGGTAGACTGCCAAGGGCACCAAGCCAAAGCCTTGACGGCAGCCTTGTGCTGGCGACGCTCGAACTTAGCTTCACGGGTGTTGCGGGCATCCCAGATGGCGACGAGGTTGTCGTTACCACCGGAAGCAAGGAAAGTACCATCAGCGCGCCACTCCAAACCACAGACCTCAGCGGCATGGGCCTCGAGGGAAGCGGTCTTGTGCTCACGGATACGGACGTCGTGGTTCCACAAGGCACCAGAACGAGTACCAGAGGTAAGGAGACCGGAGTTCCAGGACATAACACCAACGCGGCTCTCGTGACCCCTCATGGTCCTGAGAGGCTTCTTCTTAGTGCTGGTAGGATCCCAGATCTCAATATCACCAGAGTCGAGACCGATGGACAAGTGGGAACCATCAGTAGACCACTTGACAGAGGTAACAAAGGTGTGCTCAGCAACCTCACACAACTCACTCACATCACCGGAAGAGGCGTTCCAGATGTAAACAGTACGCTCCAAGGCAATGGCGAGGGTGTTGGCAGCAGACCAATCCATGAGGTTGAGGTAGTAATCATCTACCAAACCAGGTGCGTCCAAAACCTTCTCGGGAGCAGTGCAGATCTTGCGCCTGAAGGCGGCAGGGACGGCATTCACCTTCTTGGAGGAAGCAGAGGGAGCGTAAATGGAACGGAGATCGACAGGCTTGCGAGCAGAAGGAGCCTCAGGAGCAAAAGCCAAGATCCTCTGGTTAAGAGAAAGACCACAAGCCTCGGCAATGGCGGCACTGGAGTCAGCGCCAGTCTCCATCTTGGAGCCGGCAACGGACGCGGGACGGGAAGGAATGAACCTATCCGCGCGGTGGGTCTTCTTCGCAGGCAACTTCGGCGTAGCGATACCAGCATAATCAGCAGCAACCACATCCAAGTTCTTCGCAGGCGTAGCACCGATACGGAGCTTGCTGAGGTTGCGAGTGAGGTTGGCACGAGGCGTCAACGGAGCTGGAGAAGCGGCAGCAGCGGCGAAGAGGTTGCGGCGAGCAGAGGAGGGGGTGCAAGGAGCGTAGCTCACTGCTTTCATTGGTGTAGATACCATTTTGATTGGTATATGTGTATGTATGCTGGGGTTTGGGGAAAGACAAACGTAGACCGGCTGCGTTTGTGGTAGTTTGTTTCGTGTCCGGCACGAAATGGGTAAAGAAAGAAGGCTGGTAGCTGAAGCTGAAGCTGAATCAAATAACTTAAGAAAACCTCGTTGAGCACAGCTCGAAACGAAGGGTATGGAAGTGATGGCGGTGGTAGAAAGAGAGCTCAGACCTTTTTGTGGAGCATTTATGGTCAAGGCCCCTGCCCATCCATCGACCTCATTAGGTACGCGCGTGTAAATGTAAACAAGCGCAACCCGCGTTGCTAGGTGACATCATTCATTGAAAATTGGGAATAGGAGTAAAAGTAAGATGCTTTCTGACTGTGTTTTACCTTAACAGTTACCCAGTATGCGAAGCAACATGTTGATTGTTCCTATGCGGAACGTTGGTGGCCAAGCATCGAACCCGTGGGAACATGAAGATCACCAGTTAATATGCGCGAAATCATCGGATATGATAAGATAATTCTAAATGTATATGTCAGTGGCATTTTAAGTTCTGTGAGACCCGTCCTGTATCACTCCTTCCGTTCGCAGTCATTGTTCACTGCCCTCTCTCACCCAGAAACCAACCCGCACCTGCTCTCCTCCGCCTTTCTCCCTCCCCAACACTTGCCCCCCACCCATCAACTCCCAAACACATCTGCCAAAACTCTACAATCCCCTCCTCCTCATTCCCAATCTCCTGCCCAGTTTCGGCAAGCACGAACCACCCATCCCCACAGCACCGCACAAACCCAACGTTCGGCGACATGCGTTGATTGTAGAATGCGGACTCACCGGCAGAACCTACGCGGACTGATTCGACACCATATTTCAATTCGAGGTCGAGCGCGATTTTAAAAACGGGGGTTGAGGATTTTGTGGGCAGCGAGACGGGAAAGATCGCGGAGCCGGAAATGGAGTTGGGGATGACATGTCCAAGGATAAACCGCTCTGCCAGCTGTCTTCGTTTCCACAGCAGGCTTCCTTCCCCCTCACCGGTCTTGACGGAGGTATGGATCCCACGAGGATAGGTGACAGAGTCTCCGTAATAGAAGATTCGATCCATCAACGTCTTCCCCTCTCCACCACCTGTGACACCGTATCCCAACAAATCAGCGATCCGTCCCTTCCAATCACCCCTCAATTCCTTCCACGACAACTGTTCCCCACCACCACCACAACCACCAGCAGTGGACGTCCTCCGCTTCCTCCTAGCCGACAACGCCGTACTACTCCTCCTCAAAGTCTTCTTCCGAGCCGTACCCCCCTTCTTCTGCCCCTTGTCTTCAGTCTCGGGCGTCTCGGGAGGAGCCCACCCAACCGCTTCCCCAGTCTCCCCCAACACAAAATACACCTCTCCACTCCCCACCTCAACCCTCCAAATCTCCTCACTCCCACTACCAACACTAACACAACTCTCAACCCTCGTCTCCTCCACATCACGCAGAAACGCAGCGGGAGAAGTCCACTTGCCACAACCCGCACTCCCAGCTTTGAGGGCAAACCGCGCAATCCAGAATCTCATCGCGACATCCCACGCTCTCGGGATCCCTTCCTCTTCATCCAGGAGTCTCAAACACACACCACGAAATCGAACTCCATACCTTCCCGGCCTCGCACCAAGCGCCTCAAACAACCTCTCAACCCACCCCGCCTTCACAACCGTCACCTTCTCCCATATCTCCCGTGCGCGATGCGCATAATACCCCCTCATATACATACCCCTACTCTCCTCGCCACAACGCCCGAAATACCCCTCAAGTCGATCCCCACCAAACTCCATTTCACATACCTTCCCCCATGCATTCGCCGCGGCATGTGCCCAGTCCTTACTGGCGCACGTGACGGAGATGAGGATTTCCCAGGGTTTATCGGTGCCGTGGTATGCTGCGAGGGCGAGGATGGTGGAGAGTTTGGTTACGAATTTGCGGGTGCGGAGGGAGGGGGGTTTGTAGGGGTTCAGGGATGGAGGAGGGATTGCGGAGTCGAGGGTAGTGTAGATGAGGGTTGGGAGAGCGTCCTCGATGACACTGGGCTCTGGCGCGGAAGGGGACGCCGGTTGTGGCTTGAAGTTGATGGCTAACTGGATTTTGGCACGCTTAACCTTTTCCCCAACAACGACCCTCCTCGAACTCACAGCCTTTGCGAGAGCAACAACTGGCGCAGGCGCCTCCTCGTTCAACCTCGCACCACCCACCGGTGCCAAAACCCCACCCTCTTCCGACGCCTTCGGAAGCACCTTCGCCACCAACGGCTTAAACGACGGCTTCCCACCGAGCTTGACCGTCACAGGAACCTTCGCAACAGGGTCCTTCCGAACTGGCTTCTTCCTCACATCGGACGCCTCGATTTGCGTAACGTTGGACAGACAAGGACGAGGGACGGCGGTGGTAGTAGCTGTAGCTGGCACGAAATCAGCTTTCGGAGGTGGGTTTGGCGATGTTTGGACGGGAACATCGAACATTGACGTGGAGGTTGGCTTTGTGTTTGGCAGGGCTGGTTGACTAGCAGCAGGGAAAGACTTCCCAGCTGCAGGTGTAGCAGGCAAACTTCCGACGATGGCCGAAACTGGTGATAAGGTAGGCGCCAAGACATCCTTCTTCTTCCTAAGCTTCGCTGCCTTCTTCGTTGTCACCGGTCCAACCACAGACCCCGATGTAGTAGCGGAGATTCCTTGCGGAGTGGAAGACGGTGGTGCCATCACACAGTCTCCAACTGTTCGCACTGTAGCTGTAGCTGTAGTGATTAAGTCATTCTTCTTCTTCAGGGGTTTCTTTGGAGCGTTCGGATCCGCTGGAGGAGCTTTGCGTTTCTTTGATGTTGGGGCGGCGGCTGGAGTGCGCTCTGGGGTACCGGTGATGACAGGCGAGATGACAGGAGGGAAAGGTTCGGCGTTGGTAGAGGTTGCGAGGGTGTCGAGTGAAGCAATTGTCGGGAGTGTATGCGCCGGAGATAGGGATGTAGGAGACTCTGTGGGCACTTCCGTAGACACGGATGCTGGACTTCTGTCGACCACTACATCAGGTGTAAATGCCATAGGAAAAGCGACAACAGCTCCATGTAGCGGAGTTTCTGGCACCACCACTCCCTCTGAGCCAGTCGTCAAGATAGTCGGGCCCTGTACGACATCGATCAGCATGTCAATTTAGGTAGTCTTCGACGTTGTACCTCATGCCCCTTCTTCGCCTTCTTCTTTACGCCTCCATCCTCTCCTCCCACTTTATCATTCTTCTTCTTCGTAGGCTTCTTTTCGCCACCGTCCTCAGTTGGAGGAGACGGTTCAATGCCCAGTTTGGCGCATATACGAGCAACCTACGTACAAACAACCATCAGCACACGAGACGAATGGGGAGTGTAACAAAGACTTACGAGGACAGGTTTCGTTCCCCCGACAGCGAGGCCCAGTTCTTTGCATTTAGCCTGTACGTATCTTTAGCTGTGATATGGAAGATATCCTCGAAAAATAAGCACCTTCAGGTCTGGGATTTTGAGAGCGGAGAGTTCTGCTGCGGTAGACATGATGGGAACGGACGTGCGGAATGAACAATGGTAATAGCAGAAGAGCAGAGAAATTGCGACGGAAAGGACGTTAACAGCTGTTTGGTTGGTGTTAAGTGTTTAAGTTGAACGTCACCGAGGGTCATGCGCGCCGATAACCTTATTTCCCCCGGCCCGTCGGGGTTCAACGACATGATCAGATCCGCCTCGGTCAGAACGGGAACGATCAGATTACAGCTGTCGACCCGTGTTGAGTCTTTGCAACGTCATATCCGTCATCTACAGTGCGGCCCGCTCGGGGACGGCACCAATTTCATCCGTGCGGGTGCCATATATCCAGCGGGACAGCATCCATCCCCGCTGAGTCCGCGTTTCTGTTCCACATACCTCACCATGCCAAACGACACCAGCAACGGTATTTCGACAGCATCTGCACCTGGCGCAGACCTCCCCTCGACCTACCGCGCCTACACCTTCCACTCCCACGGCGACCCCGCCGACGTTCTTTTCCTCACCACCCTCCCCCTCAAACTCCCATCCCCAACCCAAGTCCTCATCAAAGTCCACACCTGCGCCCTCAACCCCATAAGCTCGAAACTAATGGTTGCGAGTTGGCTACCAATCGTCCAGTTACCGTGTACACCCGAACTAGACTGCTCCGGGACTGTGGTCGTTGTGGGAAAGGAGGTGAGGTGTGTGCGGGTGGGGGATGCGGTGTATGGTTTCGTGGGGTTGATGGAGCAGATTAGGGAGGGGAGGGGGACATTTGGGACGTATGCGCTGTTGGAGATGTGTCGCGTGAGTAAGCTCCCGCGGGGCATGAAAATGGAGGAAGCAGCAGGGTTGGGAGCGACGGGTAGCATAGCCCTGCAATCTCTCATCGATGACGGCAAACTGGAACAGGGGCAGCGGGTATTTGTCAATGGCGCGAGCGGAGGAATCGGTTCGATGGCGATTCAGATCGCGAAGGGGATCGTGGGGAAGACGGGTTTCGTGTTGGGAAGTTGTGATTTCGCGAGGGGGTGTACGGTGATCGAGTTAGGTGGTGACGACGTAATCGACTACACCAACAGTCCCACCCGTCTCATCGACGATCTCCGGTCCCGCTACAGCAAACCCAACCAACACTTCGACCTAATCCTCGATACCGTCGGCGTCGACGAGTTGTACGGGCGGTGTTGCGCCTACCTCAAACCCACCGGAAAATACATCACATTCGGCGCCGACGCGTCATCCATGACAGACTCCATCGACATGCTCGCGACGATGTTCTCCAGTATGGCTAGACCACGGCAACACCCCTCCGCACCCCGCGAATTCTTGTACTCGCAACTCAAGCCTACGAGGGAGAAATTTGAGAGGTTGAATCGGATGGTGGAGGAGGGGAAGTTGAGAGTGTTGGTTGATTCGAAGCATAGTTTTGGGAAGAGGGAGGAGGTCTTGGATGGGTATGAGATTTTGATGAGTAGGAATGCGAGTGGGAAGGTTGTTGTTACGATGTGAGGTAACAATGGAGTTCTTGGATGATGTGAAGGGATCTTTTTGCCCACTATAAGATTTGCTGCATAATCGTACATTAGTAGGCTCATATAGGACCTTGTCTTCCTGGAGCACATCGTCCTAGAAAACGTGTCCCGGTACGCAATTGGGACTAGTACTAGCTTGGTTTGAGGGTTCTATATAACTCAGGCCTTACACCACCTTAGTGCCAGGAATCGTTTTAGCCTTTTCCACCTCCGAGTTCTCACACTATTGCTCTGCTTATGTACGTCATTGCATGTCTACGTATATCTATGCGTCTGTTTTTACTTCTGTGTTCATGCGTCACATGCTCGACGCTCATTGTGAAGTTTATACATCTTGCGCACGTCAAGGTTTGAGGAGGTTGTGTAACATCTCGTCTTACGTTGATTACTGCGCACAAGGCTTTCAAATTGGACGTATGATTCAAGGCCAGGCGTGGCCGTGACGGATTGGTATATGGACCCAGAACGCGTCCTTCAACCTCGGTTACGTCTTCTAAGTCTTCGGTATCTGTCACTGGATAGACCCCGCCGGACTCGTGTCTGCCAACGTGAACGAGCGTTATTACTGAATAAGGAGTCTTGACGCCCGTCCGTGACACATATAATCCTCATACAATACAACCCTCTCTTTGAGTATATCAGTTACCTAAAACCCTTCTTTTTTCCCACGTCTGAACTTAAGGCTAAGAACACTGCATGAGCTGGCATGCCCACCAGCAGCGCTGCGGGCCGGCGGCGGGATCAACAAAGGCTCTGACTCCACAAGCCCAACTCCCAACTCGAAGGAAAAGATGAGCATGGCAAGGCAAGGGCCGCTCTTCCCAGATTTTCTGGAAAACAGCTATGCTTCTTACAAAGCAAACGACAGAAAGCTCACTTAATGGCTCGCCGAAACTGCCGAGAAGTGCGGACACGCGTTCAAGCAAGTCAAGAACGCCGGAAAGGCTGCCACCACCAGCGCTCCTCCTTTGGTCAGTCAGGATTGAAGGGTCAGGCAAGGAAACCTGGGAAACAAGCCGGTGCGACGAGTTCGTCGACAACGGTTGGTTCTTCGACTTCGCTTCGTCGGGGAGGGCGGAGGTGAGGAAGTTCTCGACTAAGGAACTCGTCGAACTTGCACGCACTATCTCGAACTCGTCAAATTAGTCTATTGCGGTTCCCGAGAAGATTTCGTGGGGCGGGAGGAAGACGCGGAGACGAGGAAGGTTGAGAGGCGCGATTGATTGTTGATACCGGTGATATCCTGAATACCTAGCTTCTGCTATGCAATATTTGCTTACGTGCATTCATCAAGTATGCTCCCAGCCTTTCCCAAATCTCACCGCTTCATAGGAGGAAAGTGTAGAAGCTTGGGAACACAAACTCTTCATCCACAACTCTCCGTAATCTTTCCAACAGGAACCTCTCAACCTTTACCACATTCTTCAGCACTCCCTTCTCCTTCTCACCAATTTTTGACTCAATCTTGATATCTCTCAAGATCTCACCCACTGTTGGGCTTTGTGAAGCCCCAATTGCTGCATCAGGATGACCTTCTTCCACAAAGCAGAAGTGTACGCGTCGACCTGACGAACCGGACATGCATGTAATAATTGCGGTACCCTCAAAGGTCAGTGAAGTCAATGTTAGAGAAAGAGGAAGCGTGACGAAGGCTGCTGAAGGGTAGTTGATCACCAGTTCTGTCGATATTGACATCCGAATGGCATTGGTTTTCCATCGTACTTTGGCAACAATCTGAATATCCTCCACTCTCCGTCGTGTCTCTGCTTCCGCTGGCGTCATTCTTGGTCTTGCTTGTCGTACATGCTCATCTGGTTCACTTGCTTCAGGAGATTGTGCTCGTGGCGCACCCCATCCGGGTGTTGAAAGACCGGAGTTGAGGCCAGCAGTTTGCCGAGCAAAGGGGTGGAAGTAATGCAGCGAGCTTGATTGTCGTAGAGACATTGGAAAGATACCTGATAAAGATGCTGTTGAATGATGTGAGTGGGCATGTGAGGGCACATGTGGTGGGAACCCATGTGTGTTCTCTGGTGATGATTGAGGTGAGTTGTCATATGGAGGGGGTTCTGTTGATGTTGAATGTATGTCAAAGTCCTCACTGTCCAACTGTGCAGCATGTGCCGGTGCATCTCTTCCTCTTATTGTTTCTGTGCTGGACTCCATCACCGCATGTGCCTCAGCTGCATTCCTTTCATGCTCATCATGATCTAAGTCGTAGTTGTCTTCATAGAATTCTGCATATGGATCTCCAAGGTCTGTGATCTCAATTTCTGGCGCTGTTGATCCGAGGTCGAAGGAATTGACATGGAGAGAGCCAATAAACTTAGGCAGGGGCAGCGAAGAGAACTTTTCATTTATGATATCTCGTAGAGAAAGCGCAATTGACGGGTCAAGTTTGTCCCAGTTGAGTTCGATTGACATGATAAATGTTCAAGACCGGGCAGTTCTGGTGGGCGGGAGTCGAGGAGCGGGACCGGGGCTGTTGTCTAGTTGATACACTGAGTTCAACTCGCGAGAGTATATGACTCGGCCAAGGTCCCGAGCATCGTCGATAGTCTTCAGGGTCTTTCGTGGGGTTCACTGTCTCCTGTAACGTAGTCCTCATCTGACAGCCGCTATCCAGATTCGGCAAAGAAGCTGCATCTGCACGGTAACGTAGACACCCCTTGCCAGACCTTACCTCATCATGTCCTTCGAAGAGTTCCTTACCGATATCCAAAGTGCTACAAAAACTGAAGACGGTGCCGCCGTCGCCGATGCTCTCAGCTTGCGAGCGCTACCGGTAGAGCTGGACCTTAGTTTCGAGCACGACGTGAAGAATGCTGTGAAGGACAGGACGTGGGCTGAAGTCGTGACAGTGCATCTCAAAGCAAAAGATCTGTTGGTTCGGGAGGATCTCAATGATGCATACGAGGGGCAGGTGGCTGTTGTACAGGCAGTTCTGAAGGGATGCAGCGCAGGTTGGGAACGGTGGATACTGCCCGTCCTTTACACGGTCTGCAGAGACCTCAGATGGATCGCGATTGAGGTATGATAATCGGGTTACTTCCATACGAAGAACTAACGAATGATACAGTCGGACAAGCAGAGCGGAAAGACTGAAAACCTCGAGTCAACAGCCCAAGTCCTTAACCGCGCGTTTACGGCCTGCATCACTGACCGCGCTTCGCTCGACGAGTCGCGTAAATGGGGAACATACGTTCTTGCTGCTCTGTTATTCAAGATATACTTCCGCCTGAATAAGCTATCGCTGTGTAAGAATGTGCTGCGGGCGGTGGATGTTTCGGAGCTGCCAGAATTGGAGGAGTATGGGAGAGGAGAGGTCTGTACGTGGAAGTACTACCTCGGAGTCATCGCTTTCCTTAACGAGGACTACAAGAAGGTTCGTCTCGAATTGTCGGTATCGGATACCGTTTCTAACTCGGATCTAGGCTGCGACCGAACTTACAGGCGCGTTTGACTTATGTCTCTCAACACACACCGTTAATCAAACCCGCATCCTGACCTACCTGATTCCAACAAATCTCCTCCTTTCTGAACCGCGCCTACCATCGACAGCTCTCTTTGAAGCGTTCCCAGAACTGAAAAGGCTGTATGAACCCATCGTTGATGCGCTTCGGCTTGGCAGGTTAGGCGCGTACGACAATGCTCTGGCAAACGCAGAAACAGACCTAGTGAAGACGAGGGCATACCTGACTGTGGAGAGAGCGCGCGCTGTCTGCGTCCGTAACCTGCTGCGACGGACTTGGCTCCTCTCAGAAAAGTCCAGCCGGATGGAGATCAACACATTCGCCGCCGCCGTAAATTTCTCACTGCGAGAGGCGGCGTTAGAATCTGGTGGCAATCCTGAGCAGATCGATGCTGAAGAAGTTGAGTGCGAGCTGGCGAATCAGATATACCGCGGTGCTATGAAGGGTTACATCTCCAGGGAGAAGGGGATGGTGGTATTGAGTGCGAAGGATGCGTTTCCGAAGAGTGCGAACATCATCGTGTAGGCACTGAATATAACCAGGTATTAGCTATTATGGATCAGAAGATACCATAAATCAAGATCTAGTTACTGTTTTTCATCGCGTCGATCTTGTGATTGTTGAGCACGTGATACTGCAGTCACATGCATGTGTTCGTAGCGACAGTCCCACAATAGATACGCTCATTTGCCTGGTGGACCATGCACTACTCAACACTCGCAGGATTACTTGTTCTTGGCTCCGGTCATTGCAAGGGTGATTCAAATACTGATGGGCAAGACGCACGTGTCCAAGGCGTGGGAAGAACGCCGTCTATGCCACGCCTGGCAACAAGGAAAGGCCGTAAATGGAGCCATGAGTAGGAAGGTTTACTTTCAAGCTGCCTGCTGGACAAACACGTGAATATTCCGAAAGCCGACGGCACATGCCTGCTCATTGGCATTTTCATGAACGCACGCACTTTCGGGACCATTGTCTGAAGTCCGCCGAAGTCAAGGAGAAGGGTACAGATCTTCGATTTAAGTCTCATTTTTAGTAGCAGAGCCTGCGATCAGAGACTTTACCCAGACGGAAGATCGCGTGTTGAACCACTGACGTTGCGGCTATCGATCCGGTGTGCATCCGGACCTCTATTTGATAGCCTGGATGCGCGATCGGTCTTGCGAGTGACACCAGGGTGCAATCTAAGCCGTATATCTAGGCTAATAATTCGCAAATTCCTCTGCATCGCTAGAGCCATGTCATCAGCCCGAATCGTGACTCGTCCGCGCATGCATCTCCCGCCGCGCTAGGCTCTCAAGGTGCCGGATTAGGAAATTCTGGAGAATGGTCTGCGTTATAACCTAGCGGCCGATCCTACTAAATTTCCGAAAATGGTCATGACGTTTGTCGCGAAGGGCTTTGGGATCGGAGGAGAGCCCAACCGGTCCCAAACGCGTTTGGGACCTTCGTGGATAAATGAGGGCCATCCCCTACCTTCGTCCACTCTCATACACACACACTTTCCATCACTACGACTAAGCTTTACATCCCACAAAGACCTTCAAGTACCTCTCTCTATCGTCTATTATCTCTCGCTATCATCATGACTCCCGTTAACAACACTACGCCCACCACCGCCGCCACCGCCAACACCGGGAAGCTCAGCACGAAGATGAACATCTTGAGGCGTCTTGGGATTACTGTTGCGCGTACGACTAAGGGAGGTAACGCTCCTACCACGACTACTTGTACCGGTTCTGCTGCCAACGGGCTCTTTAGCAAGACCTCCGGTACGCCCCCCACCAGCGTCTCCACCTGCTCCGACAAGGGCTCGACGGTGAAGGCGGAGACACCAAAGGCCCTCAGGAAGAGGTGCGAGAAGAAGGTTGAGGATATGATGAAGGAGTTCGACTGCCGCAAACTTCTCAAACACCCCGAGACGTACGGTGACTTGAAAGCGGACCTCACCGACGCGCTTGCGCACCCGATCTTGTCCTCCGACCTCGAGGTCCTGGACATTGTCGCTACTGGAGGTACCGCTTTCGTCTGTGCAGCTATTCCTCAGAGCAACGACTCCGCTTCTCCCTGGGAGTCTGAGGATCTCGTCGCGCTCAAGTTCACCAGTAAGCGCAGCAAGCATTCCTGGGCCGAGATCGAAATCATGGAAGACTTGAAGAAGAGGACAGAGGCTGAGTTCTTGGCGGTGATGAACTTCAGTTTCGAAACGGAGCAGTACCACATTATGGTCTCTCCTTACATGCACCTCGATCTCTCTGTGTTGACGACCACGAAGACGGAGATATGGTTCAACGAGGTCAACTTCAAGGTCACTCTGGCTGTCTGCCGCGAGATCTTCAAGGGTATTGCAAACGGTTTGAGTGAACTCCACAAAGCTGGGTACGCCCACGGTGATCTCAAACCGGAGAACGTCCTCCTGTCCCTCAGTCACGTCCCCACTGCTGTTGGAACAACTCCCAAGTTGATCCCAAGAGTGAGTGACTTTGGACACTCTCGTTTCTCGGGGGAGCCCACGGGCCCGAAGTGGTGGTACTACGGTACTTGCTTCATTGCTGCTCCTGAGTTCTGGTCTACCTACACCAAGGACCCTGAGAACCCCAAGCGCACCCGCCTCACCAAGAGTGCGAACCCGACTCACCATCACCTGTTCCCCGCGGACGTATGGGCATTTGGCTGCATGCTCCGCGACATGTTCGGACTCGAACGTTTCGAGTCCCCCGAGAAGGCCAAAAACAGGAAGGTCAAGAAGGGGTGCTTCTGGTACAACGAGGAGTTCAGGAAGTTTGCGATGGAGATCATGGCGAAGTACAAGATGGATATCTGTACGAGCCGTAAGATCGCGGAAGTCTACGATCATAAGAGGGCGAGGGTTTGCATGGATTTCATGGGAGAGGAGTTGGATGATCTCTTGAGGGGGTGTCTTTACATGAACCCGGCGAAGAGGATTACTGTTCAGCAGGTCCTCAAGTCGGCGTTCTTGAAGGACTGAGGGGAACTTGATGATATTTTGGGACATTGGAAGGGGATATATTCGGGCATATCGGGGGGCGTTACTTGTTTTTTGTTTGGGATATCTTCTGACATCATCTATTTCCAATCTACCAACTTCATGGTTCGTCTTCTTTTGTTCTTTCCTACTGTGCAACTTCCTGATCATGAGCTCTTGACCATCGATTCTGCTGCAGCCAGCCGTGAAATGAAGTCATGTGCGGCCATCGCGGCAGTCATTGCCGAGCGGGCTAGGAAGCTGACAGTCGCTAAGGTTATATGAAGCGAAAAGAGTCACAAGGTCCATTTACACGAACAACTGCAACTGCTGCCGATGGTGCTCCTCCCGTCACCTCATTGCGGGGATGCTGTTCATCCAAAACTCCTACTCGTGAGCTTGACGGCTCCAGTTCATTTCGCATTTTGAACATCGACTTCGCAGACATCCTCTACGTATATACATCATGGGTTGGATACAAGCAGCTGTCAGTATCTACACTCAACCAGTAGCGTCTTTACCTCTGGCGAACCGGGACGCTGACGTGAACGGGCTATTCATTCCGCCGGACGAGGTTGTGAAGCACACTTCAGCGGAAGCAGGAGGAATCTGTACGCCTTCCCGTACATCTACCCCAAACATGGACTAATCGTCACTACAGGGCTTGTTATTGAGGACAGCGTGTACGACGTCACCGACTTCCTGACGGCGCACCCCGGCGGACCAGAGATCTTGGAGAATTTTGGTGGCCAGAACTGTACGTGGCAGTTTTGGAAGGTACGCACTCTGCTTTCTGGTAATAAGGTTCTAGAGCTTACATTGGCGGAACAGTTCCACAACAAATCACACCTGGCGGAATGGTCAGAGAGGCTGAGGATCGGGTGGACGAATCCTCCAACGCCGAAATATCTTCCGCCGAGGAACCTGATGGCAAAGTGTATCTAGCCAGTATGAATCAATCAATACTCCTGGACAATGAGAACAGATTGTAGTTAATGACAGTGAGATCCCTACTGCTCAACAGCTTACACAAACAGAATCCGCCTAATCATACAGCAAACACTCAATATCGTACACACGCCCCTCTCCTCGCCGACCCAGATTCGCCGCCTTAATGAGCACTAATCGTCTGCGGAGACCCCTCCCCGAGTGTCATCTTCCCCAGGTCCAAATCCGGCACAATTACATGCACGTTCCCGTCATCCCCCGCAACCGGCGGAACCTCCGCACTCTCCTTCGCCCCACTCCCCTCCCGATGAATACGCCCATTGATCATCACAACCTGAATCTTCTCCAAATCCTGCAAACACTTGATGTCCTCCAACGGATTGCCGTCAACGAGAATCAAATCCGCCAAGAAGCCAGGTTGGATCTTACCGAGGTCGTTGGGGTGCATGAACATATCTCCACCACCGGCCGTGGCGATGATGAGCGCTTCTTTGGGCGTATATCCGAAAAGACGGACCATATGGTCAAGATCACGCGCATATGTCCCATGCGGGGTCCACGCAAACCCATAATCCCCACCAGGAAGGACTCGAATTCCACGACGCCGCATCTCCTGCATCCCCTTACACGCCGCCTCCAACTCCCTTTTATACCCAACCTGCTCAGCCTTCTGCGGGGTATACCCGAACGCAGCGGCATCGTTCAGCGTACCGACGATCCAGTTGATTCCAGGCGCGACCCAGTGTTTGTCCTTTGCTTTCTCGAGCATGTCCATGCCTTCCGAGTCGATGTAGGAAGCGTGGTAGATTACGTCAACGCCATATGTGACGCATTGGATCACGGATTCTGCGGAGCGGGCGTGGCCACAGACGCGGAGGCCCGCGGCGTGGGCGGTTTCGACGCAGGCTTTGACTTCGTCGTCGCTGAAGGTTGTGTCGTCCGCTGATAGCCTCTCCGTTATCTCCTCACCGGACATACTCAACTTGATCTGGTTACACCCGGTTTCGATGTGGCGCTTGACGACACGGCGCATCTCCTCAGGTCCAGAAGCGTAAGCGGTAATGGAGGGAATCAACTCCCCACCCGGAGGCGCCATCTCCTGGCCGTTCGCCAGATAACGTGGTCCAGCGATGTCGCCCGCATTGACAGCATTCCGGATAACGACATCAATCCTCTGTTTTGCGGAGGCAGCACCAAAACACATGGTGTATCCATAATCCAAATACGTCCTCGCAGAACGCATCGCGAACAATGTATGTTCCTCGACAGGGGTATCACCAAGCGCGTCGAGATTCCCGGTGTTGTTCCATGTGAGGTGAGTATGCGCATCGCACAATCCACTCATAAGGAACCTTCCGTTTCCCTCGATGACTTTGGCAGCGGTGATGTCGTGGCCGGAGATATCGATGTCCCCGACTGCGGCGATGCGTTCACCGTGGATGAGGACGTCGCCGGGGTAGGGGTCCGCGCCGGTAGAGTCGAAAATGCGGACGTTGCGGAAGAGTATCTTCGAGTTGGTGTCTGTACCTTCCATGTGGTAGAGGGGAGGACGGAGGGATTCATGGCCGGCGGGGATGCAGGGCGCGTTGCTGTGGTGGCCATTGGTGTGGCCGTTTGAGTCTGCGTTTGGAGCCATGGTAGATATAGGACGTAAAAACTTGTGATCGTGGAATCCATAATCGCGTCATCGCCCGTCGTTTTATACCCAGCGACTCCTAGAGTTGAGAGAATCCCTTCCCCACCTCGCCACCTCGGTCCCTCTTGCAAGAAAACCTTCTCAACGGGGGCGGCACAGTCTCCCCCAGACTCATCTGGACAGCTGATCCCTCACATGCCCATCTACCCCAGGTGCCACTGAACCTCAAATCTCGGATCGATGTGCCGAGTGGTGCTCCGGTTCGGCGGTACCGTATCCCCCGCACCCTCGACTACCGAACCCCACCACATGTCCCTGTCACCTGTCAAACCTTGCACCCCAACCTCAAAGGCACATATAGCCGACCGTGTCCGCACTGATCCCACACCACACACCCACTTTCGTCTTCACCGCCATGCCTAACACGAATCTCATGAACATCCACCAAGTCAACGGTAAATCCCTCTATATTGAGGTAGAGGGCCAAGGCACCCCAGTCATCTTCATCCACGGTTTCGGCGGCACCACGAACGCGTTCCAACCCCAATCAACTCACCTCCTCCGCACCGGCGGATACAAAATCATTCGTTTCGATATTTATGGACACGGGCGTTCGCCCCTCCAATCTCAATCCAGCGGCGATGCGCCCATCATCGACGACTTTGCTGAGGATGTTGGAGGGGTGTTGAGGGCAGCTGGGGTGGATGAGGGTGATGCGGTTCATGTTGTTGGACATAGTTTCGGTGGACTTATCGCGATGGTTTTTGCCGCTTCTCATCCGGAGCGTGTCAAATCCCTCACCCTCATCGGACCCGTCGGGGCTCCATTGCCCGAGGCGGGGAGGGAGGGGTTAGGAAAGAGGTGTGAGGCGGTGAAGGAGAAAGGTATGGCTGCGATCGCGGATACGGTCGTTACCGCCGCCACGAGTTCCGAGACGAAGAGTTCGGCTGGGGGTGCGGTTGTGTATGGGTTCGTGAGGGAGATGCTGGCGAGACAGGATCCGGGTGGATATGCCGCTGCACTCATGGCGCTAGTTAATACCACCTCTCTCCCTGACCTCACGCATATCTCTGCACCGGTTCTTGTGGTTATTGGAACGGAGGATGCGGTTAGTAAACCGGAGTTGGGAAAGAGTATTGCGGCGAAATTTGAGAAGGCGAAAGTGGAGGTTGTGGAGGTGAAGGCTGGGCATTGGCATGGGCTCGAGCAGCCCGGGCAGGTGAACGAGGCATTGGAGGGGTTTTTGGGGGCGAAGTAGCAATATAAATGCCTATGTTCAAGCTACGTCTATGATCGAACACTTTTGGACTTTGAAGGTGTACGGTACCGTCTGGTGTCGATTTCTGGGAGCACCGCCACACGTACGCGGCTCAGCCACGCCATATCGATACCTAAGCACCGACGCGGAACCTTAACCACCTTAACCTTGGCTCTGCGTCGTCGTCACCATCCCAGCTCTCCATCTGTCAAGTCGGTCAATGCCATGACCGATCCAACTCACCATTTGTCAATGCCAGTTACCGGCACACCCGCCCACGGTGTGGATGTATGCACAAACACTCCACTCAAGAGACCCTTGACAGCGGTACATATTAAATCAACGAACCATTGATTGCCATTCGCTGACTTCTCGTGTACAGACCTTACACCCAACACCACCATCCATGGCCACAACAACCCCCCTCTCTAAACGTCAACGTGCGAATATTGCGCGGTCGACATTGCGCAAACCATTCGTCTCACCCCTTAAACCAGGGTCGCGTGGTCCAACGGCTTTTCAAACGCCGATACGAGTACCGGTGGTGTCGTCGTCGCCCCCGACTTCGTCTGCTCCGGATGCGAGCACGCCCCCAACAGCGAGCGCACCGAGTCCCCCCTCCTCCAGCAGCGCATACACCCCCCTCAAACCTACCCCAACCCCCCACCACCATCACCGCCGCTCAGCCCTCTCCCTCTCCCGTCCCCGTCCCAAATTCAATTCCCCCGCAACCGCCTCCACATCCTCCTCAGACCCAGAACTCCTCGCCCTCCACCACCGCCGCTCAGAACTCGAGAAAGAGATATCCTCCACCCTGGCCGCGATCGAGACGTGTAGCACGGCACGGAAATACGAGGTCAAGAATGAGGATACACGGTTGGAGGAGCTCGTCACGAAGTTTCGGCGGGCGGGACAGAGTGCTGCGGATCATATGTTCGGACTCATGAATGATCGGGTTAATAGGATGGGCGGCACCTCGGCGTATCTCTCCAAAATCCGCCCTAACCCCTCCTCATGGTCCCACTTCTCCTCCGATTTCGAACCGGAATGTCCGGAGGGGATGGACGAGAAAGAGTGGCACTATATGCTCGAGGAACGGAAGAAAGAGATGGAGGAACAGAGAGAGGAACACGAGGAGGTGGAAGTGGATAAGTATGATGAGCCGGAGGATGGGGGGTTTACGATGGGGATGATGTTGAGGCAGATGGGGATTCCGCAGGAGATGATTGGATGGGATAAGGAGTCGGGGACGTGGGTGGTGTAGGGAGGAGGACGTATGGGAGAGGTTGAGGGCGAGTGGGAGAGGAGGAGCGGCGTTTTTGTATTTTGCTTTACCTTGGGGGGGGGTGGCACCGGTATGTATACCCAGGATAACAACACATATTTTATTGAGTATCAAGTCACTCCCTTATATTTTTGACTACCAGATTCACCCAGAAGACTTACTCAGGCATCTGATCGCGAACGACCGAGAGCACGAGTACTTCATGATGATCATGAGCGGAGTCTCGTTGACTGAGTGGGCCGTGGGAATACTGATACGCCTTGAACGGGTAAACCAACAACGTCTTCACCCTAGCAGTGGTGGAGTGAGCCCGACAGATGATGGCCATGCGAATCTTCCCTGTCTTCTGTTTTTTTTGTTCTTCAGAGGATCGCCCAAAGTTTCATCATTATTTTCCTTTTCTTTAAACATCCCCTTCACCAGTGCCCAGCACGGTGTTGGGTGTGTCCAGGTCTGCCAATGAACGTTAACGGTGGCCTCCCGGCGCGAACAGGAAACCGTACCCGTGGGGGTCATGAGGCATGAACCAAAATTACCGACATTTCTTCCGCTTCATGCATTTGCATAGCATACCCATCATAACAAACATACATGTATCTAACTTATAGGGTAACGTCCTTCCTTACTCTTTTCCCACGATCTCAATGCGGTACGACCCAATCCGGTCTCCCCAACCCAACCGCTCCCTGAACCGGCATTCCCTGCTGCTGACCTCCCTGCTGCCCATTCCGCTGCCTCAACACCCTCCTTTGCCTCCACCACAAAAACAACCCCACAACAGCACAAAGCGTCAATATCACCAAACTCTCCATCAAATCATCCTCTCCATACCCAAAATCATCGTACTCATCCCCATAGATCGTATAATCATAGTCATCTTCTCGGTCACGGTAGGCAGCAGCAGCGGCCGCGGGCTGGTGTTCGTACCATTTCGCGAGCCAGGAGCGCCAGGAGGTGTCCATTGTGGGCGCTGTACATCCTTACGTTAGCCTACGCCATGTGATGAAGCAACCGAAACGAAGACATACCAGGTCCCTTCTGAATCCCATTGATCGTTCCCCCTGTCAAGGCATTCCACACACTCCTCACTCTCAACTTGAGCAAACTCATCATCACAGGCGCATACGCCTCGCGACTCGACAACGCCGCCTGATCGTAATACCGTTTCGCCAAATGGAAGTCCTGCTCCACCCCGATTCCATTTTCGTGCATCCAGCCGAGATTCCACATCGCCATTGCGGAGTGGAAGCGTTCGGCTGCGTGGTAGCATTGTGCTGCTTTCTTGGCGTCTGTGGTATTGTGGGATAGACCGAAACCGTGAAGGAAGTAGTCGCCCATTTTGATCATGGAGTCCACGTTCGACTGATGCGCCGATTGACTGAAATAAGTCAAAGCCAGCTTCTCGAGACGTGGATGTTTCGGCACCTTCGCCAACGAACGAGTCTTGAGGAACGCTTTCGGGTCGAGCATGGTTTTGTCTGTATGAGGCAAAGAAGTCAGCGATGAACACACAGCGTGACACATCCGATTTGCTTCATACCCCCATCAAGCAAAAACGCCGCATTCGCCTGTCCAACCTCATACCCCTGCTCAGCCGCCATCATATAATACTGCATCAATCCCACCATTAGCACTCGTTCCTCATACCCTAAACGCCCCCATATCAAGAAACTTACCACAATAGCCCCCGCCAAATCCCCCCTCTGCAACGCCCTATTCCCATCCTCAAACCCCGACGGCCCAACCTCCTCAACCCTCTCCGCAACAGCCTTATAATACCCCACAGCCCTATCACAACTCCGGCTCCTCCCAACCCCATTCGCCCACATCTCCCCCAACAACCAATACGCCTCGACATGCCCCTCCGACGCAGCGAGCTCCAACCACTGCGAAGCAGCGGACAGTGAAGACGGCTGCGGAGACGCTAGGAGCAGTTTCGCGAAATTGACCTGCGCAGGCGCGAACCCCTGCTCCGCACTCGCCTTAAAATACTCCCGTGCTTTGTCGACATCTTTCTTAGTAGCCAATCCATTCAAGAACATATGCCCCACCCCATTCTGACTCATCGCATCACCCATCGATACACCACGTCTAAACCAGTCAAACGCTTTCCAGAGATCTTGTTCGACGCCTTCTCCCCGCAAATACATTCGTCCGATATATCCTGCTGCTTTTGCCGCGAGGGATGTGATATCTGATGTTGGGGAGTGGATTGCGCGACCCGGCGCTATCCCACTCAGCCACACCTGTTTGGCGAGCATTCGGAACCAATACATCGCCTCCCCAAAGTTCCGCTCCTGAGTCCTCGATCCGTCGTAGTACAACACACCCAAAATACTCTGCGCGGACGCGTCTCCCTTCGAGGCGACATACTGCAAATACTCAAAAACATCCTCAAAACTCCCATCCCTCGCATTCGTATTAATCACATTCCGCCGATAACTCCCCAAATATCCCGGACCCGAACTCGACGCCGAGGCACCATGCCCGTATACGCCGCCCTCGTCGTCCGCGATGCGGTATGACTCTCTCTTGACGTGTCGGCCGCCGGGTGGACCGCCACGGTAATACTCACGCGAGGTGACGGCGACACGACGGTACCACTCCATAGCCTCTTCACAATTCTTCGGTGTTCCGAGGCCCATGTGGTACCGATATGCCAGGGCGCGTTGAGCGCGAGTTTCATTTGCTTGAGCGGCGAAGGTGTAATACGTCAATGCCTTCGCATGATCGGGAGAGGATCCGGACCCCAAAGCTGTAGCGTGGAGGAATCCGAGCAAGAACTGGGCGGAGGCGTTTCCGGTGGCGGAGGCGAGGAGGGAGTAGTAGTGGGATGCTTGTGCGTAGTTTAGGGGGTGGGAGAAGTTGCCGTGGAAGTTCAGGTCGGCGAGGAGCCAGAGGGCGTCAGGGTTTGACTTTGCGGCTGCGGTTTCGAGTTTGAGGGTTGCTTGGACGAGGGGGTCGTTTTGGATTTTCTGTTCGGTCGTTTCGAGACTCTTGACTTTGAGGATCCGTAGCGCGTCCAAGGCGCTCTTTGCTCGTCGTGACCATCGCGATAACAACCCGCCGTCCTTCTCCTTACCCTTGTCTGACGACAGGTTCGCCTTCGCTTCTGGTGGCTCCAGAGATCGCAGCAGCACCAATGCCTCATGAACCAGCCTATGCGACTCCGGATCGACCATCGAGGGATCCCACCGCCCCAAATCCATCGCCGGGACCGTGTACCTATCCACTGTATACCCCATCATGGCCTCAACCTCGGGTATGTCCGGTAAACCCTCCACTACGTCCACATCGACAGTCGAACCCTCATATGGTTGTTGGACATCCTCGATGACTTGTTGAAGCGGTTCTGGGTCGGCGACTGCTTGTGCGGCTACGGCGGTGGAGAGCAGGGTGAGGACTGTAACAGATCCGTTAGCGGTGAAAGAGATCAGCCTGCAGTCAGAGCCGTTACCTATTGCTGATGCCGCTCTCATCTCTTTTCAATTGTCGCTCACCTTGGTGTTGTGTTTTCGTATGCCGTGACGTAGCCAAACGCGTACGTGCAGCGTCCCAGGCACCGCGGACTGCGTGGTTGCTTGAAAAGAATAAAAACACTGGTCGACCGCGAGGAGAGGGCGGATAGTTCTCCTAGATCATCGTGATATTCCATAACATGAACGACGCCTACCACAGAAACAGGTGAAGTAGACCTTGACTATTTTCCCACGGTTTCAACGGCAAGAAGGACTCAACGCTGACTAGGCTTTAGCTGGCATAACCACGAAATCGGAATAACAGAGTGTTCCATCCTCTAAAAACAACCCAAACTCCTTGACGCCTGATCTCTCCGTATCCGCTTGCTCGTCAACATTCTGCCGAGCAGCGACGTCCCCATCACTATCCATTCCCGAGTCCTCATCTGGAATGAGCCCGATGGTGGTGCCATCTGCAGCCCGTTCCTCGACCTGCACACGGTAAGACAACACAACCTTTCCATCAACAAAAAACTCCACAGTCTCCCCCACGACCAGGACTTGCACCTCCACCCTCCCCTCCTCCAACACGAGCCCATCATGTCTCACCAACTCCGGTCCATCCACGTTCCTAGGGAGATACAACCTATACTGATCCGCCCAGAAATCATCCAGCGGCGCCGGAGTTTGAGCGAGGATAACTGAGAAGGTGTGCCCGACGCGCTTGAATTTGAGAGCGTAGCCGGCGAGATCTAGGTTCGTGCGGAAGAGGAGGCCAAAGGAGGGGGCATTGGTGGAGGTGAGGGTCACGCGGAGGACGTAGGAGGTGGGGAAGGCGTCATCAAGGAATTTGGTCTTCGTGGCGCCGAAGGATTCCAAGATTCCTGCACCCTCGACAGTCTTCTGACCTTCGGTAGGGAAAGCGGCTGTCAGCGCCTCGAGGCAAGGCTTAATCACCAGGGCACCATTAGGAGCAGCAGATACCTCCCGAGGTAATGCCATATGCCCACCCCAAAGCCATTTCCCATCCTCGTGACATTTGTCACCGATCCACCCAAAGAACACCCTCTTATCCTCCTCGCCAATCTTAGGACAAGACTTGGCAGCATACCACCGCCTCCCATCAAACTTACAATCCACTCCCGAGATCTTGCGGAATGGACCGCGAGGGGAGTCGGCCACGCGGTATACCGTCCCAGCATCTGGCGCAGCGAAACGGGAGTAGACGAGGTACCACTTTCCAGATAGCTCGAATAGTTCGGGACATTCGGGACAGAACATATCGTTTGGTGAAAAGAGTGGTATCTCTTCCACTGTCCAGGAGGAGAGATCAGGGGATGTCAGGAGTGCGATACACCCGCGCGTCCAGTAGGGACCGGAACGGAGACGGGTAGCGACGAGCATCCAGTAACAGGACTCGAGATCGTTGTAGAAGACATAGGCGTCGCGGAAATCGATGTCTTCGAAGGTTGAGACGCCGTTGTTCACGACCTTGATCGGCTCTGTGGATGGGATGAAGGAGGTGCAGGCCTTATCCGTAGCAACGGCTTCAATGATGACTTGTCGCCCGCCATGGCTCAAGTTATATCCGGTGTAGAAGATATGCAGCAACTCGTCTGGGCCCTCGACGGCTGATCCAGTCCATGTACCATCCGTGTCGAGCGCATCTTTGGAGTCGCCGGGCGTCAGCGCGGGCTCAGGATCACGAGTCCAGCTCACGAGATCCTTTGAGCGCATGTGCGACCATGTTGACCGGAGACGGGGAGGGTGGTGAATAGTGTTTGGCGGAGTTGCGAGGTGAAAGACATGGTACTCGCCGTTGTAGACGACAGGGATTGCATCCGCTGCCGCCTGGGTTTTGGAGGGTCGGTGGTAAGAAGCCGTAGTGAGGTGTTGCATGCTCAGATTCAGATCGAATCACGGGGTTGTTGGAGAAATCCATGGCTGTATTCGAGGTTCTTATAGTGAACGAGGATGAAAGGCCGGGGTTAGGTGGTGCGGGCGTTGACGATGCCGTCGCTCGCCGCGGCCGCCGGCGGCAATTCACGCCGGCGCCCCCGCACCCCGGAAAAATAATGTTCCGCTAGCAAAGCTATCGGCCCCACGCCGAAGACCCTGCTCTATCCGAAAGCATTGCGCAAATGAACGTTATGGCTTCAATATGTGGCTGCGGCGACGCCGGCGGCATCTCCGTCGGCTTTTAGCAACCATGCTCCCCTACGAGCAGCTGAGGCTATATAATCCTCCATGAACCGGCCTCGTGGATCGTACGATATCAGTCGAACATGTTCAAGATCCAACACCCTTACGCTTGGCTGTTTTGTGCCTTCGCCTCTCTCGGCGCGTGTCTTTACGGTATACCACTCTCGTGCACTTGCGATGAGCGACACTGACTTGGATGCATAGGATATGATGGCGTCTACTTTACGGGAGTCTCTGCCATGGACTCCTTCATCCGCGATTTCGGCTCCCGCTCCTCTTCGGGCGGATACGAGATCACACCCTCCGAGCTCTCACTCATGACATCCATGATCAACGTTGGGGAACTCGTTGGCTCGCTCACCGCCGCACCTATCAATGACTTCTTTGGGCGCAAAGGCGCGTTCTTGACAGCAGCTCTTGTCGTCATTGTCGGTGTTGTCCTTCAGGTCGCGGCCGAGGGACATGTTGTCATGGTTATCGTTGGTCGTATTATCTTGGGATATGGTGTTGGGTGTTTCTCTTCGACTTCGCCTCTGTACATTGGAGAAATTGCACCGACTGCGATTCGAGGCCCGTTGCTCATGTGCTGGCAACTCGTACTCTCTATCTCCCAGATCATCGCGGCAGCCATTAACCGCGGTATGTCGACCGTCAATGGTTCGGTAGCATACCGTGTGCCCATGGCAGTGCAATTGATCTTCCCAATCATCATGCTCGCCGGTCTGTGGTGGATCCCAGAGTCTCCGCGTTGGTTGCTTCGTAGTGGACGAGAAGAGAAAGCCAGGGATAGTTTGCTCCTTGTAAACAAGGAGAAGAAGGACTATGATCCCTCCCCCGAACTCGCTACACTTCGCGAAACCGTCGAGATGGAGCAGCAACTCGCTGCACAGTCGAAGTGGTCGGACTTGATCCGTGACCCTATTGAGCGTCGTAAGACCCTCTTCTCCGCGGGTGCTTTGATCGCACAGCAGATCAACGGTATCCAGTGGTTCTACTACTTCGGTACTGTTTTCGCCGAAGCGATTGGGCTCGAGGATCCTTTCATGATGACCGTAATCGTGTTCATCATTCAGGTCGTCACCGTTTTTCTTGCAGTCTGCTTCGCCAATAAACTGCCCCGCCGCCCTTTGCTCCTCATTACGACCGGTATCATGACTGTATCGATCTTCATTGTCGGATGCCTTGGCATCCCGGGCTCGGACGTCAGTCCGGCTTTCGGCAAAGTGATCATCTCCTTCGTCATTATCGAGATCACCGCGTTCAACTTCGCGTGGGGTCCCCTCGGCTGGACCATCGCCTCCGAAATGGCTGTGGGTCGCAACCGGAACAAGATCTACGCCGTCGCCGTTGCAGCATTCTGGATTACTGTTTGGGTCACCGTCTTCACCCTTCCCTACCTCTACTACTCCGCCGACCTCGGACCCAAAGTCGGATTCATCTACACTGCCTTGTGTTTCGTGAGTTTGAGTTACGTATGGTTCTGTGTGGGTGAGGTCACTGGACGGAGCATGGAGGAGATCGAGAGGTTTTTCGTGGATGGAGTGCCGGCGAGGAAGTGGAGGGATGTTGCGAGACCGTACCGCGGTATTGGCATGGAGATGGACGAGGCGAAGAAGGATAATGACGAGACTTGGGGTGGCAGGGAAGATGAGAAGGAGAGGGTTACGAGAGTAGAGTACGCGAAGGCATAGGATCGATCTCGTGCTCGCCCTGTAGGTTTGATCGCCGTGTACACTGTGGGAGAAAGAAGGACATATTTTGAGTCTTATCAATAAATATATGAAAATACTTATTTGCCTGAACTTCCTCCCTCAACTCGTCAAGTCATCTTGCTCACGAGGACGTCTGGTGGCCCTGCACAAGTGGTCCCCCGCAACCCCAGATTCAAAAACGTTTTTGAACATCACGGCGTACGGACAAACAAACAAACCTGTCCTTGAAACCAGAAGAATGGCCGACGGTGTCGCCAGTACAGCCAGACCGATCACTCGAACAACCGCCGACGGTGGCCGCGCTTGTGATCGATGTCGACGCATGCGCCGTCGTTGTCAGTACGAAGACGTCGCGACGTCGTGTGTCCTTTGCCATTTTGCCAGAGTCGATTGTACCAAGATCTTGGATCCGCCGCCGCGGCCGGGGACGAAGAAGCGAAAGGCGACGGAAGGAGGAGCTCGCGCAACCTCGGAGATGTCCGTCGAGCCAGCTGCTGTGCGGACACTTCCGGGCATGCAAACAGGAGTGGCAGCGCCCGAACATGTGGATGACTCCCTTGGCTTGATCTTCAATCAATTCTCCGAGCTCTATGGACTCAGCAGCGACATGGAACCCATCTTGATGAGACATAGGCCGTATCATCCCGCACACCACGAATTCCGTATGGAAACGCATGCGATTCGGCGAGTGCTGGCACGCGACAACGGAGTGGAATACCCGTTGACCTTCCATATGGTTTCGGATACCAAGGCGATAGGACATGATCAGGACGCGTACTTCAGTGATGCGATTGAGCAGTGCGTACAACCGCACGGACCCCGGCTGGTAGATCTCTTCTTTCGCATCGCGCATCCGTCATATCCAGTGCTGGATCGGGAACGCTTTCTCGGCGAATACAACAAGTCCTATAAACATGTCTTGCCGGCACTACTGGGAGCAGTTTACCTGCTCGCGTTGAACTGGTTCAATTACGACCGGGAACTATGGATTCGTTCCAAGCCAGATACAGCTCCTCTCCGCAAACTCGTCATCGAAGCGGTACAGAACTCCTATCACCGACCAAAGTTGTCGTGCGTACAGGCTATGCTACTTTTTCTCCAATGCAAACCTGAAGACCCGTTGAATCCAGATCATACATATGCGCGGTCTTGCACTTCCCAGCTTCTTGTCGTTGGAGAGGCACTGGGTTTGCACTTGGACGCGGAAGGTTGGTCAATACCTGCGTGGGAGAAGAAACTGCGGAAAAGACTGTCCTGGGCGTTGTTTATGCAAGACAAATGGACTGCGGCAGCCCATGGCCGTCCCTCACACATCCATTACGATGATTGGGCGGTGCGAGATATCACGCTCGATGATCTACTGGAGAACAACGCACAAGCTATCGCTACAGAAGAAGGAAGTACCAATGTATGGCAAGGGTTAACAGAATACCGGGAGATGGTGAAGCTGAGTCAGATCACGGCGGATATTCTTCATGGGTTCTAGTACGTTGCACCCGCGTCTTGTCATGAAGATGAATTGCGCTAACGCAAACGAACAGCACGGTTAGGAGCAGCGTTGAACAGGAGACGGTCAAACTTTACCTTACTGCATTGCCTGTATTGGGTAAGCTGGATGGCTGGTATGCCGAGCTTCCAGATGAGCTGCGAATGGAGGCCTCGGGCATGCGTCTCCTCAGCCCCAACGGTAGGCCGCCATTGTCCAACATAAGCGATCCTCCGTGCTAATGCTTTTGACTAGGCTATCTTCACCTTTCATACTTCGGAACACGCATGACTCTCCTCCGCCGTATCATCCGTTCTACAGCGCTTCCACCAGTCTGTCGTGATACTCGAGTCCTTACAGAATCACGCGATCTGGCACGACGTACAGCCGATGCGGCGATTGACTTTGTCGTCAATCTGCGTGCTGACCACCTTGAGGCGTTCTGGTACTTCACCACTCCCTTCATATTCTCCCTTATTGGGTCTTTTGTTACATTACTTCTCGTGACTGCGCGATCGGAGTCTGAACGTGCGCATTGGAGGGAGAAATTAAATCGGTACTTATGGTCTCTTCGACTGATGGGGAACGCCAGTGAACCTATGCGCTATGCTGGGAATCGCTTGGAGGGCGCCATTCTGAGAGGTTTGGAGCACGCCTTGGCGGTTGACGTGGGCCCGAGTCGTGCGCCGACAAGGGCAGCCTCCCCGGAGATTACGTTCGAGGATCTAGGAAGTGACTTTGGACTGGAAGGATTCGACTTTTTGCAGGGCATGCATATTGATTGGAGCTTGGTGATGCCCGAGCAGCCGAATTAGGTGCGCAGCAACACAGTCCAGTGACGGGCTCCCAGGCCGCGCAGTTCTCGTGAGCTTCTTACGTTTATCGTTACAACCCGGATGGCTGCCACATATTCCAAAGGCAACTCGCTTCGTATCTCGCTTTGCCCGTCGCCCCGCGGTGCTTCGTCTGGTTCGGGGGTATCGATACAATGATCGCTTCATAGAGACAGCAACGGCGCTCAGCCCAAGGGGATAGGGACTTCCGAGCTATCATATGCTAGATAGTCACACATTCGGTTCAGGATCAGAGAACAAGTTGATCAACCGCCCGGGATGTACTCCCCGTGACTGACTGAATTTGAACAACAATATTATTTGTTGTGTCACCGTGAGAAACAACAACCAGCATCGGTGGTCCAACGGTATGATGTGCGCTTGCCATGCGCGCGACCCGGGTTCGACTCCCGGCCGATGCATGTTTTGTCAGGGCAGCCCGGTGCGTGGGAATCTTGCGTTGAACCTTCTCTGGAGCGCGTGCTTGGCCGATATCTGGATGTACCCAGCACATTTCGCAATATTTTCGGGCTATCATTGGCGTCCCTGTGATACGGGAAATAAATCTGTGAGTTGTGCAGGTTTTGGGTGGGACTCAAGTGCGTTCGAATCTCCAAACGTTGAAATGTGAAGCAGGTGATTCGTAAGCTCTGGAAGGAAACCGGAAGAAACGACTCACGCTTAGGTAGAAAGCTTGAAAAGTGAAGGGTCGATGGTGTTGAGAGATGAGAGGGCATGGGTATATGAAGAAACAAAAGCACAATGCCCCTGCGCGGCCCACGCGTACGAGTCGATTCCCGGGCCAATTTTAATGAGAGATAGTACTTAAAGGATCTCTGAATCTCTTTGACAGTCACGAGGTCTGTGTTTATGGCAGAGGTTCGCAGGGGCCTACGGTATCTACACTTGAAAGCAATTGAAATGCCACAAATGTGCGTTTTTCAAGGTTGACGTGACCATGTTCCCCGGACCCGGTATCGCAACCGCACGCAGCCAAGGACAACACCTAACGCACACGCCATCTACATTCTACAGCATTCTACAGGTGACAATAGATTGCAACGAATCGAATCACAGAGGATAGTGTGTAGTACAAAGGAATTTATTCAATGGCCATCGTACAAAACAAAGCCGTGCACGACGACCCTTATCCTATGGGTACTCTCATAATGTGTCAATCAGGCGCTCGTAAAGAGCAAGCATCATACTCATACACCCCACACTTTTTCAACCAACAATAGCCAACTCATGCCTCCAAGTCGAAGTCGGCCTAACAGCCTCCTTAAGCAAAGATGGCAATAGGAGGGTTGAGGTAATCAGCAGGGTTGTTGAAACGGACACCCTGGTTCAACCCCGAAATCTGCTTAACCTCCTCCTCGGTCAACTCAAACGAGCAACAATCCAAATTCTGCTCCAACCTCTCCGGGTTGTTCGACTTTGGAATAACCGCAACCCCACGCTGGGTAGCCCAACGCAACAAAACCTGAGCCGGGGTCTTCGAGTGGGCTGACGCGATCTTCTTGATGATGTCGTGTTCGAGGAGGGGAGGGCATTTCTGCGCGGACTCGAAATCGAGTTCCATGTATGACATGGGACCGAAAGAGGAGTACGCAGTGACGGCAATCTCATGCTGCTTACACAACTGCACGAGCGCTTCCTGGGTAAGGTAAGGATGGTGCTCAATCTGCAACACAGCAGGCTTAACCTCCGCAACCCTCAACAAATCCAAGATCAAACTCCCCTGGAAATTCGAGATACCGATATTCTTGACCAAGCCTTCCTTCACCAATTCTTCCATTGCTTTCCAGGTTTCGGCGATGGGGACGTCGACTGTGATGGTTTTGCCTTCGGGGGTGGACCAGCCGGGGGGGTAGGCGGTGGCTGGGTCGACGTATTGGAGGGAGATGGGGAAATGGATGAGGAAGAGGTCGAAGTAGTCGAGGCCGTAGTCAGCCAATTGCTTCTTGCAGAGGGTCTTGACGTGTTCTTTGGCGTGGAAGGTGTTCCAGAGCTGATGATCAGGTTGTTAGTACCCTTGTGATCTGCAATAACAACAAGCAACAACGGTGTGAATGCGGCAAAACTGATCCCGTTCGTTCAAGCCAATTTAACCCACATACACCCCATAGATCAATCAAAACTCACCTTAGAAGTCAAGAAAATCTCCTCCCTCTTCACCAACCCATCCTTAATCGCACGGCGAATACCCTCTCCAGCCTCCTTCTCATTCCCATAATCACAAGCACCATCAAACAAACGGTAACCGTGCTTGATAGCATTGTAGACCGTATCGGCACAAGTGTCGTTATTGACCTTCCAGAGTCCGAAACCGACGAGGGGCATTTCCTGGCCGGAGGGAGCGAGCTTGACGGTGGGGGCGTGGGCAACCATGATGAGTGTACTGGTTCGTGTGCGGTTGGCTGGGTCAGAAGAGCAGGAGCACAGGTCTTTATAGAGGACGATTTAGGCTATGATGGTGGTGGAAGGGCGGGGAAGGTCCTCCCGAGCGCACCAGCGAGAACAGACCGAGCGAGCGCGGTGACGCCGATCATCGCGACCTGGCTAAAGCAGATTTAACCGGCGAAGGTGAAGGGGACCGGAATGTTGAAAGCGGAGATCTGATTCTGCCTAATTACCGTTTGACCTCTCGACGTGCACGGGAACCTGTACAGCTGTACATCGTCGGGCATCGGACATGCGAACCATGGGGCATCACGATCCACCGGTTCTCGCAATCGTCCTCTGTAAGGATCCGCCTATGCCGCGGGTGGAGAAAAAGTCGTCAAACGAAGGTCAATAGTAGATGATGGTATATTCAGACAACCTGCTCCCAAAGCACCACAGTAGACAGGCTTCCTCCACTTCCTTTTCGCTCGTAGACCCATCGAGACGATGCGCCACCTCCAGCCGCTGCAGTTGTAACAGACAAATCCAAGAAAAAATCACGACCCACTTCTTCACCTCCTATGCGTCCCACGTCCGCTTCTAACTTGCTGCTTCCCAATTCAGCACCAGTGCCCCACATGACTCCTTCTCTTCACCTTCCGTAACGTCTCGTTCCTCACGCAGCAAATTCCTCCATCATCACCCCTTATGCGGAGAACTTCCTCGCCAACTTGGAGATTATGTGCAAAGCGAAAACAGACGCAATGAACCCAAGCGAAATGACCAAAACCACAACGGGGTCACTAAACACACACCCACACATTAGCCTTCACCCCCAACACCTAAGCATCGAGTACTCACACTTTCAACCCAACTCCCTCTTCAGTATACAACTTCAACATCGTCTGCGTACTACCACCAGCACCTGCAGCCCTCGTTCCAGCCGGACGACGGTTCTCGTTCGCGGCTTTGGCTTCTTGAGTTGCGCGGCGGCGAATGATGTTGCGGGCGCCGCCGGGGGGAGGGGGGGAGGAGGGGCGGGAGGATGTGGTTGAGGCTGATGGGGAGGACTGGGTGGTGTTAGCACTGGTTTGGGGGAAGAGAGGGAGGGGAGGGGTGGTGCGGTTGCGGTGTGTGTGAGCAGCAGCGATGGATGACTAGGCAAGCGAGCGTACACGTTCATCCTCGAGAGCCAGACAACCTCGTACTCGAACGAAGCTTCACGAACGTGCGCTGACCATCCAATGCCCCAGCCCTTGGAACCTTGATTGATCCATTCCAGGCGACCCGCACACTCACCGCACAACCGCAACTTTACCCACGTCACCTAAACCGTCACTCGTCTCCCAATGACCAATTACACGTACCATTTCTGCTTGTTTCTGATCGATTACTCGAGGGTTGTATGCTCTGTTTCGCTGTACGTATGGTACTCCGCGTCCGTACGTGCTGGCAGTAGCGCGTCCCAGCCACGTCGACGTTTCGGCCTGCGCATCCAGCTCACCTCCGACCGGACGTACAGAACGTCGCAACCAAGGGCAAAGATGGTCCTCGTCCCACCAGCGATGAAGCGGCTCCACGCTCTCCAGAAAAGTGCATCTCAGATCTTCATGACGACATTCAACCCAACCAACGCACGAACCGGAAACAAAATCCTCAGACAACGACTCAAGGGACCCACGGTGTCGGATTACTACGTCAGGACGAATATCACCGTTGCTAAATTCGTCAGGGATTTCAATAAGATGCGGGCGGGGATGATCGAGAATGGCACTGTTGATGAGCGAGGGATTGGGAATCCTATGGTCAATTTGGCGGAAGAACAGCGGATTAAGGAGAACGAGGTGTATGTATCCCCCTTTCACTCGGAGTTTTATGTGAAGAGTTTGTATTGATTATGTGCTTGTCATTTAGACGGAGGAGACGTGGAAAGGGACCCCCGAAGAAGGGACAAGGAAAGCGTGCGACGTCCGGAAAGAAGCGTTAACCTGCGATCATTACTGGGAATTTCATCATTTGGCGTTGTTGGGCATCTTTTTTCGATTTCTTTTGTGTTTGGGATATGGCATGGGTACGATACAAAGGAGGTAAAGCCGTGAATGAACGAGCTTACGGTAAGGGTTTCTGGTATTCAGAATGTGTATTTTCTTTCTGGACGTTACGACGAATCCCGCCGGTCTTCGTTCCTCACGGTACGGTCATGCCGATCACGATCGAGCTCAGCAGTCACTCGTCCCCTTCGTATTCAAGATCAGTCCCACAATCAACCCATACAACCCCAACACTTCCGCAAAAATAAGCACTGCAACACACACCGTTAGCCCTCTGCTCCCACTGCCCCCAGTCCCGCCTCATCTAGCCACCGCGGTTTTTTTTTTTTTAGACAAGTACTCACCCAAAACCATACTAACAAAAATCCTCGGCTGCAACAAATAACTCCTCACCCCCATATCCCCAACAATGCCAATCGTCCACCCAGCCGCTAACCCAGTGAGGCCGACACAGAGTCCAGCGGCCATGTGGACGAAGCCGTTGAAGAGGGAGTAGGGTTCGGTTGGAGATAGTTCGCCGGCGATTAGGACTGCGATGACAAGGCCGTAGACCTGTCGAGGAAATGATTAGGATATGATCTCTTTGGGGAAGAACAGGGAGAGTGGAGACTTACGGCGATAATACCACTCATGACGACCGGGATCAAACTCTTCATGATCAGCTCTGGCTTAAACGTTCCCATACCCGCGATTCCGATTCCAGCCTTCGCAGTACCGTATGCTGCGCCCATCGCTACCACTCTTGCATTAGCCAGTCTGTTCATCCATGAAACTCGTCTCGGGGTGGGATGAGGAGGATAGGAGGACCCACAGCTAAAAATCATCGCAGCAGCTACGCCGGAGAAGCCGAAGAATGGGGCGTAGGCGGGGCATTGTGCTGAGAGTGACATGGTATTATTTCCCTAAGGAGTGAGAGTGACGGTGTCTTGCGAGAGCTGGGCTGTATGGTTAAGGTTCGTGGGCGGGATGCAGGGGTTCGCAGCCGGTGACGCAGTGCGCGTTTGGCGGAGTCTTGGGCATCGCGGTGGAGGAACCTGGAGTCGATAGAATTGAAATACACCGATCAAGTTTCCCATCTTCCTCTCTGCCCGTACTCCTCACCCGGACAACCTCCTAAAAAACTCCCCATACACACCCTCAATATCAAACATCATCTGCCTAACCTGTTCCTCCGAACACTCATCACTCGCTTTCATCTTATTTAACTCGATTAGCCAATACAGGATCTTGCCTCGACCTTCAAATGGCCTTGCTCCTCCCTGGCCTTCTGCCCCTTCTGTGCTGGAAGATGATTGGGCACCAGTGTGAGGAGGTATGACGGCATCAACGGATTGGATGAGGTCGGACAACAGAGGGTGGAGTTGGTCTTTTGCGCGGTAGGAGAGTTTTAGGGCGTCGAGGAAAGTGATGAAGTTCTGTACCGCGCTCGCGACTTTTTGTGGGTTTGGGCCTTGTACGCCTCCTCCTCCTCCTCCTCCACTCCCCGCGGTGTTTGAAGAAGACAAAGTCTGAGGGGTGGATGTGGATACTTCGGGCACGGGAGGAGCGGGGGCGTGTTCAAAGCTCGCGGGGACACCGGTGGAGATACGGTACGCAGCGGCTGGTGCAGATATCTGTTCGCCCCCACCCTCGTCAGCCAATCCCTAACCTGAGAGGGATGTGCGAACCCTATACTTCCCCATAAACCCCTCCAAATCCCCAAACGCCCCTTTCACAGCCTCACTCTTCAACAACGTCCCCCACTGCCCCAACAGCCGTACGCAATTCCGTTCGTATTCTTCCTCACTCACCTGGTCGCGTACGTACGCTTTCTCGAGGAATTCGAGGGAGAGGAGGAGGGAGTATAGTTCTGCGAGGTCGTGGTGGAGGTCGCGGTCGGTGGGGGTTGTCCAGAGTTTGACGGGGTCGGTGAGGGGGAGGGGAGCGGAGGCTGGACGGGCGGGTTCTGTGATGCCGGTGTAGTAGGACATCGCGACGGGTGCACAGCAGTCACGAGCGGGCATGTCGAGTGGTGCGCGTACCAGGGCGGTGCGGCGCGTCCGCGGGGGAGGCGGGTGACGTCATGTCGGAATCGATGGCCGCGCTCGAGCTTCCAGAAACCGATGCGGTGTTCGATGGGGGAAGGATCTGCGGTGAGTTGACCCGAGCTGCTGATGGCAGGCAGAATTGGTTTGGTGACCAAACGGTGTCGAGCTGGCTGGCGGCCGGCGAAGGGTGCTCCTTGCCTCGAGTGTCGCGCGATCATGACCGGTAGGGGACCACTGAGCAAAACCCAATCGCTCACTCAATCCATCCCTTCACTTCCTCCGATCCCGATGAGCTCTATGTAAGCTCGTGCAATGTTCCCCGCGAATCCTAACTGACGTGCCGCTACCGAAATCACCTCGCGCGGGATTTGGGGTAACATCATGATCGACACCCAGAAGAATACAAACACAAGTCCGACTCCCCCTTCTTCCTTACAAAGCTCAACAGCTGTTTGAGGACAGCGCATTCATCTTGACTACGAATACGAATACATAAGCTTTGAGGACGCGGCAACGACAGCCGAAGTATCTTGCGATCAGCTGACGGGTTCGGTACGGTGCATTTATCCCGCTCTTCGCGTGTCTACTTCACCGACCTCTACACGGCCCCTATTCCTGTACGACAACAGCAGTCTTGCGAACGGAGCGCATTCATACCATCACCAAAACCGCGTCTCTCACACTCGAAAGTCGTGGCGCATACATTCCCACAACCACCTGTCACCAGTATACACCCCGCCAATAACCAAGCAATGCCCCGCCGCGTCGTCTCCCTCTCCCGCTCATCCCCGCGACACATCATCATCGATCCCGCTCCACCCTCCAGTCCCACGCACTCCTTCGCATACTCAGGCGCATCAACAGCATGGTCAACCCAGGGCCACAAACGCGCGACATCGACATCGACACCGACGCCGACGCCGAGTCCGCCGGTTAGTGCGCAGACGCAGAACTCGACGACGGGGTGGATACAGGGGTTGAGGAGGCGGAGTGGATCATCCGCTAGTGCTTCTGTCTCTGCGTCGCTGAGTCGAACGGGGTCATCGCTGTATACTACATCGACAACTACGGATCACGCTACCAGGGAACGAGGGAGTAGGACGACCTCGATTTCGGGGTTAGGGAGTAGTTTGAATTTAAGGCCGAGGAGGGTGTCGATTACACTACACACACCACGACACGAAATCATTCCTCCACCCTCCGATCCCATCCCGCGTGAACACACACCCGAGCCCCTCCTCGACTTCGACTTCGAGCCACCGAGTCCCGGGAGTGGAGGAGCTGGATCAGGGGTGAGGAGGAGGGAGAATGCGAAGGAGCGGTGGACGCGGTTTCGGATGTGGTGGAAGATGGGGGTGTTGAGGATTAGGAGGAGGGTTGAGAGGGGTGGGGGTGGGGTTGGGTCGAGGGTTTAGGGAGGAGGGAATGGAAATGGAAGGAGTGATGGCGGCGTTCTAAGTATTTTATTTTTGTTTTGTGGTTACGGGTTTATGGGTGGAATTGGATGGGATTAGGGCGAAAGGATGGATATCAGTGGGGCACCCAGGATTACGGTAGGATCGAGATACGATAGGATAGGACACGGCCACGAAATGAACAACTTGCGTTAATTCGGACTTCTTCCCCGTTGCATTGAATCATGATTTAGTGCCGTACACTTTATGTAGAGAGGCATCGGCGAGGAAGGAGGCGGTGCAGTGGAGGTAGGATACGACAAATATCGTCAAGCCTTTTGATTAACCTTAACCGTGATACTAAAAAGAATCCAAGAAGAGCATGAAAAACACCCAACCCCGTACACCAACAAGGCAACGCTGCTGTAAAGAACGTCGACGTCCATTTTTCTTACATCATACCACCAACGCCAACGCCAACTCCTACGCCTTCACATCCTCACTCTCCAACACAGCAGCCTTCACCGCCTCATCCAAATCCGCATGGAAATACGGCCGGTTAACACTCAACAATGGCACAATCTTACCCACACTACTAACACTATCCGTATCCACACCAATCTCCTCATCCTGGGCTCCTGCCTCTTTGGGAACGGGATCATTCTGCACACCGACGTTCGCGACGGAGAATACGGAACGACGGGGTTGCTCTGTTTGCCCAAACCCACCGGATACGAGGGCGCGTTTGATCCACCCGTTGCGGACTTGTGCGAAGTGCCATGGGACTGCGACGCCGGCGTGTCGGTCGAGTTGTGCGCGGACGTCGATGAGGTTTTGGAGGCCTGTTACGTCGAGATGGGGGACACCGCCGAAATCGAGGATTACGGCGCGAAGGGGGGGACGTGAATCCGTGTCTTCGATGATTTTGTGTCGAGGGCCGGGGTCGTTCCAGGGTCTGTTTCCGAGTGAGCCGTACGGGTGTTATGTCGTTGGCACATTGAGAAGAATGTGGTGACGAACTGCAAACGTGCATTCCGCACTAAGGAGGAATGGGATGGTTTCTTCAATACCATGCAGGAGCGCATGAAATCCTTGCCGGAGGAGAAGTTCGAGGAGAATCTCGCTGATTTGATGCGTGATTACGAGCGGTATGAGACTGTTACTTCATACGTCGAGACCCTTCTCCCCTACAAGACTTACTTTGTCTCCGCCTGGGTTGACCGTGTCACTCACCTCGGATCGTCAGTCTCTTCCCGTGCTGAAGGTGCTCACACGTGTCTCAAAGGTCACATTTGGAGTCAGCACAGGCAATCTCTTGACCGTCGTGGATCATTCCCGAGCATTCATGGAGGAACAACACAAGGAGATAATAGGGAAGATAGCCAACGAGAAGGTGAGTGTTTCACCGACTTTGGGCGCTTTCTTCGCCGATATCAAGTACAAGGTTTTAATATGCATGGTGCCTTGGCTAAGCCTGTTACGAATCAGGGCGCCCGCAACGGTCGGCCGTTCCTCAACGCCTGCGAGCTTAATTCAATTCGCCGGCGTATTCGTTTACGGCGCGGCGCGAACCCTGGTCGAATCTTACCATCCGTGCTTGGACCGCTCCCCGCACAGCCTCGAAGGTCATCGTTATTATGGTATGTTCAACTCGCTTGGCGCTTTCCACGTCCAGCCCTTTTTGTTTCGGCTTCTCATTGAAGTGCAGCAGTGGACGGAACGCGAGCCCTTGTTGAAGGTTCACGGCGACCTGAAGCTTGTTGAGCCGCACCGGCCCTTTAAGGTTTATGCATACAATCTGACCACACACCCACGCATGCTATGATCTTCACGACGTTGTTCCCTGTATTGGGTAGCTGAATCACTCCTACTCGTTTTGCATCCGACAATTCCTCAATCGTCTTGCTCTTACCTTCAGCTCATCAGAGCACGGGCCTCCTCGGATATCACGCCCTCGAGCCTCGTCAACGACCCTGAAACGCCTGCGTTGCCGTCAATTCCGGCCTGAGTTTGAACTCACCTCCTTTACGGAAATCACCAATCCCGATAAGCGATCCTCTTTACACTCTCCATCAATCCCTTCAAGTCTGGTACAGCTGCGACGTCAGCACAACTACCCCACGCGACAACCCCAACGGACTACGCGACTACGAATGTTACCCAACCATTGCTGCGCGAGTGACAGTCAATGGCAACCTTTGACCTTCGGCATCGGATACGGTCACGCCGTTCACAACTTCACGCCGCTCGACCCAACCAACTCTGCCCCCGAGGGTGCTTCGGGATTCGAAGTCGCGCTATCTCTCGGCGATGAAGTCTACGTGTTCGAAGAATGCGAGGGATGGTACCGGGGATATTTGGTTACGGAAGCCATTGCGAACGGATGTGAGAGCGCTGGCGATGGTGACGGTGCTATTGAGACCCGAGCGTTCGTCGGCGTCTTCCCCAAGGACTGTATCTGCGTACGGGAGTTCATGGCTTTGCAGGAGGAGGCGGATGGTACGGAAACGCCTTGGAACGCGTTCAAGGAGGAGATGGGATCTGTCATGTCTGTACCAACACCCACGGCGCGGCGAAGTTATTGCTCTGAGAAGGAACGACGACAAGCCACTACGTTCACCACCCCACCTGCATCCCCGGGCGGCACGCGTACCCGTAAGTCGAGCTCACTCGTTCCCGCCACTGGACCACATACCAGCAGTGTCTACCCTCGAACACCTCGTACGCCCGAAACAAGGACTCCGAGCACACGCCCTACACCGCGTCCTCGAAGCGCATTCGCGCATCGTTCTCCACCTCCAATACCTGGCATCAGTCCATACGAGGAGTCGAGGCTAGGGAAAACGGAACCCGTTGTTGATGAGATATCAGCCGCGTGCAAGGAGTGGTATGCTGCTCTCCCTCGGCTTCTTGCTTGCTCTCAGTACGACCTTTTCGCCGCTGTGTCGGGCAAGATTGATGAGTGCGAGCGGATTCGACGGGAAATGAGCAGTGGCGCTTTGACGCGAGAGGAGATGAGGAGGGTGAGAGAGGGCGCTGTGAACACATTGGTGGAGGGAAACAAGTTAATTGGTGCGGATCTGATCGTTCGCAGCACCTTGGATGGTAAGATCGAGGGTGGTGATGATGGTATCAGCCCGATACGGTTGATGGTCAAGCAAGCTGCGCTTACGTCCTCAGCCTCGCCAACCGGTACTTGCAAGGGTGGAGATTTCGACGAACACCCGTTCAGTGAATCCGCTGAATCGGCGCCGTTGTCCAAGTTCGTGCTGGTGGATGTTCGTGCCTTCGTTGCCAACATCTGCAATGCCGCAAGCGAGCAGGTCCAGTGTCACTTTTTCCTCTACTCTGGCGCGAAGTACATCACCGAGCCATACGTTGTTTCCATCAACTCGCAAGGCGTGCCTACGGATGGCGATGGTGTGTGGGATGATGTTCGGATGTTATTCGACGGCTTGAGCATGAAGGAGTGTGCCGATAGCGTACATCTCGTCTGCCGGATCTACAAGATAGAGACGCTCATCCTAGCCGCTGTCTCCACACGGACCCACACCAGCTCGGGCGAAAGCAAATCCAGCAAAACGAGCCGGAAGAGTGCATTTTTCGGCGTGAACGGATCGAAGGCAAGTCTTGATCTACGGCCGCCTAGTACAGCCGGCTCTAGTAGATCTGCTGGAGCACACGAGCAGGATTGTCGGAGACCCTTCGGATGTGCTGTACTTGAAATCAGTCGTTTCCTACAGAGCAAGGAGTTGGAAGGCGGGCAACAAATCATGCGGATTTTTACTCCCGCGGCGAGGTTGGATGGGTCTGGGCACGCTACACTACACGAGGACATCATCCATTCGAAGGTGAACGTGATCGAGAAGAACGCTCGTGCAGATAGCCTTCACGTCAACGTGCGAGTGTTCTCTGGAACGAACGCGGACGGTTTGGCGCGTGCTTGGCCGACCGTTTTGCAGGGCGTCACAGTTCTACCGAGATACGGCTTCACAGCTGGTATGCAGTTTGGAGAGCGGTCTGACCTTTATGTTGAGCTTGTGGGTGCTGATGTGCTTGGATCGGTGGGGGCGTCGCTCTTGACCGGGAAGAGTGGTGGAACAGTGCCCCTAAGTCCACTCCAAGTGCGGGAGATCTACCTTGAATGCGAACTTCGCACAGATGACGGGCATACATTGTCGCTTCCGAGTGTATCAAATCTTGAGGATCACGACGCATGGGTGAGCGCCATTGCCGGCCTTCGTGACCCGACTTGGCGCGAGTCCTTCAAGGTCGAACTGGATGATCTCGATTGGCACGAGGCGCATCTTTGTTTCTCCGTGCGGACGGTGGGATCAGAAACGCCTCTTGCTACTGCATACATGCCGTTGTTTGATCGGTCACGGAATACATTCGTCAAAGATGGAGATCACGATCTCCACCTATATGTGTATGATCCTGTGTCTGATCGATCCCCTTCCACTTACCTTCAATATCGGCCGACGTACGGCGCTTTGGGCAAGCTACTGGCCGCCGTGAGGATCAAGACGACCCTGTGCTCGACAACGATCACTCAAGACCAGGCACTGTCTTCTCTGTTGGAGTGGAAGGACGTGTTGGCACGGACAGACGTCAATGGTCCTGAGGCTCTTGAGGAGGTGTTGAAGCAAGTATGCTTTGTGCCGGAGATTGAGTTCGTCAAGTTTCAGAAGGAGGTGTTTGACGCCCTCTTTGGTATTCTTGTGGAGGGTAACCCATCAGGACGGCTTGACGACTTAGTCTTTGAGGTCCTCGTGGTTGTTTTGGGCGTCGTTTCCGATCGACGATTTACGCATTTCAAGCATGTTGTCGACAACTACATGGACACTCAGTTCAACTATCCTTTTGCAACAGCCAATCTCGTCCGGTGCATTCAGAGGCTCCTCTCCCATCCAACAACCGATGACAATGCCCGGCAATTGCGTGCCATGATGAAAGTTTGGCAGCACATTGTGCGGTTCATTGTGTTAGCCCGGCAGAAGCAGAGACAGAAGGAGATTGGTCTAGGAATCAACGCAGCGCACAACGATCTCACCTTCGTGAAGGCTCTTCGCGGCATGTTGGAATCACTAAACTCGTTGATGGCCACGACGTCGCCGCAGTCTATCGTCGGCACGCAGACTATCGCCATTCAGCACTTTGGTGACTTGTTGCCAGTACTGGCGAGCGTATTTCCGATGGAGGAGGTATTTGGCATTGCCGTGAATTTCCTCAAATCCTGTCGAGATAGCCGAGGTCAACAGGGAGTCTACAAGCTCCTTCTGATCCTGAACCTTTGTCGAAGCCCGATGTTCATGATTGGTGAATTACACCGTGAATTGATCACACATGTCGTTACATGGCTGCAGTCGGCCCCCTCTTCCTCGCTTCCTGTCAGCCCTCGAAGTCCACTCTCGCCAACCTTTGAGACCAATAGCGGAGCGTATACATTCGCCCGTATCCGCTTGACACTCACAATATTTGCCGTCCTTCTTGATCAGCTGTGGAGTGAGCGACGAACGGTCGGTGACGGTGCAAAAGTTGAGCACGACACAAAGGTGGCAATCTTTTTACCGGTGCTAGGGAGCATCGTGGAAATGTACGACGACCTCCGTACATCCTCTTCGGACAGGTCACGTGGAACGACTGTCCTGTTTCCCGAGGCGTACCCTTTGTCCACTCGAACGTTGGCGAGCGGAATCGATGAGGGGCTCTGTGAGGCCACATCACTGATCTTGACGCTCTTTCGGCTGGCAAGCCAGGACCAATTCAGTTCTTATTTCTACTCTATCGTCTCCGCGTTTCACGGCGATATTGTCTTGCATCTAACGAAGGTGCTGAACATTCTTGAAGTGATTCTCGAACCTGGTATCTTTCCAGATACCTGGCTGAATGTGAGAGCTTTGGTTCATCGCGGTACGGTCGACTATTTGGAGAATGTTTGTGATGTACTACGCAGCCATCTTCTTCCGCAACCGGAGATCGCCGACACTTTTCCCACTGAGCTCTGGCAAAGGTTTTTCACGCTTCTTCTGAAAGTCATTGGGAGTGACGCCTTGGTCATTGAGACCTTCAGCACACAAAAGAGACGTGCAGTTTGGCACCTCGTTGGCGATTTGCGGAGTCAAGGGGCATATCTACTCAGACGAGCGTGGAACTGCCTTGGCTGGACTCCAATAGGAGACGGTAACCTGGACGTTGCCATTGACCGTCTGGGTGGATACCAGGTGCAATTTGCTCCGTGTCTGATATCACAGCTTGTTGAGATTGCGTTGAGTAATCATGAGGAACTTCGAATTGTGGCCGCACGAATCTTGCAGACAATGGTAGTTAATGAGTACAACCTGAACGAGAACCTCACCGTCGTGCATGAGGCCATGATTCATGCACTCGATAGTGTCTTCAACAAGAAGCCCGCGCTTGCAGAGCAGGACGGGAAAGACCTATTCGTGGGCATACTCCGTGAGGGGTTTGATCAACTCGGCGTATCTCCGGAGTTCTTGGGGATGGTTGAAGATCTCCTTGGCTCACTCGATCGATTTCTGAGCCTGCTGGGAGGATTGTATAGTTTACCCGATGGTGAAGCGTACGATTATGGTCGATATTATGACACGCTGAAGCTACTTGAGTTCATCAAGGATATCGAGGAAGACATCTACGTTAGGTATGTGCATACGCTTGTCGAGCTGCACGTCCAGCAGGAACACTTCGTCGAGGCTGCTTTGGCGTTACAGATGCATGCCGATTTGTATGCATGGGATGACACAGAGCTGTTGCCGGAGTTGACACAGCCGGAGTTCCCTCGGCAGACCCCTTCGGCAAGGAAGGAGGCAATATATCTCCAAATGATCGACTACCACATACAAGGACGAGCATGGGAATACGCGATCGAGGTATGCAAAACGCTTTCGGACGTTTACGAGACGAGAACGCTCGAGTACGCAAAGTTGAGCGCGATGCATCTCCGACAAGCCCAGTTCCTCGACAACATCGTCAACGACGACCGAACGCATTCCGAGTTCTTCCGCGTCGCCTTTTATGGATTAGGATTCCCACCGGTACTCCGGAACCGACAGTTCATCTTCGAAGGCGCGCATTGGGAGAGATTGTCGGGTTTTGTCGAACGGATGCAGATACTGTATCCGGAAGCCGAGTTGTTACCAGCCAATCTCGCTCTTCCGGACGTCTTGGGTCAACAAGATGGTCAATATCTTCAAATCAACGCCGTCCAACCGGAACCGGATCGGACTCATGCGGTTTTCCTCAGACAAGATGTAAGCACGCGGATAAGAGAGCATTACGTCCGTCATGGAATCCGACACTTCTCCTACACGAGACCCGTATCTGTCAGTCGAATGCCGACCATTAGCTCCAGCTCAAGTGAATTCAGTGTACTGGATCTCTGGACTGAGAAGACTCTCTACACCACCGACGTTGCTTTCCCCACCATCATAAGACGTGCTGAGATTGCCGATGTTGGAGTCGTACGCTCATCGCCTCTGGAGAACGCGTTGGGCGCTGTGCATGCGAAGAACGAGGAGTTGATGGGGTTTGAGCTCAAGTATGGACAGCTGGACGTGTGCGATAACTTGAGTCCTTTTTCTATGAGTCTGAGTGGTGCTGTTGATTCGCCGATCAACGGAGGGATACGGCAATACCGGGCAAAGTTCCTCAGTGATGAATACAGATTGGCTCAGGAGGGTGAGGCTGAAACGATCGAGAACCTTGGGTATGCGATCAACGAACAAGTCGGGGTGTTGCAGCGTTGTCTCGAGATTCATGGTAGGCTCGTCAGTGCAGAGATGCGACCATTACACGAGTCCCTCAAATCGCTCTTCCGCCGGAATTTCGCGGCGGACCTCAACAGACTCACCGTCACGTCAGCCGGAAGCAACGGTATGTCACGACTAAGCCCCATCTCAACCATCTCGGACGGCAAAACGTCGACACACCTCTACAAACTCACACTCCGGGAATCCAGCACATACCCCAACCTCCCACCTGTCAAACTCTCGACATCGCCACGACGACCAGTTCTTGGTCGAGCACCGCATACGGCGTCATTCCAGGGCCGGACGGAGACTCCTTTTGGAAGTGGGGGTGCGGAACAAACCCAAGACGAAAGCGGGAGTTCGGGAAGTACGACGGGTCTGAGTATCCCCGGTCAAGGGCATGGCCGAGCGAGTATGAGCGCGTCGGTGAGGGCGAGGAGTATGGTGGGGACGCTGAAGCGGAGTTTGAGGTTTAGCAAGGGTACTGCGGCGTTGAGTCAGTTTGCCGAGGGGTTTGATAAGGCGTAATTAATTTTCTTGCTTTTTTTGCTGTTGGGTCGGGTCTCTGTGTATATCTTCGTTACGATGTGTCCTTCTGTCCACAATAGCCGACACGCGCAGATCGGGACTCGGCACGCCACACCCGCAAACCGCACACAAAAATCCGAGCCCCCGCGCAAAACTGTTTGCCCGCAATGTTCAATCCAGTTGCAATGTCGGCGAGTCTGGGAAGAGTAGCCGTTGAGCATCCCACGAGTGAGGAGCCGTTTAGTCAGGTTTCGACTGCTGTCGGGACGAGGCGGAATAGTTTCGAGATTGGGGAGGTGTCGGTGCTTGACCCCGTTGGGCCGGAGGATATGGCCGAGAAAACACTGCCTATGACCACCACTTCGTCGACATCAACCAGAGCCGAAGACCTTATCCTCAACACAAAGATCGAACCGGCATCGGCGACACCAACACCGGATGCTTCGACAATCGCGCAGCCGCCAGACCTCGAAAAATATGACACTTACGCCGGGATGAAACTCTCCGAAGACGGATCGAGCCTAATCATCGACTGGTCCCCTACCGACCCGGAAAACCCCCTCAACTGGCCCTCCTCAAAAAAGATCACAAACGTCACCTGTATCTCTCTCATGGCCCTCCTCTCGCCCCTCACCTCCTCCATGTTCACCCCAGCCCTCCCAAACATCGAATCAGAATTCGGAGTAGGGACGAGTACGGCGAGTTTAGCCGTGACTACATTCGTCATCGGATTCGGGATTGGACCCCTTATCTGGGCGCCGCTTAGTGAGGTTTTTGGCCGAAGGTGGATTTATGTGATTACGTATTCTGCGTTTACCGTGTTTCAGGTTGGGTGTGCGCTTTCGCCGAATATTGCTGCGTTTATTGTGACCCGGTTTTTTGCGGGCTTTTTTGGTGCTTCGGGGATTAGTAATGGTGGTGGGACGATCAGTGATATGTATGCTGCGAATGTACGGAGTAAGGTGATTGGGTGGTACGTCCTTGGACCGTTGTTGGGACCGTGTATTGGGCCCATTGCCGGGGGGTTTATTGCGGAGAATTTGGATTGGAGGTGGATCTTTTGGATCTTGCTCATCACAGCAGGCTGTAACACTGCCTTTGCTGTCATCTTCTTGAAGGAGAGTTACCACCCAACCCTCCTCGCCCGCAAAGCTGCGAGGGTACAGGAGGAACTTGGACGCCCCTGCCGCTCGAAGATGGCGGATGAGAGACCCCTCTTCCTCCGCCTCCGAATCGCAATCGTTCGCCCGCTCAAGATCTTGTTCATGCAACCCATCGTGTTCTTGTTGGCATGTTACATGGCACTCATCTACGGCACGCTCTACCTCCTCTTCACATCCTTCCCCGCAGTCTTCCAAGGTATCTACGGCATGTCCGTCGGTATCTCAGGCCTCGCATACCTCGGCTGCGGAATCGGATTCCAAATCGCGATCATCTTCGGCGTCCCCCAAATCCAAAAAATCTATAACCAGAAAACTGAGGCGAACGGGGGTATCGGCAAACCCGAATTCCGACTCCCCATGGCGCGGTATGGCGCTGTGTTGATTCCGGTGGGGTTGTTTGTTTATGGCTGGACAGTCCAATACAAGATCCACTATATCGTCCCGATCATCGCCACGGTCCCCTTCGGCACAGGCATGATCCTCATCTTCAACACTACAAACAACTACTTCATTGACTCTTTCACCCGATACTCCGCGTCCGCGATCTCGGCCGGAGCGGTCTTTCGCGCCATTGTTGGTGCTGTTTTCCCGTTGTTTGCGCCGGCGATGTATAAGGGGTTGGGGTATGGGTGGGGGACGAGTGTGCTGGGGTTTGCGGCGGTGGGGTTGGTGGGGGCGCCGTGGGCGATTATGAGGTGGGGGGAGGGGATTAGGGAGAGGTATCCGATTAAGTTGGATTGATTGTTGTTCGTTCGTGGCGGGCGCGGAGGTATGGAACTATGGAGCTACGGACGGAGAGGAAGGAGGATTATTGCTACGATACTATTTGCATGAGCTGCATTTGGGGACTTATACGGCGTTATCATTTTTTGCTTTTGATTCGGGATTCAGATTTGCATGGAGTATACCAAGTATGAATAAGACAGATCGATATCTAACAACGATCGTATTACTTTAGGGTATATGAGGTATGAATAAGTTAATCGCCAGACACCAAGCTCCATCCCTATCGTAACGAACATTTATGCCGTCTACTCCTACTCCCTCGTACACTTCTTGACCTCCTTCAACAGCTTCCTCAGGCTGTAAGACTTCCCATACCCTAAACAATATACGTTAGAAATTTCGAAAAGCATGAGTGTACCCTACAACATACCAAACCCGTCCACGAACTCGATGGAATCCTGTACGCATTTGATGACGGAACTGTCCTCCATCAAAGTCGCCGTTGGCTTAGAGAACGATCGCTTCTCATGTCCCAAGGCACAATGATTTCTCTTGTTGCGAATGTAGGATAATTTGTTCTTCGCTTGCCATGGAGTAAGAGTGACGTCTTGCCAGAATGGATCTTTCTGACGGATGATCTCGAGAAGGGAGGAACAGCGTCCAAAGTCGAATGACCGTTCGTAAGTCTCTCTCTTGGCAAGATCGATGTCCCTGATCGTATCGTAGTACTCCGTTTTGGGGATCCAACTATCGTGCATGTTAGCCATTATTCTCACGCCATCGATTTCGGGATGACTTACGTAAGCCTCTTTGCTCTCGCATGCTCGAATGCCGCAACACAGATCGTACGAAGATAATTGGTCAAGATACTCAAGATGAATGCCTGAGTCTCACGGAAAAACGTAATCGTCCTTCCGTCTAGCTGGGAGGGATCCGTGTGGAAGTCAGGCCGAGTCCGATAAAGGCGAATTTGCATCGTGGCCAACTTCAGCTGTTGGCAAGTGTTAAAATCGGTCGAATACCGTCGGCAAGACAGGTCGAGGCTTACCTCTGTTGATATATTATAGCCGAACAACTTGTTTTCACCTGCACGGGTGTCGACCTTGACCTTGCGGAGTGTTGTTGCGGTGGATTGGGCAAGGCCAGGTTCGCGAGGTCGGCTCGGCATTTTTGGTGTCGTGGATGTCGTGGATGTCGTGGATGTCGT